CTGATGTCTTCTTAGGTCCTCTTCTTCTTTAAGCAGTCCTTTGCTATGTGGCCCTTCTATCCACAATTGAAGCACTTTCCTTCTTTCTTCATGTGGTCTATGTCTATTAGTTTGTCTGTTCCAGTGTATGTTATGCCTGTCCTGATCTTCTGCATGCCATAGGCAGGGGCCATCGAGGGTCCTGATGATTTTCTGGCAGTTGTTCCTGACGATTTGTTCAGAGTTGGTGGTGTTGACTTTTTCATATAATCTTGCAGCATCATTGATTCCACTTTCTGCCTTTGTCACTCCTTATACATCTCGATGATTCATTTCTTCCACTCATCATAGCCATTTGGCATGAGAGCTTGGATGCTGATTGCTAAGATCATTGTGATGTAAGAGGAGGGGACCTCTTGCTTGAGGGCCTCAACCATCCTTCTGTCATTCATGGTGTCATCCCATATTCTGGTGAGCTTGGCTAATTATTTCAGCTCATTAAAATAGTCTATGACTGCTTTGTCAGCCATCTTATACTCCTTGATCTTCTGTTTGTATACTTCTTGTATGACAGGATCAATGAACTTATCATGGAGTATTTGTTTAAAGATGGGCCACAAGGGATAACAGTAGTGCTTCCAAGTTGATGATCAAAAGTTCAAGAAGATGAGAATCCACCATGTCTTCACTCTCTCTTTAAGATAAGAGGTGACAAAGATCACCTTATTTATGTCTGTCCCCAGGTATTCTATATAGACCTCAAAATATTGCTTGCAGTCCACAAGGAACCAGTTGATGTCATCAGACATCTCTTTGAAGAGGCAGGGCTTTCATAGAAGGTCTGAGCAGCATTGCAAGATAGCAGCATCCTGGGGCAATATGCTTATTGGATTGGGCCAGTCAGAGAATGGAGGGTGCTGCTATTTGGCTGGTGGTCCAGAGAATGAATGGAGTGAGTTGTCATCTGCAATCAGGCTTCTACATGGGGGCTCCTCCTTTTAAACTATAACTCCATCTCAGATCATGAATCTAAGTCATACCACTTCAGGGTCATCCCAAATTGATTTCTTTCCTCTGTCACTCCCACTTGCTTCATTGGGTGGGGGCTGAGTCCCTAGTAATCAGCTTCTCTTGCTGGTCTAGAGATTTGGGTATTGTTTCCCTGTCTATCATCATCCTTGAATAGCAGAGGCTCTGGCTTCTGATAGTGACACTAAAGGTGTCTCTAGCCCAGGCCATCTCTGGTTCCTGGTGCTCCATCAGGATTCTTTATTATCATCTAGTCTGGCCTCTCTTCTTCTCTGTTCTTCTTTCTGCCTCCACTCTTTCTTGGTTATCAAACCCAGCTATAGATTACTTAGAAAGAAGGGGTCTTCTTCTCCTGTGTCACTTCTCTGGTCTGTTTCAATGGAAATAAACCTTGTCAGAGAAGTCCCAAAATGAGGAGTTCTAGGCATGTTCATTCTTGGCATTCTGCCACCACTCCTTTTCTCTGTTGATCCTTTTGACATACTGTCGAAACTTGTCATAGAAGTTGGGGTTAAGGAATAAGATGGTGAACCACTTATGTAAGAACCATTGAAGAGCCTGATTACTGATCTAGGTCCTTGCTGGCTAGAGAACTCCATACTCTCTGAGAGTGGAGCTTTCATTGGACAGGTAGCTGGAGCTACCTGCACTTTCCTCAGTGTTGTCTTGATCATCTCACTGGTCACAGGAGTAAGGATCATCAGCAAGGTCCTCATTCCACTTAGTGTCTGAGGGCTATTTTCAGCCTCTTGCTAGTCCTTCTGAAGCACTTGAAGATGGTCCTCATCTGGCATCATCTGATTCTGAATCCTTCCATCAGTTATGAGCATAGAGGTTGTCAGCTGGGTCTTTATTTTATTCAGTGTCTGGGGCCCACTTGCAGCATTCCTGGGCTCTTAGGGCAGAGCCCCACTCAGTGCTTCAGCTGATTCTGGCCAACTGTCAATATTGTTTATCAAGCTCATCTTCCCACTGCTAGTCATCCTTGACCTCTTTTAGGGAGTCTTCCCATCAGTTATGAGCATAGGGGTCATCAGCCAGATCCTTATTCTATTCAGTGCCTGGGGTCCACCTTTAGTGTTTTCAGATTTCTGGAGCAAGGTCCCACTCAGCTGATCAGCTGATTCTGGTCAGCTGTCAGTACTGCCTATCGAGCTCATCTCCCTATTGTCAGTGGTATCTAGCTCTGTTCCCTCCCACTAGCTTGCTAGAGATGTCAGGGTCAGAGATCAGGAGATAATCAGGTTCTTGGGGTTCTTTTTCTTGAGGATCCTCTTTATCCATGTTGTCAGGCCCAATTTAAGGGTCTGATCCAGGCTGGAAGAGAGTTTTGATCAGGAGAGGAAGGTGATAGATGGGGACATTCTGTGGTGACAGCTGATAGTTTCTGACTATTTCAGCTAATATGGGTCCAAAGATAGTGAGGGTGATTTTATGAGAATTGATCATGAGATTGAAGTTCATAGTTTGAGTGATAGGTGATAAGAGTGTTGTTCTTGCACTTCTTTGATGTGCATCAAGAAAAGAAGTAGTGTGTCAATAGAAGATTCAGTTTCCTCCACATTATAGTGCATGAAAAAAGGAAAGAAGCAGCTTCAAGCTAATTGTTAGACTCAAGTGTCATGTGAACAGATACACATAATAAACAGCCTAGTCCCCTCACACTTCAAGAGATCAGCTGAATTCACTGATGCATATTCTGATCAATATATCACAAGATCTAAAGGATCAGCTTAAGGGTAGAATGAAATAGAATAAACTTTAGCTTGAAGCTGGGGTTTACCAGCAAGAGCAAGTCTCTTAAATACTGTACAAGTCCTGTGCTAAATATACTGCTACTAATTGTGCATTATTGGGTTCTTTGTGCTCATTATCTCTGAGCATTGTTACCATACATAAAAGGATGATTGTATATCATCAGGCAATGCTGTTGTGTCAAAAGACAATGACTGACTTGGCTGTTTGTGGTGACTAAGCCTTGTCTCATAGTCTTAAGTGCCTGTGTTTAGCACCCTGACTAAGCATAAATAGAAGTTAATCAAGAAAGAAAATGGAAAAATCATAACAGAGCTCATACTGCACTATTGCATCTAAATAAGGTTTTGATGCATCTATGGATCCACATCTCAGTTGATATGATCATGGGACTTTCAGATTGCAATGGCTATAATGCTATCATTATCATTGTCAATCACTTCTTGAAAGCAATCATCCTGATAGTATGTTTGATGGAACTATCCTCAGAAGGGTGGGTAAAACTACTTCAGAACAAAGTTTATGCTAAATATGGTATGCTACAAGTTGTTATTTCAGATTAAGAGCCACAATTTGTCTCAAAGTTCATAGATGATCTATATTGTCTACTCAATATTCACAGCAATACCTCAACAGCCTATCACTCACAGACAGATGGCCAGACAGAATGCATTAATCAGGAGATTAAAAAGTATCTTTGCATGTTTATCAGCTACTGACAAGATGATTGAACTGAATGACTGGCACTTGCAGCTTTTCAACATAACAACCACATTCACTCTGCCGCTAAAAAGACTTCCTTCTTTGTCAATCATAGCCAACATCCAAATATAGCTAAGATCATATGCTCCTATATAACTAACCCAGCCTCAACTGACTTTGCAGCAGACATAGTAAAGATCCACCTCAAGATAAAAACCACACTCTGAAAAGCCACTGACACTATGAAGACATAACATGATAAACATCAATGATCAGCCTATTTATATCAAGTCAACAATAAAGTCTGGCTTGATACAATGAATCTTTATCTTCCATGTCTGAAACAAAAACTTGATAATAAATGCACTGGCCTATTCACAATCACAGCAAAGGTCAGTGCTTCTGCCTATAAACTCTGACTGCCACCCATATAGTGAATCCATAATACATTTAACAAGACACTCCTGACCCCATTCATTGCATCTGCCTTTCCTAATCAGAAATGACCACTACCATCATCATCTGACTTGATCAATGACAAAGAACATTATAAAGTTGATCAAGTATTAAATCACAAAATCTGATGAATATACACATGTGGTAATAGCATGACAACTGTTGATTACCTCATCAGCTGAAAGAGCTACAGACTGGAGTCAAACCAATAGGTAAATAAATACTATATAAACATTAATGATGCTATATATAACTATGAATTATTCTTAAATTAAGCCATCAAGACAATAGTCTTAAGGAGGGGGTAATGTTATGATTTTTCCACTTTTATTCTCATCATTCACAGAATTAACCCCTATTTATGCTTGGTCAGAGTGTCTATACTAGTGCCTAAGACTGTGGAACAAGCTTAGTCAGCACAATCAGCTATTGTCTCTCAATTCATAGCAACACCCTGACAATAGCACAACAAATCTTTTGTAGGTAATATTGACTCATAAGCACCACATCCAACAAGTTAGTAGCCAAGGCCTACATGGAAAAACCAAAGAAATCATTTGAAGAAATGGTCTCTGGTCATTATAGGGGCTTTACAGACATCTTCAGTAAAGAAAATTCAATAAGTTACTACTGCAGAAGCCATAGAACCATGTGACTGAGCTCAACAATGATAATGGCACATTTGTAGAGTATACTCCTGCCAACTTGCAAATTTATCCTCCAGCTGCAGAATGATCCATACTAGTTTTAGACCTGTATACATAATACACATCTCCATCCATGATTTCTTATCAGTAACATGCAAGTAATAGAGAAAGATGAAGTGGTTGACTATCTGGCCAAAAACGTTTTGAGTTCATTGATGGGGAAACCAGTCACATCATTGGTGTACTAGTGACATTATTGAAGGCATCTGTTAGAGGGTTTTGCGTGGTGGAACATAACCAATAGGCATGGTACTTGCTATATATAGTCACAATTTATGACGAGAATCGTGGTACCGTTAGACTGCTACAGAGCGGGGTCTCACATAGGCTCTCGCCGATTGCTCTCGACCCATGTACTCCATAGAGCTGTTTTCCGTTTCTGACATTGTGCGGTCGGCACTCATTACCCTCTGCAGCATCACTTTTGTCACATTCTTGGGCGGGAATACAATCAAAGTTGGAAATCAGAGGACGAGTACACTAGTGTTACAACGCACGAAGCATATGTATATATCATGGGCTCGATATCTTCCACGCCCAACAAGGCCCTATGATCAGGTATCAGCAACCTATCCAATATTAAAGTGAACGTAACTTTACCTATTGGATCTGATCTAGCATGGTCCACTCCTGTCCACATCCCAATCATTCCCATCGCACTACCCACCTGTCCCATCTGTACGCTCTCAGTAACCCACTCCGGATCCTGAATTCCAGCCTCGCTCGAAGTCTACCATCGCGTCAACATCTGAGAACCCTGATGAAAGAAAAAGACCGACCAAGCTCCACCTCACAGCGCCATCACCGATCATTCTAACCGTCCCTCTAAGTTGCCTGTGCGCTGCGTCATCCAAGTCTGATCCCCTCGATTCTCCCTCGACGTGGATGATGGGAAGGGTGTAGACCAATGAGGATAAGGGGCAGTCGCTGGAGCCTTGATAGTCTGGCGGCGGTGTGGGTGGTTTGGAATACCCCGACACCCGCAGACTCATAGGCATGACACGAATAGTCTCAGCAACCATATTTGTGTTCTCCGAAAGCTGCGAAATGGTGGCCTCTCTGCGACGCTGTGATTTAGGTCAGGAAAGATACTTATTCGGCACACAACTCTGCGCTCACGTTGTGGTCTAGAATGCAATGTCAGCTGAACTCGAGGAACACTTTTGAGAAACGGAGCGCACATATTAGTCCATGGTAGTCCATCCAACACACGATTCGCCTGCGTAAAGGGGATGAAAAAAGACGACCATAATCTCAAGAAGTGACGCGAACCTCCATTCCCCTGTTACGCCGGCCCAGTCCCAACCATCTATCTCGTCGTCATGGGTCTCCTCCCCCTTTCCCTTATCGTCCACAGTTAAATCCATTTCCTCCGCTTCCTCTCCGTCTCCATTCAACCGTCTCCATTTTTCCCACTCGAATCCTGGGGTACCACCCATCCTTAAGTGATCCAGATTCTTCAGCGCCTCCATAGCTTCCAAGAATGCTTCTTTATCCTCTGGATCAGAATGCACAACATGAGCCCGATCTCGAACATTAGCTTCAATAAGCACTCGAGCGCTCGCCAAGAAACTCCAGTCAGGCTTGAGCTCGTGCGGGAATGGAGGAAAGATGAATGTCGGGTGTCGCTCTTCATCAGGGTCTCCTCCAGCCAATGCTTGGTCAAGAAGGAAAAGAGGAAGGTGCGACGGTGGCCTGTTGGTGTCATCAATTTCATCTTCATCAGCATCGTCTTGGCGGTCTTCATAATCCCCATCATTTGGATCGTCCTCGTCATTCTCATCAAGGCGGGCGTTAAATTCCAATGTACCATCTTCTCCGTAACCAATCAGAGAGCCAAATGCCAAGATTTGAAGACTCGCGTTCCTAAAGATCGGTAAAAGTGCAGGGCCATCTGGTGATTTCCGAGGTTCGAACGACTGTATGGGCATAAAAGGACCCCAGCATCGCTGTGGGTCAGGAAATTTCATGTTGTACACGCGCAGTTTGGCGGCGTTCCGAGCCATCTTCATCTGAGTGTCATTATCGAGAGTAATCTCTTCGATGTCTCGCGCCTTCGCCTTTCCCTTGCCTTTATCTTTGACGTGGGTCTCCTCCGCAGTTGTAGCTCTTGTCCTCCTCCTGGTGATCTTCTCCATCAGGCCAGCCTCTGTCACGCTTTTCATCCTCCAAAACTTGAAATTGGGTGCGCATTTGAACCCAAAAAGTAAGAAGATGTGATGAAATGCTTGTCCTGTCGAACTCTGGTCCCACGTTTCCCCGTCTCGAGAATTGACATCTTGGTCCAACTTCGGCTGGAATAAGAGGAATCGAGAAACAACGTTGGCAGGGTAGCCGTGAAATAGGACATCATCTAGCCAGCTCGAATTGAGTGAGCTTGACATTACTGCTTCACGTGAAAGTGGCGGCCACGGGCATATTGGCTCGCTAATGGTCGAAAAGGTTTCTATGGACGGGCAAGGTATCCTTGGAGCCGCAAACACCATGGGAACCAGCGCAGAGAAGATCTGTAATTGAGTTAGGCTCAATGATAGTCATATCTCAAGTATAGAACCACTAGCCTCTAGATCGAAATCATTGGGTACAGATAGCGGGTTTTCTAGGTGTGCTTTCTGGACAGTGATTATTGCACCTGCAGTAGACAGTAAGCGCTGACTTACAATATGATTTCTAGCTTTAATTCTTTGCTTGTATTCTCTTTCCCAGTCAACAGACACCTCCATCCCAACCAGCGAGCTTAACTTTCTGGGGTCATCAAACTGAGCCAAGAAGATCCCCCTCCAAAGATGAGAATCAGGACTCTTGTATATCAGCTCATAGAAAGTGTTCTTCGTTTTGGAGAGCGAAACAATAGCGCTGGGCCCATCAAGATGGCTGCTGGAGATAATGATGCCCTCCAGGAGCTCCGCAGGTAGAGAGAGAATCGTTGTGGGAGACGAAGGGCCAATATATGGAGGCGACATTGAGGTTATAGTCATCGTCAGAGGGGGAGCAGATTGATCTTCGGCAGCAGCTTTGTCATTGGTCTGCGGCACTAATAATATCGATCGTAATTACGATGACGTGGATCTGAAAAAGTTCGCTCAGAGGTAAACTGCACCGATGAATAGCTGATTGACTTACCAGGACGTTGAAATGAGAGATTTAGGTTCCAGAAAAATGATCAATGGATCCGTGAAGGATAGGCTACATGAGAACTTGGTTCATGTAGATCTAGGGTCTCTTCTCAGATCCTATGCGCTATGAAAAAATTCGAAGCCTTCGTCGTATAGTAATAATGGGCAGTCGAATCTTCCCAGGTTGTTCTCAGGTTACATATCTGTCAAACTACTATACGCACTGGTCTTCGAGGCAGCTATATCATTGACAGAGAAGCATCTGCAAAAGATACTTGCTCTGAAGATGTCGTTGGGGACAAGCTTAAGCTCAATTCTACGATCTAGCTGTCGGACTCGTTGACAGATCTCGACAGATGGCTCACGTGCAGCAGGACGCGGCGCGATGGGACGTCCTCATGCTCCTGACAGCCTGGATATAATTCTGGAGGAATACTCACACTAGGCCCCACCTCGTTGGCCGTGTATTCATGCACTTTAACGTTTTGTCCATGATACAGCAGCCCACGGTTAAGGATGAGAGTAGACTCTCACGAGATCGGACACGACGCGTAGCAAATAACTGGCACTATGACAGTGCCGACGCGTCAAAAGTTCCCAATAGCATACAGCCCTGATACGTGCGATCCAAGAAGTCAGTTAGACACATGAAACTTGAATTATGCACTCAATTATAAGCTTGACTACAGGAAAGTTGTCTTTCAGATTCATTGTGTTCCACTCACGCACGACCAATTGTAATGTATACAGTATCATATTGGATGTCCTGAACCACCAGGTGTTATTATTATGTCGACTCCTTCAATGCTACAACAAAAATCAACTAAGATCCTATATCAAAAGAAAGCAATAGCAAACTAACCGTCTCTGTCCCACACATTAGCATAGTCGAACCGCAGACAGTCCTTCAAAGCCAATCGAGGAAGATGGCGCATAACCATGTTCATGAAATGATCTCTGGTAGGGAATACTTCCCCTTTGTCACCCTCCCAATTCAGGTCATCAATGCAGAAGCAAAACATCACCCGTCGGAGAGCAGGAAAGTGGGGAGAAGACAACAGGTTGTCTAGCAACTCCCACGGCAAAGTATGAAAGGAACGTTCGAGATCCCCAGACGTCTTTGGACCAACCATCAAGTGAAATATAACTTGATAGACCAAAAGCCCTGGCAGACATTCCAGGATCTTCATCGGTACACCAAGATTCTTCAGATCAATGCAATGGTAGTTATCAACATCCGTGGATGTTCCGCTCGAAAAGGAAATTGTCTCCAGTGACTGGAAACAACGAAAGCTCTTCGCTTTAATGAAATAATCTAAGTAACAGAATAAGACAGTCAAATGCAATCAAACGGTAGAATGGACATACCAAGACACTGGTCAATATGGTTAGTCCTGCAAACCGAAAACGACACATGCCTGACTGTAAAACATGCAATGAAGAGCTTCTCCACCAGGTTATACCTCGTCGGATGAGCTTTGATATCAGTGTTTGTCGGCACGTCCCAAGAGATCCGCAGGGTTTCCAATCCTCTCAAATCGAAAAAGCGGCCTAGAAGCCACACAATGAGATCGACGCGCTCATATGCATCAAAGAGCATGAGCGTCTTCAGCTCAACCGCTCTGGGAACGCAGACCTGCATCAGCAGAAACTTGCCGGATTCATAATAATCCGTCCAATCACCCACAGAGTGGAGAGCAAGCCAATGAAGGTTCGGCATGAGAGCGAGGAGCACGCAGAGGTCGGCAGGTTCCGATAAATACACGTCTGAAAGGTTGAGGGCCTCGACGTGCGACGCGAAGCCGGTGAGGTGCCAACAAAGGTCGGAGCTAAAGTCCTGGAAATCCGAAAGCGATAGGTACCTGACGTTTGTCAAGCGAGAGACGAGATGGGTCGCTTCTGGGCCCTCCATGAACCAAGGGTCTGAGGCATCCTCGTCGTTATCATTGCTGGAAAAATACTCCTGGCTGCCATTCAGGATGACCTCTTCCACCATCGGCACAAGTTTGGGAAACGCGTCAAATTGCGTGTTCCATATGGCGCATTCGACTTCATAGGAAAGGTCGAGGGTATGGAAGATGTATCGTTGCGCGAATCGGCACCAGGCGTGGCAGACGAGACAGCACGCCTCCAGATCTTCCCTTTCCTCAACATGGCGGATAATCTCTGGAAACAGCTCTGGGGGGATACATGCTCCCAGGCTGACTTCCATACTCCTGCCTCCCTTCCTAAGGCCAGAGTGAAAATTTTCACCAGTGGCGCCTGGTTGTGATGGAAGGAGAATGAAAATTAAATAAATGATTATCCGTCTTCTCCGTCTTATCCGATTGCGAGAGATCACATGTCCATTAACGCGTTCGAACTTGAAAGTCAGACGCGTCGCACGACGCCACAACCTAAAAAATGACAAAGATTTTGATTGATTGGAGACTACGAGGACGGACTGACCATTAACTAATTACCGGAGTATACTAAAGAGGTCGTGATGCGAATCATTGCGATCGCGAGACATTATGAGCTTGATGCATGAAAAGCGAAGCTAAAAAAACAGCCAAAAAAAAAAGGATAGCAATGCAAGGGGAAATGATATGCTAATAGATGTTACATGAAAAACCAGAAGTCCGTGGTGATTGCGGGGGTATTATGCGTGGTGAATGAATGAAATGGGTTGCTATGTATGAGTAAGAAAATATTAGAAAAATATGTACACTGAACTTAAATATTGAAACCAGTACGTGGCCTAGATGACGAATGAGACACGCGGTGAATGCGTAGAATAAAAGTACAACGGGTAACAGAGTGCCGGAGACGGAAGCAAGATGAAAAACAATACCAGGGTCGATGATGGCGAAGGACCGCCGGGGTCCGATTAAGAGGGACGCGTATCTTATGATGCAATCACCTCTTCTGTGAACCGAGGAGAGAGCCAGCCCCTCTCCGAATCTGCATCCATCGTGAGAATAGATGAATGTCGTCGTTTCATCAAAAGATCCTGCTCCTTGGCCTGCATCCTAAGAGGGACATCCATAGACAATGTAAACCTGTCTCCCAGCAACCGCTTGTATCCTCCAGATGCCAGACCAGAGATGTCCATCTTGGAGTAGCTGGGTGGACGCCCGATTTTCAGCGGCTGACAAAGTAGAGAAGTCGCACTCAGAGTCGAAGAATGACGAGGGAGAGATTCAACATTAACATTTGGCCTTGCACCTAGTCGGTTTACGTGCATGCTGTTGGTCCGTATCCTGGGATGGATGGACGCCTTGCCGATTCCAGCATAATTGATGAAGCCCTCCTCGTAATCGTCTTCATCTTCTATCTTCCATGCCCTCAATGCCGCATCGACGTCATCCAGACCGTCCAGACCAAGTTCGAGCTCATATTCCTGCGCATCACAAGGCTCTTCTTCATCTTCCTCTCTGACAGGAAAAAGTTTGGCGTCACTTCTCCCCTTCGTCCTCTTCAATCCCAACACCAGCTTCTCATCGTACTCCCTATACTGCTTCACATAGTCTTCTTCAACAATGCTGTCATAAGACGGCGAGCTATACTCATAATCCTCGCCAGACCAAGACACCTGAGCTAATCGAGAGCTTGCGTAGGGAGTAGCCAAGCCGACGTTCATGTCCCCCACACGAGCTACCAGAGCTTTGTTCTGCCACGCTCGCCTCCGGCTCCGAATCTCTAAAACAGCATCACGCTGTCGAACTTCGTTTGCTAGATGCTCTTCCTTTGCTTCTTGTAAGATAAGAAGTTGTCTCAGTCGAATGCAGTGTGATGATAGGCTCTGATACTCCAACAATTCGTCAGACGAGAGTCCTTGCAGATGGCGAGGCACAGATGTATAATCCGTCGGAGTTTCCGGTGCATGCGAATATCGATGCATGCTTCGGAGACTAAAATATGCGGTGGAAGGAGTATGGACAGAACTCCCATCCGTATCAGCGTCGTCTTCGTCGGAAGAAAATGGAGAGGTAACCAAACATGATGGAGGGAAATATCCCTCATCCTGGAAGGAACTAGTCACGAACGCGCTGTTAGTCTCCGCAGCTTGCTGGAGAAGATCCGCCATAGTGTCAGAAGCTCTGCGAAGCATGCTTCTCAGGATCCATGGATAATATCCGCCGGAAGGAAGACGACGGTTGAGCTCGCCCACGACATACATACGGAAAGTATCAACCAGTGTAGAGCGAGCACGGCGACGCAGAGCTTTCGGAGTGAGCGTCGGAGGTGATGATATAGTTGCCGGCTCTGGATTTGGCGATGGTGAAGGCTTGGATGGAAGAAGAGATGGTAGTCGAGTAATGGGTTCAGACATAGAATGAGCATGGGAAGATAGCGGTGAAGGTAGCTGCACGAAAGACCTAGACATGACATTGGTTACGAAGGTGCGATGGGTAAAAATTGGCAAACTTACGCAACCAAAGACATAAGCAAGGAACGTTGTTTTTTATGTCGTGTTACTTTAACCGTCGTCGGTGGAGAATTCAGTGACTGCAGTCCGTCCTTGCGTTCCTTCTCTTTGACTTTTTCCCGTTCCTTCTCCCTTTCTGTCAAGACTGCGGAATGATTCACGTCGTCCAAGACGCTATCGAGAGCTAGTAGACACCTAGCAGCCCTGAGAGGCCATTCCTCGGTCGATCCGTCCACGAAACGACATGAAATCATTAACATAGGTACATCGAAAGTAACCTCTTTCAGAATACTCGGAATGAACGCTGCCTTGTCGAGACAATGAACAAGTTCAGGAGTATCGACGCCATCGACGCTCAGATTACTGAGATGCGACGTCCAAGCGTGGGGATTGAACAAATCACCAGGAAGATTCTGAAAAGTGATAGCAAAGAGCACGGTAGGATGCGAAGCTGGTGGTAGGAGCCTAATGAGCATTGCAGAATCGAAACGAGGATGAGGACTGGGGTTCTTTGAAGGCCTCGAGGTGCATGCGGTGGGAAAAAAGGTGGGTTCTTAAAATTAAAAGAAGCTACCGGTAATATCAATGCCTTGTTCAAGGACTGCAAGGCGCAGGCTCACCTAATGAAAAAATAGACAAGACGAGGATCCAAAAGTGCTTCTAACGGCTGCCAAAGACTTTAATGACGATGGCAGTAAAAATAATGAGCTCCTGGTCGGCTCTGGAGCGATGAAAGGACAGGAAAGATGGAAAACAGGCGTCCCGGATATTTGGAGACAGAGACGGTGGAGGGAGAGGAGAAAGATTGGAGCTCAGGGGCAGTCGTCAAATTATTCAAAAGCTCGCTTCTTATTTCCGGTTCCGTAATGTTCCTCGCTTCACTTTTTCTGTTTCGAATACGAGGCAGATAACGAGAAGAAGATTGGGGGCCAGGTAGCGGTGCAACAATAATAATTAGACAGGCTATTATGAATACTATTACTTTGCAGACCCAAGCCCAGTACACACAAATGGGGACTGCGGACCGGTATCAGCGAACAATCCTGACAGCAGCAGAGGGGCAGATAGTCACCGTTTCCCGTTGCCCCTTGTTCTGTACTCCTTACTGAGATAACGAACCTCCGTCGTTTGGATCGTGTTAGAGCAAAAATTGGCGCGTAAAGACTTCTCCACGATGCACCAAAACTGTGAGTTGAACTGAAGAAATGACCACCGAGGCTAACCCGAAGGAACGTTACCACTATTGAGATCAACGTGATCGACGCCGTCAATAATGAAGTTTGAATTTCGGTAACCACCAAGCACCTGGATCATCTTGGCTTCCAGAGAATCACTTCAGGACGCGACCGCCAAGTCCCAGAACCAGTAACGCGCATCAAGACGTCCAGCCTGAAGGAAAGGGACACACAGAATCCTCCGCCGCCTGGGCCTGATAAAGGTGGCTGAACATGAAACGGGAAAACTTCGATACGCCGCCGGACTTATCCCTGGGGCTTGAATCCCGAGACGCCATTCGATCCTGAGAAACGATCAATCCTGACTGTACCTTCAGGACGGCAACGATTGTTTCAATGGTTCTGAAAGCAGACAGCGCAAACGGCCGTACCCACATCTGCTCTTGTGGCGAGAAAATACGTGTCAAGGCGCGGGAACAAGAGATAATTTGAGGCGAGGCACCTTCGGCCGGTGGCTTATTGAATGCAAGATGCCAATCTATGAGCAGCAGACCGATAAACAGAGAGACAATGAACAAGCGACATGGAAAACATACTCCTCAACTAAGCCCGCAAGGCGCAATAGCGCCGCCTACGCGAAAGTTCATGAGGAGGAGCACTATTCGTAAAAACGTATCTGGCAACATGCACTCAAAAGGCCTAGGCATCTGTAGCTGCGAAAGGCCTAAGGGCCTGCACGAGCTTCAAAACACGAGTTAAAGAAAAACTGATAGAATCGTACTCAAGCCTAGATTCCATGTGTATTGTATCACCGCCACTTTGAAAGCGCGTGCATGCTCTAGAATACGGTTACAGAACATCGCATTGCTGGCAATGATAAGCCTTACAACAGGTGAGTGGACTATAGTCTCATCAATGAATTCTCAATTGACTGAAAATGGAAGAAAATTTCAGAAATCCCGAGCACCACGTGAGATGTACTGTACTTCACTTAATTGGTCGCGACGGGCCTAATGGCGGCGACCCAGCCAATGATACTGCTCTCCAACTCTGCTCTACTTCTCTACCGCGGTCCTTCATATTGAAGAAGAATAAGCCCTTCCCCAAAACTGTGTTTGGGTCCAAATTTACTTGCAGAGCTAAGTACCGGCTGAACGAGATTAGCGTCCAGACTTTGATGGAGTCCTCCTCCGAGTTCCAATCTAACGGCGCGAAGGACTTTCAAACACAGGCAGGCGAGTTCTTGACTCACCGGCGATGAAGCGGGAACTTTCAAGCATATGTGCACCGCAGTCCGAACCGAAAAGCTGGGTGAAGTCCATCCTGTGACAGGGTAGAGTTTCCGACAGAGACGCAGGCGCTCTTTTTTGGGAATGACATATCACCTTTTTGCCTCATCTCGGACCGGGGGTCTTCTGAAACGCATGGGTGGCGTGATGGTCGGCTGATTCGAACGGTCCTCAGTCTTCCTGCCTGAACGTTTAGATTTTTCCTCCTGGGAGAGACGAAATCCTTGTGACTCTTTTCTAGAATGAAATACAGGAAGATAGTTCTTACCAATTCGGATCATTGCTGTCCCGGATTTGCAAAGCTTCGACAATTTTTCTGAACGTTCGGATTTCCCCAGGAAGCGCTTCCTCACAAACTCACACTGATCCGAAATTCTGCAAGGCGTGCCCTCTCAGCAAGTAGCTCTCAGGCTACGCCGTGATATGGCAGATACGTCAAATGCCTAATTCTGACGGTACATTATTACAAAGTCCAAGTGCAACTTCTCACTGGAAAAAACATCTGAGACAGTATTCAAAGTAAGGGACAAAAGGATACGGTACCTATACCTGCCAACTTGATAACTTGAGCGTCTCCAGCAGGTTCTCCCACATTTCCTCCCGGCCCTTGGTCCACTGTGTATACAACCAAGCCTTTATTCCATCCCAAACAAACGGCACATCTAACAGTCCGAAACGCGAAAGATCGAAAGCAAGCGACTCCGACAGATCGTGTATAATGGAGTATTGGTGACTATTGCATTTCCATTAAGATTGACTTCTCAGGAGATCTTCAAATAAAAGCGCAGGACTCGAGAGCGTGAAAATGGTCACACATAGGACACTGGATGATCTTGTTAGTTTGAACAATGGCAGGACAGGCGATGTCACCGTGAGATCCATTGGGAGGTGTGACACCATCAAAGCCCCTCTATCGTGGTGTGAATGGACGTAGGAAGAAGAGGGAAGCACTGAGTCCCTTTGGCTGGTTGATATGATACCCAGCCAGAGAAAATCCATTAAGATTTTCGATACTTTCATATGTTCTAGCAAGACATGTAGAGAGCGTCAAAGGAAAAAGAGTCGACAAGTGTATGAAGCAGACAACCCGACGTCGTATTTCCGTAGCTAATACGAGTAGTTTCTAAAGGCTGATAGTAAGCTACTCAACGAAAAACGTCAGCCGGGTACCGAAATGTAGAAGAAAGGAACCGCACCGAGGAAAATGTAATGATAAGGCTTTCAAAAAAATGTACCGTATTCGTCAGAGAATCATGAAAAATGAATAACGGAGAAGTAGCCAGCCATGTTATTTTCATCTCGCTGATGTCGTTAGTACTAGGGAGGTAGCAGCAAGAGTTTCGGTAGGCACGAAACTAAGGGCGATGGATGTTGAGGGCAGAGCAGTCAGCAAACTCCAGTACTACTCGGATTATTATGCGACTCAGCTATTACACCTTCGATTCTAGGGGTTTCTAGAGTCAAAGATGTTGGGGATAGATGTCGTCAGAGGGAATGAACGTGGTGGTAGTGACTCGAACGCTCGTGCATTCGGTAGCAACCACGGGGATGGTCGCGGTATAGAGTCCAGCTACGGTAGTGATCGATACGAAAATCAAAATAAAGTAAAAAAAAAAAAAAAAAGGCGCAGCCGTCAGCCTGGTGGCTGTGAAACCCAATCCTCAACAAAAAAAAGGACTGAGAAGGGAATATAGGCACCGACTAACTTGAAGGGCATCCACGAGACAATGTCCATGCAAGCAATCTTCATTTTGCAAGTAAAGTTTCCATTGGTCGACTCTTTCCAGACCAGCATGACCATGACCATGAGCGATGTGTCTAACATATCTTTTGTTTGTGACTTTCGGAGCAGAGCAGTAGTAATGGCAGTCCATGGAAGAGAAAGGGCTCTGGTGAATGGTCGCTATTACCTCAAGGTACATATCTGGACCTGATAGACAAGGTGTTGAATTCAGATAGGGATGCTTGGAAAGGATAGAAGAAACAAAAACTTGAAGGACAGTCACAGTGACAGTAGGAATCAATGCTGTCCAGCTTGGCTTCTTACAATCATCATCTATTGCTACACGCCTTGTCCTCGATTTTAGCCAAAAAACCTCACCCCATAGTCTTCCTTTGCATTTGTTGGGGGCGAGGGGGGAGACACTCATAAGAATTTCACTAGCATAAACAAATGTTAGACTAAAAAAGCTCAGTTCATGTGTGTGTCTGTATATGATTTTTCAGTAGCATAGTGGTGAGTAAGTACATTGTTTTTGAGACATGCTGGTACTCATACCAAGCTTTTCAGATATACATGTCCTTTTTGCATAGTCGACAACTCTACGTGCATCCATGACAATATCCAGATTGATCAAACCCAGCTAGCCCCGTCCTTTCTCCTCGTCGTGTCCATCTTCAGTTGCCTAGCATTGCATGTTCTGTGGTTCGCAAAAACGACAGCAGGCCATCTCGACCTTGTTCTCCCATGACCAACAGATCCTTCCTTCTGTATCCTGGAAACTTCCCAGTTCTCCCTGTTTGTACTGGTGAATTTCAGGCAGCAGGATCGTGCCAGATGCAGTACCAAGCATAGCTCTCAAGTCAATCACGCTGCAAGCGTCACACATCAACGCGCTTTGTCACATCCACGTGAACGGAGTAACGGCCGGTTTTCTCCCTCTTTGGACCCCAACTATCATGACGCCTTCCTTCTCTACCGGCAGTAGTGGAATGACCAAGTAACGCCGAGAAATTGGGCATCTTCGAGCCGGTTGGCCCACTATTCCATGGGACGGTCGTCTTGTCTTCCCACACTCCAGCTCTCGTGCCCTGTGCAATTCAGCTTCAAATATTTTCCTTGCTTTGGTGCATACCAAGATGGCTCAACTATTTATACTCATTTTGATCCTTTCAGCTCGACCTGGATGAAGCGCACCAGAATCACATCAGTCACGACATGGAATGATCAACCCTAAGGTCGAAAGGATCACCCAGATCCAATGACGGGCGAATCACCTTGCGCGTCGTTACTCTCCTGAACTAATTCTGGTACTAATGATGTGTGACCTTGCTTCTACTCCTTTGTTCACTGTCGCTGTAATTTCACCCTCCTCGTCCGACAATGCTATCAAAACCGTGCAGCGAGCATATCGTACAGTGTTTGGCAAACAAATGTTCCCGCCAGGGACTGACGAAACCATCTCTTGGTTTGGACATGGGTCTGTTCTGCCCTTGAAGTGCATGATAGCGTCGTTGAAGAATTATGGCAGATTCTACCCTCTTTGCCCAATTTGAACTGGGAGAATGTCCCCAAGTTGTAGGCTTTGACTCCTCTTGAGGAGACGAACAACTATCGAGGAATCCTATCGAAGCACTGTACGTACCTGCCACTTCGTCCACCAGCTTATAGACAGTGTTAAGTGCTCTGCCAAGCGAGACTATGCACCCCAACTCGATTCATTGGTTGATTGTTATCTCTCTCCACTGCACTGCCTTCTGACTAGTGAGGTGAAGGCAGTTAGATTGATACTGAGCCAGCTAGGCAGATTCGTTTATGATGCAGAAGAAGACGGTCTATATGTAACTTCTTCGCTCTTCGCCGCCCTTCTCGTCGTGGAATCCGAGCAATAGTTTGACCAAACAGAAGTATGTGATCAGGACGTTTCCGAGGCGACATGTATGCTCCTTTTCACCATATACAGTTCGTATCTAGGTCTGGCGGTGTCGAATAGTCGTCTAGGATACGCATTACCACATATCTACAAGCATAGAGGTTTCTCATATAGGGGTTAATGCTTATTATTATAAAATATGAGAAGCTACAAGAAGGTACAGCCATCCAGCGGGAGCCACACGAGTAGTATTTATCGGCTTACAGTATCTCCCTATCGTGGTGAGAGAAATACCTATAGTCGGGATGAATGATGCGACTACTCATCGAAAGTGTGATCCAGGAGGTACCATGGTGAGCCAGGTGATATCAGGATCCTATTAGTCTGAACCTACGAAGGAGGTACCCAATTTATGGGTCTTCCAGGACCCCCGATTATGCCCACAAAAGTGCCGTCGGTACCCAATGTCCGAAAATTTCTCACGAGTTTTTAGGTAATTTTGCACCAATGATGCTAAGAATTTCTCATATTTGTGTACCGCGCAGGTTCCTTTTCTCCTCCCCTCCCGTATCTCTCGCGTCATTCAGGAAAATTTGGAGCCATGACACCCGAGATGTCTTTCTCGAGACTACTCGAGGCCTGATTACGTTGTATGGATATCTAGGGAGCAAAATACCATCTCTGTCGGCATGCCTCTTGCTGCCTATACTCGACTGTTAGTGGGCAGGCCATCTACTAAACGCTCAGGCATGGAATGGCTTAGTAAAATGAGTGCTACATGATTTGCAAGTCTGCAGCTGGATTTCTCACTCGCAGGCTCGTCACTACTGCAACCGTCATTCTCTCGATAGCCGCGGAATATCTCACTGCCATAACGCGTGTGCCAATTATGTTTCCAGTCGCAGTATAGAACTCTGCGCTTGCGAGGAGGGCTATAAATAATCCCACAATGTCTGTCCACTTACTTCCAACATATGTCTGTCATGAAGACTTCTCCAGGACCTTCCTTGACATTTATTCGTCCTCCTCTCGACGGATCGCTTACTTACCCAGAAATATTCGACTACAATGCACAACACAGCCCAGACCATCCTGTCTTTCAATTTTATGAACAGGACCATATTCAAAAAATCACCTGGAGCGAGGTCACCAAGGCTATCCATGCCGCCGGTCGTGTTGTTCGTGATCATGTCACTCGGACGGACTATATGGACTCCGCCCCAATTGTAGGAGTTCTGGCAAATGCTGGTACGTCGTCCTTTCATCTGATCAGTCTCCGACTGACGAAAATTCTATAGATAGCATCACGTTCCTCACTGTTGTCTCTGGGATCATTCGCGCAGGGTACACGGCGTTCCCGATATCTACCCGCAACTCACCTGCAGCGATCGCTCATCTGCTTGGAAGCACTAGATGCAAATATCTATTTGTCAATGCCGACTCCGCTATGCAGGAAATAGCGCACCTGCAAGATGGTATAAAATTGATACCGATGCCGACATTTGAAGATCTCTACCTGAAGAATGATTCAGAGCCACTGCCATATGTCCCTGATTGGAAGCAAATAGCGCTCATTATTCATTCTTCGGGATCGACGCGGCTCGGGCCTAGCCCAATTGCCTACTCGCATCGGAATTATATGATGCACGGAGTTTGGTTGTGTACGCCTAGTTCCTTCCTACATAGAGTTAAGAAATCTGATACAACTTTCAAAAAGCTTACGGAGACATGGATGTTTGCGGACACGTTCTTTCTGCACATGCGTCAGCTATGTATCGTGCGTATTCCGTCTCAGACCATAACAGGGATTGTCCTGAAGAATTTCTGCTTAGATCTCATGGGATGTTGGACATTCATGGTCGCTGTACGTCAAGTAATTCTTTATCATTCTCATTTGACCAATCATCTCAGGCTTCGGATGGTGTAACTATAGCAGTTTTCCCTCCTGAGAATCCACCCATAGTGCCGACACCACAGCGCGTCTTGGAGGGCATAATAGCGACGAACTGTACGATCGTGTTTTGTGTCCCCCACTTTTTCGAAGTGAGTGACATCCTTCATTTCTCGTGTAGGAGAATTAAGATCTACCGATTACTAGACATGGGTACACGATCCGGCCGCTGTCGAAGTTCTGACAAAGGCTACAGTCGTAGTACGGATTCTTTGTTTGAACCTGACGACCGTTTGGCTGATATCTGGCAGTTATTTGGAGGTGCACCGCTTGCCAAAGCTGCTGGAGACTCACTAGTAGCCAAGGGTGTAACTCTTTGCACCCTTTTCGGAAGGTATGTTCCGGTCCATGGTGATAAAATCAATCTATATACTTATAGTTTTTCTTAGTACCGAAACCACATTCACTGCAAAGATGATTCCCAGTATGTTATATGATGCCACTGAGAAGGCTGTTGCTGACGATGACACATTAGAGGAGACGCCTGCCGAGGGATGGGAATGGTTTGAGGCGAGTGTAAAACTATCACGCCATCGACTTCTACTTACTTTGCTAATACAGTGGGCGCATTATATCGATTATATCCTTCTTCCAATCGAAGGAGAGGAGAATATGTTCTATGTTATCATCAAGGTTGGAGATCCAACCTCCATATTGCATCTACTCTAATATTCCGAAGGAAAATCCTAACACGGGGTACTCACCGGCGGTCTTTAACACTACGATAGACGGTGTCAGGGCGAACGACACCAAAGATATCTTTATCAGGCATCCAACCAATCCTGAAATGTTCAAGTGCTACGGAAGATACGGTATGATGAATCTCGCGCTGGTAGGAGTGACTCTGTTGGACATTGAACTTTGATAGACGACCAAATTATCCATAGCAGTGGGGTACGTTCAACCTTTTGCTACGTTCCTACGATTCTTAATCACGCTTATCACAGGAAAAGACGAACCCTATGCCAATCGGCATGTGTATTTTTCCCGTCTTAGGCACTGCGCTGATCCTCTAGCAGAGAAAACTATTACTACCGACAAACGAATTGCCGTCGCCGTGATGTTTGGTCAATTAAGAATCCAGTCCGGAGTTTTGGTCTCGCCAGCGCCTGAACATGAATTTGACCCCGCCAACGAGAAAGACCTCGCTGACTTCCGTGCGAGTATTTGGTAAGGTTCTTTGTCTTCTACTGTTTGTATTGACACCTTTCCTAGGGGCACGGTGTCCAAGGCTAATAACGAGGCCCCGCAACACTCGAGGATCTCCAAAGAGGTGCGCGTAATTGTTGTATTACTCGAGAACATACACTGACGTCCGTATCAAAGATGATCATCATCACACATCCATCCAAGCCCTTCACGTTCACTCCCAAAGGGACTCTTCGACGACCGGCTATTCTGAAAGCCTACAGCAGGGAGATCGAGGCAGCATACGAAGCGGTTGACAAGATCTCTCTCTACAACATCCCAGCACCCTAGAAATGGAGGATCGATAACGTTACTGAATGGTAGGTAGGTAGTATTACACGGCACGGTCCATTAGAGGATGTCGGGCGTAGATAATACATAATTCCTTCCTTGTCCGAACCTGTCATCTCATCCTTCTGAAGTCTCCTAGCCATCGCAATCCGCAACACGATCGTCAGCACCCTTCGGAAAAACCACATAATCTCTGGGTGCCATCCAGTCCCTACCACGGGATTTCGTTGTCATAATCCATCGATATCTGTTTTAAGTGCCTGTGTTTACAACTTTGCACTACTTCCCAAAGCCAATGGGAACACTCATACACAACGCGAACGATATTCAATACTTGCCTTAAACGCCGGAGTTTTGATTGCTATTCGAGTACTCTTCGTACCATCCAACCAAGCTCAGCGATCCTCGTTAACCGGTTTCACCACCTCAGCTTCCCAAGCATCAGCAACAGATCTCAACGTTGTCAATACCCACGCATGAATTCCAATGACATATCCAGCTTCCCGGATGGTGGCAGCTAATGTTGCACCCACACCCGAAACAGACTGGCTGGCCCGGATGCAAACCATTCCACGGCTCGCGCTCGAGGAAACATAAAAGACTCTTTCGTCACTGTCGCGTCGATAAATAATTCACAAAAGTTTTGTGGAAGGTGAATATGGGACCATAGAGGTAGGTTAGGAAGAAGGATTCTTTCTGGTGGGGGAGCAGAAGTGGAAGGACTCGGCGATGCATCGAGCGAATCGAGGAGTTCGTAGGTGGAAGTATCATTTGGTTGGTGTAGAAGAACCGCCATCTGTATCCAGATTTTCCATGGATGCTACAATGACAAGGACAGATGTATATCCTCGTAGACTGGGTGATCCAGCCTGACGATAGAAGAGAGGATGAAGCTGGTGCCTCAATATTGGGATTGAACAACGTCAAATCCATCATCGCTCGAGCATTTTACTGTGGGCATGGGTCATAGTATCCAGGGTTTGAAAAATTACTGCCAATAGCAACTGGTGCAGAGTCTGAAGTCGTAACAAGGAGCTGGGGGGGGGAGACAGCTTGATAAAAGCCCATTGCGAGAGGAGTAACGATTGTATAGTGGGTGCTAAGAATGGGAGGACAGGATGCTCGATATGCAGTTGTGAAGAGTTATTCTCACGAAGGAAATGCGGACCATTGGCAGCGCTTCAAGCTATTGGTTTGGCGGAAAACAGTAGGCATATTCGGCTATTGCGCCTTTGGGCCTAAGGGACTTTGACTCAAAGATGGACCAAGAACGGAATAATATAGGCGCTGACCAACGATGGGAATCCAACGAGAAAAATGAGCACGAGTTCATGCAAACAATCTTCATTTCACAGTAAATTTCCACTAGTCAACTCTTTCTGGACCAACGGGACGATACGATGTGTCCAACATCTTTTGTTCATGTCTTTTAAGTTTTGGAGCAGAGTCGAAGAGAAATGGCTCTGAGCGAATGGTCGCCACTACCTGCAATTGAGAAAGCGTATTGGTCGAATACACGATGCTCACCCTGTATCCACTGCCAGCCCCGCCAATGCCGTCCGATTCATTTGTTTTCGAGTAGCCTTAACAGCCTTCTATGGGATGGAAACACTAAGAAAGGAAGGAAGAAACAAGGAGGACAGTCGCTGTGATTTTGCGAAGCAGACGGCAGAAAACGCGTCTGTGGCGTGGGAGCGTAAGAACCCCGGTATTTTTCGACCTTACAGTCATCCTAGTTGCCTTTCCATGACTTCCTTTTACAAAGGGAACAAACCGCCTTCATTGAAATCTGCTTATCCTCCAGCCTAGCGCATCCTCAATGTCGGCAGCCAAGGGCACCGTGCCGCTGCCTTTCCGTTCAAGTTATCTGATCAGCATCCTGGGTTCAAGACGTCGATGACAGATTTCCATGTATTTCTCAAGCGAATAAATTAACGACCACCACTTTCGACCCCAAGCCCAACTCGATTCTCAAGACAGGAACCTCGCCAAATTACCTTCATCAAGACCAGCCATCATTTGACATCAGTATTGCACCAAAAGTTATCCACTGTATAATTTTTTTGTCAATTCATTGCTCATGCCAAGGATAACGATCCTCTTGCAGAGATGAATCTACAGCCCACCATAGGGCCCGTGTCAAACTATAGGATCCTTTTCAATTGAAATCCTCGTTCAGGGACTCCGAGAGATGCTCATCAGTCAGTGTGGAAGCTGGACCTCCGTTCATCGAGACAATCATGACTACGCTTGCAGAACATCCTATTCATGCGACCTCGCCACATAGGTCCACCGTGACTGTTTCAGTCAAACATGGCCGTGTTAGGATTTTTCCGCAGAATCCAATCGATCTTCCAAGTATTCCCTTTTCTACCATCATCATCGCTTCTCGAACTGTTATCGCAGCAAAATTTTCCACACGCTAGATTTCCCCTCTGCCGGATCAACTTCCGGCCCCAATAACGATCTGGTTCCCTCTCTTGACGTTCTCGCTGGCGCATTTCTCTTCCCCGTCTCCACTCCAATTCCAAATGGGTGGCAGGAAGAAAGGCTATGGTCAATTCATTGAGCTTAGTCTTTTAGTGAACTTGGATATATATATGGTACCGTGTACCACATCAGACTCGCCTTCTCTGTCAGATGGACCGTCATAATACAACAACTATGTGACTCGGAAGACTGCATCCGAATGATGGCAGGTGCAGTTGCAAAGCTTTCTGAGGCCAAAAAGCAGCACTATCGTGAGTTTCTGTTTTCCAAAAACATGTTCCGTAACTAATTCCTCAAAAAATGTAACGATTTTCCACCGCTTTCTGCATACAACTACCTCTCGTCCATCATTCGATAAATGTTTTGGTTGACTCGACCCTCACATGTTTCCTGAAGCTTCCTTTATGGGTTTCATCATCGCCAATGATATCCTTCGGAGACTACACAGAGTCAATGGATACGGGAACAATAACAACCCTAACTCCAAGGTTGGTTGAGCCGTATAAGATGGTTCCTGCGGTATGAATCGGAGAAGGCAACTCTGTTGGGAGAGCTGGTAATGGTAGGCCATTTAGTGTCTGGCACCGAGTCGCAGGAAGATGTTGACTATTCAAGCCATATCTTGTTTGTCTTTTCTGAACCTTAATAGTATTCGTCTAACTTTAATAGGAATCGTCTGCTAAGGCGGAATGATAAGCGGCCGACGAGGATAATGATAAAATTGGTTAGCCTCTTGACACATCGACTCGGATGACGACTAGTCCCAAGCCACTCCGCTATTTCTGTCTCTGCATCCTGGGTGAATGCTGCACGGGAATGCATGCCGTATGTGGGTAAGGTCGAACCAATAGGATTGACCAGTTGTTTCTGTCGCAACACTTTTCCATATCATAGCGATGTGTTAGGAAACGTATGGAAAAGTAGGTGCGGCAACGACAGATCAATTTTCCAGTTGTTTCTTTTTTAACAGTGATTTTCGATCGAATAGCTGTCCGAACCGCTATCAGGGGATGCTGCCACGACGCGCCCTTGTGGGTCTTCATCCCAACTTTGAAGGTTTGGCTGACGCCCGTTCAGGCTCCTCCTAATCCCGAATCCGACGGTCTCAAAAGGTACACATGCATCTAAACTAGGACCATTCAATTTTGATGCGAACTTGGATCCCCCACATCGTCGCCTCCACCGGCGGCGCTCTTCCTGAATCAGTACGCCAGCGCCAAGAATGGTGCACCAAGATCCTCCAACTCGCGAGGAATCTTACCCACGAGGAGTTCCGCCTACTGAAAAAGAGATGCGACTGCTGTCTGGACCGTGCTTACGCCCTACACCGGCACGTACGTTGGTGAGAGGGAAAGTTTGTACAGTCAAGGTCGAGGATTGGGACCTTTTTCCTGTCGCCATGGAGCCAACTTTGGGTGTCCTTCTCCCCTACATCTGAAACGAGCTGAGCTTTCCTTGGTGCCTCAATTGCGTAAAAAAAAGGTCACCTATGCACGTACCAGAACAGCAAGACGTTTAAATGCGGCAAATGCTCGCCATTTGGGATTGCGTGCCCCAAGGACCCTGGAACTGGGAAGCGCAAGCCGGACCGCGACGATGAACAGGCTCGGAAGAAAGCTCGAAGTGATCCGAGTGTGGAGGAAGAAATCGCTGAGTTGAAGGTGCAGATCGCGCAGTTGCAGGAGCACGTGGGGAAGATGACGGAGATATTGAGCAGGAATGAGGCCTCCCGGCGGCGGGCGAACTTTGAATTGTCGTTGATGTTGATGCAGTTAGGGAATGTTTGCAAAGGTTTCGAAAAAGATAGTTTTCATCCTTCGCTGTGCTAGTCGTATTGACACGCCGGGATCATAGAAAGTTTAAGAAGAATCTCATACAGAAGGGTATGCTCGTCCAGCGGTGAGTTTGTTATTGTTGTAAGGGATACGGTGTTCGACTAGTCAGGCCCAGACATCAGGCCGCATGACAGGAGTTTGAATCTCTACCAAAGAAAAAAGTCATGGAGGGAGGGATATACGACGATTCCTCTTTGATGAATATCAATCACCCCAAGCAAAATCGTCGCTGTGACCAATCGAAATATAACGAAAAAGCCAGAGTAGTGAGGAAAAAATAGAGATGGACCAGAAGGGTATAGTCAGCTAGATCTCAGCATGCTCTTCGCTATCGGGAGATCCGTCGGTATGGCTAAGGTGTCCATGTGCATTAGAAGCCCAGATCCTCTGATCCCAAAGATTGTATCGGGAGAGTGGGATTTGAGTGAAGCTGCTGGATCCCACGAGCAAACCCTTCAACCAGCCAACGGGGACGACGGTGATGAGGGGAAAAACAGCAGTGACCGTCGGTGTTAAACAAACTGTCCGCCTGCCTACCACTCCCATCAAGTTCTGTTACGCAATAGTGGCCGAAGTTGGCCGCATTTATTCCAACTGTACGAAACAAACAAAACAAAGAGGCTGGGGAAAGATCGGTAAACTGAAATAGAGAAATATCAAAGTGAGAAAATCGAAAGGACGAAAATGACATATAATACAACCCCAATTGTAAAGGGTAACCAAGAATGCAGCACCAGAATATTCCTCTTGTGCGCAAGAGATTGATCAGCAGCCACAAAGAGATGCATTTACTCTTTCAATTCCAATTCACGTATCCTTCCGCGACCTCTCCATCCTCCTCGTGCGCCTTGCCCTTGCCTTTTTGATCGATGACCTGCACAGGCTGGAACGGCACAATCTCTCCCTCCACTTCCTGAGGGGGTGAAGAGGGGAAGCGGAATCCCTCGTCGATGAAGCGTAGGTCGCTAAAAGAGCTCGCGCCGACTTGGAAGGGCGAGGAGGGCGAAGGGATCGATGAAGGCGGTCCAGGAGAGCTAGGTCCAGGGATGTGATACTGATTAAATTCAGTCGAGAAGGAGAAGGGATTGTGCAACTCGTTACTGTCAAAAGAATAGTGTCGTTCCTCGTGCCACAAATTGTATGACGCGTCGGCAAAGTTGTCGTACGTCTGTATCTCTGTGTATTCACGAGGCGGCTCTACATTGCTGGGTCCAAACGTGCTCGTCGTTGGACTCTGCATGTCAGAGTCGCCCGCCCACCCGCTGAGCGTGCTAAAACTGGATATATGGGCGGATCCGGGGTTCGTGTAAGAAGACTGATATGGACTCGTGTGCCATGGCGACTGGGTGTCTTCGGTCGGGCTGTACGGTGAGGGATCAGGTATGAACGAGTACGAGCCTTGCCTGGTAGGGATTAGGTCGGCTTGAGGTGGTGGTATGGAGGGACCTGGCACTGGGAAATCCTAGAAGTATGTCTGTGAGGAAGGAAAAAGAGAAAAAAAAAGGGAGGACGTACGAGAGCCTTGTAAGGGGTGGACGAGGACTGGGCACGGGCATGATGTAGGGGTTTGCCGGCTCGTTTCTCGGAAGGGACCGAACGGCTGCGCTTTCCCGCCCTGTCCCGCTCCCTCTCCCACTCATTCACCGCTCTTTCCAGATCTTCACCCTCCCGCCCTTCGACGAGCAAATCCCGTATCTTCCCGAGTCGCCCGTCCTCCCTCTCTCTCTTCACCCGACCCCGCCCGTCGCCCTCGCCCCCACGACCCCGCCCTCGCCGCCCTCGACCGCCACGGCCTCGTCCTCGTCCACCATTCACTCCCGGCCGGAATCTCCAGTCCGGGTACCGCCTCCGGTGCTCCTCCAACGCGACCTTGGCCTTGTCCTCCCATTCCTGCTTCTCCTCATTGGTCAAGGCGCGCCAGTACATACCGATGATCTTGCTCAGCGTCGAGTGGTTGCCCTCGACGCGCCCCGAGATGCGTTGAGACCGGATGAATGCCGATCGGAAGAGAATGAATGCATTTGGGGGCCGTGGGATGTACGAGGACGATGTGGACTCGACTAGCGGAGGCAGGTCGTCATCGATAAAGTCGTCGTCGTGCTCGTCGTCGTAGTTGTCCATAGTAGTAGACAGACGAAGTGTTGTTGTTGGCCATGATGCATCCTCCTCAGAAGCACACCTTGGATGAGGTAAACAAGGGGAACAAAGGGAATCCCTTCGGAGGTTGCCTTGGGGCGAACACGTGCTCTTCTTCGATCGCGTATCTTTTTCTCCCTCTGCCACGATCGCGTCAAGCCTGTCTCCTACCAATGTATATAATTCACAAAATGTACAGCAAACCAACTCAAATTGCTACTATAACAGTACTCACATAGGCACCTTTTCCCTCCTCCTCCAATCTCACCCGGGTAATCCTTGGCGTGATGCCGTCCCGGCCCTGACTACCGCCACCCAAAAGACAATAGGAAATGTCTGATTTTTTCCCGAACGCTTTGATGAACCTTGCCTCCAATGTCTGGAATTCCGATACACGACGCGTGATTTCCAAATACTCGCAAAGTGTTTGATTCAACTGAGCCTGCTAAAAACCTTGCAAATTCCTTACATCCTCATCAATCACCTTCCAGACTTGGCCACACACTTGCTTCCTCGCTTCCGTATGACTGGCTCTTTCGAAGAATCGGGCACCACACCCGACTCACGCTCCTCCTACTCTCTGCAACAATGGCTCTTTCCGTCTCTGTACTTGCGTTTTTATCCCGTACTGCTTGTAGGCTTGACGGTAATCAACACTTGATGCCACCATTAAACCAATTGAAGAACACTTACAAAACCATGAAAATCTTTCGGTTCCGTTAAACAGATCGCAAAAAGTCTCTGTCCCTTACATCTCCGGTTATCGGTGACTTTTGCAAGCGTACGCTTCTTGTATCACACAAAGGATGTCCCGTCTATGGGAGAGCGGCGTTTACAAGATGCCAAATACCCGAAATCTCGTCATAAGGAACCACTGGACAAAGGGTTTCCCAAGCATGTGTATTCTCGTCCGTGATACAAAGGATAACCCATGTATGGCCTTTGCGAAGATGGCGATAGAGCGGATATCTGTTCTGGAGCCGCCGGGTATCAGTGTCTCTTTCCACCCTGCATCCATTAAACCGTGGATGTTGAGAACATCTGGAATCGCCATGACAAAGGAATGTGTGGACCATGAGCTCCCCGGATGAACAAGTAATTCCACGCACTTGCCCCGTTCTTGCACTTGCTTTCATGATTTCTTTGGTAGGAGGCTCGTGTGCGCATTCATGCATGGTGCAGCAACACGTTGACTTGAGCTCCGGTTCTAGCACATCTTTTCGGCAACGATGGAGACCAGCAGGGACAGCATTCGCCTCAAGTTTTGCCCCGTGCATCGCCGATTGGAACCGTAGCGAGGGTACGCGTCGAAACAATCTGGGGAGAGTATGCCGAGCTGGTGTTTCTGTTCCACTTCCATGGGAACAGGGCCGGTATAGCATCGCATGAATTCCACCAATGAGATCCGAGATCCGAGACCGAAATGTCCAGTGTTTAATTTGATGAAACCGTCGTAAGGATCGAAACGTCTTCTAACGCCCGCAACCTCCCTGGCCTTGCGAGCGTGAACTTTAACCTGGATGCTGCATATAACTTCTTCAGCATACCTTGAGTGACTAGTGAAAAACATACCAGTGTGTTGGCCAACAGATCAGTCGAGAACTCACGCTGAGAAGTAGAGTGACCAATGGCAGAAAGGGGGGGGTGTAAATATACTGCTCGTGAAATATCCAAGGTCTCTTGTACCAACGATCTGGTAAGCGTCAGGAAGGACTAGAATGTCGTGATTTTACAAGAGACAGCATCCAACATTAATGGGACATAGATATCGTCTCCGGTGTCAGAGTTGCGAAAAAGACACTAGAAATGCTAAGAGAGAAAGGCTGACCAACAAATAAGCTCCAAAGCCGCCCGAAAACAACCCACAGCTATAATAAGCTGCCAACAGCCCAAATTCAGAAGAGTGTCAAGCGGGGCAAGTTGGCGCCGATTATTCATCAAGGAGTCATGCACCTTTGGGGGAGGAAGCTGCACGAGCCTTGCATCAGCCCCGAGCTCAAGTTGAGTTAGGGAAAACAGAGGTCTCCAAATGGCATACAGGCACACTGTTAGATGCAACCTGCTCGTTGGCCATATAGCGACAGCGGAGCAAGACGTGGAGATACCTTTCGAATGATCTTGTTACTACAACGGAAGAACGAGTCTGGCATGCATACTGTAAACTGGTACCAGCATGCCGCAGCGCTCTATGAAAAAAATTCATACTCCTGTATATCGAATATTCCGATCCTGCTTTCGAGTCGACTTCTGGTGAAGGGGCAGCGGGTTAATGGAACAGAGTCGCCACGAAACTGTCGACTGTATTTTTCGATTCGTGTCAAAAGTGGAACATAGTTTCCCTAGACAACTAACGTTCCGTCGTCTTTGGCTTGGTGGCATGCTCTAGATGTAGAGGCTGATGAAGGTCCTTGCGACAGATGCTGGGGAAAGAGGGGCGAGGTCGCGGCAAGCAGTCGCTCCTCGACTAGGCGATGAACATGGATACCCAAGAGTCGAGACGAATGCATACTACTGGTGACTGGTTGTAAGTACTACAAATCTACTACAAGCTAGCCAAGGCTGGGGTCGAGCTCAGGGCTTAGGCTCTTGGCCGCGGCCAGGTCATGCCGTCAATCATGCCGGGCCGCTTGCCCCAAGTCATATGTTATTATTATTGAGAAATCTTTAATTCAGTGTTGAGGAGGATATCCCGGGAAGAGATCCTTCATCAGAAGGAAAATTCCGCACACCGGGTCTATCAAAACACTTTCGTAATTGCCTAAAAACCATCTTTCTTTATGCAGGTTTACTGTGCAACCGGCGCATTCTTATCCTCGGGTTTCTCACAGATTAAATACCACTGGCATTCGTTCTGTGAGTGGGAAGAGCAAGCCGTCTGGCCATGTGGATGTCAACGCGGCTTGGGACCAACATCTTCGGTTATGTCGGTCTCTTCACGACCAAGTCTAACCTTTCAGTTGCTAATCGAAATGTCTCCTAGAATTTAAATGGCTGTAACTCTTCGCGGTGAACCTTATGTCTCTCGATACTAATGTCACTCTCCTAGAACTGCCGAGGTTGTGCTAGCCATGCGCTCCCTCGCATTTTTCGTTACCAAAGTGCTGGCTTTATACATGAAGCAGATCATTTGGGGGCACGAGCCCTTGTCAAGTGTGCGAAGTGAGCATGGACGTGGGTATAACGGTCTTTAATCAGGCCCAAGTCCCTCAGCGACTCCGAAGTTGCAGTCATCGAGGTGTCACCTCACCCGGCACGGACTCCTGGTTTGTTTGGACGAGTTTTCGTCATTTCGATCGACGTCTCGGAGAAATATGGTCGGCCTCTGTATTGGTACGGATCTTGACTCGTTTACTTTGTTCCCGCGAGTATTCAGGGTACCTTCAACTCTTGCATTCTGACGACGTCACAACAGATTAAGAATAGAACCTGCATCTGAAAGCATCAGGTATCAACGATTCATTTCATTTTTGCAAGGTCGTCACTGTGAAAGGCTCGTATCTCTGTACCGGGCGCTCAACATGAACTTACCAGGTGTTTTAGGTACGCTATGATCTTCGCATTTGTTTGCCACATATATAGAGGTCGTAGAATGCGCACATTTCGGTTGGCGCTTGTCCTGACGCGTCCAAGTCCCGCCGACATTCGACGTTATCTACTTCGACAGGAAATGGGCTCCTCTGTACTTTCTGGACCAGTACATGGCTTCGCACTGCTGTTTCATTCGTGCATTGTAGCCCACCCTCGATCTTGTGATCTCTCCGACTTGATTTTGCCGCGGGCATATAATATATGATACAGAATCTGGCAGGGTTTAATTAGTGGACTGCAGGATCGAAGAGATCATGAAATATCAGTCGAATTTTCAATTACCTGGTAATGCCTGGCAGGCGAAGTCGATCGCCTTGGTATATGTCCTCGGGCTTGTAGCCTTTTTCTTCCAAACATAGTTATTTTTATCTGAACCACGCCTTGTCATATTGGGTAGAAGGAAACTTGGCGTACATCACCTTATTACTGTTCCGTTTGTACGAGCCAATGACCAGACGTTGACACATACTAGCTTCCAGCTTTCATTGAAAAATTCTGAGGAGCTTTGTTCAATTCAATGTGGCAGATGGGCGTAAAGGTGTGAGAAAGATCAGCAGAAAAATATTGAGTGTTTTAGTCTCATTTTCCACTTCGCGTGTTTCGATCCTAGCTAGAACTGAGCGACCAGTGTGTAATATTGCTACGGGCGTTTTGAGTATGTTCTAATCCGTTTGATGATCTGCCCCTCTGAGAATGCCCCTTGACAGAGTGCGAAGACATCGACGCAGGACCTTAATATCAGTCACATCCAAGTACGTTGGAAGAGACATTCAGCTAAAATAGCAGATCTATGACAAAGATAGGTTGCTTCAGAGTCCAATGACTCGAAATGAATTGAGCTCGCCTGACTATTCAGTTAACCCCAGCAAGGAAAGTCCAGGGAAAGTAGAAACTTCGCAAACCTCATAGTCCCTCGAAGGTATGCAATTGGCACAGTATGGTAGCCTTCAAAGACAAATGGACAACAGAAACGTAAGGCCGTGTTAGTCAGAAGCACTTCCTATGCACAGTAATACTCGTCTTGTGCAGGAGGGTTACATCTCGGAGGGTCAACTCAACAACGGCGAGATATTATTGGCCATTCCATGTCTTGCGCCAGTCGTATTCATCATCACTTCAATCGTTCGAGTCACTACGAGCCTCTCTTAGCTATCCAGAGGCAGCCAAAGTAGACCTGATCGGCAGGGAAATAGGCCGACTGTAAAGCCTACAATTAGGTGGTGTCATTCACTTGACAATACAAACAGTGTTGGTCTCACCACCCCGCATGGCTCAGTGGGTTAGGTCTTACGTCCGTCCCCTTCTTCGCCCGATTAGTTCTTCCCTAAGAGTCATATTAGCGCACCTCCGTCTAATATCAGCGTAGTTGGAGGACTGCCAAGCATGTCATTCAACCACCCTGTGTGCTACGAAACGGTCCACCAGGTGCCCCTCGTTGATTCGAATAGGGAGAGACATGAAAATGTCATCCGATTTGAAAAACTTGACCCTAAAGCGAAGTACAGACGCCAAGAAATTGTTTAAAAAATCTGAAAAGCTGGAACAGTCCCACCCAGTTACTATACACAATCAAACGGCTTGCTGATTTGAAAGGAGCCTCGCGAAAGAACGAAAATCGAATACGCGAGTAGATCTGCTTTCTGTTCATAACCCACCCCGTAATGCAAAGGTGCTCACCTAGAGGATGTGCATGTGGTATTTCGCCTGAAGGCCAGTCGACGTACATTAGATTTCTACCGTCCCATGAAAATTTCCGCCAAGAACATCTCGAGAGACATCAGAGTGATTATTCGGACGAGCACTCATTAAAAATAAAAATAGCTTGGAGCAACATTCTGAAGAGGAACAGCCATACGTCCGCCGTCAAAGCTGGCAGAAGGGCAAGGTGCAGGAATCATTGCATGCCCAGGGTGATAAGTGCACCTAGGGGGATTAGAAAGGTGCCAGTTCGGCGAGTGGGTTGTGATGGGCCAAATGGAAGCAATGGAAGGATAAGTCGGGGGACGTAAACATCAGATCGGAGGATAGGACTCTCACATGTATGTTTTAACATTTTTCACAATTTTCGTGAGGAACCATAGAAATATATCCGTTTTGAGAGGTCCCCATGGCTCTGAAAGGTATAAAAGCCATGCAGAAAACCTACGACTCATCAGCTCGAACAACCTTCACAGTTGTATCAATCGCCCACCTACACCATGTTCGCTCGTATCTACGCCCTCGCCTTCACTCTCTTCTTCGCTATGCCCTTGTTCGTGGCTGGTAGCGCCGTCCCGCGTGGCGGAACAGGCTGTACCACTGGAGAAGTGCAATGTTGCCAGTCCGTTCAGAGTGTAAGCGTCGCCTACCGTTTCTCTCGAAGACAATAATACTTACCAGTGTATAGGCGACCTCCACCCCGGTTTCCACCCTTTTGGGACTTCTCGGTGTCGTTTTAGGTAACCTCGGTGTCGATGTGTGAGTTTCTCTGCGCGCATGTTTCCCCCGCGTTGACCACTAAGCATTCTTTGTAGTGGTGTCACTTGCTCCCCCATCAGCGTCATTGGTGTCGGAGGCAACAGCTGCTCTACTCAGACCGTCTGCTGCGAGGACAACAGCTTCGTAAGTATAATCTACGCATTAGTGTTTCAATGTCGAGGTCTAAACTCGCATTTTCCAGAATGGTCTCATTGCCATTGGTTGCACTCCCATCAACATTGGACTCTGAAGAGTTGAAGTGGTCTTCCTAGCATCTCATGGTCATATCATTGACACGGACGAATTCGTATACAGATAGCTCACACTCGTTTTACATACCTACGTTTGGTTTCCTCTTGGTCGACTTTTGCGCGTTTATTTTAAAATGATGTCATCTTTTCCTGGTCAAATCTGAGCATTTTCGGGCTGCGACCAAGATCATCGAATTCTACTCACAGTGATCCCCTTGTCGAGATACAGAAAGATAAGCTGGTTACAACTGGCGCCGTCCTCTGCAGGTGCCTGGCAGAAGCTTGTACGGCCCGAAGATTCTAAGATGCTGCTACTGTCTGTACCAGCCTGCCGCAACGTGTCTATTTCTGACTGCGATGATCACATCTTCGTGGTTGTCTTGCCGTCGTGTGAACTAGACTGACGAAGTCGACAAAATGCGATCCTCGAACGCTGGAGATTTCTCGTCCAGAAAAACGCATTTCATCCTCGAAAACTGGCGTTGATATACTTTCGTCCCAGAAGAATGAGCACCGAGGTATACCAATGATCGGCTTGTCGGTTCCGAAGAAAGTAAATAAGGTACCTATCACTTGTTCGAGGGAATTGGCAATACCTTGAGACTACAGTTTTGTCCAGTGAAGCCGCATGTAGCTGGGGTTAGAGTTGAACAGAACTAGAGAGAAGGTGATGGACCATGACGGTCGAAGACCAAATTCACGCATCACCATCAATATCCACGTGTTCGTGTCGGTGCTCTTACTTCCCCGCATCTAGCGCTTGAATGTCTCCGCAAGGTTGCAGTTGCATGCTGAACCTGACAAACTTATCGTGTGGGAATGTCAACATGAGACAAAACCCAAAAGAAAAGAACCCGCATTGTTGAAACATTCCATTCATCCAGCCACCAAGTAGTGCTTGACAGGGTCCCGAAGCATCCGGGCTTGCATGTCGAATCCCCAATGGAACCAGCCTCGAAAACGGCTTGATAGATGGTCGCGTAACAGTTCGTGCCTGCGTACCCATTATCGGCGACCGAGCTTATGACGTATCGTGTATTCTCGCGACTTACAAATTTTCGAGGATATTGGTGCTGTTGCCAAGCATATGGGGCTAAATAATCGAGTCAATATTTACTGCCCAACGATGGATACGATTCACTATGACGGCTGCCTACAACTTAACTTTCACCACGCGGGAGGAATCACGCTGGATTATCTCGACAGCTTCATTAATCATGTTTTCAACGATTTCCTTGGCCGGAAGAATGTCGTGAATGAGCTGACCGACACAAAGACTGAGCTGAGGAATAGTCGAAGAACCAAAGAACGTACAGCAGAAACGTTCCCCATCAACCACGGGCGGGCTGAGATGAATTTCTCCGGATGTTCTTCAAGGTCCTTTTCGGCGGGAATGATCCCCTTCGACGTCAACTCTTTGATTTCCTCTTGGCGATTTGTTTCCCAGTCCTGTACATAAGGAGTCTTCAAGCATCGAAGCGGCCTCCCGGTATAGATCAAGGTAGTGACAACATCGTCAAAACCAGCCATCGTAACGAGTTCTTTGTGGATTTTTGGTGCACCGGCCTCTATTGATGCAACAAAACGGGTTCCGACCCCTACCCGTTTGTCAATAGAGTCCCAGAACGAGGTAGCAGAAGAACGTACAAACAGCCTGGGCCCCCCAAGCCAAATTTGCAGCAAGGCCTCTCCCATCATATACCGCACCAGCTCCGATAACGTATATAGGCTTTCCATTGAGCGGGGACTTGTGGCCTTTGACTGCGTCCACACACGCTGGAATGAGAACACTCGCGGGTACATCACCCGTGTGGCCGCCGCCCTCGCCAGCCTGGGCGCATATAATATCGACACCTACACTCAGTGCCTTGGGAACATGTTTCGGGTGTCCGACCATGTTCATCACCGGTATTCCGGCCTGATGGAGGCGGTCGACCGCAGATTTTGGCGGTACTCCGACAGCACACACAAAGAGGGATGCCTTCTCGTCAATGATTACGCTGATAAGATTGTCGAGTTGACCTTTGGTGTAGTCGTACTGAAGTCATCGTCAAAATACGGAAAGATGCGCATTTCGAAGCTTTACATTGGTTTTTCGTGCGCTACCTCCGACTTGGGGGATCAGAAGATCAACACCAAAGGGCAGGCCTGGGGCTTTCAGGTCTTTCTTGATGGCCTTGATCTACCAAGAATGACAGTCAATGATGACAGGTTACGGAAAAGCACAGGAGACGCACCTGTTGCCGCAAAATACCGGACGTGTATCCATGTCCTCCAATCACTCCCAAGCCGCCCGCACTGGAAACGGCAGCAGCTAACTCTGGCCCAGCCGCTACGTTCATTCCAGCCAGCAATACTGGGTGCTTGATGCCAAAGAGCTCCGTAATAGGCGTCGATATTACTGCCATACTTTCAAACACGGGGGGCAGGAGGAAAGATGATGATTCTATACTGAGGTCCACAGTTCAAGAACGTGTTTTCTGTTTCTGATTCCCCGGCAACAAGGGCATGTTAATAGACCGACAGGGACGTGAACCAAATTGATTACGGCAAGGTAAGCATTCCGCCGACGTGGAAGTACTAGAAGGGTTTGGTAAATTTTGAACTCCACTGCACAATGACTACCTGCCTGAAGCCTCACTGCCCACATAATGGCATCTCAATGATCTCAACACTCCAGGCTGGAGTTTGAGGCTGAGCTTCAACAGCAAAACTAGAATCAGACGATTCCTATTTTTGGTCTTCATGGAATAGTCGAAGTTGAGGAATGTTAAAACATATTCGGCCGTACTTACGGGTAAGGGGAAAGGGGAAAAGGAAAAGAATTTAACTTGATAAAATTTAACGAGACGCGATCGGCAGCCGCAGTTTCTCACGTGGTGGCGGTGCCGGACCCAAAGCAATGCGGGTTTAACGCTGGCTCTCATCTATTCGCTCAGCATGCTGTTTCCCAAAAGTGCTTTTTGAAACCCTTGGCAGCAGAAAGCGTGCTTATGTTTTGCAGGGCATGCATTTAACAGAGACTCTATTGCTAGTGGCAGCAGAACCGGACGTGTCGTAATGAGGGTGGAAACAGGCTCATCCTCCGAACGGACGTTTCGCCTCTTGAAACTACGCGGTGACACGGACCCAACGTTTTGTTCCGTCCCATGTCGGAACTTTGCCTGCCGCGTATCGTACATATGCTTTTGTTGCTGTTCCCCCGAAATAAAAAATACACCTTATCCGCAGAGCACAGTGTGAAAACGGCAGAAAGTTCTCAGACGGTTCGCGCCGACGTCGTATGGTCCTTATATGTCTGCCGCCCTTGTCTAGACTTCCTCTCGACCTGCGGTGGGGTTCTTCCGATATCTCCCGGGGTACCTTTGTAACGGCCGTGAACGCTCGGCCAGCGTGTTGGCCGTGCAATTTTCATGGACGAGAATGGGTGAAAAGGGCTGAGGTTGTAGCGTACACTCCCCCCACTGCTTTCTCTCGTTGTACGAATTCTTCCTCTCGATGTCTCTTGATCAAGTCGGTGATGCTACTATTACAAAGAGACGGAGTAGAGTAAGTTCACTTGATCGCCACATACATGGCTGGTCCTGGCAGTCGGTGCGTATTCTCTATTTCTCGATGCGCCGCTCTCCAATGTAAAGTCTTTAGTTTCCAATTGGAATGGGGACGGGCGCTGTCTTTGTGACGCTCTCTGGATTGAAAGAGCATCCTAGTTGGCTGACGTCGGTGGAAACCGGGTTCTGGTCTTTGAACATGGCCATTTTCCTGTTGAACGTCGTCACACTGTCTATCCAAGCGCTAGGTGCGTTATGATTTGCAGGCGATTATATAGCAAATACTGATGGCAATCTCAGAGTTCCCTCATAGAGCTTGGAGTTTATTACAAGATCCGGTAGAAGGGCTTTTCCCTCCGATGATGGTGCGTCTTATTACTAGTATGGACTATTTGCAACCAATAAACGTTGTATAGGTGCTATCATTTGCCACGATCATTATCGGCACTGTCAATTACGCAGTAGTCAACGGACCTGCCAGCCCCAACGTCGTATATGTTTTATTTTGGTGAGCCAATCTCTAGGACTCTCGAGCTGGGGTTTGACTTCTTCCAGGATTTACGTGGGCCTGTCTCTGGCGACTTGCTTCCCAATGCTTATGATCTGGTTCAACCAACCTCACGATATATTGCGCTTCACACCGGGTTATGCTTTTCTAGTAAGATACTTTCTTCAAATTCTCCCGACCTTCTGACATGTGAGCAAAAGGTGTTCCCTCTGGTATCATACTTCCTTAGTTGCTGAAAAAATATCCCGATGACTAATCATCATCTTTTTAGATGCTTACCGGGGTTGTTGCATTCAATATTCTGAGGGTTATGGACCCTTTAGACTCTAGAGCATTGGGAGTCTTGTTTGTCGGGTACTTTTTCCAAGGCATGTTTGCCATGCTCCCTACTCTTTCCTCTAACCGCTGCGCTAGGTCTTGGATTCTTCATGACCTTCTTCTATCTTGGTATATATCTGTTGCGGTAAGTTTGGAAAACACTTACAAGATCATCACAACTTACTTGGGTATCCTAGGCTAATCATGGTACGCATCAGCACTGTAGCATGATTTCTTGTCTCAACGAGTCACGACTGTCTACTAGACGGGCTTTATGGAGGGACACCAGGCCAATAGTGCATTTGTTGCTTGTGGCCCTCCAGGTTTCACGGCCCTTTCCTTAATCAATTTAGCCGACCACGCTAGTGCTATGTAAGCCAGCTTGATATCTCCCCATAAGTTTTGTATCTTATGAGTATGGATTTTCTCCAGTCTACCGGCGCACGGCATCATATCCAATACCGCTGGAGATATTTGGTATGCTGCAAGTGTGATGGCAGCCCTTTTGCTCTATGGCTTGGCCGTCTTCTTCTTTTTCCTTGGAATTATACCGTACTGGTTCAAGCTCCACAAGAGACTGGATCAGATCTTAGCATGTATGTGCTCATATCTGTTACTCGGAAATATGCTAATGCAATGACCCTCGAGAAGGTTGGGCTTTGACATTTCCGAATGGTATGCAATTTTAATTTCTGTGACCGTCGTATTGCCTTCATGCGATATCTTCTAGTGGGATGGATCTCCACCACAGGTGTTCTCGGGAAGATATTGAATGTACAAGGCCTGTTCATTGTCCATATCGTGATGGACACTCTTCTGTTTCTCACTTGGTTGGTCTTGATCGTCCTGACTGCCAAGGCGATTTGGAAGGGCCTCATCTTCAACGCAAAAGATGAGGACGTACTCAAGGATTCCATTTTTTCTGTGAACGAGAAATTTACTGCGGATAACCACTCGGATGCCGGCACTCTGGTTTGAACTATTATTCCCCGATCCTACTCTAGTTTATCATCCATAGACCATGCTTTGGTATAAATAACATATAGATACTTAGACCTTCATTGATTTGCTAGACTCATGCGTAGACTACGCACAACGAATATTTATAGAGCATTGTAATATCTTATTGGATATTTCTTCTTGACCGTAGACATCTATATATTCATATTGTTCTTACTTTATTATCAATGATACATACGCGGTGAAATTAAGGTGAAATAGTGGGTAAACCAAATAACACTGGCGAAGACTGACGACAGAAACCTTGACCAACATTCACAGTGGAGGATTGTCTACACAGAAAAGCAGCAAGTAACCTGTGAAGCCCAAAGTCACAACTAGTAAGTAGTCAAGGCACCCAGCCTCGACGGCGAACCGGTAAGAAGATAATAATAACGTCCGCGGTAGGTACTAGTAAAGCACGAGCCTCTGAACGGGCCACATGGAAACTGTTTTTCCCTGTGGGCGCACTTTTCATGACCGCCAGCTAGTTGATAATTATCATTTCAGGTCGTTGAACTACTTATGTCTATGTACTAAGAGAAGAGACAATTCGGTGTTCCCTAACTATAGGACCACAGGCCTTTACCGTTGCGCTGTTCCGCGCTACTGCAAAGGCCCATATATATCATGAATGTGGGGAAAAACCAACATCAGTATGTGAATGATTCAGAGAAAGATAACACTCAGCCTCAACACCCAACTTGGGATGAACGCTCAAAGGGGAACGGTTGCACCACGCCGAAACCTCCTTGAGTGACCAATCCCAAGTCGGCACCCATGCACACCCATGCTTTCAGCTCCACAGACAACGTCGAACACGCACTCTCCCTATACACACAGTCACGATAATACCGACCGCATTGATGCGCTGCACCTCGCCCCGCGCTCGACCGTCGCCAGGAGCCCACCATCATAGTGAGTTAGAAAAGGAAAGATACGCTGCTGAAATACCGTTACACCCCGGCGCTGCGCTCAGAGGGTCGGTCGATCGCATCCTCCGAAGGAGTTTGGCCTTGAGCTTCTTCAAGAAAGTCGGCCTCTTCTCAACTACGACTCCGATGACGGGCTTGTCACCCTCCGACTCCGACTCCGACTCCGACTCCTGCTGTTGCTGAGGCGGGGCGAGGAAGCGAGGAGAGAGCGAGAGGTGAGCTCCCTTCGGGAGGCTCTCGTCCACGGCGGAAGTAGGCTGCTCATGAAGGTAAGCAGGGGTATATGATAGGCGATTCTTGCCGCATGCTGAGTCAAAAAATTATGAGAGTTCCGAGTGTATACGAGCGGCCATGACGTGGTCTACATTGTTGAAACTCTTGAAAAACCTAAATGAGATGGGCAAACGCGCTTGAAGTGAGCGAAACCAGGAAAGAACGACAGAGGAAAGTTCCCTGGACGGCGGCCTATACAAAGACGTGAGCAAACTGATAGTCTCTTAGATGCAAAAGAAGAAAAGTACGAGGCGCCGTGATCATTAGAGAAAGGCGCAGTCCAGCCAAATATGACTTAAAGCAGCAATCTATGTTCCTAATACTGTGTGGCCTAGTAAGTACATGCTATGTGCAGTGTAGATAAAAGTGCATATGCAAAAAGAAAGGAGCGTGGTATGCGTGACGTGCCTCGAAAGCCAGAGAATGACTTTTATAACCATGAACTCAAAAGCGCGCCCAATATTATGGTATAATTACGACCTGAGTGCCTGGATTCTACCAGTTCCACGCATCGTCTCCCTTTCCTTCCGGAGTGCGCGCCAACGACATCGGCTTCATAGGGTTCATCTCTTCAGTCGTCGCCTCCGGAGGCGGCGTGGGAAGTTGAGTATTAGCACTTGGCGGCGACAGACTGGACGGCGTAGAAGACGAATGGGAATGTAACATCAACGCAGGGACCTTTGCCGGCAGCGTTAGTGATGGGCGCGAGGTTGATAAAGATAATGAAGCCAATGGAGTTGATGCTGAGTGTGAATGTCTTCCCAGTAAGTGGTCTAGTAGCCGACGGTGGTGGTTACAAGTCCAACGCCTGAGCGATTGATTGTACTAACAACGACGCCCGTTTCGAGAGGGTCAGTACGTCCCAACTTTTTGGCAAATTGGAGACTCCGACGGTGGAGAGTCATGAAGAAAAGTCGGGAGCTGGATTGATGAGCGGTGTTGCGCTAGAGTCACGCGTATCTGGGGCCAGAGATGGTGAAGTCGGGATGATCTGCTGCGGAAGTGGGGTAGCAAGAGTTTGGGCAGGTGACGATGCCGACGACGACGGGGAGGAGGATGCAGGTGACGGGCGACGGGGTCTGCTGCTGCCTCTCGAATCCACTGGATACTATCAGCTCTCATTTGCGCCTGAGCTAGAGAAGCTCTGCTCCGTGTACCGCAAGCTGGGATCGTAACTGAGGGTGCGACCGGGAATCGGGCCGATTTCCGATAGCCAGAAATGGTCGGAAACCGACAACCGCCACGACCACGACATCGGTGGCACACCGCCCTCTATCTCTGCCAATGGCGACTGAGGCGCTGCGCTCGCAAGTCGGCAAGAAATGGCAGGACTCATTTGCTCGTCTCAACCATGGGGAGCCTGGTATATCGGGCCTTATGACATTCAGCCAGGCGAGTGTTAACGCGTCCTGTCGAAGGATTTCATTGACTTGCATTGGCACAGGCGTGGGTTCTTTTGACAGATTTTGTGCGTCCAAGGGACCTCAATGATCCAGCACCTCCCAACGAATACAGTGCGTCAGACTTGGTCCTGCAGCATTCACGTCTAAGTATGTCCAGGTAGACATGGAGCTCGTCAAGTACGCGTTTGATCTTGTCAGCCAATGTCGCAGGCTGCCTGCCATGCTAGAGGCCTATTTGGGTGGAGTTTCTGCTTCAGTGGCTCTGTCGACAATACTGAACACGGATATTTAGACGACGTGCGCCAATACTTCTACCTGATAAAGCGGGACGTTGACCAGTATATGGAACAATATGAGGTGCGTCGTGGCGTTACACTCTCTGGAACGGCATTTTACTCTCGGCAAAGACTTCTCTTGATCCTGAAATCATTTCCCGCCTTGTCTATCGTCTGTTCAAATGGTTCAATGCTTGGCTACCAATCTCAGAGTAAGCCGGTTAGGGTTGTTTCTTACATATACCTTTCACAATGCATTCACAGCCTGGGTCAAACTATTCGCGCGGCATACACGCTCGACTTTCAGACTCAGCTATTTGCCATCCTCCCACCTAGCTTCGTTTCCGGCTTCAAAGCATATTGCGCCTCCACTCTGCCGCCCTTTGATCCAGACGTCACCCAAAGGACGCTCAGTGGCGAAATATGGGACATATTTGAAATCCTTGGCCTGCTTGATCGATATGAGAGCGTTATCGCTAGCGTAGGGTACGAACATATAGAAACATACGTGCTTTCTACCTGCACCGGAAAGTGGGAAGCAGCGATGTTGCCAGAACTTCGGAATTGGATGTCCCACAAAATCGTGCCTTGGATGTTGATGATGTATGCTAGGGGAGCAGCTACAAGTACGCCTTCCGTTACTTTTCCTTTCAAGTGCCTGACAAGAGACTTGCTTAGATGATGACGCGGTGGCAATGTTAGCCAGTGTTGGATCGAGATTTGACTTTCATATGACCAAAACACTCTGTGATTTGAGGTAACATTGTCGTGGTCTATCTAGATGATGTACTGACCTAAAGCCTTGTACAGAACACGAGAGATTTTTGATATCATCATAGATTTCCCCGAATCGGCACCTGCTTTGGAGGATCTCAAAGTGGGCGTTCGGCTAGGCGGAGATAGCAGTTTACTGACAAACTATTGCAGGAATGTTTGCAACGAGTGGACCAACGAGCAGCACTAGTGAAATCTTTGCGAAAAGCGTATGATTTCATAATTCCTCATTCACCACGAAATTCCAATAATTTTACAGGAATCACAAGAGACTACTTCATCCGGGCGCAGATACAAAACTTATCCTTTCACAATACGTGGCTACCATCAAGTGCATGCGGATCATTGACCCTCCCGGTGTTCTCTTGTTCAAGGTCGCAGATCCTATACGACGGTACCTTAGGTGAGCTGCACATATATAGTTTATTTTACTTGGCTGCTGCTGATGCATCTTGCAAGGGATCGACCAGATACAATTCGAAGTATAGTGGCAAATCTCGTGGGAGACGAAGACACTGGCGACTCACTTGTCGATGACAACGAACCTCCCCAGCCACTGCATCAGATCGAAATTGAAGACTACAGCGATCCAAACTGGGAACCAGAACCTATCGATGCAGGACCAAGTTCGTCGTATTCTTCATACCGCTAACTGATCTCATTTTGTTTTGTAGATTTCCGAGCGAACAAGCACACTGATGTTCTCGGCACGTTGGTCAGCATCTACGATTCAAACGACCTTTTCATCAAGGAGCTCCAAATTTTACTTGCTCAACGTCTCCTTGCCATTACGGACGGTAATACTGAGAAGGTCGAAAGAGAGGTCCACATCAATCTGGCCCTTCTGCCGTTAACACCTGACTAAGGAGTTTTGCAGAGACGGAACATCGAAATCCTAAAGATCCGCTTTGGCGAATCCGCACTGCAAGTTTGTGAAGTCATGCTGAAAGACATGACGGATTCAAAGCGAATAGACGGGCATGTGCAATCACAGATGGCAGTAGGTGGTCTGTTGTTGATTTTCTTGGATTTCTGATTACCAGCTGCGCAAGTCCATCGTACATCCAACTATTATTTCCAAACATTTCTGGCCCATGTTGGGCTCCGACGAGATCATCATGCCCGGACAATTCCAAACGTGTGTTCTCAACTTGACTGATCTTTTATAGAACTCATCTGTTTGGATATCTGTAGCTTTCAGGAGCAGTATGCAAAAGAATTTTCTACCTTCAAACCTGACAAAAGACTACGTTGGCTACCGCATCTCGGTGCTGTGCACCTTGAGCTTTTGTTGGAGGACCGGACTTTGGAAGTCGACGTTCCTCCGCTCGAAGCTGCCTTTATTGAGCTTTTCTCAGAAAAGAGTACCTGGTATTGAATTCTACCAGCTGTTCATTTACTGATCTACTATGTCGGTAGATGTTTGGTCTATCGATGAACTGATGACTCGCGTCGGACCTATTAGCAAGGGCGCAGCCCTGAAGGCGCTCCTCACATGGGTCGATAAAGGTGTTCTGAAAGAGGAAGGTGATGGTTCGTTCAAGCTGCTTGAAGTCGCCGAGACAGTCAAGCCTGTGGATCCCGCCCGTTTAGGTGCTCTTATTTTTCCTGAGGTCACCAACAAAGTCCTCATATTTTTACAGCTATCGTAGAGGAGCAGAAACCTACTGTGTTTCCCGCACAGCAACATCAGGCCGAACAGATGAGAGTTTACTGGAAGGTTAGCGTGGCGCCGCCCTTATATTTTATTTGAAATTCATTCCCCAATTTTTGGTGCAGTTCATTGAAGGTATGCTCACGAATCTCACCGCTCTTCCTCTCGAGCGTATACAGGCAATGCTTCACTTTGCGCCTGGATACGACCAAACCATTGAACAACTTTCGGCGTTCATGGATGCTGCGCGACGAGAGAAGTTAGTGGATGTGCGGGAAGGGTTGTGGAGGCTGACAACTAAGGCATAGCCAGGACAACCCGTATCGTTGGCGGGGTTGATGGTCTTGTACCTATGCAGTAGTTACAGCAATTTGACAACTCTGATCTCAGGACCTTCTTTTATCAAATGGAGTCGTCGCTCGTGCTGCATATTTAGTAAGAAATACGAGTATGTGGTAAGTCGGGATAAGAGCACCCAAGCAATCAGTGATTGCAAAACTTTGTCACATTGCGACCTTTACTCATGGTAAATAAGAATCACAATGATTTGGCTAGTGTTATGTAGTCGAGAGAAAAGAAGAGGATCCGATTTTCTTTAGTTTCCTTTCGATCTCCAGTCGCTGTAGCTGGTATTTTTCTGCCACGGAGTCATATCCAAAGTTAGTCTAAGACGTAAATGAACTTCTTGATTAATAATGCAGATGCAACGTTAGACGTCATGTCTTTGTTCACTGACGCTGCAATCCACAAAGATGGTTTTCACACTGTTCGGACGAGCAGAGACCTGACCTGCGATCCACTTGAGGAGAAAGACATGAAAATGACAATTGATATGGAAATTCTATGAGGGGCTGTCGTGTTCATTGGAAACGGAGTGTGTAATTTGTATGCCATATTTCCTAAAACTACGACGTTCATAAGTAACATCATGCATCGTCATCTAGTTGACGGGAAACACCTAAGACATATGCTTAAACTGACGTGAACGACAAACATTAACCTATCCGCGTAGATCTATAACAAAAGCTGAAACCCGAGCGAAGAAGCAGAAGCAGAAACAGCTTTCTAATAATAACAATGAGGATGTGTTTATTACCTGCACATAGACTTGTTTGCTGTACTTGTATCATATGCTCTGCAAGAATGGCATTATCCATATCATATCTACGGCACTATGTATAGAGTTATGGCTGTAAAGACGCACTTAGTTCAACGTTAGTAGAAGCAGATGAAGTGCCACTCTGTCGTCGACGTTTCCGGTATATGGGACCGACATTTATCTCCATAAACACCAAAGGAAGCATAAGAGCACAAATCGCTCCCAATATTGTGTAGGTCCATCCATAACCGACGCTCGAAATGGCCTTGTCTTGCACCGAAATTACAATAGCAGCAAGCGAAGCTCTCATGAAATTGACCTATCAGAATTTTAGATCTAGGAGTTGGTGACCTCACTGCATAAAAGACATACACAGGCAATTATTGACGAACTTTGAGCAGGTACGAGATCAACCATAAGCGTCATGATTGTATTGATAATTGATATGCATGCGAATCCGACTGCAATGTCCGTAAATACAGCTAGAGATAAGAAAATAGTTGAAGCAGACTTACGACAGACTTGTAGGATTAAAGGACCTGCGAGGAGCACCGACTTTTCTACACACCATCCCCAGCCTACTACGCACGCTGCATACATGATAACGAAATAAGGACTCCACTGAAGCCGTACGGATTCTAGCGGAAAGGTGTCATGCATATGCCCATTCATTGCCTTGTCTTGAGAAGAACGCGTGAATTTATCACGCGCTCGACGGTAATCAAAGTCAAGAAGCCTGCCGTTGATAATTGCGCCGAGGATCAAGCCTCCACCATTGGCCAAATAGCAGAGGCCGACATTGGCGCTATTGAGAAACGGGTAGTGTACTTTGTATGCATTCGCCAGCGTTCCTGAAATACTATATTGTATGGCAAATGAAACGCTCGCATAAAAAAGCCCGACGAGAATATCGAGATGTACGACCAGTGCGAATGGATTGCAAAGGGGCTTCGGAGGTGGCTTCTGGGCGATGACAGAGCTCTGATGTTCTCCACCTCGGCGGATTATTTTAATCCAAGGCCTATAAATTAACGACGGCTGTATGCTCCCGTCCCCAACAATACAAGGCAGAGTTTCCGGGAGGAATCTGCCCAAACCAAACATGGCGATAAGTGAGATATACCAAAGAAATGCTGTAAATACACACACGAGCAATATTTTGAACAGTACTGCTGAGAAAATTGTCAGAAACCAGAAAATGGAACTGTGCATTTCAGTTAAGGAGTGTTTTCCGTAAATATTGACTCACCGCCAACCAAGATATTGAGCAAGTAGACCGCCGACTACAGGACCAACGCAGGGACCAACCATAGGACCGACGTTAAAAGCTCCGAAATAGCCGCCACGATTGGCGCGCGTAGTGATGTCTGCAATGGCACCGGCACCTACGCATCGTGAGAAATCAAAGATACCACAGACACGGAAAAGATAGTTCTAACCCAGAGCAACAGTGCCGGTACATCCGGCAGACTGAGTGAATCGAAGAAGCATCAGTAACCAGAATGCATTGGTTGGTACGAGGGCAAGACCGACACAAGTAAGGGTCAAAATGCCCAAGCTTGCGATGATACAGGGTCGCCGACCCCACCTGTCTGATAACGGTCCCCATATCATGGGAACTACGTATCCGATATGAGAGCTGGAGCCATATGCAGATGTTAAATGATCTCACAGACGGCCATAGGCACCAAAAAGATGGTAAGAGTGAGGTTTAACCGTTCGGTTGTTTCATGAAAAACCTGTGTCAGAATGGGAAGAGCAGGAAAGTATATTGTGGCAGGGAACGGGCTTGTAGATATGATTTATCTTTGAGCGCATAGCCTTCGAGAGATCAGGAAACGAGAGGAACTAACCTTGCAAGAGCAGCGAGAGATACGAGGCCGACAACAAACCAGACGTCTCCATGTGTATATAAATTCGGGAGTGCATCTGCAGTAGCGATATCGGTAGCTCGAACACTTTCGGGAACTTGGTCAGAGTCTGCCGGATCTCCGCAGACAGTGGGTTCCCCGGTACTTTTCACTGGGGAATCTGGTGAAGAGTCCAACATGAGGGTTAAGAACAAAGAATGCGAGAGAGCGCCTTACAAAGGCATAGTTTTAACTAGTCTCATGACTGTTCATCGTAATACCGAAAGCGTATAATTCGTTCTGTGCAAGTCGAGCCTTGTTCAGAACCGCGGTGCCGGCGGCATCGTAATGCTATAGACTCTACAGCAGAACTAGCGTGGTTTCCAAGACTATGGTGATCCTCAAAGGTTCCTATTGAGAGGATGGATTTAACCATACTTGAAAATCGACGTTTCCAGTGGCTGCTGGGATCATGGTTGGGTAGTAAGTTGAACCGGGTTCGATCACGCATGATCATGTGTAGACAGGGAATCGGATATCTGCTCCAGTACCGGCACCTACGAGCCCATAACGTAGCATATAAGAGCTTAATAAAGCATGAAAACAGAAGAATAACCCAAACCTAGAGCGTCGGAAGATGTGGCAGGTTGAACGAATGCATTTGTTGGTACAAAACAACAATGCGAAGCAAGGCCCACACGAGTAGCAATCAAGATGCAAAGTCTCCTACCCCGCTTACTTATCCAATAGCGGTCCACACCGCGGGGGGCCTTCAAGAACAGACAAGCCTTGAGATCACCGTCACAGTCACCTTTGACACACCGGCGGCCCGACGTTCCGTCAAGCAGACGCAAACAACCCTTTCCTCCGTACGGTCACTACTAAATAGTGCAGACGGTATTGCTGGGCAAGGATGGTGACAGCTGACAATCTTAATCTCGATATCCTTGAGCTTATCTTTGCGCATCTCTCTGGCAATGATTTGCCTTCGGTGGCCTTGGTCAGCAATTCCTTTTACGATGGAGTTTTGCCTAGACTATACAGAACGTTGTGGTATTCAATTCGACACGGGAAAAAATATCCCAAGGTTCATCTTTTCGTTATGCTCTACCAAAGCGTTGTGCTTACCGTAAAGTAGACGATGTCCCCGTTTGCGTCTATCCTGAGAGCTAAACATTTAGCCAAGTATGTTCAGCACGTCGGTGCGTCGACCAGAGTGGCATCTACAGGTTCGTGTCATTAATTAATTTACTCCAGATATATCCTTCGTGCCCACTATCAAATCTACTGGCCGCAAGTCTCAATTTGACCCTCGATTTCTCCACGACTGCAAGATGGCCTTGGATCTGTGCCATAATCTGCTTTCATTTAGATGCAGCGAGCATGTCCTCCCATCTCTTTTATTAGGCGACGAAATAAGGCCATTACTTCGCAACGTCCGTATCTTTGCAGCCGAAATCACGCCGGAGCCCGCACAGCATCTGATACAGATGGAGCATTTGGAGTCACTTTGTCTCGATAATGGATCATGGGCTGTCATGGACCTCCTTCCAAAGTGGTCGGCGTTGCTAGGGAAGACGCTAACCACCCTCACATTATTTGTACGCACATCAGTTTTTTCTGCGTTTCTTCTTTAATTCACTATCCAGAATTCTCCCGAACTCAACGAAACCGTCCTTGAACCTGCACTGAGAAATCTGCCCCGTCTCTTACACCTACACGTAATAGGTTGCCAGCGAATTGATCATGTAGTTCTATTACGGCTTGTAGTCCACACGCCTCTGCTTCAAAGTCTCTCGCTCACTACCTTCGAAACCTCTCGTCAGCTGGAAAAAATTCCCCCCTCATTGCATCATCTCCGCCATCTTTCAATCGATACCCGTTATTCAATGGTGTCATCTCCAGTGCCTAGCATGCTAGCGGACATTCTCGCGCATCTGAAGCACTCTACTCCACCTCTGACCTCTTTCCAGATCCGGATTCCTGAACCTCAAGTTGTCGTAGGAAGCGGTTTCATTGACCAACTTTTAACTTCGCACGCTCTTACCCTTCGAAGGCTAGCTTTCCTTGGATGCGGAATGAAGCTTGAATCCCTCACAGCTGTTTGCAAGTCCTGTGTAAACCTAGAGACATTGTATGTCTGCATCCCCAATTTCAAAGACCCACTTGTACGTGTTTCGCCATGCTGGAACACCCCCCTGTCATTCATTCTCCTCTGTCAGATTCATGCCAGGTTCATGGATGCCATCGGTCGCTCATCTACGCTCCGCATGCTGGTTGACGCGGACGACCACACCGCCCACGGCGCGCATTTCGTTTTGCGGCCATCCGATGTTGAAAAGATGATGCTAACTGTGCGCAATTTGACTAAAGTTGTTTGCGATAAAAAGCAATGGACGGTAGGCCAAGTTATTTCGTCGCTTCCATCATTATCGCTCAGTACACTCCAACAGGGATGTAGAGATCCCTCTGGAAAATTGCACATATCGATGGATCGTATCATTGCACATATCAGGCCAAGGCCTCACTGGTTTATGTGTACAGATCTTGAATAAACGAGGACTTCCATTCTTCTTCCGAGGGTCTATCTCAACCAACCTACATCAATAGTTTCTAAATTAGTCGAACTATTGGCGCTTACTTTATCTCCAAGCCCCTTATAACAGTCAGTGAGCCTACGCTATCTTTGAAAATGGTCTGACGTACTCTGTACTGGCAGACGTTAATTACCCACATTTGCTACCGCTACTGCTGTGCCTAGGGCGGTGACAACTGTCGCGACAGCGATTTTTTTCAGTGTACCCTAACCATTTGGGTAAGACCATGGCAAGCACCGAAGGTGTCGCCAACAAACCTTGCCGGAAGGCGTCCTTCTCGTCGCACGGGGCCTTGCTGGCCCATCAAACATCTCCACAATGGAGCCAGCCACTGATGCAGCGTTCACGGCGGCTCTTGGCCGAGATGTCGACGGTCCATCGAATGTGATGGGCGGGGGAAGCGACGAGATGAGCGTTCTCTGCTGTGGTATGGGAAGCACTGCTGTCCGTTGCATAACCCTCGTTGGCGCATTGAAGACATCTGGGATTTGCGGCATGTTGAAGGTCACCTCATCCTTGTAGAGTGCTGCGGCCGACTTCTTCGACGAGTTGTTGGAAAAGCGTCGGGGTGAGGACACAGCGTTGAGTGTAGCAGTTGCTGGTCGCCTGGCAGCCATGAGGAACAGTGAATGTACCTTGCTAACCCTCTCTTTTTAAAAGCCATTTGGGCAGCGGCAAGGCTGAACCTCCAAATTGCCTCCGTTTTCAGGACACCTGGCTTGTGATACTCCTTTCCCGCCGGGCAAAGGCGTGATCATAACCAAACTAGCGCTTATCGTTCGATTCTCCCACTGCTTATGCGGCTTTAAAGTCCTTTGCAGCTGGTACGGGCTGAGGACTTAAATGCTGAATGCCGAACGTTGAACCGCCAATGGTGTGCGGGAACGGATTTACCTATGTCCGATACCAATGCAGGCATCAGTCGTCCGACGTTCACGACACAGATCACGGAATTGCCCGCAGCTTGCAATAAAAAATAGGTCATGCTGATTTTCCGCCGAGTAATACTAGTCATGGGTACTGCGACTCGTGGTCAAGGACGATGTGGAGGTGTACCCATATATGAAGTGTTTTATGTTGCGCGAACACTAAATACCCGAGCGCATGATAACTCCATGTCCAGAGAGAAAACTGCTTACTGATTCCCTCAATCGCAACGGTAGGGGATGGGAAACGGCCTGTCAGCGGAAGTTATATGCATATAATTATACTGGACAGATAATCGTGGCCTCGAATCCTGAGGTACGAGAAGTTACTACCTAGTTTCAGAGGTGCGAAGTAGAAGATAAAGCTAACGGCCAGTGTAGTTCGCTTTATCCTTATTTTCTGATCGTCGGGGCAGGTCGCATTGATCGGATTATATGATTTCCGTCTCCCTTCCGGAATTATATTCCTCGGATCGCATTCATGAAAAGTACTTGAGGAATTTGCCCTCCCTCAGACATTCTTGAAGCCTTGCGTTGTCCTCACCTAGACCAGCAGACTAGTGGCAAGTGCGCCATGAAGATGTTACATGTATCACACTTGTATGCTCGTATCACACGTGTTCCCCGGGAGGCTTATTCCGTTCCACATCCAGAATGCGGCCAGATACCTCGGGGCCATTTATATCGATCCTTCCCTGGAGGCTTTGTTAACTTTCACCACCGCTCTGCTCTATCGGATAGTAGCGACATGCTTGACGACGCCCCCCGATGTCTACCACGGCATGGCTTCGAAGGAGAATATGATTTCGATTCTCTTGTCGACAGAAACCCATTTCTTTTCCGGGTCTATACGCCCAAACCCGCCTCTCCATCGATCTCGTATGACCCCAAGATATTTTGCATAGCACCCAAATTTGATGCCAAATTTACGTCGCCTCCCTCTGCCGTTGAGTCCCTGAGTCCGATTGGCCCACTGACTGAAATCGTCACATGCGAGGAGGTCGCGCGACATTTGGATTGGACAACTCGTTCCACCTCTTCTTTCATTTCTACGTCTTTTAGTTTTGCTTGGGCGATATGGGAAGCACTTCGGCGGTATAAGTCGGGTGTCAAGCACGATGTCGAAATCGCCGTTATCGATGCGGCTTCCCTGAAGGGGAGGGCGGTGACAGCTATGCAGATCTTGAGGAAGGCTACCATTGACGAGTACGCGTTGCCGATTGTGTTTCTTCTGGGTACTGATCCATGCATTGCTTTGACAGACGCCCCCATCATTATTGGCGTTCGTGCCATTTCTCCCAAGAATCGCAATCTGTAGTTGTGTACGGATATATTCCATTAACATCTGTTATGGCTTCTATTCCCCTTCTTTCTATTCTCGAAAAGATGCCTTCCTACTTCCTCCGGTCTGGAATTCCCTCCAACCCTTCCGTGACGGAAATGTCTCTGATCAATCGCGTCGCGTGGGATCCCAGCAACAAAAAATACACATATAGGCAATTTTGTGAAGCTATGACGGATCGATATTTCGAACAGTCGACTGAAATGCGACTAAAAGAGTCCATAGTAGGCTCTATACGTCTCGCTGTTGCATTCCTGAACCCCTGGTTCCATAAGACTGCCGCAGACGATATTGACAGGGCCGTCCACAAGACTGTAGAACTAGCGTCTCTGATAGCTGCATGGCCTGATCCCCAAGATCCTGCGGAGATGCAGGATGTCTTGAACGGAATGGTGTCGTTGCTGGCGGAGGAAGTGCGGGAAAAACATCAAGTTTCACTTCTTGGAGAAGTCGTTGTGTTGGCAGGCGTTATTGACGAAATTGAATGTGTTGTTTCTTCATTGGAGGATCGCATCGAACAGCATGAAGCTGCGGCAGGAAATCCGGTGGTTGAGACCAGGTTGGACGACGAGTTTCCGGAAGCCCTCTCATCACTACGTCACCCAAGCGCTGCACCATCCTTACGGATAACTATTCCCTCGGCCCCTCCTTCCTCATCATCAAGCGGCTCTTCTCCCCTTCTGCCTGTTACTCCTGATTCATCAGAAGTGCCTGAGTCGGCGGAGACCCGGTCCAAAGTTGACGAAATATCTCTGCCTCGCCATTCTGCGAACACCCTGTCATTATCGCAATATCTGACCTCCGAATCTTCTTCTCTTATTCTGAGACGTCGCTTTTCATCTTCGGCAACTACACCAAGACTGCGCTTCGTTACAGCTCCGTCTACACCATTTTCTGCACTTTTACCCCCATCTCCGGAGTCATCATGCCAGGAGATCGAGTCGTTCACTTCTGATTCTTCTTCATCATCTACATCCCGGAGTATGATCGCAGAGACCATGTCTGTTGCAATAACTGGATTCCTGTTTGGAACTTTCCTTACTCTATGCGTTGTATCGTCTCAGCGACGGACACTGTTAATGCATCTTACCTAGACTTGCTTTCGTTGCTTTGCATATGTTTCAGTTTTCGAACGGACTTTCTGTTGCAGAAATATTGTACATTTTGTAATCCTGTTTGTAGCCAGTATTCGTGAACAGTTAAACTGTACATATGCACACGAAGACCAATATCCCTGTAACCCCTAGAAAAAATCCATAGAAATGATAGATAAGGGCCCCCTAGATTATTAGCAAAGCCAAATTGTCTTCCACGTCCGTGCCACATAAATGTGGAGTCTACTTTCTGACAGCATAGAGGAATCCGTCAAATCCCTTATAGCATGCAGTCCCAACAGCCGTACAGTCTACGTCGGGGTCATTTTTGAGCTCTTTCAATAGAGCCCTCACACCCTCAACGTTATCGTCCGTATATGTCGGATTGGCTACTAGACCAACTAGCATCATATTGTCAACAATCTAAGATGCAAAGTTTTCACGAATGAGAACGACGTCAATGAATGACCAAAACCTACGATAGTACCGCCTCTCCGTACCAATCGCTTTGCGTGCTTGAAGTAATCAGTGTTTGACGCCTTGTCCGCATCAATGAAAATAAAATCAAAAGGATGCTCGGGTTTCATCTTGGCAAGCGTGGTTCTTGCGGGACCCACAACCACTTTGACTTTGGATGCCAACCCGGCAATCGCTATGTTCTCGCGAGCCACCTGAGGAAGCGAAAGGATCAACAATTGGGTCATCGAAGACACCAAGATGAAACCCTATTGGCCACATTTGAACGAGTTCACAGACCTGTGCGTATCTCTCGTTTAGCTCCAGGGTAACGAGTTCACCATCCTCAGGTAATGCGCGAGCTAGCCATATGGCTGAATAACTATATAGCACGATTAAATGTCAAAATATGGAAATCAGCGTGCTGCACGTACCCGCCGAGAGTACCAATTTCTAGTATTCTCTTGGCCCGTATTGACGTGGCAAGGAGCTGAAGAAGCTTTCCATGCTCAGCAGGTACCGCTATCTCATGTGGCAATCCCTTATCTTCGGCATTCTTGAGGGCGGCCCGCAATGCATGATCCTCGTCGAGTAGGAATGAATTAGTGAGTTCGGCCGAGCATGCCCAGTCCTCAATGGTCGTGGGGTTGACGTTAGGAACGATGATAGCCATATTCTGAGCAGTAGCAGACAGTGCGCAAGAGCGAAATTGTAAGATAGCGGATGAACCAAGAGAGACATGATTATATACGCGTTCGAAGTTGAATGTACCCACGATCATAATATCAGTTATCCGGAACCGGAACCGTCTAGAAAGTCAAATGGCGTATAACACTTCCGAAAAGGATGGGGTTCGACTGAATAGAGTTGCCCCCCACGATGCAATGTTCTGGCGCGTGTCTTCCTTGTCCTTCCTTTTTTTTCCCGTCGCGTTCTGTGTCAAAAGTATGTTCAATACATCCGATTGAAGAGTTGTACCCACAGCAGACCCCGGGACCATGTCTACCCAATTTCAAAAGTGAAAACGAGCACCGGGTCCCTTATTTTTCTTTCTAGAGCGCGAATACTATACATGGCGAGTTTTGGCGCCAGGTCAAGCTTCTAGATCCTGACGCTCTCCGAAAAAAACGATCTGGCCTGCCGAAAGTCGGAGGGATGATCGGTCGCAGTATCCCTCTAATACCAATCACCCATTGGAACGATGAGATAGATCTTCGGAGAGCAAGGCACACATACAATCTAAGACACGATTCTTTCGCGCCGAAATATCGTGTCCTAGACTCTAAAATAGAGCTGACCAACTCTCATCTTCGTTGAGCGCTCCGAGTCGTACCTGAAGACCACGAACGTTTAGACGATACCCCCGACATCGCCCCCCTCTTTCCTGCACTGACATGGATGATGAGCTTGGCTTATGGAGGAGGTGAGTGGAAACCTCGCTACTTATGAGGATGACGAAGTCGTTGTATCAGGTGGGTGGCACATCAGCTGCGGAGTGACTGGGAGACCGTAAAACCACCGAGCCATCAGACAAGCCGGCATGAGTATATTGACGGATGATCAAAGAAAATGGTTACTTCTGTGGGTCCATTCAACCTAATACAACCTCATACCCCAGAAGATGGATCAGTAGCTTGGATCAACTACCCTTCGGTACCGAGCCACAGACTGTTGAGCACGAGCCAGTCCCCGGAACTACACCCAATCATCGTCAACGAGCGAAAAAATATCATCCCTTGATTCGGTACAGAGAGCGGCTTCTCCAAACAAAGTCACAGTATACTGAATTGACAGGAAGGACTTATCTTGAGAAGGTCAAGCGCATGCCTGGAGGGTGGGAACGGCACAGCCGGCACTTCGTGGGAAATGTAACGTAACTTCCCCAGATTGTAAATCATGGCCGCTTAATGAAGTCGAAAGATTACTATAAACGAGTTCGCTACTTGCGGCCTCAGATGGGTACACAATACAGATATTCGTGCGCTCTTTTGGTTCAAATAGGCGCCCAGTGCGAGGAGAAAAACATACATCGCACCGAGAACCTGTCCTACAGCACTGGATTAACAAGCACCGATGATAAAATCTTATGTTCTCAAGCGCTTCAGGCTTGCCATTGCAGGTACTGCCTGATTTCTTGGGCTTTCTTGTCCACCACATCTTGAACCTTATCGCCCCAGACGCTTAGCGGATCTTGAATCTCGTTAGCTCCTGTCCGACAAGCCTTCATATGTTTCTCGCCATCGCCTTGGTCCATCACAACGCAGTTATCCACGCTAAGAGGTCGTCGTAGATCCCACCGTACCAGCACTGGCCTTGCAGGAACTTCGTGGGGCGGAATAGCCGATCTACCACGATACAAGTCCTCCAAAATCAAGGAAACATCGTCTTCGTCGATAGGTAGCTTACTACGTGTGACCCATGGGTGTTAGTTGACGTTTCGATAAAAATGAAAACAGCCCACTTTATCGTTTCTCCGACAAATTGTGACTCCCGCTTGAGAAGGTCTCGAAGCATTCTTTCGTATAGTTTTCTTCGGTTTTTTATTGGTAGGGGATTTAAGATGGGTTTATCGGCCAAATCACAGAGTATGTATGTCGCAATGTGCAACCCAAAGATTGAAGGCAGGGGTCCTGCAACATGATGTTCAGTAAGAAGATAGCACATTACTGATATTGCAAAACATACCGAGGACGGGTAGGATGCGGACCCTGAAATCATCGAATACGCCGAGCTCTTTAACGGCGCCTTTTTGGAATTCCTCCTCGGGGAGAGGGAGGAGTTTGACATCGCTCGGTACTTCTGTGGAATATACCACCGGTATTCCTGAGGTGACGCCAAGCAAACGCAGTCTCCTGCGAACGGAACGAGCAAGTGGGTCATAGATGGTGTACGAAATGTCACTGATTTGCACCCTCGTGGGATCGCATTTAGCGCCAGCACCCATGGAGGAGAAGACCTGGAGGTAGCACTGTTTGATCGGCTACCTCTAAAGGAGAAATGGTCAAAGGTACCTTGATGTTATTTCCGTGGCAGTATTTGAGCAAGTCGACCTTCGTCGTGATGTTATCAATGGCATCTAGGGAGGATTCAGTTAAATTTGGTTGGCATGCGGCTGACAACGAAGCACGAACCGATGACCCAGTCAACACCTTCAAGCAGCATGCCGCCCTCTTCCTTTCTCCATATTTCTATTCGCGAATCGACCTCTACCCATCGCGAGATCTGCTTCAAGGCCTTCTCAATACACTTGACTTTTGGCATTCCCACGTCTGACACCGTCGCCGTGGCATGACGATTGAGCGAAGACAGAGTGACGTAGTCAAAGTCCACCAAACGGATTTTGGATACTCCTCTGGGAGAAGTCAGCATGAACGCGTGAAATTCGTTCCTGGACGTACGATCTAACCAACATGACGGCAGCCCAGCTTCCCACACCTCCACAGCCAATGACGGCTACGCTGCCAGAGCGAACTTTTGCCATGCCTTCGTCGCCGAAAAACGCGTAGTTTCGAGCGAGCTGCTCCTTTATCAGGCCTTCATCAAAAGGGGTGTCGCGAGGTTTCAGCATTATCTCCTCCGTGGCATCGTCCAGGTGCTTTTGAATATTATAGTTGGACGCATTGGTTGAAATAGAACGTAGAACGTCGTCATTTAGAGCACGTCGCTTGGTATGCCGGGAATACGCATTGAGCACCGAGAAAAGACTGCCAGTTGCAACGGCAGCAACAACAGCAGTCGCGATAAGCTGTGCCCTATGAGAGTGAAGGTCGAAAAAGTTCATCGGAGATTTGTCAACGTAGGGTTAGGGTTTCCTTATCCCAAATAAATTACAAAATATGAACACTAGTTCTACGACGCTACGGTTCGTCCCCGCCAGGAAGAGGGATATCCGCCCCAATCTTGTCAATCACATAATAGCTGAAAAACAGCACTTTGAAGGACAAGGCTAATCCGGCATGTAGCACAGTGATGGCAATGATTATTAGTCGGGTCGCTTTAGCCTCAGCCTAGAAGATTCTATAAGATCAGTAAGGATAGAACGGAGGAGAAATAGGTCGCACAGAGGCCAGAATGGGGTACACATTTCTGACTAAGAAATAGCCAGACTGAACAAATGCGACAGCCACGAGGACCCAGCGCAGAATTGGCACGGGGATCACACAGAGGACCTACAGAAGTCAGGTGCTTGACGAATAGAAAGATGGAATGGAAGCGCACAGAGACAGGAATCCATACGAACATGGCATAACCCCATATTGCTACAGCTTCCACAACATTCCATTCACCAACGCCAAGGTAGCGGAGTGCTATCCAAAGTAGAACAGGCAACCCTAGTCCATAGGCATACACAATAGAAACAGCGATGGAAAGAAGCTGAAAATCGTAGTCATATTCTGCTCCTGGGGCGGACAAGTACGCTGCGATTGATGCATCGAGACTCGAGGATAGGAAAAGGGCAAATATCAAGGTTGTCAATGTCCAAAAGGGTCCGTAAAGGTCTGCAGGGTTAAGATGGGTAGACAGGTAGTCAGTTGACGTTGGTAGAAGGGTCGAATAACAGCGTGTCAGAACCTGATGACGTTCAGCAACAGCCAGCAGCCAGTCACGAACTACGGACCATTTTGGTGTCGACGTCGAAATATGGCTGGTAATATTCTGTCGTCCAGAAGCCGCCGCCGCCGCCGTCTTTGGTCTGGTGAGGCCGGTCTTGGAGGTAGCCTGCTGTTGCATCAATGCCGACATCAACAACAACGAAGGTGGCGTACCTCTATCTGTATTCCCTACGCCTCGACCAGTCCCCACATTGTCCGAGCCGTCGTTGGCATTCGACCCTAAAAATGCTTCGAAAACGTTAAGAAACGAGTGGGCATTCCCGTTGTGTTTGCACAGTACATTTGAATTGGAGACCCTCTGGGCCCTCTTCTAGCCGCTACCAGTCTTTAGCATGCGTTTTGCAGGATGTAGATGGCAAACGTACCTCATCGGCTTCGACTGCAACGTACGCCATGGTCGATGTCGTGGAAGGTCGGTGTAATGAGGACCCCTGCCACCTCGGCACGCAAATCTTATCTATTTAAACTATCGGTGTTCTTCGTTTTCTTCTTGTTCTTGCTTGTTCATTATCCAAAGCAGATCTCCAGCATCGACAGACGTGCATGGCCCCAACCAAGGTCGTTTATCACAATGGCGTTTTCAGCGACAATCGGGTGTGCCCAATTGGGGTCCTCTTTGTCTTTCACTGGCAGCATCGTCACTTGTTTTTCTTTTCTTCTGCGCCGCAACGTGCCCTGCTGTCTCCACACAACTTTGTCCCTGAGAAAGACTGAGAAGCTCAATGGACTCAATGGCCGGAGACACGAAATGGGAAGGATGCCGTTCCCCAATCCAGCAGGACCGTGAAGTCTGCTCCAGTAGTCTGAGTCCCGAGCACGAAAACGTAGCGCAGGACGCGTCTTGGATTGCCATTGACCCTCGGCAGCAAGATTCTGGTGAGCAAACAGGTATATAATCGTACCCTCAGATTGGTATCTCTCTCCAGCCAGCCCTCCCTGTCGTGTTGTCGACAACATGGAACCACCCAGCTTTCAAGAATCCCGTTATGACGTTATCCTTCGTCACCGGCGGAATAGACCCGAGGATGGCGGAGGTCTCAAGTCCACGACAGTACCATCACGGTTCTTGAACCTCTCCAGCGACTTTGAATTTTGTGGATGGGGCTCCTTTTTCCAGTTCAAGCTAACCGCAAAAGAGCACGATGCTGGGGATGTGCGTGTCAGAACAGCTAGGGACGCCAAAGTGCTCGGCCAATTCACTGCTAGTGCGCTGGCAGGCAACGCAGTGCTCGGGAGCGTGTTCTACGCCCTACCTGCCGTTGTTGCAGTGTCTAGCGTATAGTGAGCCACCTTCTACGAATACATGCTCTCTTCGTTTCATGCATATACTTCAGTTCTCCGATATCTCTTTTCATCGCGACCATGACGCTGTTCTTATGGCGCCCAATCATGGCGGAACTTGGTTCTGCTCTGCCTATCACAGGAGCTCCCTACTCTTACATGTACTCGTATATCCTCTCTCTTTCTCCACTTCTCACTTACACTGGCTTAGACTTAACGTCTCCACCAAATCTTTCGCTTTGGTTGGTGCAGCGCTCTTATTATTGGATTACGTCTCTACTTCCGTTGTTTCTGCAGCAACGGCGGCGGCATATCTCTCGGGGGAGGTTGACCTCCCTTTTCCCACTTTTGTCGGAGCCATCATTGTTCTCGCATTATTTACCCTCGTCAGTCTCAGCGGTATCAAAGAAAGTGCGCGACTTGCGTTAGCGTCGCTCTCTTTCCACGTAAGCCCGTTGGTGTATCGGTGTTAATGGTCTGACTCCCTTGCCACAGGTTGGAACCATGGTCGTTCTTATGGTCGCATCGGCCATTCATTGGTGGAATATCGGCAATAATCGACTTCGCGAAAATTGGGTTTCTAACCAAGCTTCTTCTCCAAGTCAGGTCGCAAGGCATGTATTTGATGGCTGGTGCCTTGGAATGCTCGGCTTGACTGGATTTGAATGTACACTTTCACAATTATTTCAAGGACCTGCTTCTTTATGACGTCCGTTTCAGGTATACCCGCCTACATCGCTCGAATTAAGCCCGGTGCACTGCCTCTCGTATTTCGGAATCTGCATTATCCCGCCATTGTCCTGAACACTCTCATTATGGTTCTGGTTATGGCGATAGTTCCCCTGGAGACTGTTCTGCAAGACGATAATGTTCTTAGTGTCCTCGGCCAGACAGTAGGCACAACTCTTGTAACATCTTTACTCTGCTAATTTCGATCTAGTCCGCAGGCAAGTGGTTGAGAGTATGGATAGTTGTAGACGCTATCGTTGTTCTATGCGGAGGCGTTCTGACCGGTATATATTTCCTCAACTCACTGCTGCATCAGTACTTATCTACTCTATAGGTATACTGAGTGCATGCGAGTTATTGGAGAAGTTGACCAGTGATCGCGTCCTTCCTCAGCTGTTCGTTCACCCGCTTCCATTCTTTCGATCACCTTATGTGTCGGTGCTTTCGTTCTCGGCATTCAGCGGTGTCATCTACGCTACTACAGGTGCTAACCTTGCCATTGTGTCGAAGATGTGCGTATCGGACCTATTTGACACAGATTTACTTGCTGATGCTACGGTCAGGTTCTCATTGGTGTGGCTATCGGTTATGGCGTTATTCCCGATATGCCTTCTGCTTTTAAAATTCAACCGTGGTCGGCTTCCAAGGACTCCTAGAACCCCTGTGTCAATAGTGTTCTTCACACTAGCCATTGTCCCGACTGTATTCGCAGGTAACATCGCCATCGACCCAGTCACGTTTGGGTGGGTATTCAGTATTTGCTTCTACTACTCTTTCTTAGCCTTGAACAGATATTTCTCCGCCTACTTTGTCGTCATTGTTATGTTATTTTCAATTACGCAGAAAAAGGCATATCTCTTGCGATGGATCATCTGGATATATGATCAGTACACGATGCTGCACCAATGGAATGCAACGAAATTATGGGCCTGTAGATTGATGAACACAATGACTAGACTAAGGCGTAAGCCTGTTTGTATATTGGCAAAAACAGACGAAGTAAGCCTCTACAGCTCTTCTTTTTGACGTCTGCTAATGGTTCACCAGATCAGCTACTTAATGCGTATGATTCTCTATGTACAAAAAAACGAGGAAACCTCATCTTTAAATATCGTCCACTTTGCCGAGGAGGAGGAGGCTGTTCCGTCAGAGTTGGAAGCAAACACCAGAAGTGAGTGCAAAGTTAGTTGCATCTGGCAAGTTCTAACTCTTGTTTTACTAGTATTAGATGAAACCTTTCCAGAAATCACCATAAATCTAGTAAGTAGCTGAACCTCAGTGGTGCTTTTCAGCTGATGCGCTTCTTCTCCCTTCAGCTAATCGTTCGCAACTCATTTGATCCACCCAATGTCGCTTCTCTGGCACATAGACTACAGATTCCCCCATCTTTAATGTTCATGACTTGTCCAGGGCCCCTATTTCCACATTCCGTCGCCGATTTCGGTACACGTATCATTACGCTTTGAGTTTTGTTTTTCTCAGTCGCCCTGTTCCGATGTTACCTTTATGTTAGCTCTTGAACCTAACACCGTATTACCTGCATTGGCCGCTAATATTTATCATCGCATGCCTGTTTTTCATGTATGGTAGCTAAGCCATTTGTGTGTTCCGAGGCACACATTTTGCCGTCGGCGGACCATAAGGTTGAAGCTTAAGCCTTTTCTTCCTGATGTCTCCTACAGGATCCGGGGTACTACTCTAGATATGCACCCATGTTACCGCCTCCAGAAGGATTCCTGAAGCATCGTGACCACAAACTTTAAACGGATTCGTAAGAATGTGCGACCCTTGGGACACACGCCAGTGGCTCGGTGGCGGATCTAAGAAGCCTTCGGACTTCCGTTATCTGATTCTCTGGGTATATCTATCTGGTAGATTTGTGACATTTGAAAGGCGCACTCATGTGCATCATATTCTAGTAGCTACTAATTAACCAATGCTTCCTAACGGTTTCGGTTGCAAAAACGAGGCATCTTTGTGTGTAAAACGACGCGTAATAGTCAGGGAAGACACAGTTCCAGAAAACACTAGCTTATCTACGTCACGGACAATGAACTGGGCCCCTTGTATCTCAACTGCCAGGTGATTGAATCAATTTCAATTTACAAGGATGTTTGCTGTCCTGCAACACGCACGTAAGACTTCTAGTAACAGAGTCAGCGGGCTCGTTAGCTTTTGCATTCTACGAACGTGAGTATATCGAATCAGGCGTCTATCACACTGACCAAGTTTTGCACTTTATCGTGATTGAGTTACCCCTGCCAATCGTGTACGAATCCGATCGTCTTGATCCGACGATCACGTGGCCTCAATTTAAATAACTGGACTTTTTTGCAAACTTTTTGCGTTGTTGAACGTTCCCGCCAGTTAGGTAACTGTTAACCAAGATTGGACAGCTTCTCTTTTCGAATGCGGAATAAAGAGTGAGCGACGTAGCCAAAGAGCGGTTCAATTTCCGCTGCTCACAACGCACGTCCCCTAGGCCGCGATGGCATTAGCCCCCACATGATCTAAAGCTGCAGCAAAATGCTCCGAGAATTTCTCCGTGGCCTTAAAAATGCTCGCTTACTCGCCGCGGTGATAGATGAAGGTTGTGATTCTGGTTTGATTTTACGAGGTGGTCATCACGTTTGTCTCACTTTAGAAATAACCGGAACTATTGGTTGAAGACCTCTGAACAATGCTCAAACTACTAGCGCAGCATCTTCAAGTATCTTAGTCCCCACAGTCACGCTTCGCAATAGTCCCGGACATGTGACTCATAATTTCTCGCATGGTGTGCCAGCATCCCCGTTTGACATGTATTTCGCCCGTCGCAAAGACCGAGGAAGGACTACGGCGGCAACTTCATCACAACCCGCTTAGTACTCACGCCTCTTGAGAAGCTTGTTCTCACCTTACCTATCTCAAGGACCCTTATCTTCTGTGGAATCAGGATAATTCAATTATTTCCCAGGACGTCCCTACAGCGAAGAAATTGCTGTCGGTTGCTTCGGTCGCCGCAGGCCCAGATTCTCCATCGAGCTATGCTTATCCGTGTCTTCTGTGAACGTAAAAATTTTACATGACGTTTGGACTTACATTCCCGCAGGTCAACCAATAAACGGCGGAGAACGGTATGACAGGAACTGTAGCCATGCATGAGCTCTCTGTTCCAGACGTCGTTACGTTCTGTCTGTCAAAGGCATACAACTTTTTTTTCCCTTTACGAGGTAGGACAAATATTTATTGCAAAATAAAATCTGAAATTTACAGATCCGCCAGGTTCGTTAAACACGCGCCTCCTAGCGCGGCTTTGCGCATATCACCCTTTTGTTGCTATTCCTAAATTGTCTGATACTCTGTTACTTAGTAGGGTTACAGCATTTCGCCTCCTGAGCAAGGGATGCATTTCAAGTGACTTGCTTGAATGTGCTCTCGGGCTCTATATATTTGTCGAACATCCAAGCAATCAGAACGTCCCGTCCACCGTCAAGTATTTCCAAGCGAGCGGCAAAGGTCTGAGCATTCTTTGATCATGCTCCAACGGCGGCAACTCGGTAACCTAAACGATTCTATGAAACATGACAGGCTGTGCCTCTGGAGTTTGTAGTTCACATGCGGCTTGCCCTGGGCCTGGGCCGACTCAGTTCGGGGCACATGCTACGTCTGCTACCCCGCCCGAGGGACTAACAGAAGGACGTATACCGACATTGTGGCTTGATTAAATAAATAGAATCTCAGGCTCGAAGATACCGAGGTCGTATTTCCGAAGGGCCCGAAGAGGACTTCCCTGCAAATTATTCTATCTGATCGTTGCATGACACTTCCAAGGGGCGCAGCGTCTGGCAGCGAGAAACAACATAGTCCTGAAGTGTCAAAAGCATCACCTTTGTCCTTTTTGGAGTGATTGATTCGGATTAGAGCTTCTGAACATGCACCCCAGACCGCAGCAAAGGAAAATACCTGTACAAAAAAATTGTTTAGAGAAACATCTACATTATCTACCAGTACCTTCTAATCCTATGCTTCTTTGTGACTACATCTAATTGCGCGAAAGCATTTCGATGACTCGCTCTACAAGCTTGCGCATCACGTTGCCCTTCTCTTGACCAACTGCCAACACCTCTTCATGTGATACGACTTCAGGTACAGCAAGTTCAACCGACTTCCCCATGAGCTATAACCGATAAATGTAAATTCTACACATGCATCGCAGACATAGCTCACCTCAGCCATTACTTCCTCCTTGACACTTCTGTATTTGTCCGGAATGACAACGGCATTGGTGACCAGACTTAATGCCAGGACATTTAAGCCTTCCTGTCTGGCAGCTACAACTTCTGGAACGGTGCTCATTCCAACTACGTCAGCGCCAGCGTTCCGAAGGAATCTTCCTTCTGCGGGACTCTCGTAAGTAGGCCCACTGACCCACGCGTATACCCCTTCTGCAAGCGCGTCCGTTTCGAGAGAGAGTTGATGTGAAGCGAGGAAGAGAAGGCGTCGAAGAGATGTTGAATACGCATCAGACACCGCCAAGAAGCGGGGAAGTTCTGGAGATATCAGAGGGCCGAGAAGAGGATTCATTCCTGTAAGGTTTGGCAACGCCAGATGGTCATGGATAACGACGACTACGTACATACGCATGTCATATTGGATCAGCAAGAAATTAATGAAAACGTACTCGTCCCGACAGAAAGATTGGGATTGAGGGCACCAGATGCATTAGTCACTGAACTCCATAAGTACTAGCCAAACAGCAAAGACGAAACAGGCCCCACCAATAAGATCAGTGACCCCAAGTTTCGCCATGACCTGGACAGGATAAACGACAGTTGACAATTCATGACCCTCATAGGGATGAAACTATCTGACTCTATGTTAAACACCAGATTCGACCGAAAATAAAGAGACGAACTCTGCCAAGCATAGCAACAACTGGCACACCTTCCCCTGCGCCAATTAATCCGAACGCCAACGAACTTTTATGTCCAGGGACTACGATGCTGTTCAGTTGTGGGAACAAGTCTAAACTAAACCATCTACATACCGCTGCTTTGTGCGAACCCAGGAATGGCAGCATACGGTATCAAGATAGTCTCTCGAAGAGCGTCTACAAGGCCACCCAATCCAGACCCACAGATGATACCAATTTTTGGCTTGCAAAGTTTTTCCGGTAGCCTACAGACAATCGCATCTAAAGTAGCTGGGAATGGGCTCGTAGTTGGTTGATCTGGAATCATTGTGCGGAGAAGGAAATTTTGATGGCAAATGTCGATCATTTGCAACCACGTGGTTTAACCTATTTCAGGCCCGCCATTTTCCCTCCGTAACACGGCGGCCACCAATAGCTCGAGGGTGCGCCTCCGAAATGCATGCTAAGTCTTAGGGTACCATATTTCCACTAAGTAATGGCTTCCGGAAATTTTCTCAATTAATTCTGGGTGCGAATACTGCTAGTGATCATTCTTGGGGACCGTCGTTCTCTATTGCGGCGACTGCGGCTAGAGGTGGCACTTTATATGACTTATCTGTCTTTTCACTGAGAATTCTTACCCTGTCACGTAATGCGAGTTGGACATAAAATGCTCCAATACTCTTTTCTCTGCCGAAAAGAGACCGAGAGAGTGGAACCCAACACAAGGAAGAAATGAAGAAGGGCGCCGTTCTCGAGTCACCGACTTCCTCTTCTAAATGGACAAGAATATCTGCTATCAGCTTCGCTTCTCTCTATGATGCTGGACTTAATTAATCCTTGCTTAAGTGTTGGTGTCATAATGCATGCAACATGAGGATATTGGCGACCGGATTCCTCTAAATTTCTACGACGGTCGACAGACCGAAAGGTGGGGCTTGTATGTCCGATGGAGAGGGACGGGTACTCTCATATTTCGGGATTATAGGCTTATTTAATCAATTTTCGTGACCAGTAGTCAGGAACGAGCGCCGCCAAGATCCAGGCGCATGCTCGGAGGTCTCAGAATACGCACCCGGGCCCGCTTTTGTGACACTGGCACAGAAAAACTAGATGTTGTACGACGGTGGTGAGGCAACATCATTTCCAACCGCGTGAACACCCCATTTTTGACTACCTCAGGCCTAGGCCCTGCGAAGGAATACGAGGAAGGTAGACCGTGGGGTAGACGACAGTTAGTTGCGGCAACTTAATACTTAATAATAACCTGAACTCGAAATCTCCATGAATGTTTGTTCTGATTGGATGATATTGCGTTGTCCCCAATAGTCCTCTATTGCGCTTATTTTTGCATGCTCCCTGAGTCTGGATGGGCCACCTGCACGAGCGAACCGGGATTTTGATCAACTTTGATGCGTTCTTCTGAATAGCTAAGGGCTAATTAATTCGAGGTGCCCCTTGATCTCAGGAGGTCCACAATGTCTGCGGGAGGTATTCAAGTCAGTACTAGTGTGATTTGGACACCTTGGGGTGGATTTATATGGGTCCGCCAGGGACGCCACACTAAGCCGTGTGAAGCGGAAGCGTCTCCCTTTGGAAGTCGAGCTATGCAGCCGAACTGATTGATCATCCTCTTGGGATTGGTGAGGTGCTTAAACGGCTAGGAGTTTGAAACAGTCGAATATGCTGTCACCAGTGCCCTTGTACGGAAGCTTTAGAAATATCGCTCATTCTTGACTTCATGATCAACATGAAATTCATTTTGGCTATGTATATCACTATCGATCAGTGTAGGTTATTAATTATCCGATTACTCTTGCATTAGTGGCGTGGAGGGAGACCGAGAAAGGCTACAGGATACAGCAAATAGATTTTAAACTTTTGGGTCTTCTAATAGAAATATCATAAACTAGCCGAGCGAAGGACAAGGAAATGCTACAATACAAAACAAGGACAAAGGCATGGATTACTGTTGGTTGGACGAAGTGGTATTATCTATGCGAAGAGAAGTTGGAATGCCGTCAACAACAAGGTGCAATTGGGACTCACTATAAACGTTATATTGTTCCGGCATGAACAAATGGGCGAGGGCATTTTGAGGCTCATGAGCCACCCCAGCCTGAGGGTATTCAACCCCGTGGCTTAAAGGCGAATAAGTGGAATAATCATTCCAGTATTGAGGATATCGGGGATGATGCTCCACTCCGTGGCTATCAGTTCGGCTTACCGAAGGACGCCCATCAGTTAGACCAGTACTGTACACCTGCGGAAGGGCAGAGGTAGATAATGGTCCAGGATACGAGACGTTGTGGCTCGAGTGTTCCGACGCCCATTGACGATCATATGATGAATAGTATGACGAAGACGGGGTATACTGGGCGTCCACAGCGCCGTTTGCAGAAAACGCCTGAGGTGGATGAAGACTAGAAGCGGTGTGGTTATTAGATGGTCGCATGTTGGCGTAACTTGAAGGTTGCATTCCAACGCGATTAGAGGAGTCGTCAAGAGACCCTTCGGCCGGACGCTTATACCGATCAGCTGATTTGAGCGGCTCAGCAGGACAGATCTGGTTTCCGAAGTTCACTTCGGCACCGCGAAGAAGTTCATGGGCTCGTCCAGCACTTGGCCAGAGAACGGCCATAGCCTTGAGAACCTCCATACATTTCAAGAGTCGTAACCGTGCTTGGGGGTCCCCGGGGTAGCCAGACACTAGAAGCTGATGAACACGGCAAAGACCAGGCTTCGAAACATCACTCACTGCTCGTAACGTGCATAATGCTAGCTGTAAAGACATAGTAGCAAAGGAAAACAGGACATCCCTTCAAAGAGTATGTCTCCTTGTATAAAGTGGCTTCGAATTATAGAAAGCCTTAGTGATGGCCCCGCATATACAAGATTAAAAAAACTCACCAATAGCAGTGATATGGTTCGCGGCGCCGGCACAGAGCTCATAGCTCTTTTGCGACGTCGTACGACCATCTTCTTCATTAAGGTTAGGACTAAGCGAGAAAAAGATTAAATGTCACTTGAATTTTTCCAAGTATGAATTAGAGTTACCTTCGGATGCCATGCTTAATACTATCATTATGACGCGCTTTAGTAACGGCAGTAGGAAAGCATTCTCGTAGGACTCACAATGGCCTATGTACGAGGAGGACTGCGCACCAGTATTGCATATGAAGCGTCAAGACATGTGGCAGCGGGACCGGGTGTTTTAAAGATACGGGATCGTGTTGGAGATGGATGGGCAATTCCAGGTACCATTTGTCGAGCATACCTTCTAGGTACACCGACTCTGCATGGCGGCTGGACACTGGATGAACAGCATAGATGGCTTGGATAATCCGACTGATTATACCTGCTACGAAGGAAGTGAGTATCATCATTATAGACAATGAGAGCACGAACATAAAGTGGCTGATGCATTAAAGCAAGATATAATATTCCCTGGTCTCCCAGATTTTTCTCGGGTATCGCGTATTACAGGGGTATGCGGTTTCCAGTCTTCCAGTTCCTCTGCCTGCAAGTCGCCATAAAGTTGACATCGGAATCCGAGGAACGGAAATACGTACATCTAACTCACTCGGCAATTGAGTGTCGAAATCCCGCTCAAATATGGCCAGCGGCCGACCTAACGCACGCAGACAAAATTCAGACGCAAGGACCCAGAACGAGTAAAAAGGACCAACCGATGTAGGACGAGACGTACTTGTCCATGACAACACATGAATACCAAATCCTTCGTCGAGTCTGTAACTCCGCATCCGAAAAGAGTTTCCCGCCCAACTCTCGCCGTGCCCAGCCGTCTGCACTCCGGTGCATACCTAAATCCTGCGCCATGCGTATGGCCATACCAATGTAGGTCCACGCCTGGGCCATAGCCCCTATACCAATTTCTCGATATCCCATAAGGAGCAGGGCTTGACAGGTCGCCGGTCTTGAGCTCGAGTAAGACCCGTCAAGCAGCACCTTAGCGCGGTCGAGATAAACGTCGCCGGCTGTCCACATCACGGGACTGTCGGACGGTAGCATTGGATTTGAAGGGTCATCAGCGTATCGGGCAGCCAGGGAAAACATGACAAGGAGGAGAAGGTTCGGTACATGTCGAGAACGGCGGTTAAAGGGAGATCCTGAAGGAGACCGAGCGCCCGACTCCGACGGTGGCGTGTCGGGGCTATCGCGGATAATCAGACAAAGGTAAAAGTGCGAAATCCAAGAGCACTGACCCAGCTTTGTACGCTTCTTGAAAAGAGCGCTTATGAATAACTGGAAGAGATGGATGCACGTATGTGAAATAAAGATCGAGTAGATGGTCTTGCAAGGCAGATGAAGGAAGATCGGTAGATAATTTCTCCTGCACAGGAATACTAGTGGGTAGGGCGGGCCATACCCTGGCTTTGGGGAAGCGCCTGTTAGGGTTCAGGCTCAAAGATTCAAGCGGGAACAATATAAAGGCGACTGACCAGATACCGCCTTCATTTCTACTATCATGTCGTTCTGTTCCCCCGAGGAGGTAAAGGCCGCTGGCTTTACCATGATAACGCACCTCCTCGTCCTCATTCAAACTTAACTGACCGACGGCACCAAGGAAATCTTCTTCATTACTCTCCGAACTGTAGCTTCCGGAGGGACTGGCACTCCGTGTTGGTACCGTTCTGTTTGCAGTGTTACTTACAGACCGCCGAATACCACCAGCGCTCTTCCCTGCACGCCCCGGTGATACCGATGAGCGGAAATCAAACGTACTGTTAGAACGGATGGGAGACAACGCGGAAGGTGGAGCAGAAGAGGGATAAGGTATATCGCCGCTTTCGACTTTTCGTCGTAATCTCCTCCCAGGTGAGTGGCTACCATCGCTTGCAGATGCTGATTCATATTCAGGATGCTGATACGAAGTTGACCGGCTCAATGGAATTGAAGTTATCAGAGAAGGCAAATCGCGTGCCGAACGGGATGTTTGTTGATGGTTCGAACTTTGTAAAGGTAGGTCTGAAGGGCCGGAGACAGTAGACCGGGTGGCTGCGTCTCGGCGAAGGAGGTCAAGCATATGCGTGACTCGATCCTGCCATTCATTAGATGGACTTTGAAACCAGATCATCAGTTAAAAAAACGACCCTCCGACAGGAAAGGACATACTGTGTTGATGTAAGTTCAGGTTTGCTGTCTTCAGCTTTCTGAGAAGCTAATTCGGCCGTCAAGTGCCGCGACTTGGAAGGACCAGCTGTTTTGTCGACATTTCCGCCTTTGCGACCCTTTACACCGTAAGGGGAATTGTCGACGCGGTTGATGATCTCTTGTGCAAGAGAATCCTGAGTAAATAATAGAGTCAGAAAAATCCAGCTTCCCTGCAGGGAGCTAAAGCAAAGTCGGAACGGAACAGAATGAACGGATCTCGCGGACTGGAATTCCAAGGAGCAAAGAAGTACGAGTATGACAGCCGTGGACATATTGATGTCGTGTATGATGAAATCAAGGATGGAAGCATTCATTCTCCCATGAGAAAAAGGAAAGTTGATAGAAGTTTAGCACCAAGTCCGAGAAGAACACGGAAGAGAGATAAATAAAGGATACGGACCTGCGCAATGTCTTGGAGAAGCGTCTGCGCTCTGGGGTCCTCTGATGATATCATGATCCCCAAGAGGGCCTCGGTTTGGTGAAGGCGAGCCTCAATGGCATCAATGTATCCCTTCGGTGGTCCTCGTTTCCGCGAGGGCCCGAGGAAAGTGCATGCTACAGAAATAACCGAAATCGTCAGCAAAAGCAAGTCAGGACAGCGCCACGGAAATCGCGCGGAAAACAAGAAGGGCTAGAAGAATGAGAAAAGCACGATGTGCATGGCGTACAGGGAAATCACGCCAAGCCCAGAAAGGAAATGACGATGCTGCTATATCAGTTACAGAATCTGATCAAAGTGGCGGAGTACGAGACCGACAGTAATGAAAGACAATCATAAAAAAACTCGACACTCACGAGTACCGAGCATCACACAGCTGCGACAAGGCTCTTCGGGAGATGTGCGCTCGCATTTACATTTAGATTTACGACATTGGTCGCATGCTGGCACGTACCATACGGCAAAGTCAACCACTGTGCTCGTCGAGTAAATTATCGTGGGCGCACCTTTGCTACTCCTGCGACGGATTGGCTTCTCTCCTGTGACGCCTGAAAGATGCCCCAAACCACCACTGCTCCCAGCCATGGGGGGCAACTCTATGAGGTCACCCACTTCGTCGTACTCGTCGCTGAACGACATTGCATTCTGGAGACCAATGTGTCCATCCATTTGAGAATCTTCGTGCTGAGGAGACCAAGAGTTGACGGACGACATGAGTCCGTAGTCTGATGAAGTATCCTGAGTGAAACGATAGACAGACTGGGGGACAAGTGGAGGCGCTTCCGATGGTTGACGGGAAGATGAATGAGAAGAACCGTGGGATGAAGAGGGCTGTGAGCGAAACGAGAAGCGAATATTTTGGAGAGAAGCAGAAGCCGGTAACAAATCCGGAGACGGCGAAGACTCAGTCTTCACAGGGACCTGAGAATGAACTGTAGAATCAGGATGTTCAGGATTGTCATTAATAAAATAAGGTGCGTCCTGCACTGAGAAGACGCTCATTCTCAGGAACTTGGACTGGAATGCTGCACTGGACGACCTGAAGGAGGGGGGGGGGAGGAAGGGGGAGCGGACGTTAACGACGAAAGTAGAGAGACTCACAGAGCGTCGGATGCGTCCATACGGTGAAAAGCTGAGTTCTTAGACCGATTGAAAATCAGGATTCGGCCGAGGTTAGAACGCGGTACGAAATATCCACCAAATCGCATAAAAACATACAAAAATACTCTTTTCTGTGGATCGAGATAATGCGCCTTTTCCGTTTATAGACATCGTTCCGGCAAGCCCTCAGTGAGACTCAGATCCGCAGTCACACGCCTTCAGTACGCGATTTGCTTTCCTCATTCGGTGCTCGGATGCGGTTTCAACTCAAAATTTTTTGAATTGCGCCTAATGGCCACCCACCACCGCGGCCATTCCAGTGTGACTGTGAGAGCCTTGGATCGCATTTCAGTGGCGCATTCACGGGACCATATCCGTGTCAGTCCCTAATTCTCGACTTGCCCCTCTTCCGCGATCGTGAACAATCGTTCCATGTTTCGGCCTGCGTGCCGCTAATAGTTTCCAGAATTGACGGTAGCGCAACCCCCCCCCCCCCGCAGTCTTTGTAAGTATTGATCCATAAGGAGCGTGTTTCGAACCGTCGGAAACCATTTCAAACTTTTGCTCTGTGCCTAGGTTCTTTTTTTTCTGCGAAGAAGTGCTCTTGTCCAGAGTTGATGTGGGGCAGAGAACAGTTAAATCTACATGTGTCACTCTGACATCTCGTACTCGCCCCATTCTCCTGCATACTTAGTAAGTCCCGATGGCCCGCGTGTTCGCTGGGCGGTACAGTAGTAACAGTCAGCGAGCACACACCTACCTGGCGGAAGACATTCGGGTCGGTCCGTGCCGGTCCGCTTTTATCGCAGATGAAATTTGTTTGGTCCGGATATTGCGTCACGACAAGAATCTCTCCGTGGATCGGTTTAGATATCTATCTGATCGAACCAGTCGGTGCCGTATTGACACAAACGAAGGATCATGCTTCCTCCAATAACTACGGAACTTTTGCTTTCGTTCATGAAATCTGCGCAACTTTTTTTCAGAAGATCACAGGCAGCCCTTTTCTCCAGGCGCTAACCATAGCTCATCAGCACGAGTTCATACTCCTAAATAGGTTTTCTATATTGATTGCAAGTACCGGTCGCTAGTGGTCGGAAGCAACAGCAGGTTCCGATCATCGATACCCGTCAAATCCACGAGGACTGCTTTCTATGCAGTCAAATAAGCAAATAAAATTTCTTAGCCACATGCCTACGCGATCATAGAGCGTGTAATTAAATAAAAAAGTGAGGCACCTTTACAACTTTCTGATGTTAGCTACAAGAGGTTACAAGACAAGAATAATGTTAACCTCACTATATTGCGACAGGCAAGGTCGTTGCGTATGTAGACAGGTAACAGGTGCTATAGGGAACCAAATATATACTAAAGCAGCAATATAAGAAAACCATAACTCAAATAGCAAGACAGAACGAGACAAGGCGACACGGAGAGGACAGAAAAAAGTAAACAGCATATATAACACTATAGTCCATCGACCATCAACTTGGTTGGCGGTGCTAACCCTAACCGCGGTGGTGGCGAAATTCTCCTGTCCATTTCTCTCACCCCTACGTGTAGACCAATACTGACAGGCCCGTCTTTCAAGCCGGGTGCTTCACCGTTGCTCATCCGCAACGCACCATTCTTCCCCTCTCCAGGCGCCAAGGCCGAATTTCTGCCCTCTAGTGGAGGCAAAATAGGTACACCTACACCCATCTTCGATACTGGCGGCGACAGCGCCCGGTGTTTTAACGGATCGTCTCGATCCCGGTACCGATTTGGTGAGGTAGGGGGAGGTAGTGTCCGTGTCTGTGGCGACACCGTTATGGGATTTGGTAGACCGGCTCTTGAAGACGAAGAAGAGGCCGATGAATATCTATGTCCTGGTGAGTTCACATAGTTTGGCGCGGCACGATAGTCATCTGGTGCATTCCATGAATTCCGCGGTGACCGATTTGGTGTTGACGAGCCCATGACGAACGGCACTGGGACTGGCCGCTCGCGATCCTCAGGCATTGGCAGAGGGGGAGGTCGACCGTTGTGTTTGCTCCTGAGATCTGGAGGTTCTTCCCCTTTCCAATGATGTGGGGGTGCAAGTGGTGGTTTTGTAGCTGAAAACCCTATCATTTCAGCACCTGGATGACTATGTGGTCGTTCGAATTCACGAGACGAGTGTGGACTCAGTGAAGGGGCCGGAGGTGCCGGGCCATGGTGATGGTGGAGTATATGGTGGTGGTGGGTCCGATGATGATGATGCGGGTGCGGTACAGGATTGACGTGGGGATGCGAAGAGTGTCGATGCATTACGTGCTGTGGTTGCATGTGGTATCTTTCCCTCTCCCTCTCTCGTTCACGTCGCTCCATCTCCTTTTCCCGTTCTCGCTCTCGCTCTCGGCGGTCGGCGGCTTCTTTATGTTCTCTTTCCCGATCCCGGTGCTCTCGTTCTCTCCGGTCTTCCTCCTCTAAATCAGCCCGGCGATCCATCCAATCAGGCGCCTTTGATGGTCCACCTAGGCCAAAAGCACCCATTCCCATTCCGGGACCCATCCATTGTCCAGGACCCTTATTAGATGTGCCATTTGGGGCGGGAGATCTTGACGATCTTCGTGACTGTGCATGATATCCAGGAGGAGGCTGAGAGGAAGACCCAAAGAACGGATGTGGCGGATGATGGGAACCACTCGTCCCAGGACCAAGTAAATCCTGATCCATAGGTACAAATGGTGAGGGTCCATGAATGTTACTTCCAGAAGGGTTATGTATGGAAGCACCACGACTTCCAGGTCTAGAAGATATGTTCTGGTGGTGACCACGATTTGAGTTGGTGCTGCTAGAACTACCATTGAATCCGGGGAAAGCCGGTATTGAAGATGGACCAGCTTGTGCCATCAGTGGTGGAGGCGGAGGCGGATGATGAGGGTACGGCTGTGATGATGGAGGAGGCATCCTTCCATCCCTGCCTGGGAAGACTGGGAATGGGTCGGGATAAGGGTCAAAGACCATAGGAGGGGGTCCTGTTGGTCCGTTAATGTGAGATCCCATATTAGTAGACGGCATTCGTGGCTGTTCGAACTGGCGTCGCAGTGAATATATAAAATCCAAATCTCTGGCTACTTCTGCAGCGGGCAGTGTAGATAATTCTGGATACACCGTGTGTGAGCCAGAAGGAATGCTCTTTTGCTTCTTGGATTGGTTGCCAAACGGAAATGAGTGGACGATCTGGCGTAATGTTGATGGCGGTGGTGCATCCTGCGGCATGATAGGTATCCGTCGAGCTGAGGTGTTCAGCGTCAACAGCGCATCGACGGAAACAAACAGGGAACGCACCAGACTGCGGCCGCTCGACAGCTCTTCGCTCTCTCTCTAACTTTCTCTTTCTGCGATTATTATCGGCGATCATATCAGTTTGAAGCTGATCTCTTTCATGCTATACGTACGGTCAGAACCAGTGCAACAACGCGTCGACAAATTGCATACCTTCCACCAACTCCATGTTCCATCTTCATGTACGCGCCTCCTCTTCATGATAGTGGTTATTTCGAGTTCACGCTTACGCGACGCGAGTTCGACGCGTTTATCTCGTCGGTTAGATAACTCCTTCTGGTAATGAATGAGCTCGGGATGTGTACCTGAACAAGAAAACAAGGCATGAGTGAAAAGTTCAAAAATCTTGCACAGGATATAACGGACCCTGGAGAATAAGGGTTTCCTCCCATGCCAATTGCTGCATTCTTTCGACGTAGAGAATTTCCCTCAACCGTCCAAATTTAAATTCGATGCCGGCGAGCACCTCTAGAGCCTCCGCACGATGAGCAGGTTGCAAATCTGACTCCATCTCGACTTCCATATCATCATCAAGAGATACATCGGCATCAATGTCAACATCCTGATCTTGGTCCTCAGCGTCGATGTGAAGGTCATGTTTCTGCTTGCCCTTTCCCTTCCCTTTCACTGACGGTGGAATGTCAGGCTTTGGAGTCGGCTCCTCTGCTTCTTCCTCTTCCTCTTCCTCCTCTTCCTCTTCTTCATCCACGTTATCTTGTGGGGCAGTACTGCCGGGTTGGGCCAAGAGTGATGTATTGACAGGAGATTTAAGTGGCGGAGCTGGGGATGGCGAACGAGAGGAGGCAGGAGAAGGAGAACCTTCAGAACCCGAAGGATATGGGGAACCAGGGTCGACGACACCTGAGCCCGCCATTATGGACGATGCAGAAGCGGCTGCGACGACGGGAGCGATCGATTCAACAGGAGGGGCGGTCATATCGACATCTTCCTCGAGCTCATCTTCAAGAACAGCCTTGGGATCGTCGTCATCTTCCTCCTCCTCTTCCTCCTCCTTGAGCTGCTCCTCCTCGGAATCAGTGTCATTCTCATTGTCGCGATCGACGTCGGGCTGCGCAGGATCATCATCAGAGACCTCGCCGTCAGTATCATCGGCGAGTTCATCTTTTCCGTCACCGTCGTTGTCGATAGCCTCCTTGCGTAACATGTCGGCGTTCTTTTCCTTTTCTGCCACTGCCAAGGCCAGCCCCACGAGGTCCATTGCCGCAATTTCGTGACTGGAGGGAATTGGGACGGTGGTAGCAACGGATTCGAAGGGCTGCTCGACGGGGGGTGGTAGTGGTGGTGCAGGAAGAGAATGATCGAGCTCATCGTGGGCCACGATGGGCAAATCCGGTTGCTTGGGCTGGTCATGGTCTGCGGTGTCCTCCTCCTCCCCCTCTTCCTCCTCCATGACATTAGGGCGTCTGCTACGCTCTTCCTCTTCTTCTTCCTCGACGGCACTCGAAGCCTTTGTTGCCGCCCATCCCCACATGGGTGCTGGTACGATACTGCTGCGTTTTCGTCGACCACCTCGACGCGAAGGGCGCATTCCACGGCCACCTGAATGGGTTCTTCCACGTCTGCTACTACCATTAGGACCATGTCCGTTTGTCTGGTCGTCCTGCTCATCCTCCGTCAACTCTGAAAGCTCTGAATCACCGTCCAGGCCCGCGCTGCTGGGCTCTGCCTTGGACAAGTTATCTGGTGGAGGCGACGGTGACGGCGAAGGTGAGCTGAGGGAATCAAGCGAGGTTGACGTGCCCGGCATCGCGGGCTGAACAAAGGACGATGAGGAACAAATGCGGAAAACAGTGGAAGGCTCGTGCGCGAGAAGATTAGGTTTGGAGTTATCTTATCTTATCTCTTTCGGAATTTTTTTGACCCGTCCCTTCATCCCTCCGCTGCCCTTCTCTCCCCTTTTTCTTTCTCTCTTTATTACTTAGCAGAACATGTCACTATGTTTTATCATTGATATCCCTTGATACAGGTTGAAATTCACCGGTTTTCTCTTCGCACACCGTCGGCCCCAGATGCTGACATACTGTTCAATATCCTATGTCGCCGTTCCTTTTTTTTCCTACAACACTATTCTAGAACATCGATCAAGCTCTAGACAGCTTTGCATTCAACTTCCGGGATTTTTGGTGTTTTCCGACACTCAGAGTTCATGTTTGAAGAAAAAGCTGGCGAGATATTCTACGAAGAGTTTTCTACAGCCTCTGCTCAAGGAACCAATATTAATCCCGAACTCCTCAAATTCAAATCTCAGGCTATGGTATCGACTCGACTGAGACCCTGAACTATGCCACACTGTTGTTCGAGCATGGTTTATTTGATAAAATGTAAGTTCACTGTCTTGTCTACAGTCGAGGACAGCCAAAACCACCCAATTTCATATTGAGCGAATGAAGAACTTTTGAGACAAAAACAAGGCCAAATTTTTGGGTCAATTCACTGATTTTGTAGGTCTGTACATTACTATATTAGTGATCAAGAACTGCCTTCAGAGCCATATATGCTGATGTGGATAATTTGGCTTTAGCTTTCTTGGCCGTCCACCAGCCATGTATGGCATGTGGTTTTGTGGATGAAAGTGCTGGAGAATGGCCTCATAGATTGGTTCAAAACTTCAAGGAAGTAAAGTGCTTAGTGAATATAGTCAAGAATTTTCTTTGGATTTTTTGGAATTTTTTTTCATATGGTGGCCAAATTTTGACAAGTCTTGACATTGAATTCATGTTTCCAAGAAATCTGCTTGTTAATATATTCTTTGGCATGTAAACTACAAGATCTAATGCAAAAAAGTCTTAGGAAATGGCTACTTGAGTACAGAAAACTCAGGTCAGAAATTGGCTGGCTTTGGTTGTCCTCAACTGTATGTTAAGAACAAGTGGTATACCATAGCATCGGAAAAAGTCAAATTATGTAGTTGCCATCTTAAGGAAACATGTGTTGGTGAGAATTCAAGCTTAACGTTCCACTCGCCTGGAATATACTGATGGTTATACTGCCCGCAAAATGATGTCTTCGAATTCTTTGTCGTTCGAGCCGTCATTCCTGTGCACAAGTATAGGTGGGAAGCAAGAACCCCCATGAGAGAAGAATCGGTGATGAGCATCGGCATTTTTAGAGTTATTTCTGGGCTTTTACGTCTCTGATGCTGCAGACGGTTTACTCAATTCCGCAAGCAAGAAAAGTATCGATGCGAACTTGATGGCGATGGCGTTCAAGAGGATTTGCCACAGATTCCAAAACTTCGAGATGAACGATAATACATCGATGTTTGGTAGCGAATTAAAGAGGCTGCACCCTGTTTTTATTAGTCTGATTTAGATGTGGACGTCTAGATTGCAAACTCATCTAAGGGCATCTCGTGTCAGTCAGGCCGGCCTTTGATGCCTCAGCATCTATTCGCGCCTGTTCTCACATCCCACATCTCCCAATTTTGACACTGACAAAGTGAGTGCGTTTATCATTTGTGAATAGCACCTTCAGTATTCTTGTTTTACAGTGATGAAATCTCACTAATTGACCTCCGTGACAATATCTCGTGTCCTCGACGACAGGAAAAGGGACAGACTGATCAACGTATCTTTGTCTTTTGCTGGTCAAGCGTTATTCGGGATATACAATGACTTCCAATGGTCCCGGTCATGCGTGTGAAGTACTAGGGTCTAATGGCTATTGACCATTGGTGACCAACAACTCACACAAAATCTTGCAGGTTGTCACCATCATAATTGGGAAGACCCTATCGCGTACGCCTACTACACGATTCCTCGAGCCAGAGAGTTATGAACTGCCGTTGTGGTGCTCTTGTTCAAAGTCTACTTGACGGCGTCCGAAAAACATCGATAGTCAATAGGCCGCATCACTTATCTCTTTGGGTGTTCTGTTCGCTTTCGCTCCGCTATCCTTTCTGAGGTCGAACCATGTTTTGCAAGTTCAAGATCTGCCCTCGAGATATCTTTTGTTAAGTTATTGGCGATCAGATCTCGAAGTGGATTTCTCAACGTATTTAATACGTTGTTGAAAAAAAAAATCAGCCAATGGTGAGTTCACTGACGGGAGACTCAAATGGTGGCCTCGGGAGCAATGCTTTCTCATCAGGAGGTGCTAGGGTGTCCGATTAATGACGCGAGCTCCTCACAGTCTTCATTTTCTGAGCGAAGAAACCTTAAGAATCGTCATCTGTACTATTATGATGGCCGAATATGAATCTTCTATAGTCTGTTCATGTACATGGAACTTAAAAGTAAATTAAGTTGAAATTACCGATCGCATCAAAATCGTGAGAATGTCGACGTCGAAACGGAGAGCCGTTTCGTTTCTTCCGCAAACCAATACTTAATGGTGTAAGGCGAAAGTATACCTCTCCTACATGGAAGTCCAATGCAGATACTCCCAAAATGCCGGAATACACGATACCCGAAATCCCTATCTTTCTCACTTTCGCCTCCTTTCTTTTCTTCATCAACATCGCCGAATGGCTCGCCAAATATCTCATCGAGGCTGGGCTGCTGGGATCCATCGTCGTAGGGATAATCTATGGACCAGAGGCCGCCAATATTCTGCCGATGGATGCCCAAACTACCTTCCAGGTCATTGGATACATCGGGCTCCTGCTTATAGTCTTCGAGGCGGGGCTTTCCACCGACATGTCTTTGCTCTATAAGAATATCTGGCTATCCCTCCTTGTGGCACTGACGGGCGTGGGCCTCCCCATCTGCTTCTCGATTCTCCTACTCAGTGTTGGATTCAAGTACACGGCCCTGCAAGGTTTCGCTGCGGGTGCATCATTATGTTCCACTTCCCTTGGCACAACGTTGGCTTTACTAAGTCCGGAGATAACGAAGATGAGGATTGGTCAGTGTTATCACTCATCTGCAGACCGCTTACTCTCGGTCCAGGCGTAGTGTTGTTGAGCGCCGCTCTCATCGATGACATTGTGGGCCTAGTCATTGCCGCCACTATCTCCGAGATTTCTTCGGTCGACGAGGTGTCCGTGTCCATCAAGTGGCAGACCATCGTCCGGCCTATCGTGGTTTCGGTGGCATTTGGGCTGTTCACTTTTGTCATTTGGGTCCTACGCATTTTGATGTTCCGTCTATGGGGTGACAGATTACGCACCCCGCGTGCTCAGCTGTTCGTGGTGGTTTTCGTGCTTGCAGGTTACGTGGCTGGTGCAAATTACTCGGGAACAAGTGAGCTGTTCGGAGCATACCTTGCTGGCACGCTGCTCATTCATGTTTTCGCGCTATCATCGTGCGAGAATTTCGAGGATAAGATAGAAGACCATCAGATTGTCACACCTATCGATGCGTTTACGATCTACATCATACCCATTCTGCAGGTGTTGCCATCGCCCTTGTTCTTTGCGTCCATTGGGGCGGCTCTCCCCATCAGGTCACTGGGGTCAGTCCATGGTTCTCATCGGGTTATACGGCGAGGCATAATATATTCTCTTCTTATGGGCGTCGCGAAAGCTGCCGTAGGCGTCTGGATGTTCGTCTGGCCCGACCGAGAAGGTGGTCCGCATACATTGACGATCATACAGTCTGCTACCTTGCTAGGCATGGCAATGGTGGCTCGAGGCGAGATCGCCCTCGTCGTCGCCGAGATTGCTCGACCGATCCTAGGTGATGATGAGCCGTTTGCCGTCGTTGTGTGGGCTATACTGCTCAACACTGTTGGAGGTGCCGTTGGCGTCGGACTGATCTTACTGCGTGCATGAAACGGCGCTCCGACGGAAGTTCCTCGGCCGGGCGCCTGTAAAATGGGTTGACACAAAGTACTCTTAGCAGCTGAGATTATGTATATTTTTTCCCCTGTTTTTTCCTAGAAAAAATTAGACATTAGAACGTCTCCGTTACTCGGCCATAGCAGAAGCCTAGACTTCCTGCCAGCGTGCAACCTTGAGCTTGTGATCACGCCTCCGGATTATATATCTTCTTGGAGTTTACCAATACTCTTGACAGCCCTTGACTTGATTATCCTTTTTCCTTTCGGCTGTGGGAGGAATTGAAATTTCGTGCCAACGTTGAAGCGGCGCGTTCAGTTCTGTAGCCTGTTCACCGTCCTTTACGACCGCCACCATGATGCTGGGGACGTACTCGACCCGAAATATTGGGCTGCTGGCAAGGAAATACCTAGGGCAGACACACAGACAGACAGCGCAGGGTGTTGGGAGGTATTTTTTGACGACGCGTGAGTGCCGATTTACTCTGTGGCGATCCGGTTTGGGATAGGACGGCACCCAGAGCTATAATTTCCCCCCCCCTATCTCTTCCGTGTTTCCAACTGATACCATCCCATTAGCCAGCAACATGAGCACCAAAATCATCGTTAAAGGCCCCGTCGTCGAGCTCGATGGCGACGAGATGACCAGGATCATCTGGAAAAAAATCAAGGAGGAGGTCCGTCTCGTCTTGCTCGTCGCGATTCGATCCTTACAGCGTCGGCCAGCTCATTTTGCCTTACCTCGAACTCGACATCAAGTATTTTGACCTTGGCCTCGAGAACCGTGATGCTGTGCGTTCGTATTCTCTTCATGCCTCGTTACTGAGCGTGTCACCAGACCAACGACCAAGTGACCATCGACTCTGCCAATGCCATCCTCGAGCACAAAGTCGGCATCAAATGCGCCACGATTACGCCGGACGAAGCTCGTGTCGAAGAGTTCAAGTTGAAGGAAATGTGGAAAAGTCCAAACGGCACGGTGAGACTTACCTGCGTTCTTCGGCGCTCCAGCTCACCCTTGCGTGCCCACAGATTCGGAACATTCTGGGGGGGACAGTGTTCCGTGAGCCAATCATTCTTCAGAAAATACCAAAGCCAATCCCTGGCTGGGTCAAGCCAATTGTCATTGGTCGTCATGCGTTCGGTGACCAGTACCGAGCAACAGACTTTGTCGCTCCTGGTCCCGGAAAGTTGCAGCTTGTGTATACGCCAACTGATGGCTCCCAGCCGACCACGCTGAATGTCTACGACTTCAAGGGCCCCGGTGTGGCCATGAGCATGTACAACACGGATGAGTCCATCGCAGGTTTCGCTCATTCCTCCTTCAAGATGGCTTTGGCCAAGAAAATGCCTTTGTTCATGTCAACAAAGAATACTATCCTCAAGAAGTATGATGGACGATTCAAGGACATCTTCCAAGAGATCTACGATGCGCAAGTCCGCCATACCTGTTCCGTTACACAAAACTCTAACTGCCGTGCAGCCAATATAAAGCGCTCTTCCAGGAGGCCGGAATTTACTATGAACACAGACTCATCGATGATATGGTTGCGCAAGCAATCAAGTCTTCAGGCGGATTCGTCTGGGCCACTAAAAACTACGATGGTGATGTACAGAGTGACATTCTCGCACAAGGCTTCGGCAGTCTGGGTATGATGACCAGTGAACTTATCACACCCGACGGCCAGATCATCGAAAGTGAAGCTGCTCATGGCACGTCCTAATTTCTCTCGCATTTGTTCTGTTCCGTTGACGCATCGAACAGGAACAGTCACACGGCACTACCGGGAACACCAGAAGGGCAACGAGACCTCAACAAACCCTGTCGCGTCCATCTTTGCTTGGACCCGGGGTTTGATCCACCGGGCCAAGCTCGATAACAACCCTGCTCTGCGTGATTTCTGTCTCGATGTCGAGAGTGCCTGTATCGAGGTCATTGACAAGGATGGTGTTATGACCAAAGATCTCGCGTTGTCCCTGTATGGTTCTAACATGAAACGAGAACACTGGGTCGTCACTACCGCCTACATGGACGCTGTTATCGTATGTTGTACTTGACTACAACTGATTCACGCTAACGTTGATTTCGATAGACTAAACTCAACGACAAGATAGCGAAGCGGGCTGCATTGTAAACACATCTAGTTTTGGATCAGATCTCAGTCTATACCTCCGTAGAGTTAACACAGCTAACCTTGTACATACTAATGCAAATCCTAACAATGGGACGTCATTTTGCGTGGACTCGTGATTCTCGACGACAAAGTCAAATTTGAAAAAAAAAAAAAAAAAAAAAAACGATCTGTTCGTTGGGTCGTGTGCTCCAACTGAAGTTTTACTTGGCGCTGACAGTGGAGGGGTATGTGCCGTCACGACAGTATTTGTTTCCGGTACTGATGTGATGGTGATTCGAAATAATTGAGGAGCTAGAATATCTACTTTAGAGCCCAACTGGTCCTGCCTCAGTGTCGAGTCTTGGTGAACACTGCGTCTCTATCGTTCTCGAGATACTTGCTTTTACACATAAAAACGATCCCCTTTCTATACCTATCTCCGTGTCTTCTTCGATTTTCGCTTACCGCAATGCAGTTTTACATCCCCATCTGCCGATACCACGCGCAACTCTCAGCATACACGCGTCAAAGAGCTGATACAATGTACTGAAGCGCCCATCGGCCCCGAAAAATCTGCCCTAATCACAACGGTGGCCGAATCAATCGTACCTCTCGCAAATTTGGATCACGAAATTGCTCTGGCCCGCAACACGCTCGACCTCCTGATTTCTCGAAGTCAGGAGACGAAGACTCATATCAAGGGTCTTGCATCGCCTTCGGGCCCTCCCTGATTTTGTTCTCAGTGAGATACTTTGGTCATGCCGCACTGGAGAGCAGGATTCCCTAGACCCGAGATATCCTCTGTAGTCGCTTACGGCTGTCTGTAGACGTTGAGGGACCGTGGCGCTGAATACCTAGCTCTGGTCCCAAATCGCGCCCAAATTCGACAGAGAGGATATTCCTAATTATCTTTCATTCGTTCAAGTTTGTGTTGCAGTTGCAGCTGGCACGGACGAGTGATTTGAGCTTTGAGGGTTTTGCCTCCCCCCCGAGACAGCACCACGTACGCTATTTTCCCGACGGTCATTGCGAGTGCCTCGCAGTAGACAGACGTTGAGCTGTTCCTGTCACCCAGACACTTTTGTTGTTATCAGTATATAGAGGGTTCCTCAATAAATTGCGCTGCCTCCGTGATGCTTTCCTGAAGCGACACTGACGGATATGAAGGCAACCTACGTCTTCCAACTAGCAACTAACGTACTGACGTTCCGCACTGTCAGTATCAGTATACGATCGTCTAGTCTTTTCATTTCTTACTGGTATAACAAAAGTTTACTTCTTCCCCTGGACGGCTGCAAGTTCATAGAGATAAGTGCCCAGAAGCTTAGACTAATGACATGTCAGTACTCTTCCTGTGGAAAACGAACGAGAAAAACTCACCCCTTCGATGAAATTGGAACGATCTAACTTCTCATTCGTGGAACTGTCACGCAAAAGATAAACGCCAGAAACCAGAAGGAAAAAATTAATAAACTCACTGTGCACCATCATCCCCTCTCCCCATTGGCAGAAGGACGACGTTTGCACCAAGTGCTTCTGCAAACGTTAATGTGACGGGTATGGATCCACCCTCCCTTGTCATGTCAGGCTCCTGCTTGTACACCGCCTACAATAACGTATCGAACAAGAGGCCTATAGTGAACAGAGGAACTCATACCCTGGTAGCAGCCTTGGCAGCCTCAAAGTTCCAATGGTTCAGGTCAGCTAGCCACGGCTTGCCACCATGGACTTCCTCCACTACCAATTTGTTCTTGCTACCCAGTTTCGCAAATTCAGCTTCCAGATACTTGTTTACAAGAGGCGCAATGTTCTCCGGCGTTTGTGGGGGCACCAGCCTGTAGAGCCGTGATCAAGGAAATGAATATCAAAGGTACGCGCAGTTACCTGATACTGAACTTCCCAGCCACCTTGGCTGGAATAACAGTTTTACCGCCGGCACCATAAAACGCACCTTCAATTCCGTGAAGCGATAGACTGGGAGATCGCATCCGACCCATCAGTACTTCAACCTTGTCAGAAGACAACGCAATGCTAGCGCCGGCAGCTGCTTCTATGTCCTCGATGGAATAGTCGAGCTTCTCGTACAGAGAGCGCTCATCCGCAAATGCTGACGGGACCATCTCGTCGACGCCAGGAATAAGGATATGACCTTTGGTATCCACAAGCTTGGACATGAGTATCACGAGGTCCGTCATAGGTTCATGTATCGTGCGTCCAAAGGAACCAGAGTGGAGGTCCCAACTGGGACCAGAGACGATTATCTTGTAATAAGAAATTCCACGCAAGCCATAAGTCAAAACGGGCGTTCGGGTGTTGAGCCAATAGTTATCAGACTAGTAAATGGAGATTAGGATTGCGATGGCCTCAAGCGAACGAAGACATACGATGCAAACACAGTCTACGCCGTCAAACCAACCTCCAGATTGGGCCTCCTTCTTGACGAGGTCGTCAAGACCCTCACTTCCGGTCTCTTCCATCCCTTCGAAGCAGAACTTTATATTAACTGGCAGATCCTTCTGGTTCTCAGCGTGGTACTGAAGAACATTGAGCCAACCAAGAATAGGACCCTTGTCGTCTGTGGATCCACGGCCTACTAGCTGACCATTCTCGCGATTAATAGTAAGTACGAATGGTTCAGAGGACCATCCATCAGAAAGGTTAGCCTAGAAAAGGATGAAGTTGAAGGGCATGAGAGTCGAACCCAGGACGTACGGGTTGAACGTCAAAATGACCGTAGATAAGCACAGTCTTCTTATTCGGATTGTTTCCAATCTTTCCCAGAATCGCGGGCGGAAGTTGAAGCTCCTGACCATCCATAACGTGCTTTCCAAGATCGGTGAGCTGAGTTTCGACGCCGTAAGAGTTAAGCTGAGCGTTAAGCCAGTGGGCCATCTTGAAGACATCCTGCCTATACTTGGCATCGCCGCTCACGCTGACGCCGATAGATCAGCTAGGCAGCACGAGTCACGAAATCCCCTGACCTTGGAATAGCGACTGCCTCAGCCAAACGATTGATAAAGTTTTCGGCATTGTCGTCAATGAACTTGATGAATTCTGGGGGGGCAGGCATGTTGGCAGAGGGGATGATGGTGGTACAAGTTGAAGAGGTTACTGCAATGACGACATCGCCCTTACGAAGTCGCGCTACGCCTGTGAAGGCTACTTTTTAGGATAACCTCGATATCGTGGCATCTTCCTCATGAGTTGACAAGCGGCACTGGTAGAAAGGATTAATAATGGCTGGGTTAACATTCAGTCAATTGCTCGTTGAACGCCAGCGTCACGGGCCCTACCTGCAAAGATATCAACGTGGCTCATGATATCCAGCTGTAGGCAGACATTGTATACTGTCCATATGCTTACGCCATACGTGCTACAACTGTACAACAGCAGCATCGCGTCCAATGATGTTATGCGCGTCCTTGACATCGATGTCAAATTCAAAATAGTCCCTTAGCGTCTGTATTCGATCCTCTTCGCTCGTGAATATTTGAAGCGCTTCCTGACAGCTGCCCACAGATCCTCTAATCTCGGTGCCAAAGAGGATATATTTTCCGAGATGTACGTCCTTTGTGCTTGGATCCAGTTCTAATCGCCTCTGCTCTTCTCCATCAATGATAAAATACTTGACGCACATGAGATTCTTCCAGAAAATGCTATCGCTCGGTATCTGTGAAATATAGACTGACGCCCTCATGAAATCCTCTGGGAAAGACTTGCTTTTTGAGAACGCATATAAGGTCTTCCATAATGACTCGGTCGAAGATGCCATAGTATTGCAGAATCTGCACTGGTACATTGGTACGTTATCGTGATTCGAACATAGTTGAACAATTATACTCACCCAGGCTGTCCAAGCTCGAGGAAGGATATGCTGCCCGAACTAGACGATGTTTCTCTGAGGGTTGTTGAACCCGAAGCAATATGACCCTCTTCCAAGAAGAACGGTCCGTTGAAACATGCCCTGAGGTGTCACATCCATAGAGTGGTCTGAAGTACTGAGGTAGGTCCATGCTTAATTCACTGCATTTTCGACGTTGACTGAAGTTTAGAACTTACTAATGCATATCACAGTTTACGAACAGGAATTCGACAAGGTGCATGCGAACGAGTACATGGAGGTTCTCAAGTGTTGTCTTGAATGCCCCAGAAGCGATGTCGAATTCTGTGAGTTCATGTCTGTACCCTATGGATTCTAACCATTGAATAACTTCTTCTTCTGGAGTCTAAGGGGATTCGACTTTCCTAATAAGCGTGCGGCTTGAAGAAGGGCCGTTGAGGGTGTAGGTCATGGCTAGACGTTGAGTGGGAACAAGGGATACAAGTCAACATCATGAACCGCTTTCGAGTGGTTTCAAAGAGGTCTCAAAGAACAACCAATGGAACGGGGGTGGGGGGGGGGCTGCGGCCGACAAGGATCCTATCCGTGTCATGCTCACACAGAGACTGCTGGCATAAATCCGAGTTCGTGCATTTATAATGTACAACGTCTGCTTTGGGCCGAGCGACTTCCCAACTTCAGTCAAAGAGACTGACGATCTTACCGCTTCAGCTTCTAATTTGCTAGTGCTACATGACCACCGTATAAAACCCGCGCCGCGTAAAATAAAACCACCGCTTTTGCCTATATTTGCTTATAGTTTACGGCTGCGAGTGGATACTCCATGATATGTCGAATGTATCGTCGTAGGTACTACGACGTGTATGTAGTCAGCGAGGGAAAACCAGAACAAAGGTTCTCCCGAGGCACCGTGGTGTCTTTGAAATGTTGCCGCTAGGTATTAGCTTCCTTCAGCACATTGCTCGACTTGATCATTCGCGCCTCTATCTTTGAAAGGAAGTTCGAATTTCAAAGTGCAAATGCTGCTCGGTTACCTCGGGTTAGGGTTCGGCTACCTTTTCCATACGATGACATCCAAAAATCTATCTTTTCTGGATCTTATCGACATCTGTGACAATGTGCGGCCACATCTTTCTTTTCCTCATCCATCACCATTCGACAGCGAACGGCTAGTACCATTTCATCTCTCTCCGTCATCACGGGCTCCCGTTATCGGTCTCCTACGACCCATTATCATCGAGAAACTGAAAGCAGAAAATGTTAACAGTCACAACAGTGGTCTTCCGGAACTCTGGGATATCCAAGATGCACGGGTCTCTTTTCGGTCGTGGCTTGATACACCATCGAAGCGCACTGCTGCCATGAAGGAACTATGTGAGCGATGGCGAGATACAGAACTCTTCCCTGATGTTTGCGGGCCTAAGAAGTGGAGAGCAGAGATGTTTCCCATCTATCGCAACCCTTTTGACGCTCATGACTACCCGAAGGATGGACAGCCTGACGAAGGACTGAACTACGCATTCGAGATGGAGCGCTCGGCCTGTGCACTTTTCGGCGTCGTGACATATGGCATACACATGACCATCTACCAACAAGATGCCTCAGGTCTTCGTATGTGGATACCGACCCGTGCGCGAACGAAGCCAACGTGGGTTATCCTATCTGATATAGATTCTTACTTCATCGCACATATATGCAGGTGGCCTGGTTACCTTGACAACACTGTTGCCGGAGGAATCCCCAGTGGAATGGGCATGTTCGATTCCTTGGCCAAGGAGTGCATGGAAGAGGCCAGCATCGAAGAAGATATCGTTCGGCAGTACGTACGAGCAACTGGAGCCGTCAGCTACTTCTTCAGAACGTCCGCGGGCTGGTTGCAACCAGAAGTGGAGTAAGTTTCGTACTTCGCTGTTATCTGCCTCTAATCCCCTGCAGATATGTCTACGATCTTGCCATCCCCGCAAATCACCCAGACTCTTCCGTTTTTGAGCCCAAACCTTTGGATGGTGAAGTCGAGTCATTCGAGTTTCTTCATCTCGACGATCTTACGCCAAAGTTACGGGCGGGGTCGTTTAAGCCCAACTGTGCTCTGGGAAAGTTGTGCACCAAGTACTTGCAATGTCTTCGTCTGATTTTCAATAATAGTGATTATCGACTTACTAATACGTTTGGGTCATATAACACCCGAGAACGAACCCGACTACATGAAGATCTTGACCCGCCTACATGGTCAATTTGACTATGAACGGTGGTAGAAATTTTTAGGTAAGCATTTTGTTTTGCTTTCCTACTTCAGAGTCGCTGAAGTTCCATATAAAATTGAAGGAAGTAGAACCACAACACTCGTAAGTACTTTGATGCGGAATGAGAACATCTGCTCTTAAGCAAGATCTGTCACCGAGTTGAGTGTTATGGAAGTTACCTCCGTTAGGTACATACAGGTACATAGCCGTCATAATCATTCTAACATTACCGCTGTCAACCAACTGTCAGCGGCTCACGTACAACCATTCAAGCCATCTTATAGCTAAATAGTCATACAGAGGTACGCTGCTCTTCTTTCACTTTCACCGCCATGGTACTCAAAGGCATCATAGCTGCTGTCCAAAATCTTTATATCCTCACTTGGGATGTTGGACTCTTTACTTTCAATCTGTTAACACCTAATCTCAAACCTGGACATGTTGTCCCAGAAGGACACCCCGGTGCGAGAGGGTCATGGCCCGAGTATATTGCGCCCAAGGAAGGTGATAGCAGGTGCTCATGTCCGGCTTTGAATGCCTTGGCCAACCATGGTGAGTGGTGGTAACACATTGGCACTGGATTCGCGTTCATCAAAACAACAGGAGTGCTACCCCGGGATGGGAAAAGCATTTCGCTTCGGGAGCTCACACGAACCGTTCGGGCTGCATACAATTTCTCTCCCTCGTTCTGTTACTTCGTGCCGCTGTACTGTGCAAGAATGCTTGGGAAGGACTATAATCAAGGTTTGAAAATTTGGCTCCACTTGAATTCTGCACCTCTTTCTAAGGCACCAATTCCAGACGCCGTTGATCTATCTGAGCTTGATTTACATAACGGTATTGAACACGATGCATCGCTCACAAGTGTGCTTTCCCCACCTTCAGCGGCCTGTATCTAACTTTAAACCTTTCTCAAAGGACAGGACAAGTACCATGAACCAAATCAAGGAACTCCCTATATTCCTTATATCGAAGAGCTTCTTGCATCCTCTTCTGGAAAGGCGTTGGATGGTTCGGCTCTCCTCACTCCCGACGACCTCGCACGTTTCTCAGCGAAGCGCCGCACCGAAGCAGCCAGCTCTAACCCCGAATTCTCGCTGGACTGCATACACAAAATATTCGGGAGCTCTAAGTACGTTATTTTTACGATCTACTCTTCAACACCACCTGACTGGAGTGGAGCTCGTCGACGATGCTTACCATAATGGGTGGAAGAGTGAAAGACCTGGAATCTTTTTTGATCGAGGAACGTATCCCGGATGGCTGGGAGTCTAGGGTTCTTTCAAGAAAGGGACTAACATTCCAAGCTTTCAATAAAACTGTCATAAAGGTGGAATGTAAGACGAGGAATCTCACAAACAAGGCGAAGAAGGAGAAAACGGTTCGTGCAACCGTGCTGCGATACCTCCTTGGCTGACTTTATTGTCAGTCCACCTAGTTCTGATGAGGAGGCCTGTAATCACTCCGATTGTGTCCATGCATAATACCATGTTGTAGGAAGTAGCGACTGGCAAGAACTAGTAATATCCTTCCAATGACCTTTCCACTGTAGCCATGTCATAAAGCCTGCCGTTAGTTGGCATGAAATACGTAACTTATTCAAAAGAGAACAGTGGCCTCAATATTAAGGGAATGGGTTGTATTAACATATTCTCTTAGTAGGTCAGCTGAACCTTTAAGTGAGTGCCAAGGTTTGATACTTCCCGCTGTGGCTGACCAGGTGGACAGCAACGACGAGGCCACCCATGCCAGATTCCTTCCATTAACTGATATGCCGTTCGAGCGCGTGAACATCAACCCTCACGAGATAGTGGATATTTCCGAGGTCCAAACTGCTTGTAGTTGAATGAACATGAATTTTCGGGCCCAACTCCGCGTGCATGCCGTTGTCTAAACACAAACTCAAATCATTGTGGCTGTTGCCTTCTGATACCTTTTTTTACAGAAGGGTCCTGGACTTTTTCTCGAAGTATTTTCTGACATTGCTCAAGGTCGGCGAGCTGACCACATGCGCAGAGGTCGCCATGACGGAACAATGCTGGAATTATCATCCACGAATATTTCTTGGCGCTGTTCCTATGGTGTATGACTGATCATTTCGTGGGACTCAACTGAGTCGGTCCGATGGGGATGCTATTTCATCATCATCAGGCTACTCGACTGGCCGCTACGTTCGAAGGCCAAACGGGCCATGTCGAGTGAGTCCAACTTTTGTTTCTAACAAGCTTGGACGCCACTGTGGTCCAACAGTACTGCTGCAATGAACATCGTCTAATCTAAAACAGTATCAAGGTCGCAGGATATGGACCAGTTGAAGTGCCTTGTAACTTAAGAGAATTGGCTCGACTGTCAGGTACCGTCGCGCAACGAATGATCTCACTTCAACGTGCTTCATCGGACACTGTCCTACAGTCGTCCAAAATTTCCCCAGGTTCCGCGGAAATCTCAAGGCCCGGACGCTAACAGCGGCCCGCAGAACTGTGAAGTCTTCATTTCAGTTCTGTTGTATCCCTGCGGAATGACTGGTTCTCTCCGATACATATCCGATTTAACAGTATAAAAGACCTTTAGACAAGCTATGGATGGTCAAGCAGCCCTCATTGAACTGAAATTCTCATACATCGCACCGACATGAAGTGGTTCTCTGCTATTGCCGCCATTGCTGCTCTTCAATTCGTTTTCGTCATTGTGGGCGTAGTTTCCTTCCTTCTTGGAACAGTACTGACATGATTTTTACTTCTAGTCTGCACCTTCGACAGTGCTTAAGAGGGCCTCCGTCAGCGATGTAGCCACTGTGGGTTTCGCAACTTTGAATGGAGGGTTTGCGGTTCTTGACTTTTTATATTACTGCGTTGCATTAACTCCGCGTTAGAACTACGGGTGGGTTGGGTGGAAGCACCACGACAGTAACGACTCTGGACGAACTCACTTCTGCTGTTTCGGGTGACAGCGCTAAGATCGTCATCATCTCTGGTTAGTCTTGGACGCGTGAAAAGGGCTCAGGCATCTGAAAGTTCTCGCCGACAGGAACTATTTCTGGAAGCGCTGTTGTCAAGGTTGGTTCTAACACGTCTGTGCTCGGGGCGGCTGGTTCTTGTAAGTTTCATGGATCCATAGTTTCCGACTTGATTCGACCACGCTTTCTAGTGCTCGACGGTATTGGGCTTCGTGTGCTCGACGAATCCAATGTGATTATCCGCAACGTCAAAATCCAGAAAGTCCTTGCAGACGTTGGGGATGCCATTGGTATCCAGGCCGCATCTCAAGTTTGGGTCGACCATGTCGACCTCTCTAGCGACAGAGACCACGACAAAGTAAATATCAAGACATTCATTCTACGTCGTCCATCATTGACCCTTTTCATCTTCTAGGACTAGTGCGTGTGATTTCCGGCTCTCCGGCTCGTCTAATCAGGCTGATAAAATTAGCTACGACGGTCTTCTCGACATCACTCATGGTTGTTACGGCATCACTGTCACCAATAGCAAGCTCTACACACATTGGAAGGCTTCCCTCGTCGGGCACTCTGATAACAACGGCGACCAAGACGTAGCCATCAGGGTTACTTTTGCCCTCAACTGGTGGTACGACCTCAACTCTCGTACCCCGTCTTTCAGATTTGGCATAGGTGACTGACTTCCTTTCTTCTATCACATTTGATGTATTCAACATTCTAATAGGGCACATCTTTAACAATGTTTACGATGACAACAACGATGGTATCAATACACGCGATGGCGCCGAACTACTTGTTGAAAACAACGTTTGGACTGGTGAGAGATCCGTTTCGTTTCATGGAGTTATCTGGTTGAGAAAGTTGATTGAAAAGGTACCGATAAGCCTCTGTACTCCACTGATGAAGGATACGCGGTTGCCATAGACAACGGTGAGTGCAATCGAATTTTTCGGATTCGATGCCATACTTACTTATTTGTGCAGACTTCGGAGGCGCAGAAAATAGTACGTCCTCAGTCTTTCAATCTATCAGCGTATCAATTGGGACACTTTTAAGCCGCGGACGTAGGCACAATCACTGCTTCTGAACTCGGATACAGCTACAGCCTCTGTCCGTGCTACAGTTGAGGCCAATGCGGGACAAACGCTCTCATTCTAAGGATTTACATCTTGTTGCATTTCATAAGTCCTGCCAGACCTCTTCCTTCTCGTACGTTGTTGTTATAGCGTGACAAAATGTGATTTCTCCGGTCCCATCAGTTTACCCTTGCTTGATGCATGTGAATGCATCATGGGCGATAATACTTTTCTTTGAAAATTTGAGTCGCTAATGCTCGCTATGCGGATTTGAACAAGCAGCGCAAGTCGGCATTGTCACCGAGGCTCTCGTGGCGCCTCCGAGCCAATATTCTCATTTGAGGGTGTTTAAATTGCAATCCGAAGCTCGAGGGCGGTGGCGTCGAGCGAAGCGTGTGCGGCGAGCCCATATGCAAAGCAAAAATGAATTAAAAGGTGCGGTGTCAATCAATTTCTACTATAACTGGCTGATGGATGGTCACGGTCAGGTTCAAGACGACGTATGGTGAGATTGCCGAGTCTTCCTTGTTCCTTAACGTATCCATCGTCTACTCTCGCTCGAGTCTTCATAGATATCCCACAGTCATCATGGATAGCGCGTCCTTGTCGACGCAAATGCATTTGCGTATGGACTCATCAACCCCGCTCTGGAGCAAACCTAAGGACTTTGTGAATCGAAATTTTCGGTCCAAAGGACGCTTCCTCGTTGGTGCTGCTATCGGGGTGTCTCTGGTCGCTCTCATGTCTTTGGTCGGATTCTGGCTTTGGGCATCATCAGAGGCCCCCCCCTTGTTGGAACTCACCAAGAACGTCGAGGTAGATTCGTTCGATCCCTTGAACGCCCTCGTCGGTGCGCCGACTGAGCACTTTGGTGGTGAGTAATAAATAACTGTTTTCCGCTGTTCTCATTTTTGCAGACAATCTTCGCCCTGACTTCAAATACATCACTTCCTGGATATCTGCTGGTTGGAGTGAGTATCTCTTTATTTAAGTAACAGCGAGTACCGCCGCTCATCTTCTTATACAAGCGAATGATGTGATGACCTATGTTGGTCGATTATTCTGTCCATGCACTTCTTTGAGCCGCTGACCGTTTTACAGATTAATCTGATATATTTGGGCTTGATAACTGACCGTGTACCAATATTGCCTATGTTTATTCCCTCGCATATTGGTGCCGCTGCATCACCCATCGCATTTGGTGATGTGTTTGATGTTCCTCGCCTTCGCCAGGCGCTGGACAGACCTATTCTTGAATGGCGAGATGTAAAGGATCCGAATAGCGCAGAACTAGATGGACTCGGGTGCTGGAACGTTTGGGAAGCGACATCACAAAACCACGAGAAGGGTCCCCGTGGAAGCAGTGTCCTAGGCTACCTGCAACTTGGTAAGGGCGATCATCTGTTGCTTGCATGAGTTTCTGGTTGACCTCATGTGTATAGACGTGTCATATACGAGGATGCCTGACTGGGTCAAGCTCATTCAGAATTATGAACACGACTCTCATACAACATTTTGGGCGCTCGCGAAATTCGCCTTTCCAGAGACGAGAAAAGCCAACCTTGTAACGCCACTCCCTTCGCCGATTCTGAACATATCGCTTCCACCAGACGAGCAACTCCTTTGCTATGATTATTTATATTATGTCTGCGCCCAACAGGTGGGGATATATCTGTTTATCATAGAACTAAGCCAATGCTTAAATTTTCCAGCCATTCGAATATGATCACGACTATAGCCCGGCATGGCGCTTTGTTGCTCAGTACATGCATTGGGTTCCTTCGCTCGAAGCTCTGACGAAAAAATATATCAATCGTGCACTAGGCTTGGAAGACGACGGCCCCACACCTCCGGTGCCATTTTATCATCCTCTCTTCTTTATGATGTACTCAATCTGGTGCAGTACGTTGGTATTCATGCTCGGCACGCTGACTTCAAAAACTACTGCTGGGGTGCACCGCAGGAAGAATGCTTTCCCTCTATGGCCGTCATTGCCCGACGGGTACAGGAGGTTAAAGACGAACTGCTACAAACTCAAGGTATTGACGTTGAACATGTCATCATGACAAGCGATGAAACGAACGCTAGCTGGTGGGAGGAAGTCACACAGCAGGGTTGGTTTGCACCAGATCATTCAAAGACGAAGGAACTTTACGGCGATTGGTGAGCTGTTGTTCGACTCGACGGTTTTAGTTTCTTTGTATTTATTCATCTCTGGAAAGGTACCCCCTCCTCATTGATGCAGTGATACAGTCGGGCGGTGTTGGATTTGTTGGTACGGATAGATCTACCATGTCGGTACTAGCCAGACGACGCGTCGAATCGTGGCAAAACGGTGTTACGAGGACCATTCTGTGGGGGACACCCCACGCAGATGATCATAGGTAGTTACTAATAGTATTTTGGTACCATTCTTCTCCACGTAAACACGAGAGTAGAGTATGGTTGTATTGGACCAAACGCACTGAGCGTTAGTTTTGTTCTGTAAATTTATACCCCATGGTACCGACCCCGGTGTGCGATTGCAGAATCGGAACTACGGTCCGACGGGTCTCTTCCTCCAACGACGACGACCGAGAAACGCACCTTAGCCTCTTCCGTCTGCAACCTTCAGCCCTTATCCTTTAACGATACGACATGAAATCAACACTCAGCACAAAAAGAGTACGGTTCGAGCGTTCTATTGAAATCCGTGGCCTGGCCTTACCTCAGTAGTCTGGACCCAGCGTGATACGATCTCATTAATCGAAAAATTGTGGTTCGATGGGGGGATAGGTACATAAAGATGGGATATATGTGTGGAAACAGAAATTCGCCATTCTCTCCATGTCTTTCAACACGTCGGTGCCACTTGCAAACCATTTCCTCGATATCCCAGCTCAGGTTCTCAACACCCGCTATGCCCTATTTTTTCTTGTGAATATCCCAATCCTTGTGGTCGTATTCAATATTCTGAGGCAGATGGTGAGTATCGGTGTTTTTTACCTCTAAAATAGTCGGTTGAACTGGGCCTATAGCTGCCTCAAGATCGTTCCAAGCCTCCAGTAGTCTTTCATTGGTTCCCGTTCATAGGCTCAAGTGTCCAATACGGCAGTGATCCATTGACATTTCTATTTGCGTGCCAGGAAAAAGTGCGTCGCTCTGGATTCCTTTGGTTGATGCCTCAGCTGACGTACCATGTAGTATGGCGACGTATTTACCTTTATATTACTTGGGCGTCGTGTCACCGTCGCGTTGGGGGCCAAAGGCAACAACTTTGTGCTGGGTGGAAAGTCCACGGTGTTCAATGCAGAGGATGCTTACAAGGTTCGATCGTCTTCCCGCTACCGGTACATCTTTTGTAGATTAACCGTTGATTTCCAGCATATGACCTCACCCGTGTTTGGCGACGATGTTGTCTATGCCGTTCCCAACCAACAGTTCATGGAACAGAAAAAATTCATCAAAATTGGTCTGTCAACAGAGTCGTTCCGAACATACGTTGGCATGTTTGAAGACGAGGTGGAGACGTACTTGAACAACGAACCTATATTCAAGTCATACCAGGATCCAAAGGGCGCTGGAGAGTGGGGCTCATTTGACCCTTGCCAGGTAATTGCGGAGATTACTATCCTCACCGCAAGTAGGACTCTGCAGGGAAAGCAGATCCGTGCCGCCCTCGACAAGTCTTTCGCGGAGCTCTTAGCCGACTTGGATGGCGGATTTACACCAATGAACTTTTTCTTCCCTAATCTGCCTCTGGAGCACTACCGACGACGTGACCGGGCACATAAGAAGATATCCGACTTCTACATTGATATTGTCAAGCAGAGAAAAGCAAAGGGGGAAAACGTAAGGCTTCACTATATTTCTTGTTTCTTTTTACGATCACTAACTGCTACTCCAGCATGAGCTAGACATGATCAACGCACTCAGTGGACAAGTATATCGCAGTGGCAAGCCAATGTCAGATTCCGAGATAGCGCACTGTATGATTGCACTTCTCATGGCGGGCCAACACACAAGCGCGTCGACCGGCGCATGGGCCGTTCTTAGATTAGCAGAAAACCCCGATTTCACGTATGAGCTATCCGCTCTTTTTGCATTTTGTGATATGCTGATACTCATTCTGCAGTGAGAAAATTTACCAAGAACAGGTAAAATTCTTCGGCGCCCCCAACGGACAGTTGCGCCCCATGACATATGAGGAGGCCCGCGAACTTCCGCTCATGAACGCGCTCATCCGCGAAACACTTCGTCTGCACCCACCAATTCATACTATCATGCGACATGTTCGGGAAGATGTTCCCGTCCCTCCATCTCTTGCCGCACCCTCAAAGGATGGAGTGTACGTCGTACCAAAGGGAGACTATGTTCTTGCATCGCCGACAGTCAGCCATACGGACCCGCGAGTGTGGCGGAGTGCTATGAAGTTTGATCCGTATAGATGGATTGACCCGGAAGGCATGGCTGCGCAGGCACTCGAAACATATGTTGATGAGCATGGAGAGAAGATTGATTATGGGTTTGGTGCCGTCAGTAAAGGGACGGAGAGTCCATATCAGCCATTTGGAGCCGGAAGACATCGATGTGTCGGGGAACAGGTGAAATCGGCTCTTTTATTTTGTCGAACTAGCTGATTGGATCTCTTCGTAGTTTGCATATCTGCAAGTTGGGACGGTCCTCGCCACGTTGGTGAAGGAGCTGGAGTTCCGCCTGCCACAGCCATTCCCTGCTAACAATTATTACGTGAGTTGATTCTCAGAGCTGACCTGACCTTCAGTATACTTATTCTTGACAGACCATGATTCCTACACCTCAGGCTCCGAGAAACGTTGAGTATAGACGAAGGCGGCGTAATTAACCCTTGATATTAATTGTAGTACGGTTTCCGTTTATCGGGATTTATTGACGATTTCTGTGACATTGACTTCGTAAAGATCCGGCGCGTTATACCAAGAAGATGTAGGTGTCAACTCTTACGACGGCTTGGGTTTGCGTCGACTGCAATCGACGAAATTCTCAATTCAAAGGTGACTACAACTGCTTCTCGGTAATTACTGGGAGTATGTTTTTTGACTTGTCGCTGGCATAATGGACTCTGTTCACTAACTTAGCTTCAACGTACGGTCCGGAACTCGACTCAAGATGATCTTGGTTTCTGATTCTCTGGCTCAGACTTTGGAAGCACAGCTGCAACAGGAAGTCAGTCAATCCTCCGGTCTTATCCTTTGGGCTTACTTTTACCAGTATGGCGTTCTTCCATTTCTCTGTATCCCAACCAGTAAACAGTACCCGTTAGGCCCACTGCAATTGCCGCACCAAAAGCCTATCGGAGCATTTTCGTCACCGGAAGGGTCACCGGAAGCAAAATACACACAATATTCTTCGGGCCAAACTGTAATGCCTTGTTGCGCATGAAGCCAGCGAAATAATCGTAGTATGGTCTTTGCAGGGACACGAAGCGTGTTGGTCTCATTGGTGAAGATGGTAGTCCTGACGTCACTGGTATTCAGTGACGCAAGACCCATCGTGTAATTTCGCACGCAACATTCGTTGCCGCTAATGCATTCTACTTCGTCCACGAAGCGATCAGAGCAAGGTGGGAAGGAAGGAGGTTTTATTGGTAGGATGTGATATATCCTACTCCATTTAAGCTAATCTTTGCCGTTTTCAATTTGGCAGCCGCAGCGAGAGTCACTGTCGCCCCTACACATACCCGCCTACCAGCATGGCAAGCTCCCGAACGTTCCCTTTCACCTTGAAACACCTAGTGCGTCGCCAAGTCCGGTCTACGTGCCGTTTCATTATGCGAGAAGCGTGGGAGCTTGAAGAGGCACTACGACGGGACACGACATCTGTCGACAGGTCCTTCGGTTTCCACTGACATCTATCCCTCGACCCGGTGTCCCGCTTCGACCACCGACTACTGTCATTAATATGGCGCAGGACTTATTATATACTGTCGACAATTTAAAGCTTTCCCGAATCTCAGGCATCCGCCAAGGAAGAAGCACACTCCAGACCCAACGTCGCAGCCTAAAACCCATACCCCCCAGTCCGCGATCGAAGCGTGTCCTAGTCGCTAAGTTCTATGATTTTGGGCACACGCCACCACAATGCGGGAGACTTATTCCTGCCAAGCACCCTAAACGCAGTGCGCCACTACTTCCCTAGTCCCATGTACCCTCTACTTCTCAGAAATATGCGACATCTTCTGGCATACCACCGCAATGCCCCCGTTTGGAGAACCTTAAGAAGCTTGAGAAGATGTCGAAACATGGAGACCTGGTAGTAGAAGGCATAATGGTAGCCACTTTACTAATAGATACTTCTTTAATGGTTCGTAGTGGATTAATAAAGTCAATGCAAACGTTTATTCCAAATCATACAAAACTAATGTCACAGACTGTGTGTGGAGCCTCGATAACACACGTAGCTTCAGTGGTCACCACTGGTGTCAATATCCACGATTATATCATTAACGCGTTCATTTTTTGTTCTCTGGAATATACAACTGCGACTCATCCGTTCACACCTTCAATTTACTATACGAACATGTCTACTCAGCGCGGTATGTCCTCTCGCTCTTACGCATCGATCCTTGAGCTAAGCAAGGCTCCAGCAAGGATCCTGTCCATGTAGCGGCGGGCCTCAAAGCAACCGTCCACAACCCTAACGTCTCAGAGGAAGACAAAGACCGCACCACTGACCAACTGCAGCACATGCAGGGAGGCGAAGGCGGCCCCCATTCCCAGACTTAAGGCACTGGCCGTGCACCTGTCGACGATGACGACGTCAACTTGAGCGGTAATCAGCGTGGTACGTCGGTCCTTGTCCGGGCCTTAGCCGTCTGATGTACATCTTTGCTAGGCGGACGCAAGGCCACCTTGAAGAGTGAGTCTCTTGTATCCTTGAAGTGTTCCTTTATGACACTTTCTGCCAGATCCTAATGTCTTCAAAGAAGCTAAAGAGCATGCTCGTGAAGTTTTAGAAGCTGGACAAGAGTAAATAAGAAGATAAGGAGTCGACGACAGCGACCGCTTGATAGTAAAAATGTGCATTTGTGTGTTTCTTGTTGATATTTGTAAAAGTTTAAATAAGTGGGAGATACTCCGGGGAGAGGAGAGCAAAACGATCGATCTTTTTTGTGGAAGACGACTCAAGCTCATCGAATTCATATAGGGAATATGAGGAGTTCCATGATTCGACTCATCATAGCGGTATGAGGTGACAGAACGACGGGGAGAAATCTTTATTTAACGACCTGCGACTCGAGCTCCCAAAGTGGGAAGTTTTTTCCATCATGGGGAAGGGCGCCTATTGTCCGGATGATACAAGTTCAGTATTCAGCGCATATACCGTACTCTGGGGGAACAAGAGGAAGAAGGGCGCCTAAGGACAGGCAGACAAGGCGGCATTCGGCCCGGTTTCCACTTCTTTCACTACGACCACCATCGCGTCACTCAGCTATCTTTCAACACTTAATTCGAATGGGAAATTCTCCCGTACCCTCGGGAGATCTGTGTTCGGACCATCGACTACTTACATCCCGGAGCAATTTGGAGAGGATTAGTCTTAGACTGAAGTCTTTCTACAAATCGCATTATCACGTCGGCACCCACGCAAAGCACTGTGATTGTGGCCATATTCCGGAAGCAATGAACAGTCCGCTGATTTGTAGCTGCTTTCTCTCTGAGGACGCCTACCTCGCGCTTTCGCCACATTATGGCAGGTCCATATGCGTTGGTCCCACTGTCATACAATTCGGCGTTTTGATTTCCATCAAAGCTGAGAATCCCTGCGTGATTGCTCGTTGTCTATCAGCCAAGTTCGCCTTCTTTGTTTTTGATTTGGAGTGATGTGATGGACATCCTGCTGCTCGGGCTCCTAGGTTAAATGCGTTCGTAAACATGCTCCTCCACGGTTCCAAATCTGTAACCGTCTCGGGGCCACTCTGTTCCATATTAATACATAGCGATGACAGCAAATCTACTTGGCGATATACTGTGCCCTTTATAATCAGATCAAAAATCACGAATCGCTAGGAGACGCCTCGTCAGTAATCTTCTTTGGACTCAACGCTGTGGTATATATAGTATCTTTCGCGAGCGGATATCTTATATCGCCCCGCTGTCTCTCTTCTTCGCGCTCCCCAGCGGTCTCTCGTCTTCTCAGACTTTTCACGTTAAGATGTCCTTCTTCAAAGGTGTAAAGAAAGCATGCCGACGCTTTTTGCAAGGTTCGTAGTGAATATAATGAACTTCCACTTCACTAATATCCTCTACAGGAGCTAGCGAATCCAATGAAACTATCAACGAATCTTCAAAACGATGGAATAAGTACGTTCTTCAGAATGCTTTATAGGCGTTTGTCACTGAGCGCTGCTTTAGGAAATCTAATTCTTCTCGGAGTCCTTCGTCTTCATCGGAGCGTACCACTCAGCAGCGACGGGAAGACGCTCTTCGGGAAAGAGGTTTATTCCCTCCGCTTCAACTGACGACTAGTCTGCGTAGTCGGGAACCGCAGTGGGATAAGCAGACACTTGTTGAAGCGAATACAGGAGAGGAAAGCTCTCAGAGCCTTTGGGACGATAAGCTATCGCACGAAGATGAAGCACGACCAACAACACAGAATGTACTTGATTGGCTCTCCGAAATGGATGCGCATCGAGGCTACATTGGAGATGAGGGTTGCAGCGGTGCAGAAAGTTCGGATATACCCGCAGATATTGCCGCCTCGCCACTTCTGGAGTATCAGACCCCAAATATTAGTCGCCACCCTATGCATTCAGGCGAGCATCGGAACGACGTAGAGTCTTCAACATTGTCACCGACTTCCTCGCCGTCACATTCAGAGTGCTCATCTCTGACCTGCGCCACGGATTCTTCTTCAGTCCGCAAGAAGAGATATACAGAACAACTTCGAATCGACATCCCGTCTACACTTATATTGAGACCGGTACTCAATATCACCATTCATAGTCACGGCACTATTATGATGGAGGCCAGTCACATTGAGGATGACGAGAGTAGGAGGCTAACAGAAGTTGCGTACTTGGCATGATTCGAACATTGATGATTATGACCACATAACGACTGTTCATGCTGTTTGTAACGGATATTTTTTCACTTTATAAATCCTGCACTTTATCGACGAACAACAAACTACATTCTCAGGAGATTTATTCAAGAATATTTTCGTCAATTCAGGTCAAGAGTGCGATACGCGACCGCAGTGACATTTGCGCGTTCGTGTTCGTCAGTTGCACCCTAATTCAAGCGGGCCGATCACTCCGAAGCAAACCATATTTCTTCATCCTATTTCAAGCTGCCGTTTGGCGTCTCTGTGACTATACTAAGAGGACCTCTCGAGTTGAGGTAGGTCCTTTTGAATATGTCATACATCGAAGACAGATTCTTCTCTCGCTTCAAAAGGGGTGCTTTCCTAGTCCCCCGGAATCCAGAACTAGTCTTCAATGGAGACGTCGACCTTGAACTATAAATTATATCAATCACACCGCCTAGGGCTCTTTCCAACTATTATCTTCTTCCTGTTCATCAAACCCACCTTTTTCTTGATTCAGAATGCGAGGTTCAAACATCCGGAAGATTAAGTTGTTTCACCATGGTGGCTTGAATGATTCTCCATCTTCCTTCCGCCTGGTTTGCGTTGATAATCCCTCCCCTGACATTGCGTAAAAGAACCGATACAGGTTGCATGCTCTCAGCGTTACGGCTTGTAGAATCCAGTGGTCTGACTGAGTTTTCAGAGATCCGGATAAACTCGTACCTCCCGTGCAACTCTTAACCCAGGCATGTGTGGTTGAATCGATCAAGTTTCGGGTACAAATATATCTACAAGAGCACAAGTAAGAGCTTTTACATCTTGTATGAACAACGAAGAAGAGGGCGGCGCACCTGCGACGTCTGCAGCACCATCCTCCCAGCCAAGGCTCCTTGACGGAGAAGAAATAAGCAGAGAACTCAATGAAGGAAGGGATTTCTTGCGGAGAACTGGAAGCATAGGGGTACGAGCGTGGCAGTTGAGTTCCAATGACGATAGGTTCGGAAGAACCATGGAAGAGAGGTAGAACTTTATAGTCCGTTCGGGCACCGCATGGTGCATCTCCCACATATTCAGGCGAGTCAAATGCAATGAAGTGAATATCGTTTTTATTCTCGGACGCTTTGTGGCAGGACGAAGGGCAAGCGTCGTCGTGCTTCCAACTTCTGAGAGGATATCCGAAACCTCGCCGCAAATATCTGCATTCGAGATTTGTGACCACGGCAAATGAAGAAATCAGGACGGTCATTGATGGTCACTGTCTGGAGCTTTAGTGCAGTAGGAAAAGCGGAGGTATGCTGGTGCCACGGGAACTTGTGAACATTATACACCGAGATGCGAATGAGTCGGATATGGCTTCTAGGCAACTGAAAGATTCGGCTTTGTAGAAGGAAACATGTAGCCGTCCCCATCGTGGGGATGAAGAGAGTATAAGAGGGAGTAATGGATGCGTAGAGATGTCCTGCTTGCTATACATGGAAACCGAGAGGTTGTGGTCCCCGGCTCTCTCCATGTGTAACGCAAGACGATACACGGAGCGCGAAGGGAAGCGTCCATTACGAAAAACTCGGCCGGGGTAATGGTCCAAAGGAAATCCTGCATCAAGAGAATCGGTGGGGCTGCCGATGGATGGATGCATTCATCGCGTCATCCATATCCCACAAGAAAATCTTCTCTAAGACTTCGCACGGCATCTTGCGTACCGGATTCATGAGAACTTTAGATACAGCAAGCTGTTGCTCATTGATAGCGATGCTCTCAGCTGTGAGTTGGTTCAGAAGATGTCGGATTCGCGAAAGCCGCCGGTTGAAGGAGCGAAGATATTCACTACCATTGAAAATGACTTCCTCGACTTCTGCAAACTCGTGGTCTATTAGAGGATTGTTGGAGTAAAGGAGCTCGTTAGTTCTGCCAGATAGTATGCCTTCAGGAAGGCTAGTACCAGTGAACGAACAGAATCCACAAGTGGGCAGCGCTTTGGGAGAAAACCAATATCCATGACAACGGTACTTTTCTGAATTAGAATTAATAAAATAAGCAGAATAGCTACAACATGCTCACCGATCTCCAACTTGACATCCGAGATCCTCACTAACGCAATCGGAAACGCGTTACTAGCTTGATGTTAGTTGGTCTCTTGCGATGCCAGCGCCACACAGCTCGGCGCGAAATGAAAGAAGCTTGTTGTTATTCAAGAAAATGAACAAGCATTTTGAGGATCGGGTGTGCGCTGACTGAGCTAAGGTATTTCAAGTCCACTAAGCATTGTAAAAAAAAAACAGCTTTTACTTGGCCAGTCATACACAGTACGCTGTCTAGTCTTCTAAGTTCTACGTACCTATATCATCTCTGCACATCGTTGTATTGACGCATTACTGGCAAAGAAAACACATACCGTGGTTGATTGTTCTAGTAGTCGTACAATAGTAGTACAGTCGCAAGAGTGAGTATGCTGGGCGAAGAGGTGACTCTAGAAAGAAAGGACTCAGTCACGAGATGATATGAAAGATAATAAACGCGGGACCAATTCAATCTAGTGCCCTCTCATGTACTTTCAGGCCCTTTTCACGCAAGAGGCTTAATCGCTCCCTCGTTCGACGACCCAAATTATGATGAGCCTGCCCCCTTCCGACTGTTGCACTTTCCAGGCCACCTGCAGCCCATGTTCTCATTTCCATCAAACCCATGACCGCGCTCTCATCGATCTCCGAGTTCTCGCTCCAAACGAGTCCAAGACGAGTAAGGACTGGGAGCGTATCCATTATTCCTCGGAGGAGGACCGGAGTTATAGTGCGAACTACCGGGGATTCGTGGATGTAGAGAGCGGTGAGTGGGGTAATCATCTCCTCGAAGAGAAGAACAAGATCAGGAGCTAGGATTGGCACCTGGATGAGGGTGAGGTCTGCGATACGATGCTTGCAACAGAACGCGGCGAGATGAGTAAAGAGGAGAGGGATAGCGGACGCAGGGTGTCTGCCTGCGTGGATAAGCGTCAAGTTCGAAAGTGATGGGAGAATGAGGGGGGCCAGCAGCGCGCCAAAAGAGACGTAATCAGCCCTGGAAAGATGGAGTGTCAGGGTAGTGAGATGCGAAGTGACGACAGGAATATCTTCAACGTAGATGTTGTGAATGTTATTGAAAACTGTAAGGCTTTTAAGCTCTTCCGCAGAGGCGATTGTGGACGCAAGTATCTGGGCATTAGGTATTGACCCCGAGGCCTGAACGGAAAGAGAACGGATTTTGGTAAAGGGAGAGCCCTCAATGTAGATAAGATTTCCACGTAACTCCAGATTCCTAACGCCACGGAGAGAAGCAAATCCCTCAGGTGAGTAGGTACTCGGGTCGCCGCTCGTGTCCGTGATGGACAACATTTCTAGTTGGCGAAGGTCGCTGCAAGAACGATTGACCGTTTGAAGGAATAATTCGAAGAACCGCTTGCACATGAAGGAAACGTGTAGGTGCCGCCATCTGTGGGACTCACGGCAGAGAGGAAGTATGAATCTGTTTTTATAGGACATATCGATGCGATGTAAGGGGTCAGCGGAAGAGCACAGATGGATGGAAAGTGGCGCGAATCGTGAACGCTCTAGACATAAGTGGAGAGCTGCTTCAAAAGCCGCAGTTCGGGGTGGTGGGGTAGTGGGCAAGTTTATAGAAATGGTGGCCCACAGGTCAGGGATGTCGTGCGCTATCGCCCGCCAGCGATGACAAACGCTAGATATATCCATGGCTGTTAAGGAAAGCACCTCCGCAGTCCCTGCATCAGAATCTTGAGGCTGACAGGCCTCCCTAAATATCAGAGTGAGAATCTCTGTCGGGACCCGACCGACTACAGTATGAGTGTCGTTTCTGTTCCTCTGTAGTCGCGCTTTGTGCAGTACGAGACTCTGTAGAATATTCTGAACGCGATCGATTTCCGCGTTGCACGCGTTCAGATCGTAGGGAGGGCGCGAAGCGTTGAAAGGGGCTTCAGATTCATCGCTGAATGGCAGATAATGGGGGCAGAGGGATCGCGAGGGACATATCAAGCAATGCCTGGCGGGCATGGCGTCGCACTGAATCAAACAAGAAATCATCACGAACGGTGAAACAAGGATCGGAAACTAGAACACAACCTTAGTCAAATAAAGTACAAAACGCCAGCGAGATTCACCTTGGTGCAGTCCTTAATATGGCATGGGGGGAGAAAAGAAAAATGTCGAACGGGTCAAACAAGTACTTTATCTATAGCACCTTGTCGTGAAGTCTGGCTTAATATACTAGTCTGATCTAGCTCGGACCCGCTTTATGTGGGCAATCTTCTTGCCGGTGGTTCATTGTTGTTCATGCACACCTGCCGTACCGAACGAGGCCTTGCCGGGATTGAGCTCGGCGACCACGTTGCTCTTTTCCGACATCAGCTGATCCTTACCTCGACTTTGGAATCCAAAGGAGGTGCGATAAGAGAACTTGTACCCCATTTCCTCCCATTTCAAGCCTCATCGATGAGATTGACTAGGACAGGCTGTCATTTGTCGGCCGCCGTTTACCTTTTAAGGTTGCTAAATTAATTCGAACTGAGGCATGCGAACTCGACCGGGGCCAACTATGGTTGCTTTTTTGAAAATGGAGCGGTGTGCCTAAGCTTGAAAGTGATCTAAAGGACAGTTTGAGTAAGTCTCATCCCATCAACCGTTAAGATAGGGCTGTACGATTTCACAGGGATCCTGCCTCATTTTTAAGGTCGACGGGCCCAGGTCCCGTAAGGTTTGCGAGTCGGCTTCATATCGCTTAGTTCTATGGATTAAAGTTGATGCATCCGGCAAAGATGTCGCGACGACGACACGACATGCACGAAGTAGTGTGGGGGGGAAGGTGCGGGTATCGGACCGGTTGCCGGAGAAATACCCTGTGCCTGCTGACGCTTCTCTTCCAGTTGGTGACATGGCTGTTGCTGTCGTTGCTTCCCAGGATTCCATCGTTCAGCCGGATCCCATTACCGACCCGGACAACAAAAAAGCTGTCCCTAAGCCTCCACCGCTCGTCAAATCGCCCTACAGCCCCAAGGATGCCTTAGACGACATACCGGGAGTCGCCCATGCACTTGATCTCTTCCTTGCGTCCAGAATGGTAGAATCAGAAGAATACTGTGACAAGACTGACCCAAATAAGTTGGTCGGCTGTCTTGCGTGAAGGATCTGCCACTGACGCAGTGTAGGGAACGACTCTACATGTCCACAGCCTATGGAATCATTCAGTGCGTCAAGGCGCTCATGTCGTATGCTGATGACGACATATTGGCTGGAATCAAGCATACCAAGCAGGGAAATCACATTGCTATCCAGCATCGGAAGAAGGCTGCATCGCTGACCTCGCGGCTGGCAGGCTATGTTGTAACCTCGTTGAACACGACTGGCATAGGCCTCATCAAGAGCATGACCCCGGTGGAACGACATGCGGAGCTCGTCTATGCTGAGAGCCTGTTCGAAAAATCTCTGTTGGGTATCATCTACTCTGGTGATTGGTTGGCGTTCATTAAAGAAGCGTAGGCCGTTTAATCCTGCAATTCTTTGCCGTGCTAACATCGATGACAGACTCAATATGAGGACGACATTCAATATATATCGTTCCTTGTACAAGTACGTAACTACTATGGATGCAGCTTCCCCAACTGGCTATGATGATTCCATCGATGCACACTTCCGTTCAGGAGTTTATCTCGGCACAGGAATGAGCAGTCTAGTTATCACCCTAATGCCCGCTAAAGTCCTCACTGTTGTCGAACTCTTTGGGTACCACGGTGATCGTACAGAGGCCCTCTCCCTGCTTTGCAAAGCTGGTGGCTGGACTTCAGATTCCGACGAACCCACCATCTCCGAGTCCGAGGAAGGCGTTCGTCGGTCAATATGCGACATGTCACTCATGGTCTTCCACCTATTCCTTTCCGACTTTACTTTTGAAGGTGTCGACATTTCTATGGCAGAAAAGATCATTTATTGGAACGCGAAACGCTACCCAGATGGCGTGTTCTTCCTTTTTGGCCGCGGTCGCCTCGCCCTGATAAGGTCACAGCCGAAGGAGGCTATCGGCTATTATACGCGTGCTATGGAAGTACAGACGCAGTACAGAAATCTCCATCACCTCTCGTACTGGGAGATGGCCGTTGCAAATCTGGCGTTGTGGGACATGGCTGCGAGTCTAGAGTGCTGGAAAGTGTTGGAGAAGGAATCAACGTGGTCTAAAGCAGTTTACACGTATGGCATGGCTGTGTGTCTGATTGAAGGTTCGGCTCAATCAGATGAGGCTCGATCGTGGATTGAAAAGGTCCCCGACTGCAGGCAAAAGGTTGCGGGAAAAAGTATACCAGCTGAGAAATTTGTGGCGAGGAAAGCACGCAAGTTCTTGGATCAAGGATGGCTAATCTTACCTGCAATGGAGCTAGCTTACATGTTCTTGGCTCTTTCCCGTGCGCCGGGGGACGTTCTCGTGGATAAGATGCTAGTAGCCATCAAGGAATGTCTAAAGGTGCTGAACGAGAAGGACAGCTCATCGAAAGGGTATTGGGATGACTGGACGCTAGCCAGATTCCTCGAAGGAGTTTGTATGAGATATGTTGCGTATCCGGTATGTTGTGTTACTTTTGGGAAGTCTAGGTGTTTATTGATCGCCTTTAACTAGGATCCCCACGCACTCATTTTGCCTGGTGCTCCACCTGTGGCGATAACTCAAGAAGAAGCGGGGGCGGCGTCCATTGCAGCGTTCGAAGCTGTATTTGAGAACGGACCCAAAATTGAATTGGACCACTACGTGGTGTATCACGCACGCAAGTCCTAGCCACTACTCGATCCTTCGATCGTCACTCACTATGCATAGATTATGAACTGGGAAGATTGCTGGCATGCAAGGGTAATGTCGTTGAGGCGCGAAACCATTTCGACCTCGTACTTTCTGGTGAGTTCTTGTGTTATGTCAAGAGAGCAGTATGTGATTATCTCACTTTCTGACAGGCAAATACCTAGAGGTTGGACCGTCGGGGAGGAAGGGTAGATATAGCATGGAGGTCGGCTTTCCCTTGTTCACTGAAGATACGTGAGATTGATCAGCGGTTTCAGAGCGCTCTTCATATGCGTGCATACGCCGCTATGGATGCGCTGGGCAAGAGGCCGCTATGAAGAGGCTTGAGTCGACGTGAATCTAATGACGTTACAGGTTATGAAGGGATAGATGAACAAGAATATATCTATAGTTATTGTATAATATACCCTATTAATCATATACTAACCTCAGTCTCTGTCTTACTTACTATGTTTTCGGTTTTTCGTCCATTTCGCTGGGTGTCTGATGTCCCCAAAGGAGAAAAAGAATTAAAAAAAGAAAGTTCGCGCCTCAAAAGTCGGTCAGCACCGACATTTGTTTGTTCGTTCAAAAGCCTACATCGATCAAACACTGAACTTACTGGCTATATCACTTGCAGCCTTATCAAGACCCTTGAAGAAATCCTCTGAGTATTCCTCATCATCAAATTCATATTTGTCGTCGGCATCCGAGTCCACAAAAGCTGAAAAAAATGAGTAGAATATTTGAACCCAGAAATGAAACATACCCCTCCTGTGACAGAATATCTTTGTGATTTCGGTGAACCCAGCGAAACCGGCGGTAAACCATGTTTCGGTTCCGTAGTGACGTTCCACTGTAATTTTCACTTCCACCTGAAAGTCTTAACCTTATCAATCCTAAGGAGAGGGCAGAGACCACAGATATTGATTGATGGTGTTGTGTCGGCGTCCCGAGTGATGGAACACGGAAAACGAATTCTCGGAAGCAAATTGGTATTATTATTCAAAATACATTTTTTTCACTACAGCGGCCAGATGGCGGAAAATATTTTGGACAGCAGGCATCCAAGATCTCCTTACGCAGGGCTAACCGAAACTGTCGGAAGTGCAGCGCAGTTCGATGAGCTCGCTGCTGGGTGTGGGCTAGGAGTGGGCTCGACACCTTGGTACCAAGTTGATGTTCCATAGACTCCCATAGGAAGGCTATGTGACATCGTTAGGTACATACTGTGTCTTAAAAGGGATCACTCACTCATTGTCTCCGGCACAGTTCTCGAAGACACCAGAATCATAGTTGGCAGGCATGTTCTAGATGGCAGTAACGTCTATCAGTTGCTGTGGAGGCCTGAGGGCAAGTGTCACCCACCCAGTAGCAGCCCATGACGTCATAGATGTGCTGACATAAGGTCGCAGCCTCCGAGTGGACACAGGCACCTATTTTGGTTTAGTGTTTAACGGCTCTCGGAACAACTTGGTGACTTACGGAAGCAGAACTCGCTGGATGAAATGAAAGACGTCCACTCATGGTACTGCAGACCACTTCCGAATCCATTACCATAGACCAGGGCACCAACTTATTGCATTTAGAACATGTTATCAAGTCAAAAATTCGGATCGACCACTTACTTGGGTTTCCATTTCCATCAGCACCGTGAGGATCCAGTTCTCCTCCTCTGTAGTACGGTAGTCAGATTAGGCTTCTGAAAGTCACATGTAAGCCAAACATACGCGTCACCCGCGGCAATATTGATCTTCGTGAAATCCCCGACACCGGTTACTTGGACCTGTATTTTATAGTTAACAGGTCATCGTTTCGGAAGGGATTCAACAAACATAATCAGGAGTTTGCACAAAGTGAACACCTTGCAGAGTTCCGTCAGGGATGAGGCGCGTACCACGTCCAGACTTGGTGCACCAAGCCACTTCAATTCGTTCACTGTCTCCAATGGTAGCGACCGACGGCTGTAAACTGTGAATCAGAGGAGATCTCTATGATTATGTCTAAAACGTACAGGAGCCCAAAGACAGAAGTCTTCCGCAGAATTAATCCAAGCAGTCTGACAGTTAGACGAGTTGCTGCTCTCGGTTCCACAGTTATTGGTTCCGCTTTGGCCATCCTCCGAGACAGTAGGAAGAGAAGAGACATGGTAACCTGTGTTCCAAACCTGATTTTCGTTGCTCCCACAAGACCAAAGTTGGATCTAAAAAAATCAATTTGGCTAACATGTTCTTCCCACACAAGAGAAGACACGGAACGAACCTGGTTCCCCGCTGATTGATTTCCATCAGTGAGATCGACACACGTGCTGTGGCCAGTCCAGGCAAGGTGGAAATCGTACTATAAAATGTTGAAATCAAACACACATAATCGAATCACCAGACTTACGGTATAGTAGAACTGCTGATTGGGGTTCGAGTTAGTGGAGCAAGTCCAGATTTGCAACTTGACGCCGTTAGCGTCGCTTCCACCAGTGACGTCCAAACATTTGGTGCCGTAGACTTGGACAGTGCCGCCAGTAAAAGTCCACTGTTGAGACGTCGCTCCGGTACAAGTCTCGAGAGTGACGATAGTACCATCGGTATCGTTTGCCGCGGTCAGACACATGCCTGGATGTCAACATCAACATCAGTAGAAGGCCACAGGAACAAGTCCTTCATCCTTACCATTGTTCAGGAGGGGTTCAATAAGCAACTCCCCGCGGTATGAAGGGATCTGCGCAGAGGCAAGAGCCGCCGCAAAGACGACACCGGGTAGTTTTCGTACAACCTTCATAGTTCTGGATGGGTGAAAAGAGAAGACACGAGTGGGAACAAACTAATGGTGATGGTATTCATGTGTGTTTTAGTTTTATACGTCGCCCAGGAGCATCGTTCGGCGTGAAAAGACCGTAAGACAGCAAGGACCAAACCGACATCGACATCGACCCCATCGACAGTCTGGGTCTCATACCCAGTAGCCGTAAATAATAAATGTATTGGAAAATATCAGACATGAGCCTGATCGAGCCACCACGCCAGAGACGTACTCGACAAAATTTTGAGGAAGAATGATCGGTCTTCAGTGGCAGAACCATTGACCCTGGTGCTTGATCCCTCCGCTATACAGTATGCCCGGTACCGTGACTTGTCCAACAGACTTCACTGAGGTCAAACACATCGCGACCCCTTGATCCCAGTGCTCATAGAGCTGCTGGTTACGTGCATGACAGTGATAGAAGGTGCCAACATGCTAGTGCACGATCATCGTACGTATGCCGGCGAAATCCAGTCTGATAATCAAGTCTTGCAGAGGTTGCTAGCGAGTATGTAAAGTTTCAAGACGCCTCCTTTGACAGTGAAAAGCAACACGAGATCGCGGCCCGCTCCGTCCGTCGCAGTTTAACTTCAAAGTTCCCACGCTCGCTATGGCTTCTTCCCGCCTCCGTCGGGAGGATGTCCTCGATACGTCTTTCAGAGTTCTGAACTGGCCCCAGAGCTACCTTGTGTAGCCATATGATACTAAGGTATAGCCGCATTTCGGCCTTACCTGCTATCCGCTGCTTATGTACTTGTCCTCTGTTACTGTCATAGTTCTTTGACGACCGGACTCGTGTTGGCATTCAGTATTGTCCCGCCATCACTACTCGCAATTGACGTGTTTGAATTTACATGATTCGTGGAATGATATTCGTGTTGCTAACAAGTCGGACCCGAACTTTGAGCGCGTCACTCCGCCATACTCGTATACTTCCTCGCCACCTAAGCAATATGTAGCACCGGTACCACAGTGAAAATCGATGAATTACGAGAGGGTAAATTCATAACTTGAATTTTGATACACTTTGCCTTACTCTTCGCTAAGCCTCTCGATTATCGGGTACTTGGCGCCCGGCGCATGAACAACGCAAACGCGCTTTTGAGTAAAGTGATCGATGTCAAACCGCCCATACCCAGAGGAACCACTGATATCATGATATCAGCAATCGTGACTTGGGCATAATCGATGGCTTACCCTAACCCAAAAGGTTCAATGGATGGTTCGCCGTGTATCGTGCATCCATTGATATTGGAGAAGCCTGAAAACCATTTACTCAGTTAACGATCCTTTCAGAACATAAATTTGGCATACCAGTATATAACCTATCCGTCACTTCCTTGCCTTTTGTAAGGTTCTGCGTCCATACCGCTGCGGTCAAGGAATACTCGGTATTGTTCGCCAACTCGATAGCCTCATCGATGGTGTCGCACACCATAAAAACCGCCACTGTACACAAATTTAGCCCCATGATTTTTTGCGTCAAGGTGGAAATTTCATTACCAGGCCCGAACGTTTCTTCTTTCCAGATAGACATCTCGCGGGTCACATTAGTCAACAAGTGAGGTTGTACGATGGATCCGTCTTTTCGAAGATCTCCCAGGAGAAGCTCTGCACCAGAGCTGACGGCATCTTGAATGAGTCTAATCACATTCTCAGCCGAGGCCTGAGTGAACAACGCAGGTAGCGAGTTGTGTGTAGGGTCTCCGGCCGTTAGCTTCTTGCATAGCTCCACAACAGCCGTAATGAGTGCCTTGGATACGTCGCGCTGGACAATGACGCGTTCCGTCGATATGCAAACCTAAGCAAGTCGTACGTTAATCAATTATTTTGCAAAATAAAAGTCAAAATCAAGAACCTGTCCGGCGTTGAACATTGCTCCAAAAGTGATACTCTTGGCAGCGGCCTCCACATCGGCGTCATTCAAGACCTTGACAAGAGGCTGGAACGCATCTAGAGAGCGGATACGTGACTTGGACGTACGATGCTAGGATTCTTTCCTCCCAACTCGAAGATGCAAGGAATCAGATGTTTCGCCGCCTCTGTCGCTAGCGCCTTAGCCACTGGCGCACTCCCAGTAAACTGTGTAACAATGGAGTCAGCGGCGGTTCGGTTTCAGGGCCAGAAAAGGACAAGGCGAAGTTACATTGACAAGACGTATTTTGGGATTGCCGATCATGTCCGAAATCAAGCTGGGCGTTATTTCTTTTGACATGGCAACAAAGTTGAGGACGCCCTTTGGGAGACCGGCCTACAACAACCACTGTTAAGCAAGAGAATAACAGGTGGAATTGTTGAAGCACACTTGATGGAACAACTCCGGAACGAGAGCATGACTTCGAGGACTGTACTCAGAGGCCTTTAGGACAACAGTGTTCCCGCAAAAGATCGCTGCTGCAACGGCACGAATGGCCAGACACAGAGGGCCGTTCCAAGGAACGATTGACAAACTAATGTCCAATCAGTAGCTGAACAGTGGTTGCCGAGAAACGTACACAACGCCAACTGCACGTTTCTTTATAATGACTTGTCCACCAGTGGCGCTCGAGAACGATTCCTCTTTGAGCTGACCTGTCATTGCAGCAACGGTCCGAAGTGTACTGGAGGCCGTAACCCAACTAAGTGCGCCAAGGTCGGGGGTAGCACCAGTCTCGGCGGTGTTAATTTCAATGCATTTCTGCATCCACGAGCCTTGTAGGATGTCCGCAGCTTTCAACAAGATAGTCTGGCGTGAAGAAATATCGGTACTTTCCCATGCAGGAAGGGCTCTATGGGCAGCATCGATAGCATCGCGGCAATCTTGACTGGTCGCCGAAGCAGACCGGCCTGATACTTGACCGGTATATGGATTACGGACGTCAAAGACAGCATCCTGGGCTGATGCCTTGAACTCGCCGTTGATGTACAGCTGGGTGAAGGGAAGCAAATCGGCCATGGTGGTGGTGGCAGAGGTTGGAACCGTGTACCGAATTGTGTAATCAGAAAGGGATGACGAATTCAAAGGCATCCATTTTTGCGGTCATGAGTCGACGTGTCAAACAGGCGTCGGAATACGAAGCGTGCCCTGGGCTTGCCTGTATGTATGCAGTTCCTGTTCCTGCTAGTAATCAGCTAGAAATATGATTTACCAGGTTTCTTAGACTTACAGGTAAAGGCAGGGAAGAGAGAACCAGTGTTAATGGTCTGTGCACTGTAGGAAGAAATTGATCTGTCAAGTAACGCAATATAATCATTTATTAGTCCCGCGATACTGCTGCCTCGCGGTCTAATGCAAGCTTGCGAAAAAGATGTCAGACAATGCGAAAAGGACATCAAACAAAGGTTGCGTACCTGGAAGATCTCGTCAGTATGTATCCGCCCTCTGCTGACAGTCGGTGCACTCAGTGGTCTTAAGCTTCTCAGTATCTCCACCAAGACTTGGTTCACTCTTCGGGACATGCTTCCAGCGGCCTTGCGGAGGATTTGCATGAGTATAGATGCCGTCGAACATCGGCTCAATGCGGCCAATCTTGCAGCAGAGCTGGCTGATGGAAAGGCAATGGAATTGTGTCTTCCGTGTTCAGTGGTACTTTTTTATTACCCGTGACGAACTATGCGACCTGATAAAGCTGTTTTGAATGAGAACCCCGACCGCAATTAGGCAAGTGAATGTACAAACAGTGACACGACCCACAACACCGTCTACACGAAATGCTTGAGAGACAAACGCGAGCAACGTTTATCGTACCTTTGCATAGTGCGAGTTACTTAAATGTAAGTTGTAATCGTAAATATCAGGACCCAAAGCCAGTATTGGATGTGGAATGAAAAGTCCAAAGGACGCGTACTACGCCAGTTTTCAGCACAATGCTCATATGTAGATATGCTTGTACGACGTTACACCCAAAACGGTGTTTTTCGCGGCGGGTTCTCAGGTGCCACCTCCATCGCCAAATTATTGTTCTCAACTGGAAATGCCAGCCTGGCTTGGGGCCAATTTGGGCATTTGAATTATCCAATCTCTCTGCCGGCAACTTGACTGTGCAATTCAGTATCAACGCCTATTGAACTCCCCAGCCTGTTGCTTCTAGTGACGTTAGCTGCTTCCGAAGAACGGAGTCCTTGCTACGGTCTATCTGAAAAAAGTCTCGGACTCGGATACGGCTGTATCCTCTCTTCAAGTTGCACGTAACAGCTCTATTCGGTGACTGTGCTTCCCCGCTGTACCTCCCCACTGGTAACTACCAATAATCAACGGGCCGACGATATTGTTTGCGTTTCTGGATCTTCGATTTCTAGCCTAGATCCCCGCGCTAGAGACAATACGCTGAGAACTTTACATTCTCGCTTCAGGTGAACGTCCACACTGGTAGCTTCTGTCTGCGCAACAAAACAATAGCTGTCTGGCCCGCATTCTAAGAGCTAGTTCCTCTGGCTAACTCGGCTGTAGACCCAGATATCTGATATTCATCGCTGTAATTGTCTCACATGCAAATATACACGTGTATTTTTTAACCGCCCACTCTCATTTTCATACTTAACCTGCCACCATCAACGGAAAACTCTCACTCTAGCGCTCCATTTCCGAAAGCCTCTCTTCAGGTCCCAGATTCTCCCGCAATGGAAAACGAATTCCAGTATCTGGACCAGTTTGATACAGTTCTCATCGTCGACGATTCCAGATCCATGGTCGGCAGACGGTGGGAAATTGTCAGTCTTTTTCCTTTCCTCATATCGTTCTGTTGACCTCGCTCTTAGGCGAGAAAGGCACTCGGTGAGCTCACCGTCGTTGCGGCCCAGTATGACAGCGACGGAATCGAGATACATTTCCTAAATGATCCCACTGTGCGGCATGGGCTGACAGTAAGTGTTCCTTGCGCCTTTGTATATTAAATTTGACCAACCCTTGTTGTAGACGAAAGAAGAGGTCAACGAGCTATTTCAGAGCGTCACTCCGACTCCTGGAACGCCCATTGGCCGTAAACTGGATAGCCTGCTGACAGCCTACGTAAACAATTTTGAAGAATTACAACGCGAAGGAAAGAAGTTGAAGAAAGTAAACTACATTCTTCTGACCGATGGCGAACCATGTAAGTGTTTATGTGGATGTGGCGCATGGCCAGGTAGCTTACCCCTTCCAAGCTGAAGCCAGAAATTCGGAGTTGTATCCTGATAAAGTCATAGTCAAGGCAGCGAAGAGACTCGACAAGTTATACGCGCCCCAGGTGCAAATTGGCATTCAGTTTGTACAAATCGGCCACTCCGTTGCAGCCACGCAGTTTCTTCAAAGCCTTGATGGTGATCTCATGAAGAAATATAACATCCGAGTGAGAACAGTTGTCTTCCCAATTAGTATCACGAGCTCATCAATCCTCATGCAGGATATCGTCGACACGACTCACGCACGTGCAGGCCACGACCTTAGCGCGAAAGATATGATTAAGATTTTGACGGGTGGAATCAACAGAAGTGTGGATAATCAGGACATGCGTCGACGTACATGACGATCTATGCTCGCCAAATCTCCATTTTTCACAGTCGCCTGGATCTCAAATAAATATTCATGAACAAATTATGAAGGGACTACGTACATCAAACTAAAACATACAATAACAGAAAGTAAAAACACATGACCACATACAAATCAGATGTGGGAAGCAGGACATGCTGTCCTATCTAAGCAGGATCCCAATACCCAAGCCGATACAAAATCCCCCAACTAGCGCAACGCAGACATTCCAATTTATCATGCTTGAGAAGAAACCCTGAATAGATCTCCGCGTCCGCCTCTGCAGAGGGCCCAGGATCGAAATCGAAAACATGAACAGTGATGTGAAGTGCAAGGGATCGAAACCGACCACGCCGAAGCAAGGCAATTTCGGTTCGGAATTCTGGTCAAGACCAGACGCATGGGTTTCGCTTCTCCTCTCAAGATCCCTCAATCTCCTCGCGACGTCGTAGGACAACGAGGCCTCCCAATCCTTATCTTTCCATGCATCGCTTCGCGTGGAAGCTTGACGTTGACGCTGCGCGCGAATGCCATCAGAGAGATAGGAAACTTCACGCCATCGGAAGAAGCGGTCGGCAGCTTCATTTCTTAAAGTCAATAACGTCGCGGGGCTGCGGAAAAGGCCCTGGCGCAGAGTTATCGGGGATGGCGGTCGGAATGATGATATCGACGGGGATATGTCATCGTCATGGTCAACATGGGGAAGAACTATTATGGGAATGTAGCTGGACAGCTCCTTGATTAGTTTCCGCTCAATGGAGGAATCTGGGAACCTGATAAGGTAGAAGGCCGAATAAGAAGGAACGAACTCACTGGACGACAGCAAGAGGACTAGTGCTGTGTAAAGCGGTGTGTAAGCCGACGCCACCAGGTTGGTGGATATGGTAGAAGGATCACAAGAAGGATCCAAAATATTAGATACGGCACAAAAAGGGGTTTGGACCATCGACTTGACATGCATTATTAGTTCCTTTGTAAATATGTCAAGGGATGTAGATCCGTCACAAAAGGTGCGAAATCTTACGTTGTCGGTGTACTCGTATCCCGGTAGCTCGTGAATCTCGACATTGCGAGCCGGCTCAAACTTTTCTAGACCATGGGCATCCCGTCGATCTAACCAGTCAGTCGACGCGCGCATCACCTTCCCATACTCCCCGTCTTCCCAGATGCCCTCATCCACCACATCCTCGTTGTCTTCCAGTAGCAGTTTTGTCAAGAAACTCTTCCCCACACCCTTAGTCCCAAGTGTAATGATACGAATATCTCCCAAGGTCTGACCGTAGGGCGTTGGATAGCGAAGAGGGTCTGGTAGTGTCAATGAGGGAATGATGAGCCCCTGTGTAGAATCCCGGCCATGGTCCGATTGCTGAGACGGAGGACTTGCACCTGAGGAACTGAAGAAAAATGAGGATGAAACGGAGGGAAATGAAGAAACGGAGTCCAAAGAAGGACTGTCAGGCGGTGATGGGAGGGCACTGGTGTTAGAGCGCGGTGAGGAAGGTAGAGATGAGGTTGAGACATTCTGGTCGACGAAACTGTCGTGCAATGAACGAATCGTAGAGGCGCTGGTACTGATAGAGGTGCATTCCATGGTTGCTCAGGGAAACGAAGGAACGGGCTGGTGGTGGGAGAAAGACAACATTAGACGTGGATGCATTAAGCATGCTTCTTTTAAGTAAGACCCCAAATTTATCAGATACGATTAGATCTTATCAACAGCTTATCACATCCGCTACCTTTAGCAGGGTCTGGACGTGAAGTTGTCGCAACAGAAACGCCGAGTACGAAACAAAGGTATTATTGCATGACCTGGACCTCAAAGAAGGTGTACCACTCGCTATAGATCTTCTTCGACGAGCACCGGACCTCAATACATCGAGACTAGGCACACACCTTACACGCAGTTCTCAGACTGGGAACTGGAACGTCCTGCAAACAGCATAAAAGGGAACATAAGCCTGGACGCTCGAGCAGGCTATTCCAAAAAGACCAACTTGGTAAAGATCGTTGACTTGAAGGAACCTTGGAAAATGACCGCGATTTACCTGAATTCCAAGCTTCAACGATACGGCATTTCGGTGCCGCATTTCGTTGCTTCACAGAAGTCTGGCCTTTCGATGGCGAAGAATCATCATCAGATGTATAGATTGGCACCGCTATTAACGTTACGTGCATTCTAGACGCTCAACAACTAACTCCGGAGAGAATACCATGCGCCATCGTCGGATGTTGGGACTTGGACGCAAAGCTGGTGTGCGAAGGCGATCCCGTAAACGTTTCCATTTAGTGGGGACTACCGTCCGAATGTGCGGACGAAATAACCGACAGCGCTAAAGCATGCCATTTATACCAAAATGCGAGTCCTTAGGTATACCAGCGACCCTCGGCTGCGCAAGACGATAACAAGGGTCTTCTCCATTCCCTCGTACACAGTGTGATAACGAGGCTTTCGGTATGATGGTTCGATATGATCGACAAGATTTACACATCAACTGCGCGTGAACCTATGGACCTGTGCCTAGCTCCTCGATGAATGGAAAACTACATGGGTAAACATCAGCGTCATGTCTTTGGCTCGGCAGGGTAGATCTCTACATGGGACCATGTCCAGAGTCGACTTCGTGTACACATCCATACTTCGATGAATTAATGTTGACACAAAGTTGATATTTATGAATCAGACGGTGGAGGAGACCTCACTTGGCTTTTGTCTAGAATCGTCAGAATGGCCGAGGACAATGGCCGGAAACACGTTCAGCTGTTTGTAAAGATGATATGAATTGACAACTAGTGGTACACTTAGACACATGCAGTGCATCACGTCGGCCACCCTCGAATCTCTCAATCACAAAGTGCTAAGTGCGGATATCATGAGTGCCCGCGGGAATCAAGGGGAAAAAATGTTAACTTACCTTCAGCGCAACAGAAACAGCACGTTCCAGCTAAACAGGCCATACAACAGTTCGAATCATCATCTTTCTGGGGCTGCTGCTGACTGGAAATCACAACGTGAATTCCCTGGTGGCCACCCCGGGGACCAAAAACATGAGTCTTACACGATGATAGTCTGGGGTTGCTGGCATGTATCACCCTTGATACTGCCCTTGATCGTATCCCCGGTATGATTGAGGAGGTTGCTTGAAATAAATTATTTAAGCGTTGGTGTCAAATTAGATGCCAGTATTCGAACCTGGGGATAGTAACCACCTTGATCTGGTGGAGGCCCTAAAGACGAGTTACCAAACCTGTTGGGAGCCTCTTGGAGTGTTAGACACGAACCTTGAGGATAGTAGGTCAGGGTTCCGGCTTACAGTCTCGCCTATATGTATTCTCCCTCCCACCACGTGCAGAACACTCGAGGCATTGGCATACCGGAAATTCGGGACTCTAGCTCGTGGAGTACTCGGTATATGCAGCGGACGAAGTGCTGGCGAACGGTTATTTAAAGCCGACGAAACCACGTGAAGAATATCCGAAGAGTCCGACGTGTTATCTCCTTCCACTTCACCACCAAGATACTACTCTCCTTCCGTTCTCAGTGTCATTGTCGTTCCTACAGCAGGGCAAGAATTTGCACACGAAAGTCGATGTCAGGCTCCTATCTGTGGCTTCTTTAATACACGAGAGCTTCAGCTATTGCGTTGCCAGGATCTGGAGTGCTTATCGACCTCTGCGACTGTATTAAAAGCAGAAATAACCGTATATAAAAATCTTGGCACTTATAGAAATCTACTCATATAGCCTCATGGAGGACGATGCTATGCCCGCAGGGGGCGTCTAATAGTGAGCTCATGCCTATCTTATTCGCAGTATGATATGACTTACCCACATTGCAATTCACCTAGTACCACTGCTACATCCTTATGTTATGTCAAAAATATACAAACTCCATTTGCTGAGTAACTCTTTGCGCCATTTCTTCCATAGATGTTCCAACCTGGTTGCTTCGATTTCCCCATATTAGCCTGAGCTAGCGCCGCCAATGATGCAAGATAGACTCATCCTGAGACAAGGTTCTCGCTACTTCACTTCGACCCAGGCGCATCGCCTTGTACTCTGGCCCAGTTCAAGGCACTATGATAGCCTCCAAGGCAACTACTGGTAATTTCCAGCTCTTACTTATGATGTTCGAACTTTGAAGGCTTCGGAATCCGGCACTGTGATTCTTCATGATGGCAAATATTCAGGACATGAAACTGTTATTTTCTGGCGTCTATTGTACCATGTCAAGCCACGTATAAACCTCGCTGCCAATGCTCCTCCGGAGACCCTGTAGTCGGAGATTATATGTTGCAGAAGAGTTCCAATGATTCCACTGTTTCATAGGACGCCGCGATGCACTTGCGCTTCCTCTTTTTCATACTACTGTATTCACAAAGGCCAACGACGACACGCGTCAATTCAAACTCCATCAACACAAGTGGAACATATTATGAAGATTGACTGTGACGAATGTCTTTTCAGAAGCCTATCATCTTCAGGAAGTGCGTCAACGACGATGTTGTTCTAGAAGCAATGGAGGCTCATTGACCTACAGTAGCCGTCTCGCCTTGAACTTAGGCCCGGAAGCAGGTTGGATATTCAGCTAGCCATGGCGACCATCCTTCTAGGGAGTCACCTTTCGGATGAAGACTGGTTATCCGAACGGACCGTCCGTTCTCGCCTATACCCTAAACGGCGCTTCGGGTATCCCTGTCGAGCGCGTGAGGTCTGAGTCACAATTCTAAATAATTCTCAGCTCTAAATTCGATCATCAACGTGCCAGGGCGCACGTTATGTAGCAAAATACTGCGCGATGATGACCCCATTTCGAGCATGGAGCGCGCGCCTAAGTGGGAGTCAGGTGGGGAAACTACCGCACGTTCCTTCATAAAGCCTTACCTTTTGAAGAAAAATACTGGGAGGTCCGAAGGCCACTTTTGAATCGGAAAAATGTGTTGAACAAGTTGAAACTGATTCCATCAATTGTTTCCAACAGAACTCTCCGGAAGTGACATTTCGATGACTCAGTCAGTCCACTTGCCTTTAACAAACATGCATAAAAAGGTCGACTTTTGTCATTACCAAAAAATTCCATCTCAAACTACCATTCAATCAGAATGAGCGAAGCTTTCGACATCACGGGCCCTTCGGACCCACCTCCACCTCATTATTCTTGTTTTCCCTCTCGGGGAGAGGCCATTATCGACCATTCTCCTCGACTTGGCTCTCAGATTCCCACCGGCACGTTTTTGAAACATCGAGGAAACATTACCGTCGTGTTGACAGAGCAAGAAGATGGTACTGCTACTCCGTCCTATGGTCGGGGAGGGAATATTCAAGGTGGCATACTGCTAGAGAGACCTGAAGATGTCTGTCAAGTAAAAATAAAGGTGACTTGATTTGTGTTGCTTTCCCATTGCTCATGCCCTTCCCAAAGGTTGAAGGGAAACTGGATTTTATGGGCTCCTCTAGTGGTGCCCGGTCGTTTTCTACCCTTTCCCGCAGTGTTACCCTATGGGATTGCGACCAGCAAGAAGACGTGACGTGCTCGACTTCTTTGCCTTTTTCTCTGTTCCTGCCGCTCAGATTTGAAGACAATGGCCAGAGTTATCCCCTCCCACCTAGTTTCCAGTATTATCATTCTGGTATTCCTGGGCTACTGGTCACGTCGGTCTATACTCTCGTTGTTTCTGTAGCGTGCGTCCGCCGTCCGAGACTGCTGCTTCCCGACAAAACAGAGACGTGAGTACTAAGTTCCCATCGCCGCTATGCACTGGGTTCTCACTGATATCCTGTAGTCTCCGTATTCTGTTCACTTATTTCCCCAGAGCTCGACCGGAACGACCGACGTTATCCATTCCTCTTTTCTCCGGCATCAAGTCGTCTCCCGAAGAATGGACGCAAACACTTGTCACTATGAAGACAAAGGTTAACACAAGGATTTGCCCAGTTCAATGCAATGTAGGTGGCACTTATATTGATGACTGACATCCGCGACCTGACACAACTACCTTCCCAGTTATTTGTACCATCCGTCCAAACATTCGCCATCTCTGATATCATTCCCTTCCACGTGCAACTAACCGGTCCTCTCGCATCGCTTCAAAAGCTCTTCTCTACTCACCCAAGCTTTTCGGGAGTACAGGACGTTCTTAGTCTCTCTATCTGCCGACAAGTCTCAGTTGAAGTCCGTGGAATACGTTCATATCAAACTATGAAGACCGGTGAAGGGAAGATTCGCTCTGTACCACCGTATCCGAGGGGCTGTCGCAATCCATGTAGTGATGGTACTAGCCAAGATGATCATCTAGACTGGGAGGGTGAAGTAAAGTGCAAATCAAATGTTACAGTGGGCGGGTTCAGTGCCGCGGGTGTCTCGGTGAAGGTATGCTATTTTTCGTTCCCAAATATAGTTGTGCTCACTGCTCTGATATGACACACAGGATTACATTGTGATTTCGCTGAAGCCTCCTTCCGAGTCGCCCTTCCTTTCCGCAGAAGGCTGCATTCCAATCCTGCTAGTTACGGACACTTGGGCAAACGTTCCGAATGACAATTGAACTCGATTCACTTCAATACTCGTACAAGGTTGCAGTTCATGTTTTACAGGGATTTACCATGGAGTACCCGGGGGGAACACCATTGGGGTGGATACTTCCTTCCGTTTGTCGGTGCCGCACAAGAGCTCGACAAAAGTCAAAGCAAAGGGGAATGTGGTGCCTTTGTTATAGTTGTCAATGCCAGCTGGGGAAGATGTCGGCGGTCTTACCTGGACCGCGGCTAAGGGAGATGTGTGATTTACGAGTTTAGGAACTGATATGACGTGTGCGCCTACCTAGTTACTAAATTGTCCGAGACGACAACTGGCTCGTCAGAATAGTCGAAGTCTGCAGTATGATAACGATTAATCCGTCAACATTCAAGAAATTATACTCTGATTCTACCTGCAATGAGCTGGTCTTTCACACCGGGATGGGACGTTAAGGGCTGTTTGTTAAGGCCAGACCTTAACGCAGCGAGACTACCTGGAGTAAAACCTTATATGGCTAATATGGCAACGTCGAAACTTCCTACCTGCACAAACCATTCCCACATACTTCTTTTCGTCTAGGTATTTCCTCACAAGGACTTGAACCTCTTTGGACTTAGAGATAGTGTCCGCCCCTTTGGCGCCCCCAGGAATGATGAGCGCGTCGTACTTGTCCTATTTTGAGTGGACCAATCAATCATATTTTGTAACGTAAATATCGAACATCCGAACGCACTGGTCCACAGACGCTGCTTTCAAAATATAGATCAGGCAAGATACGGATCCCGCGTGATCCTTTAGCGGCTGGAGGACTGGCAGAACTGGCAAGATTATCACTTGTGATTTCGGGCACGAAAGCCGATTGACATGCGATTCCCGCCCTAATGAAGGTGTCGTAGGTGATTGTACTAGGAATTCGTTAGTTCTCGGGGACGATGCGACTGTTAGTGTAACAGTCCACATACAATTCCATCTCCTCCGTTCCATCAGCTATAAGTATAAGAGCACCAGGCATATTGGGATAACTTTGGGCTGGTGGTAGTAGAGAACAGAGTTCTGAGGATGATCGACGTCATTGTTAAACAGTAATACGGCGCTCCGGACCGAGGATATGGTTCCAGTTACCGGATTTCGTTAATCAGTAAAATAACTGTAACTCGGTCATGGAAAGACCTCATTGGTGAGATTAACCCTAGCTTACACTTAATTACCTGAGCTGTAGAGGTGGCCAATTTGTATAGTCTTACAGTCTTCGTGCCTCCATCATGATTCATAAGTTATCATTGTAACATTGTCAATGAGCCAGGGTTTCTACTACAGTTGGAATCATATGCGAACAACTAAGAAGGGCTCGGGAATATCAGGACTTTCGTACTTCGCAAGAAAGCGCCGTGTATGCAGGCGTCCAGACGAATCGATCTCAATGCTTCGCCGAACCTTTGAAGACTGATAAACATATGTCCAATACATAGTGGGATCATTAATTACCTGCCAAACTTCGGCATTGCATCCTATTTGTGTTAATGATGAGCTGCAGTGCTGTACGATCTGAAGGGCTTCAGAAGGTAAGAGGACAGGCAATGATGCCGTATGGGCCTCGACAGGATAATTGATATGCAAAGCTTGCAGTTTCGGAACCATCGGCAGAAATGATTGAAGGGTAACCTATAAGAGTGGGTTGTTCGTCAACGACCCAAGGCGAGAGATCAAGAAATGGTATGTATAAGCATTACCAATGACCCTTGTTCAATGACGATAAAGAGCTGTTCCAGATTGGGGCATCTGCGGCATATATCTTCTATAGGTTCAAGTCCTACAAGCATCCGATGAACAGAAAATCTTGTCAAGCGCGTCCCATGCGCATTTACTATCTCCCTCCAAAAATCATAAGTCATCGGTGACTCAAAAAATGCCCCTGTGGAGTATATCTGGAAGACCTCGAGAGGTGAAAAAGCCAGTAACTGTAGCACATCTTGCATCCATGTCTGTAGAGGTATCTGACGGTTTATAGTAAGAGTAATTGACCGTAGTTGATGAAGAATCGGTGACTGAGAGCACAATCGAGCGAGTTCATGCATATTCTGTACTTTCTCAGTGAGACGCGGCAGTAATTTAGCATGAAGATTCACAAATTTCGAAGATAACCCTTCGAGGCCAAGACCATGTATGGGTGGATTGACCGAGAGTATGGACCATATACCGCGATGAGAGACTTTAGGGCAGCCGGTGATATAGAAGTATTGCAAACTCTGAAGATCAGCTGCCATTGATTCCAGAACGGTGTCTGTGATAATAGGTGACGACTACACGGCATAAGGCGCCGTATGGATAAGAAAATGAGAGGGATACCTTGCAAATCAAAGTCAAACTGTGAAGACTGTTGCCCGTAACGGACATCCACGATGGCAACATGGCAACAACAGATGAGCTGGGCATAATCAAGGATATCCGTCTAAGATTGCTGAAAGACCTCAAGATACTTGCATCATAATTTCCATCGTTGTGACCATTTATTTCCAGCTCATGTAGTTCTGTGGAGCAAAGGAAAGCCTCCAGTATTTCGGAACTCAGAGAGCCGTCACGGGTCCAGGTGCAGGACCTCAGGTTGGTACAGTTTCTGACAGCAGAAATAACCACTTCCAATATATTAATACCGTCATGAGGAAGCGCCTTTGGAAAGTCGCGAATCTCTACCAAGGAGTAAGACAGGTCATGGCCAAACCGCAAGACGTCCTGACCGAGTCGACGAACATATCGAGCAAGGTGCGGATATCGAGACAGGGTACCAAAAAGTTGGAGTACCTGTCCAAAATTTGGATTGAATTATTCATCCCTGGATCAAGGACAGAACCGCCACTCTCACCTTTGTCTTCCTGTGCTTATGCCAGGAATATATGGAAATGCGCTCATATAATCGTGGAGCAGCAAACTGGTAGAAGATCTTGTTGACACAGCATGTGAGAGCCAAATGATGGGTATTCTGAAGGTGAGAGAGAATTAATGGAAGGATATCCAGAGGTAAATCTAAGAAATGCATGTCAAAGTCTGAGGCGAGGATAGAAATGTGAACGAAACGCGACGGCCCGTTGGCTGAAACTTCTGTTGACATAATTCATCCTGTCCAAACATCCGAAAGAGGAAGTTTGCTCATCGCTTACACTCTAACTTGTACATCCCTCCTTCACTTCTTACTGTCATCATGTCGGACCTAGACGAACACGAACACATGCACAACGACGCTGATGATATGATGCAGGACGAAGAGGAAGAAGAAGCTCAAAGTGAAACCGATCACGGCCAACCTCGACGGCGTCATTACGATGAAGACGAGGAGGACGAGGAGGACGAGGAGGACGACGAAGAGGAAGTATCAGGTAGAAAGCCGAAGAAACGCAAGGTGTGTCTTCAAATGTAATACTACGGCAGCAAAGAAATTTGACTCTATGTGCAGAGGAAACAGGGCGCAAGCCGTTTCATTGATCTCGAAGCTGAAGTCAGTGACGAGGATGAAGGTGAAGAAGACGATGAAGACTATGGCGGTGGTAAGCGTGCACTCTGACTGACTCGGAACTGTGCTCACCTCTTTTCCAGATGGTTTCATTGAACATATGGACGGCGGCATCGACGAGGATGTGGGTAGGGCACATCATGCCCGACTTGACAGTAAAACTTTCGACGGGGAAGATAGAACTGCTGAAGAAATTGCCACGGATCTGAAGCATCGCTACGGTGGCCGAAATGCGGTTCGCTACAGTGGTGACATGAATGAGGTTCCTCAACGGCTTCTCATGCCTTCCGTGCACGATGCTAGTCTATGGCAGGTTAAGGTCAAGGTATGGCAAAATCTTGGTATATACAGCATAGTTCTTATAAGTTTGCCAGCCCGGTCGTGAACGCGACATCGTGTTCACTCTCATGCGAAAGTTTATCGACATGGAATTCACCGCACGACCGTTGCAAATCCTGTCAGCCTTCGAACGTGACACCCTACCTGGGATGATATACGTTGAAGCTCGGAGCTCCAAGCAGGTGAAAGATGCATGTAAGGGCCTTAGCGGCGCCTATACCGTCAAAGTGAACCTTGTTCCCATCGAAGAAATGGCCTCCTTATTGCAAATCCGGAAAAAAGAGCTCACAGTGACACCGGGCAGCTGGGTTCGTATCAAGCGAGGAAAATATCTGGGAGATCTCGCCCAGGTCGTGGACGTAACGGAAAATGGAGAGGATGTTGGCCTGAAGTTCATTCCTCGTATTGACCTGAACCCACGAGATGATGGTTCGCTAGATGCTCTTGGAAAAAAACGGAAGAAAGGCTCTACCGCGGCTGGAACCATGCGCCCTCCCCAGAAGCCGTTCAACTTCGAGGAAGTGGTAAAAGTTTACGGACGACAAGCGGTGGCCAAGCGAAATCAGGTCTACGTGTTCCAGGGTGATACGTACAAGGATGGTTTCATCGAGAAGGACTTCAAGCTGAACGCTTTATCTCTGGACGATGTCAACCCAACTTTGGACGAGATTACCCAGTTCTCGCGTAGACAGGACGGTCTGGGTGGTGAAAACCCGGTCGACTTGTCTATCATCGCGGAGGCCTCCCGGAAAGCAGCTGTCTCTGTGCTACAGCCTGGTGATCATGTTGAGGTATTTGAGGGTGAGCAAGCCGGTGTGCACGGTACTGTTGAAGAGGTGTCAGGCGATGTCGTGACTATCACTGCCGCTGGTCTTGATATCGAAGGCCAAAAAGTCGACATTCCTGCTAGGAGCGTCAGGAAACGCTTCAAACCTGGAGACCACGTCAAGGTGATGACCGGAAAGAATGCTGATGAGACTGGATTGGTGGTGGCCGTTGCAGACAATATCGTCACCTTTTTGTCTGACATGTCCATGAAAGAGGTATGCCTGCAGTCATTTGTTTTGTCATTTATCCAATATTTGTTCAGGTTTCTGTATTCTCAAAAGACCTCCGTGAAGCTGCAGAAGTTGGTTCTGGTACCAACATTGTGGGAGATTACGAGCTGCATGATCTTGTTCAGCTTGAGTAAGTCGTCTTTTCAAAGCCTTCCGTCAATTCTCTGAACTTTCAAAAGCCTTCAAACTGTAGGCGTTATATTTAAGACTGAAAGAGACTCGTTTCGGGTCCTGGATCAAAATGGCCAAGTTCGAATTGTCCAGCCTCGTCAGATTACAATGAGACGAGATTCTCGGCGTGCAATTGCCACAGATCACGATGGCCATGAACTGCGCGTAGAGGACAACGTCAAAGAAGTAGATGGCGAGGTACGTGCTTTACCTCAGTTTTCCCACTCATCAGCCTCAATTATGTGTAGGGTCGCAAAGGACAAGTTCTACACATTCATCAATCATTCTTTGCCTTCCTCTACAATCGTGAAATATCCGAGAATGGAGGGATATTTGTCACACGCGCTAGATCATTGGTGTCATTGGCACCAAAATCCAGTGTCTTTCCCAAGCCAGGGGCAGATTTATCTAAGATGAACCCTGCTCTTGCCCTCCACCCAGGTGGAATGGCCGGTTCCAGCATTGGGCGGGGGCCCCGGGACCGTATGATTGGAATTATCGTGCAGATCACTCGAGGTCCTCATAAGGGGTACGTTGGAACCATTAAAGATACCAACGGTCCAATCGCTCGAGTTGAGCTGAATACCAACAACAAAGTTGTGACGATCGAGAAGACGAAACTTATAGAACGCAAGTGAGTATTACTCTTCTTCCGTGATGATAACGCATATCAACATTCGTCACGATGCAGTACCCCAGGATCCAACCGTCAATTCGCAGACCGACTTAAAGCTATGGGCCCACCAGGCGAACCAGGTAAGCCATGGGGAACCCGATCAGTAAATCCGTACGCATCGGGAGGAAGTACGCCTACTTGGGGTGCTGGTAGTCGGACACCTGCGTGGGCTGGAGGCGGTCGTACTCCCAATCCTTCATCGGATTCTCGTACGCCAGCTTGGAATGCATCCTCACGGACGCCTAACCCATATGCTAACAATGCACAAACTCCGGCATGGAATGTATCCTCGCGGACTCCAAACCCATATGCCGATGGAGGCAAGACACCGGCGTGGAATGTCAGTTCACGGACGCCAAATCCGTATGCCAGCAACAATGGTGGTGCTACACCTGCAAGGAATGCTTGGGGGGGAGCAACCCCTGGCAGGAATGCCTGGGATACGAGTACTGGATGGGGCGATGGTTGGGTGGGTATTTTGTTTATGATCAGCGTTAATAGTAGCTTAATCTGGATCAAAGAATGCCGCGCCCACACCGGCTGCAGCAACGTCACCTGCGTACGCTGCACCGACACCCGGACCTGGGACCTACGATGCTGCTACGCCGTTTAGCTACGGGGCGGGCGCTATGTCAGCACAGACACCCGTATCAGCTCCGACGCCTGCTGCCGGAGGATGGCGTGAGGAAGAATCAGAAGGTCCGTTCATTGTTATACCAGGAAGACATTGACCTTAACATTTTGCAGGTCTTTCTGAGGAATGGCTCCTTGACAACGCCTTGAGCAATGTCTTGCAGCGCATCAAGATACGTATTGAAGGGTCTCGCAACTACAATTACCTGGATGGAAAGTATGAAGGGCTCACCGGTCGGGTGATGGCCGCGACACGGGTGGGAACAAACATGGAACAGACAGCAACGATTGCCTTCGATAATGGAGAACAGCGGCCAATACTGATGAAATATGTTGTTCCTATGCAGCCTAGTGGGCTAGATGGAGAGAATGGGGTTCTACTGGATGGCCCGTATAAAGGTCGGGAGGCACGGGTGAGGTCATTGAGTGAAGATGGCATGTTAACTTGTCACGGGGATTTTGGATTTGCAGAGATTCCACAAGATAAGTTTGCCATCTTGACAGTTGCTCCTGCATAGTTACTATTATCGTTCTAATCTGTACCTTTTTACTTAAGTATATATCATGTAATGGATGGCTTGGTTCAACCAGCAGGAGATTCCTGGCGCTGGCTCCGAGCAGAATGATAGACCCCGTCTTTTCAAAAACTTTGACCTCTTGACTAAGGCCTCGATCCTCACTCAGTGTATCATATGTATGCAGCTTCCAGCAGCTTATGCTTATGAGAACCAGCGCGAAGTCACCAGATATCAGGACGACGCTGACCGTTAAGACCTGAAATCTCCAAACGGTGAATAGCATACATATTTAGGACGTAAAGCATCCATTCAGTCGCCAATTCCTTCATAGTATACCTTTGGTCATATTCGTGATCAACTAGCGAGTTGTGATAGTGTATCGTCATCAAGAACATCCATAAATACTATTATACAACTGTTCTATCGTGTCTTTCCATTACAACAATATCAGCGTCCATAACCTGGCCCTTGTCCCCGTGGCGGGTACCCATAAGGATGAGAGGGCGGAGTGAACCCTTGATATTGCTGCTGCTGACCATTTTGAGTCTGATAAGATAACGGTGCAGGCGGGGACGGCATCCACTGTGATTGATTCTGGTATTGTAGCTGGTGAGGAACCGGCGGTACCGACATCTGTCGAGAGGGTGAACTTGTTTGGTACTGACTCGGAGGTGCAGATGGGGTAGCCATGCCAAACATACCAAGGTTGGCATAAGGGTCATTCTGTTGCGTGGGGGGCGAAGAAGAATATGACTCTTGAGGTTGTGGGGGAGGCGGAGGAGGTAGATAAGAAGCTGAAGATGGCGGCGGCGGTGGCGGTGGCGGCAATGAGGAAGTGAATGTAGATGAAGGTGAGAGAGAGGAAGAAGCATACGTAGATGAAAGCGGAGGCGGGGAAAGGGGCGAGGAAGCAAAGTTATATGATGAAGGTGAATATGATTGTTGCGAGGGAGACGCCGTATTCTGCCATGAACGGCCCACAGGCGTCGGAGATCCTCGCAGATTCATGGAGGAGAATGCTGAGTTAAGGTCCCCTGATGTAGGTGGAGGCGGCAAAGGAGGCTTTGGGGCTAAAGGTGGACGTGGCGCAGATGCGGAAGAAAGCCGCTTTTCCACCTCAATTTGAGATACTAGATTGTCTTTTTCAGCGACTCTTCCGGCAATGAAAGACTTGACATTTTCGTAGAGGCTATTCGTCAAACCCGTCAGGTCATTGTAAAATTGCAATCCTTTGCTGTTGTGATAAATCAGTAGGCAGACGAACAGGAAAAAGCAAGGATACGCACGCTAAACCATCTCGGACCTCCATGTACACATCTCGAGCTCGAGAGAAGCGCCGGACTGTGTCCTTTTTACGCTTTTCTCTTTCCTCCCATTTACGAGCTCCAGGACCACGATCGGCAAGATCCTTTAGACTCTTCCATAGCGTCGCGATCTCCTGCAAAGCGACGCCCTGGTGTTGCAGCGTCGCCTCTAAGCGCTGCTGGTATGGACGGAACTTCTCCAATTCCGCAGCAAATAGAGTCGGCTCTACTCCAGTATTGCGTCGATTCAGCAAAAGAAGATGCGAAACATCGTCGGTTTGGACCTAAAAAAGATAAGAATGTGTGTTATTATCAACCAGAATTTTGCATACCTTTTCCTTGAGATCCTTCAAAATTTCATTTCTCTCCCTAGCAATCTTGTTAAGCCGCCCCATTCGCTCCTCGATCTCTGCTACAAAGTTGCCAATTTTGGCTTGTTCCTGTGCATCGCTTCCTTCGTTCAAGTCCAGATCTAGGATGTTTTCAGTTCCGTTTCCTCCATGCTCAGTACTAGCTCTGAACACATCTTCCAACTGGGGGCTTAAGAGAAGCCCAATGTCGCTCTTTACCGACTGCCACATCATCGCAACCTGTTGATCCGAAAGCGCAGCAGCATCCAGAGTGGTAAAATGAGACTTGAGATCCTGTCTGTACGACTTCCCCACGCCCGCCGATGGTTCCTGTGTCCAAAGATGCTCGTACTTCACCCTCATCATCTCACAATTGCGCGATTCAGAGTCCAGGTCCTGCGAGATGGTCTCTAGTTGTTGCCGTACACCATTCTTGAGCTGTGAAAGCTGCGCCACAAGAGTCTCAACGCCTTCTCTCTCTTCAATCAAGGAGATATCATCTTTCCACCTTCGCACATCCACTGGGATTTCATCCGCTCCACCAACCTCCCCTTCTGCCATTGCCCGGAACCTGGTCAAACCATCTTTTATGCCCAAGCCATCCAACACACTCCGAACTTCGCCTTCAGCACCTTCTGCCTTCTCCACCTCGCCACGAACAAGTTTTGCCTTCTCTTCCGAATACACGCTGGCACTTTCATGGACACTCAATGGGACAAGCCGCAGGAATAAATCTTGCCCAATCGTCTTTTGCACCTCAGACGTCCCATAAACTTCTTGTATCGGGATAGGATTAGCCACAACAATCTTGTCGATTGCTGGGAGCACTTCAGGTGCAGGTAACACAGCGTTGTATATGAGGTCATTTTCGCGCTGTGCTTCAGATTTGCGGTCCGAGCAGACGGCAAGGTGGGCTTTCATGCGGTCTTGTAATGCAGTGCTGGCATCTACAGGGAGAGTAGGCGACACTGTTGATGTGAATAAAGACGATGCGGTTCGGGAGGCTTCCTTTGCGAGGCTTTCGGCAAGATTAAAGCGTACGAGCGCGTCGCCATGCTTTCCAGCGGTGTTATCACCCAGCCCACGGTAATAGTGAGACAGGGAGGTAAAATATTTCGCTTTCACCTGGGCATTCAATTAGTGTCCACGAACATTGCATAGATACCATCTAACCAGTCCAATGAGGCAAGAAGAGGGAGCGTACCTGAAGGAGAGTCACCCAATTTCGATCAAAGATGCCCTTGCCCATAAATTCCTTGACTTCCTCCGTCAACGAATTGTACATTGAAGCTGCCTGAGCCCCAACTTTGGACACCAAAACAATGCCTTTCTTCTCCTCAGTGCACTTTTCAAAGAAAACCTCTGTTGCTTGCGCCAATATGACGCTGACAAGAAACTTGACAACCTCTCGACTTAGATCAGTCGATGGCGCGTGGAGAAAGTTCTCGTTGATATACGTTAACATGCCCGCGCAAGTCTTGAAGTAGTAGAAAGCACGTTTGAGACCCTCCGGATCAGATCTGCTCTGTGAGGCAGCGATAGCTGAGTGTGTCCCAGCTATCTGGAATAGTATCGATGCCTTCTCGTACGCAATGGATGTCTGCGTCGTTAATTTGTTCGTAAATGCGTCTCTCCAAGGAAAGGTGACTTTTATTTCGGAGAACCTAAGCTCGAGGAGCTCGAGCTGGCCAAAATACTTGTATAAGAGATCGCGAGCTAGGTGTTATGAGTAAGCTTTACTGCGGCGCTAAAGGTAAGATACGCACCAGTCGTATCGCTGCCTGCGCCCCGTACAGCGTCTTGGCGACATCTCTGTAGTGCCGCGCACTCAGCGGCGTAGTTATCTGGGTTCTCTCCGTAAGAGTGGGCGATAAGAGAGCGAATCGGGGTCGTCCAGTCGACTTCCTCTGTCGTCTTCTTGGGAATAGATAGCATTGGCGATTGGTTAGCCATCTTGGGGGTCGTTGGTAAGAGTACAGACTCTGCGGCACCAGATATATAGGGTGGAGAGCACTGCGAGCTGCGGAGGCGATCGTTGGTAGATGATGATGGTCCAGTAGAAAGGACGTCACCGACCCGGTTTCGGCAAGTCTCTCTTCTTGACATCCATGTCGTCGACAAGCAAGCCTGTATCCAGCGAAGATATTCTCGGCCAAAAGGCAAGTAGAAACTTTTCTTTATAACGGAATAACCTGCTTATATTTTCCGGTAGTATGACCGCTGCTGTACGTTCTGTCTCGATCCATGTTGACTTTGCCATCCTGACGGGAACTCGCGGAAAACAGTGGCGGACCTGTTGGTGAAAGCGTGCGTATCACTCTTGTGCTTGCAGGGAATTTTCAATGCTTATAGTGCACGTATGCAGTGGTGTAGGCTTCAGTGTGGGCGTCGTTGCCTCTGTCATACTATTCCGACGTCGGTGTACCAGCAAATCTTGTCATTGCTCCTCCTGATATCATTCCTACTAGGACGTACATGGCCTATCGCGCTATCTACAGGCTTCGGCGCAGGAGCCGCCTACGCCGACTGCGACCGCTCCTTCAACCCTGCGAGAATACCTGGCACGCGCATCATCACTTCCAAGGAGGAGCTAAAATAGAGGTCTTGACGAGAGACGGACAGCAGCTAGACTTTTTGTTATAAATGCATCGGCCGGTAATCAGCTATCATTAAACGACCAGCATCATTCCTGCACCTTCAATTACGCGTCATGTCCTCTCGCTCTTGTTCTCTACTCCAGCTTTGCACTCCTGTTTCCGTCTTCGACCCGGATATTGTTCTCTGAGGCTCTCCCAAGACCAAACGCTTGTATAAAACAACTACGCAGAAAATCTAAGGGTGTGCTGACACGTTAAAAAAGTTGCCAACGAACAGGAAGTCACCCCTATCAGGGGAACTAAGGCGAGTATTCGAGTTGCCTGGCGTCCAGTGATTGGCAGTTCTTTTGGTATCTTTCTTTCTGCCATGGTTGCGCAGAGGAACAACGTCGACGCGTTAGCGAGAGCAACTCACGTAACGACATTTTCCGAATGTTACGCGTGACATAGAACTACGTGACAGTGCCTGTCCTCTCGTCTGTTCTCATTTTCGACGTACTAAAAGTGTTTTCAGATGATATTATTGACTCTGTGAAGACTCAACAAGTCAACAACCCTTCAAAATGCCTTTTGAAATGCTGCCTGTCTACTTCTTGACGGCCAGCTCCACTACCGCCCTTGACTTACATGCACGGTGCCTTATCCCGGGCCAGCCTAGCTCTTGTCCACATCGACCTGGCGCGATGATCGCCCCTCTACATTGGCGTCAAACTACTCATCTATCCGAATTTCGCTGGGTAGTTCTCTATCCCGTGTTTGATCAGTCTTGGATAATCAGTCCGTCCATGAACGATAAGGACGGCTCGTTCCGGCTTTCTGCTGCAATGAACTCTATTGAATGTTCTTACCGTAAACTGTGCCGTTATTGCGTGGGTACATATTTCTCTCTTAGCCTCATTCTTGGCCCACTACCAGGCCACTATACTCCACTCTAGACCACGGGAAATCAGCTGGCTTTTGTCACAATATGTCCGTTTGCGCTTAGCACGTCGAGTCACTCTCACGATGCTGATAATTCCGTCCTTGAGCTTCTTCACACCCGGTGATTTGCTCATTACCTGTTACCATGTCCGAGCAACCGACAATGGTTAATCCGGTTCCATCCACTTTCTTATCCCTTCTACTGATTCATAATGTTCAGACTGTTCAAGTCGAACTACCTGCGGAATACTATGCGGCCCTGGAGGAGCTGCGAGTGAGTAGATGATGACATCCAATCCAATCAACCGCTTACTGTTGCACCCTTTAGACCATCCGTATAGCACAACTGGCCTCTGTTGATCTGCAGCGCGAGATGGCGGGATACTTTACGGAGTTGAATGTATGGCTTGAGGAACAAGTTCGGCGGCGTCAAGATGAGATACAGGCACTTAAAAACCAAGTTGACGGGTTGCGAGAGCAGGTTCGCTCGCGGAGATAAGCAAGCAGCGTGAAACACTTTTTTTCAGCATGCTCTGAGCACACGATGTGGCTATTAGGTCGGATTTCACGGCGGGTGCAGGCGTGGACCGAATAACTGACACCTTCCCGCAGCTGGGTTCGCGTGGATCTTGAAGGACATTGCTGACATTGTCCAGCTTTTTTCCGAAAAATTTAGTGGCCGCGCTCCAAAACGGCGCCTTGGACGATTCCAGGGGGTCCAGGCAGCAATGATCGCGATCAATATACGTACTCTTCCGACCGCCAACCACACAAATCCGTCTCCGCGTGGAATGGACGTTGGCTAGGGGTAGTTTTGCCTCAGCACTTTACGGCCAGTATACCAGAGCATATAATGGCTTATTCCATAGTATAGAATACAGAACATGAAAAACACGAAAATCCAAAGGAAAAGAACAACAATCGATCTCTTAAAAACGGGACGGTGAGATAAGGCTGATCTAAGCGAGATCTGGTAAACAACATGGGCGCTCATATTTGGTCAAGTACTCCTTTTCGCTCCTTTTCCTTAAAATCCAACTTGTTTCCGTTCTCTCATCATGGCTCCCGTCCAAGTCAAGAAAATCTGCTGCAGTACGTCCATGTATTACCTGTTCTTATTGTGCGTCTTGCTGACTGCTGCCCAGTTGGTGCTGGATACGTTGGTACGACACGTTCGTCCCTTTTTCCAGGGGATCGCTAATGCTCGCCTGGTAGGCGGCCCAACATGTGCAGTCATCGCACTCAAGTGCCCGCAGATCCAGGTCACCATCGTTGACCTCAACCAGCAGCGTATCGATGCGTGGAACAGTCCTAGTTTCGACATTCCTATCTACGAGCCCGGTCTGGTCAACGTCGTGCGGCAGTGCCGAGGCCACAATCTCTTTTTCTCGACGGACGTTACCAAGGGCATCCAGGAGGCCGACCTCATCTTCGTCAGTGTCAACACTCCGACTAAGAAGAGTGGCGTTGGGGCTGGATTTGCGGCTGACCTCAAGTACGCTCTTGTTTCATTCTGTTATTGCTCAGTGCCTCACGTAAAATTCAGCTATGTTGAGCTCGCGACGCGCCAAATTGCCGCCGTTGCTACGTCTTCGAAGATTGTCGTAGAGAAGTCTACTGTCCCGTGTCGCACGGCCGAGTCTATGCGCACGATCCTTGAGGCTAACTCCAAACCCAACTGCCGCTTCGATATCCTATCTAACCCCGAATTCTTGGCAGAGGGCACTGCGATTACGGATCTTTTCAGCCCTGATCGTGTCCTGATCGGTTCTCTGCAGACACCGGAAGGTAGGGATGCTTGCGAGTCGCTTACACAGGTGTACGCCAACTGGGTCCCGAAGGATCGCATTCTCAATGTCGGCTTGTGGTCTTCTGAGCTTTCCAAGCTCGCTGCCAATGCTATGCTTGCTCAGCGTATCTCTTCCATCAACGCCCTCTCCGCCATTTGCGAGGCTACCGGTGCCAACATTGATGAAGTCGCTCACGCTGTTGGGTACGATTCACGTGTAGGCCCCAAGTTCCTCAAGGCGTCCGTTGGATTTGGTGGATCTTGTTTCCAGAAAGATATCCTAAATTTGGTTTATCTCTCTGAGAGTTTGCACCTGCCGGAAGTCGCGGCGTACTGGCGGCAGGTGGTGGAGATGAATGAGTATCAGAAGGCCAGGTTCTCAAAGAGGGTCGTGGACACTTTGTTCAACACCATCACCGGAAAGGTGGGAATCATTTTCCCCTGACATGAGACAAGGCTGACTTGACTGCCTCCTATAACAGAAAATTGCAGTCCTTGGCTTCGCATTCAAAGCCGATACTGGCGATACCCGAGAATCCGCAGCCATTACACTCATTAAAAATTTCCAGAATGAGAAGGCCAAGGTCAGCATATACGATCCGCAGGTCCCGGAATCGCAGATCTGGAGCGACTTGCTGGAGGTGAACCCTGGTACACCGCTGGATGCCAGTACGTCTTTGTCGCACCTCGCCTTGTAGCAGAGAAGTCTGACTATCTGTTTCCAGTCAAGAAGCAGGTGACAATATCATCCTCTGCTATTGAGGCATGCATGAATGCTGAGGCGGTGGTGATCGCGACCGAATGGAATGAGTTCAGGTTCATCGCATGGGAGGAGGTGTACTCGCATATGAACAAGCCGGCATTCGTGTTTGATGGACGGATGCTGGTCGATGCGGACAAGCTGAGGGAGATCGGATTCAAGGTTCGTTAATCCTACTGGGTAATGAACTACATCGCTGATATTTTGCTGATAGGTGACTGTTATTGGTCGGGGTGCTGTATAATATTTTTAGAAGAGTAGACGCATTGACTCTCACGAACTTTCCATTGCTCTCTTTTTAATATACATCCTAGGAAAGCACATATAGGTATGGGCAGGACTAGACACTTTATCATACCTTTTCTCTCCTCGTCCCTCGGATGGTAATACATGGGGCTGTTTGTATTTAATTTTCAATGCATGTTGTCGTTCTCTTCCATACACTGTACTTATAGCAGACTGCAGTCTCATGCGAGGTAAACGTATTTGTGAGTGGCACTGAGACGTACGCTGATGTCTACGTATTTCCTGGTTTTCAGCGGATAAATCATAGCCCTGATCGGCAAGTAAAAGCGGGCCGTGCAACCACGTGTCTTGATTCTGGATGTTGACCGTCGATACGTCTATTCTGTACTCCTCTCCAAGTTACTCGCGCGCTGGAAAACACGCTAGAATCAACGACATCTATCCAGCTGACTTGTACCCGAGGAAAAGTAGCCTGGCAAGCCGCACTTGCGGAACTCGTATCTGTTACATAGAGGAAAAGGAAACAAGGCTTGGTTGCTTGGATGAAGGCGGCCGCGGGTGAAGCGTATACCATATACATATGAAAACCTCCACCTGTATGCTATCAGGTCATGCAAGTCCTCCGCAAATTTCCGGTGAATGGACATCACAGATATTTCTCATTTTGTAACATACACGATTAGGTCATCCGTCATCCGTGAAGCTCACGCAACTTCATCAACTCAGTAGCAGCGATTCCTGCACTCTCCTACAGTACCAAACAACGATGGGCCTCGAATTACAAACAAATTCTGATGGATTCTTACCAAGGTGATAGGCCTTTCAAAGGCTGGAGCATGTACCGCGCCGAATATCTTTCAAGCTATCAATACCATCTGCCGTTGCAGCGTCAGTCAGGTTTTGGCTGTGGATACATGGAAATACTACCTTGGTTAAAATCTGTATCTCTTGCACAATCGCTCTCCAAATCGTCTCTCGGTGTTACAAGACCATGAGACATCAAGGATCCAGCCAGGATAACCGTTAAGAGGATGTAGGTGGCGCGGTTCAGTATCATGGTGATTTTGATTCCAGGCAATCCTGGCAGCGCTGCTATTTATCCTTGAGCGCATGTTCCCGGTATTAGTTCTACGGAACCTTCTCCCTATGTCCGTGTCTCCGTAATATCCGGATTCAGGCATCTTTGTAGTTCGACTCAAAATTGGCGCTGCAATCACCGTCTAATTTAGAGTAACCATTCTATCTCAGTTAAGCATCTACCCAGGTACCTCAAACCGAGCAGGATCATTGTCTACTATATCCCGGCATTGATACCGTCACACCATTCAAGTACTTGCCTTCCGCGTTGCATACGAACCTGACGACAGATCTTGAAAATTCTGGGGCGGCTATCGCCTAGAAAGGAAGAGAAGTTTTGCCGCCACGATACGATCATAGCCTTCAGGGTCTATGACTCCGTCGGTATATACTAGACGGCATCTTGTTTGCATGGTGAGAGCCTGAGAGTCATAATCTCTGTATTTGGGCTCCGGACCAATTCCTCTTCCAGTTCTGTGGCCGCTGAGAACAACGCTATTCTCCTGATACAGTATCGCTCTGAAAGGCGTGTCTTAATTTCACTCTTCAATCCAGAGATTTCGACAATGAGGCGTCGAAATCTGTTCGGGTTCGATATAAACGGAATTTCACAAAGCCTAATACCGCCTGCTCCAGGTAAAGGTAATCCACATGCCAGCGCGGTTCTTCGGCGGTTCTCAGATGTCGAGCAGGCGCCCAACAAGAAACCGTAACTGCGGTCAAATAATTCTGTGTTCGATACGACATCATTTGATGCGTGCCAGATGGAACCTGTACTCCTTTTTCAGATGATCACCGTGACCACTTCTTGTATGCTTCTGTAGCTTGTGTGTTGTCGAAACAACCGGCTGCACGTTTTTCCTACTGCTTTAAACACGACCACATCGGAAGAGTAGTGATTTTCGCAGCCCCTCTGCTTCAACCCGGCGCTAGTTTGAGCACTTTTCGTTGTAACCCAGACTATCACGATTCTGCGGCAACTTTCTACCAAGTCGTTTGCAAGGTCAGTCACTGGTTCGCCTTCCTTTTTCCGAAGTTTATAAGTGAACGGCTTTTTGTTCTTAGAGAATGTCACCTGTGCTTCAATTATACCAACGTAATGCCTTCAGTACGAGCGTGACTACCAGGCAGACTGCCTGGGCGCTCGCACTTTTCTGTGTTTCGATGCTCATTCTCTGGATGTCTGCTAAAGATAGTCTGGGAAGGCCTCGCCCAGAGTACAACTTACATACGCCAACAGAACTGAGTAAGTACAGTCCTGTTCGCCACCAATCCCCGCAGTTAACTTCTATTACCTTCTCCGTAGGCACCTTTTCGTTTTTTGTTGAATTCGACGAACCTGTAGCCATGCGCATTGTCGATTCTGCATATTATGATATCGACACCGAACAAGGTGCTCAAGAATGGGCCCAGTTACTACCTGCCAACGGTCACACTGTTCACATCGCTGATGAAGATGGTGTACCGCATGTTCACACCGTTTCACTCTTCCATAGCCTCAAGTGCCTTGATATCGTTCGGCGGCAGTTCATTACCACTCCAGTCCAAACCCCACCTCCCATTTTGATCAGGCATTGCTTGCAGTACCTTCGGCTCACCTTTCTTTGTCAACCGAGTCTCTGGCTTGAGCCCGCCCATGACCTGGAAGGACATGTCGTTCGAGATTATGATGCTGTATGCAGAGACTGGACCTTGATTTATAGCGAAGCAGAGCGCAATCAGCGCTCGTACAATTATTGGGCAAAGATGAACACCAACTCCACTTCGACATAGAGCCTGCAGGGTTACAAGTACCTTATGCCCTTAACTTGAGCAGGAAGGAAGGAAATATACCTGGCGGAAGCAGTCAGCCCCTCGTTGAGGAAAGAAAGTCGTTCGATTGGCTCTTCTACATCAATCATATGTGCCATAATATTACGAGACTTCCAGCCCCATTACCTATCAGGCCGGCCCCCCCTCGCTAGCCTGTACGTCAATTTGTTCGATTTGGTATATGTAAATGTGGCATAGCACCCACTCCTTGTTTTCGCCCCACAACCGTCTTTCGCCCGAAACTTAGTCTCATCCATGTCATCATCAGCGTCTACGTCGTCGGACAGGCCTGACCTGCCTGCCGGCACACTCGTCATGGAGAGGACCAACTTGATTGGTGACTGCCTTTCCCAAATCTTCTTTGGTATTGTTCTTTCGTTTTTTTGGCTGGGAGATACCGATCCCTGAACTCCTGTCACCCACTTTCCTAGGTGCTATAGTAGTCGTATTCCTACAGACCATGTATGCGCTCGTTTATCTCCCTCACCGCCGAGGCGAGAAGAGGAATTGGTTCCTCATAGCATACACTTTTGTCTCGTTCACCTTTGCCACGACGTTCATTTCTGTGAACATGAAATGGTTACAACTCATGTTCATTGATCATCGTAACCATGCCGGGGGCCCGATTGGGTTCTCAATGACCCAGTATTCCCAGCCTGCTGTGGCCACCGCCAATGTTGTTGGCGTTATGTGCGGTTGGATGGCAGATGGATATCTCGTACGTGTGATATGACAAGTGCCGTGAACTATACTGTTAATAGCTCGATGACTACAGCTGTACCGTTGCTTGGTCATTTTTCACTTCAGGTTATATGTGATTACTCTGCCGATTCTGATTTACCTCGGAACGCTGGGTAACTATGACCCCCTCTCTTACTCTAATTAATCTAATCATCAGCCCCGAAGCTATGGGATCGTTGTTCCTCTTTCAAGCCTTGCGACCTGGCGCGAGTCTATTCAGTCACCTCAGCGTGAACTTTGGCGTGCCATATTTCGCGATGACGGCCGGTCTTAATGTCCTGATCTCGTTACTCATCGCAGGGCGCTTGCTGATGTATCGTCGACAACTGAATCGCCTTTTCGGACGTGAATACGCCGCCGCCGCACCTTATGTCTCTGCAGCAGCCTTGGTCGTCGAGAGCTCATTCATATATGCCATCAATTCCATATGTTTTGTCATACCGTACGGCTTGGGGAGCCACGTAGCGAACATATTCTTACCACTACAGGCTTTAGCTCCAGTAAGCGATTTATGTCCTTGATATCTTGACTTGCTCACATATATCGCTAAAGGTGCTAGCTCCCATGCTCATCATGTTCCGTGTAGCACTCCAGCAAGCTTGGGATACCAGTACTCTATCAGCACCCGTGTCCAGTCTTCAGTTCAGATCTAAGTCTGCTCCAACTTTTCAAGAAAAGCCTATTTGGCGCGGTGAAGCTGACGGAATTTATCTTCCAAAAACGACTTCAGGCGAGAGCGACAGTAACGGAAGTGCACAAAGCAGTTCCAAGTCATGAATTTAATATTCCTTATCTCCATGTTCTTTAGATTGTACGAAAATTGGATACACAGCTGTGTGATGATGACATCTGCAATGGGATTTGAAGAAAATTGTGAGAGCCAGAGAAGTCAATCCATCACTGGAGATTTCGGATCTCTATGCTGCCCTAAGCATCAGACACTATAAAAGAGGTCAAATTCCAGTTGATAAGGTTGGACCTTCAAAACAATGTCTCTAACAGAGGGTACCATTCCATTTGCAGTGAATGGGGAAGTCTTTCACACATGGTACAAGATAGCAGGCAATATAACGTCCTCCAAACGTCCTCCACTTATCGTCCTTCACGGTGGCCCTGGAGGCTCTCACGATTACATGCTTCCCCTTGTCGACCTAACCGCCAGAGATCCCCCCATCGCTGTTATCTTCTATGACCAAATCGGGACCGGGCACAGTTCGCACATCCACAATCAACCCTCCTCATTCTGGTCTATCGAGCTCTTCGTCAACGAGCTCGAAAATCTCATTACCCACTTCTCCCTAGCCGATAAGGGCTACGACCTGCTCGGGCAATCATGGGGTGCACAACTCGGGGCCGAGTTCATCATACGCCGGCAACCACGCGGACTCCGACGGCTTATTCTTGCGAATGGGCTCGCTAGTGCAAAATTACGGAACGAAGCGAGGTGGAAACTCATGGAAAAGCTTCCGCCCGAGGTGGGAGAGACCATCAGAAGGCATGAAAAGGAAGGGACGACGCTAGCTGAGGAATACAAAGCAGCATGGCGCGTGTTTTACGCAAATTACGCATGTCGAATTAACCCTACTCCAACTGAAGTCATTCATACCATCGGGCAGACGGAAGATGATGATGGAGGGGCTATAGTTCTGGACAACATGTAAGGCCGTCCGTTCAAACGCTAAGCTACGCTCTCTGATGTCGTAATACCACAGGCGAAAGAATATTCTCGAATTTGAATGGGATATCATCGATAAGATCCATCTCGTCCGTGTCCCGACGTTGATCATCAATGGCGAATATGATTATATGACCGACGAAGTTTGCGCACCCTTCTTCTGGCGAATTGACAAGGTCAAATGGGTGAAATTTTCGCATTCTAGCCATATGCCTCAATGGGAGGAGAGGGAACGGTATATGGATGTTGTAGACGGATTCCTTAGTAACCAGGCATAGGGTTGGATGCTGTTCGGAGGTACTGCGCAATTATATTTGGAAACCAACGAGTTGTAACGACTCTTTGGAGCCTTGATAACGATCAGTTTTGTTCAATAATCGGAAACAGCCAGCTTAACCTCGGGCTACAGAACGAAGGCACTTATTGTTGGAACTCGTGCTTCCATCACCGCCCAGGGTACTAGATAATCATCATGGATCCTATGCATCTGCTTCTGGGATGGTTATACATACCAGGTGGCATTTAGATGCACTAAGATTGAAGCGGTGACGGTAACAACCGAAACTAATACTTTGATCGCACTTCTGAAAGCAAGACCCTCGAGTAAGGAGGGCAGGGCATCATCTGAAAGCAACATTGTTGATGAGAATATAGTGGTGGGTTTAGCATTCGTTCTTCCACCATCAATACCATCGGCGATGACTGTGCGACCACTCCACGTATATTTCCTTTGGTTCTTAACCGCAACCAATGTTGGTATAGTGCTGTGGAGACATCGGCGATTCTTCTCGTATTCTGATACAGGACAGGTGATGTCTGGTAAGCCCAGAATCGTCTTCACCAGAGATGAAACAGCTCACCAAGAACAGATGATTACAGCTATATTGGAGATGACTTTCCTCTCTATTACCCTCTTGCTGGTCCCCCCCTCGATGCAGACCCTGTCGCCTTGACATTCCGGGAATCTGTTCGTTTCGAGTACAACAAGACCGACCACGTTGCGTTCGATGAGTGGTACTCCATTCTCAAAGCCATGAACTTTGGTCGCGTTCGGTTAGGACCAGAAAACCGTGTTTTTGTCCCCGTCCACTACCACGAATTGCATTGCGTTCGGATCCTGCATATCGCGCTGTTGAACCCGGCACATGAAGGGATGCCAAAACATGTTAGGCATTGCCTGAATTACCTTCGGCAGTGGTTGCTGTGCGAGGCGACGGATGCAATGGAGAGGGGAGACTTTTTGGAGAAAGACTATGAGTCGGACACCGACAGAGTTGGTGGAACTCAAATTTGCCAGGACTGGGAGAGAGTATATGAGGATATGAATAGGAACCATGAGAGGTGGCTGACGTTCAAAAAAGTGTGGACTTGAAGAGTAGAAGGGATGAGGATATAAGTCGTAGCGGAAAGCCCCAACGAAGGGAAGAGCGCAGGCAGAGTATCATTTTGCGTTTTGCTTCATCAAGCCACTATGTTCACCTGACTTAATAATGTTCTGCGGGGAGAAGGAAGCGCAAGGAAGACCTCAAACTGACCGCTGACCTTCTTTGATGGTCGAATTGAAGACACTAGTAATACAAGGATTGCAATAGTATATAACCTGGAGAAAGTGTCATCTTTTTCAAGCACCAGACAATAATGCAACGTACCCTAATGATGGCTCATTCCGTTCCTTTCTTCTTCTTCTCCTCAACAAGTTCGACATTGTCAGTAGGAATACCTTTCAGCAATCCTACCCCATCTTCTATCATCTCAAGTATCTCATCGCTCACATCTCCTTGTACGACGATCTCATCCTGGCCTTGGGGATTTTTCGTAACCGATGATCCCGTAGCAAACTTTGAGGCAAGCTGTTTCGCAACTTTCTTCAGGTCAACACCGAAGGCTTCAAGGCCGTGAACGGTTGTGACATATTTCCGCTTATTTCGCTCGATCCGTTTGATGGTAATCTGGGGAAAATAATTAGATTTATCGCTGTCAGGAAAACGAGTAACACGCACCTGCGATGCCATTTTCTTCTTCAGAGCAGCATCCGCTTTCGCCTCCGCTTTGGCTTCCTTCTTTGCGGTATCCTTCTCAAGTTTTTCCTGAGCCTGCAAACTCAGAGTTCCGATCTTCGCTTGTAGTGCCTCTGTAGCCAGTCAGTACCAGCGTCTAACGATGAGATTATCTAGCCAACCATCGGAATAGTATTTCTCGTACAGATCAGGATGCGCTTCATGCAGCCATTGTTTACACCGCGTGAGATGTTCGCCGAATTCGCAGTATTCTGGTGGATACGAGCATACTACAAGACGAATTTGGGTGAGCGATCCAAAGCGTTGGAACTAAAAGGTGAAAAAGGACCGGAGCAATACAGAACTTGGACTGGAGGGGTTGGCTCGACTTGTGGTGAGGCGTCTGTTTCTGCAGGTGCTGGCGGTGGAGAGGGCTCGCGATTGCGGCTTTTCCTGGGAGCCATGGAGAAAAGTAAGTATCGGATTATCAGCCTGCCCTAAACTTCATGTGCCAGATGTTCGGTCCGCTATCCGCGGCCATTCAATGAAAATATGCCTCTGCTGCTTGCTCGAGGAATGGGATGTAATTGGCTATAACAAGGGCCTTAGAAACTGCCCTAAATCTAATTGCGACACGTGAACAGCATGGCTATGTAGTGATACAAGGGAGAGGTGGGAGGGGGACAGAAAAAATTGCTAGCAACTTGTACAATAATGGCATGGTAATACTAAATGAGATTTGGTTAGATGTGGCAAAGCCAGAGACTGTTCGAATGAGCCATTTGTGAGATGAGAGAAGAGGCAGAGCCTCGATGCCTGGGATTGGCAGTCAGAATTGAATGACAGTGAGAGAGCAGAGTTCATCTCACCTAGGGATGCAGGCTGAAGGTGAAAATGAAGAAGAGACACCAGAGCTGATGTCTCTCATGAATCAGCCTCAGCCAAGAGTCGGCACTGAGACAGAGTCGGCACCGGCGGCCCATCTTCGTGGACGAGCGGAGCTCCGTATCGAGAGATTGTGGGTACCTCGAGAGCCACGCAGAGGCCTGCGAAAACGCTCCCTACCCTTGGAATCCATCTTTACGACGATCCAGTCACGTCTTTTGTCTTTTCGTCTTTGACTATCATCTATATCGCGTTTACATTGTGAGGACTGCTTTCTCTAATTTTATTCCGCTAACATATGTTACACACACACAGAATGCAACATAGAATGCAAACATCAAGGCCAAGGTTTTATTCGAATCCGAGATTGCAAGCAGTGGTATCGCAGGATTCGGATGAACGCTTCGCTGTCTAGTATCGGCGGAAGCCATCATGCTACTAACTTTCTTTCTGGTCCATCTTTCGCTGGTCGTGGTGTACCACCTCCGAATTCCGGTGGCATTTATCCATCTAATGTAACTCACACTAGGTCTGTGCATCTCCAACCAGCGAGAAGACATTCGGTACCGTATCTTGGCCAAAAAAATCAGAGTCGAGACGAAAATGACTGTCCTGTGGCAGCTCGCCCTCCACCGACACAGGCGGTAAGTGGTAAAAATCACAGTGTGGATAATTCTCTCTGGCAGGAATCTCAACCCGTTTGGCACCCAACCGTCTCAGCGCCTGCAACTTGCACGACAGCTTCTTCGCAACATGGTCACTCTTCAATCGTCTGGCCAGCCATGCAAGCGGACACTCCTTACCAACGAAATCCTGAAGGACCTTTCTATAGGCACCAACGTCCACCATTCGTTCCCTTGGACAACATATCAGAAGCAGGTATACCTAATTGCCACAACTTTCTTCCTTTTTATCTGCTTCCCGACACCGAATTGCAAGGCATCAATACCTCAATGACTTCGATTTCCACGACTCCCTGCAACAGCGGGACGCAAAACACAGCACCCGTTATTGGCGAAAACGCTGATCGTGATATGCAGTATGAGCGACCTTTTTTGATGACGGTTAATGACGGATGAACATGACCTATTTGCCACTGAAGGCCTCCAACATCATCGATCATTGCCAGCAAGTCCTTCAAACGACGAGCCTCCGTTACTGGTGGGAGTCAACCATCACGACTCAAGATTATTTCAGCTTCTCTCCTTGGCTATGCCCTACCAAGCGATAGTCATACCCAGGCCGATGTCTTTGGACAACAACACTTTGACAGACAACGTCACAATCCAGATACCTTTCGCTGCGACAGAGATCATGGACCAAGACGGCGACAAATTGCACGAGTTGGGTCGAACACTGCTGGATCATTTGCTTCCGTTTGCCTGCACTACGTCGATGTTAACCTGGATTGCCCTACGAGTGCTTCCGCGAGTAGAAACACGCTATGGACCCCATGCCGAAATGCAGTTACAATCATCCTTAACTAGCATACTCATGACAGCGTTCAGACAGTACTTCGTTGGGGTATGTTTGCTGCTTATACAACACTTACTACGTTATCGAACAACTGACCTGTGATCTTTAGGAACGTTCGATTCTTAGTAACCGACTATCTATCGTCCTTGCAGAGACTGTAGGGGAATTCTTCACTTCAGAACTTCTCGGTGGACAAGACCTTTTCCTTGCTCTGGACACGCTTCTCACATCGTCCGCACATAACCGTATCGCGGCTACGGTCGCTCTTCTTGGTCGATGTGACGATACATTGTTCCGTCCAACTCATCATGCACTTTTCCAAGCATTCTGCATAAAGCTGACACAACATCAGGCTAACGGAGTATACATTCATGGTGAAAACATGACGAACGGACAGGCGATTATCATGGTACGTTGTTCTGTGGTAGCCGAAGCTCGACTGGCACAGTGGGCTTTCCGACAATCGCTGAATGTGGGAATGATAAAAGCCCAATTTTCCAAGTCGGTTAGTTAAACAAATTTGCCGAGGAAGTTCGGAAGATACATTCCTTGTCTCATGATGTAAAATTGGATTGGGAGCGGATCTTGATAGAGCTTGATAGCTCTGCTGTTTTCATGCATTTTTCCTCGTTTCGAAAGTAAAATGTTGTAACAAGGACATCTCGCACGACCATGAGAAACTGAGCGAAATCTGGAACCTATAAGCGCTACCCGAGACACTAACCGAGGAAGCTAAGGATTCGAAGAGAATCAGAAGAAACCACTATCGGCTACAGTGTATTTTTCCGTGAGCGGGGTTACGACGTATCGTTGGGGAACAGATGGGATATACCTCAACCTTCCTTGCGGCTGAAATGTTGGTCAACTCGAGATAACTTAGTTTCCTGAAAGTCGAACGATAGGAGCTTTTATGCTGATCGGAAAGAAGAAAAGTGTCCATGTGAGGGAATTTCCAACATAAAAACGAAGGGATGTAAGCTTAACACTAGCCTAACTCCCTTCAAGTTTGCTCCAGACTCGAAAATGCATTAACTTGAGACAGGAGATAAGCTGGGTCGCTCGGCAATACACGGCAGAGCCTCGGCAACGTCCGTCTGGTATGAGACCCGGGCGTAAAAATTGAATTCGCATTCGGAAAGAACCTGAACCTGAACAAGACACCCGACCTTGCTCGACGACAGCGACACTTTAGACCCCATGCCCACTGGCTCTCCCTTGCCATCACCCATGGCCTTGAAGAGGTCCTCGCCGCAGCACTCGATGTTCAAGAAGCGGTCGTCGCAGTCACTGTCTCACATGGCCTCGGCGGCATCCTATCTATCTGCACTGTCTCAAGCAGACGCTCGTGCACGAAACAGCAACGGGATGTCGCCTACATCGACACCGGCGTTGTCCTTGTCGTCGTCGGTCACCTCATCATCGGAAGATACTGTACTCAACGAGGACGATGAACTCGACAATGGCGACGGTTTGGTTATTCCTACTCGTCCCCCCACGTCTGAACAGGTCTTCACGACCGTTCACTCTGAGTTTGGGCACTGCGCCAATGAGGAATATCGCTGTGTCTCCCAGCATACCCCCGGTACTATTATCCCCGGCCACGTCGAGCAGGATCCCCCATACTACATCCTCCTTTCAACATACATTAGTTACCTCATTCTAATCTGTCTTGGTCACTTCCGCGATTTCTTTGGAAAACGTTTCAACCCATCCGCCTACCGACATTTGATGGCCCATGACGTGCGTGCCTATCTGACGACGAAATTTCCGCTTCTTGACTAACGCGTTTTACTCACAGGGATATGCCCCTCTGAACTCGGATTTTGACTCCTTTTACACTCGTCGCCTGAAACTACGTATGGACGAGTGTTTCTCCCAGCCAATCACAGGTGTTGCAGGCCGTACTATACAGCTTCTTGACCGCTACTCTCCCGATTACAATCATACCCAAATCCTCACCGGGACGCGTACCCGAGCGCTTAACATCTCTTCATACAATTACCTCGGCTTCGCACAGGCTCGGGGCGGCTGCGCCGATGTTGTGGAAGAGACCATCAAGCGATATGGCGTGACAACATGCGGTACGCGTCTGGAAGGTGGAACGAGCGAGTTGCACACATTTAGTGAGGCGCTCGTTGCTCAGTTTCTTGGAGTGGAAGATGCGTTAATCAGTTCCATGGGTTTTGCCACCAACTCGAATTATATTCCTGCTCTAGTCGGCAAGGGCTGCCTGATTATCTCCGACGAACTCAACCATGCCTCGATTCGCTTTGGTGTGCGTTTGAGTGGAGCAAGCGTGCGCACATTCAAGCATAATGATATGGCGAGCTTGGAATCACTTCTCAGGGAGGTCATTAGTCAAGGCCAACTCAAGACACACAGGCCCTGGAAGAAGATCTTACTTATCGTGGAAGGCCTGTACAGCATGGAAGGGACTTTTGTCAACCTTCCTGCCATAATGGAGTTGAAGCGAAAATACAAGGTCTGTGCTTCATAGACGTTATCTCGAGGACTCCATTACTCATGTCTTATTCGTATAGTTTTATCTGTTTATTGATGAAGCACACTCTGTGGGCGCTCTTGGTCCTCATGGTCGTGGTGTGGCAGATTACTTCAATGTCGACCCTCGCTCTATTGACATATTGATGGGTACATTCACAAAATCATTTGGCGCCGCAGGTGGGTACATTGCCGGGAACAAAGCGCTCATTGACCGTCTTCGCCTCCGTGGCTATTCTGGAGCCTATGCCGAGGCCATGACCCCTCCAGTGCTAACCCAGATTATAGCCAGTATGGCTAGTATCATGGGTGTCAATTTGCCTCCACCATCGACCTCTTCTCGACACGGAAGTGTTGGTCCTGCCGACGAAATATATCAATACCCTGGCCCCGTACCAGCAAGCTCACTTCCTTCATGGGTTACCCTCCCAACTGCATTGTCTTCTAGTGAAGAAGGGCGTGACCGGCTACGTCGTCTCACCTTTAATTCGCGATATTTCCATTCTGGACTGGTCAAACTCGGCTTTATCACCTACGGCCATCCGTCCTCACCGGTTATTCCCCTTCTAGTGTTCAATCCCGGAAAAATGAACATGTTCCATAGGATGATGAAGGATAGGAAAACTCCCATCATTGTGGTAGTTGTTGCATATCCGGCAACTCCCCTGGTCACGAGTCGTGTTAGGTTCTGCGTGAGCGCGGCACATACAAAGGAAGACATTGATTGTATCCTACGGGCATGTGATGAGGTCGGTGATATCCTCGACTTGAAACATGGAATCCCCAAATCGGAGAGGTGGGCTATCGAGGATATTGTTGGTAGGGCCGTTGAGTTGGCTAACGCATGAACTTTTACACGGATGGCATGAACTCAGTAATCTGTGTTACATAGATGGGTGAATGCTGGAATGACTGATGACTTTCTATTTTCAATACTTTATTTTCATGTCGAGTATTTAATGAATCTATCTGTGTCTTCTGTACCCCCCAGCTGAGTTGTGTGTATCCTGAAAGTAAATATGTAAGTAAAATAATAAATCTTTCGAGATAGGATCAAAGATCCGAAGAGCGACAGGCCTTTCCGGACTCCGCTCGACATTGACCTCCACGTCCTTGAGACACCGCTATGGACGAGGAAGAAACACAAATGCAATTTTTATCTGCCATGATGGGCAGCGACTTCAGCACCGAAGTTGCGCGTCGCGTTCTTCGAAAACACAATGGCAGTGCAGAGAAGGCAGCCGAAGCTTTACTCGCAGGCGACAATGGCGAGGACGATGCGGTGGTTTCTATCCACACAACGGGTACCACCCAGCCCGCTGTCATAGACCTCACGAGTGACGACTCTGAGGAAGTGAATCGTGCCATTCGCATGTCTCTGAACGAGGACGAGTCGCCACCGCCGAAGTTTGGCCCGAGCAATCGTGCCCCAGATCCAGCTTGGCAAGTCGTAGCGTCGAATGTGAGGAGTCCTTTGCTTCCTATCTGATGATTGACGATGAATATATGTGTAGGTATCTACCTCCAACGACGCCCAGATGGAACAGGCCATTCAAAACAGCTTGGAAGACTTTGCAGTGGAAGACGACGACCACCCATCTGTTGAGCTGGCTGTACGAGAGGGTGGAAGGTATGTGTATGCATGCAGTCCTTCCAGATGCTCATCGCCTTACAGGCCCGTGGCAATTCGACCAGAAATATCGAATCTGGCGTATGCTGCATTGGTCAGTTCGCGATACCTGCGTAAGGTTACGCTCATGGAATATTTCAGATCCTACAAGCACTGTACTATGTTCCCCAAATACGACGAAAGGTGTCCGAAGTCAACCTTGACTCGCCGCTGCTGCAAGAGTATCCTGTTGGTAGGGAATTCCTCTGCTCTTGCTCCATATAACTGAAATCGGGGTGCAGAACGGGAAGCACTGAGGTTACTCCGGGATATGTTCGTGCACCAGGATCTCGCGCAGCTATCTATCATTCTCGATCAAGAAGTCTTACAAGCCTTCCGGGCGCAGCCTATCCATGAGACTCAGAAAATCTGCGAATACTCGCTCAGTACGTCCGTCGTTTCTGCGCAGTGCATTGCTGACTTTATTATTAAAGGATTCTACGGCGAAGTCATGGGCGTTCTAACGCACTATATGAGAGCCGAGGATCCAGAGTAGGCTTCAGCTTCTTATTGCAAGTAGTCTGAGGCGTATCCACCTACAGAGGAGTTCCTTTGGGTGCTTTGCAGTCTGGAACGGTGCATATTGTCGACGGCAAACGCCACAACCAAACCCCGCATCACAAGAACGAAATCCTCACACCCGTATACGTGGAATATGGGTGGAACGATGTGCATGAGGATCTTGTACAGCGTCTGTCCCTGACTCTAATGCAAGAACTCAATGCACTCCAGTACAAGTACGAAGTGATCGTTGAACCGGCTCCGGAAGTGGTGGCGTTCGTTCTCAAAAACGAAGGGAAATGCTTATCTCCTCCGGCACTAACTTTTCCCAAGACGATATACATGGATCGGTTTTTGAACGAAAGCACTGAGTTTGCGCATCAGAAGCAGCAAGAAGTGCGGGATATGCAAGAGGCTGTGAACAAGCTGTGGCAAAGCAAACAGGCACTGACGCAATTTAATGTATGTGTGGCTGACGTTCATTCTACTGTAATTGTGGCTGAAAACGAGGCTCTTGGACCTGAAGAACAAAGATACCCTGAAGGATCTAAGGACGACACTGTACTATTACGAAGAGGTGGCGCAGGCGAAAGATGATGATCCCGACCGACGTGCTCGTATTGACGCAATGGTTAGCAAACTGCGAAATTCGATTGGTGTTATTGAGAAGGAACTTGAAGGTTCGTTAGTTGAACGAATTTAAGGTGTCCAAGTCGACTCATGATGATGCCTGATAGTCATCGATATGGAGAGCACGAGGCTGTTAGAGGAGTCGCAGCGCGTACTTGACTGCCCAGAACTCAAGAACCACCCTGTAAGACAGACATTTCTTCTTTGGAGCTGACGGAATTTTGCCTCAATTCTATCTAGTACGATCTCCGCGCTGTTCTGATGCACGACGGACTGCCGGGGAGGAAGCATGTCTATTTATACGTGCAAGACGCGGGGGGGATTTGGTGGAAAACGGTGGATACCGTCGTGACTGAGGTGATGCGACATTTTAGCGGTTAGTTTCCCCAATTGCAAACTGATGGTTGTCAGGTACCGGAGGAGGATGTGTTTCGGGATACCACAGGAATGCTGCTCGGCGCTGGACCATACATGCTGCTCTACAGCCGCAGTTTATCCAAGGAGGAGCTCGAAGCGCCGGTACAATGGCCGAGGGAGAGCACGGTGCGTGGTGGATATTCCGTGAAGCCAAGACTGATATTGTAAATTTGTTCTGTCACAGGAGCTGACAGAGATGAATAACAAGACATTTTTGGACTCTTTGCCACCTGAGATTGCGGCCAGGGCCCGACCGAGGACAGGGAGTAGCATTGATCATGGAGATATGATGGATACGACTGCATAGAGGAGGAATTTATGTTACGCAAACTGGTTAGCCTGGAATCGACGCCCGTGTCGTGGATTACACGCCACTCCTCGTAGACCTTGCAAGAAAAAACTGAATCCGTTGTGATGGATTTGCCCTGGATACGTGACAGAATTGCTGTGTGTATGTGATGGATCAGCTGAAAGGGCTCAGTGTCTTGGCAGATGAATCGTAAATTGCCAAATGGGGAGGAGATGAAAGAAGAAGACCGCGCCATTTTTTTCTCCATTATTATCTCTTTCTTCCTTACGCCCATCTTGGTGTCCGTTCACCGTCCTTTTCTACTTTGTCCTTCGCGGACCAAGCACATTCCTTTATATAAAAGCCTGTATTTCTTGACGACAGCCTTGCTCAGCCCCGCAATGCCTTTCTTCAGCAAACGTTCTCTCTTTGCCGCCGTCGCCACTGCTCTTTTACCAGCGGTGCATGCCCATGGTCAGGTCAAGGGCGTCTTGGCCAACGGGGTGTATACGTCGGGTCCTAATGTACGTGTTGGCGACACTGACAAACGCCCTATTCGACTGAAGTTTTTCATTTTGTAGATCTACTACGCCGCCGACTCGAAGAACGCCGGCACTCCTGTTCGTGTACAATATCAAGCCTCTGGAACGGCCTTTAACGTGCCTTCGCAATGGAGTGACAACTCGTAAGATGGCGCTCATTGGGATGATGGCGTTTGAGCTAATTTCGCGTTGTCAGGGCCATGGCTTGTGAAGGTGCCTCTGGCGCTCCCGTGTCCGTCAATATTACTGCTGGCAGTGTCCTCCGTATCTATTGGGCTGGTGCTACCGATGACCTGCTTGGCAAGGCTGGTGTTGGCGACACTGGAGGAACCGACTCTACCAACTACCCTTGGGTCCATGCGTGAGTCCTAGATTTGATTGAAATTATCTTGAGCGCGCTTATCTTGACACAGCATGGGTCCGATCGCCGACTACATTGCGACTTGCAATGGAGACTGCAGCTCCTTTGACGCGTCCACCGCCGGCTGGTCCTTGCTCGACAAGATGGGGATCGATTACAGCCAGACCATTTCTGACGATCTAAGGACGACGATGGCCAATAAGCCGGAAGAGTACTATCCGACTAGCGGAAGTGGGCTGTGGGCCATGGCCCAGCTTGGTGTGTCAATTTGTTTGACGTTTGGGGAGCAACTGGATGCTAACCTATGGATCAGTGGCACAGGGTTCCTGGTGGGAGACGACTATCCCCGCTGAGCTCGAGGATGGGCAGTACATTGTAAGGAACGAGGTGAGGCAGTGAGTATGAGATGTGGACTAGTACTGATTGTCGATGATAGATGACTGCCGTGCACAATCCCCTTAGCGATGGTGGTGACCGTCCCGGGCCGCAGATGTACATTGCCTGTGTGCAATTGAATGTAGAAGGTGGCGGGTCGCAGTCTCTGCCCGCCGGCACCCAGGCTGGATCGTAAGTCATCTAAGGTCGATCACGTATTGTTGATGCTGACTCCATCATTCGTAGCCTGTACTCAACGACAGGTGACTTTGCCAATTATAATATTTATGCCGGCGACGAGTGGACGGACCCCTTCCCAGACGTCTTGAGCTTTGCGTCGTCTTCTTCGTCATCTGCAATCACCTCTTCATCCTCCTCTTTTTCTGAGGCTTCTTCCTCGGAAACACCCGCTCAGACCTCCACCTCGTCTTCTGATGATTCTTATTACGCCCCATCCACGACACTGACATCAACTGCCTCTGCAGAGACTGCCTCGAGCAGCAGCAACAGCTCTACTGGAGCCTGCCGCGAGCGCCGAAGCATCAAGAGGCGCATGGAGTCTCACAAGAATATGAAGAGGCAGTCCCTCTCCCACACGCACTAAATTTCTTTTTGTTCTGATGACAGGTACCCATTGTGGTCTGGCGCATCTCTGATACCTCATTTTATTACTACCTTGTTCGCTGTGCGACAAGCCATCATATACAAGCATCTTTGTGAATTAGCATTTGCATATACCTCTCTGCTTTGAATGTATTATTCCGTCTGTTTTGTAAATAGCCCCACGGCCGCGGGATGTTATTGTTACCGACGCTGCATGTCCAGGGATACTTGTTACCGACGTCGCTTGTCAGGGGTCTCCTGGGTATCCAGGGACGGTCCCTCATATTGGACACGCTAAAATTGAGGAGCCAGGGCGGACAGTTCACCCATGGACTTCTGCGTGACGTCCTTGCCGTACAAGTATGGGGGTTATAACTTACCACCATCCGTAGGGTGCTCCTAGGCGAATCTCCTTAACTTTGGTTCTGTACTCACTCTGGTGACCAGTCTCAGTGGGGGAAGAGCGTAAAGTCGGATGGTACATGCGAGGCTTCTGATTCTGTACATAGGTCGACGCCCAGTGGAGTTTGGGCCAGGACAATCCCCGCATATCGAGACCATTTTTCGTTATCACCGCCGAGCTTGAATGCAATAGTTCATACTACACATGCGTGCTACCCAGAGCCGACGGAGGATACATACTAAACTCGCATCGTCATAAGGTATTTCATGTTCTCGAATTCTACGCTTTCTTCAGAACTATACTAAGTAGCAGGACCGTCAATAATGCTATGCTAATGCAAATTGTCTCCTAAACCCGACTCCGTCGATGTCGGTAGTGGTGGTGGCAGAACAATACGTATGCTGTCACTTCATACACTCATATCTATCCGAGTCCAAACTGAAACCTGCTTGTCAGAACGGTCACTGACAACTGTATCTATCGCTTTCCGTTGTTATGACAACACTTGGATGTTACTACGCCTGATAGTGGATCTATCATCTATCATATAGTCTCTTAGTCGCTGGTGCGATTTTGTCACAAAGTTTGTTTGTATGCAGAACCAAGACACGAGGTTCCAGGTTTTTTATACCCTGATTACCACCACCTCTTTGATAATCCAGATGCGTAAGAGATCCTTATTCCTTTACACTTATGTTCCTCCTACGCACGACTGTGAAATAGCTCACTCGACGGAAAGAGAAAATCTTTTCATGACACGTACTATCGCCTCGTCTTCCACCACTGCAACCCCCACTGGCTCTCTAAGAACGGTTGCTATCACCGTTCGTCTTCGTGAGTTTTTCCTTGCTATTATGACTCTTTCACGAGCCGAGACTTGTATATCTTCAGCTTGGATATTGTCAGAGCAACATGTGTCTTCAGGCATGAGATGGTCTAGGTACTACTTTGCTGACGGACCCGGATGATCTTTTGCTGACATGGTTACGCAACTTATGCCAGCCTCCTTATTATCGAACGTCTTTCGTGACACATTTGATTTAGGTTCTTTTGGTTACTCTATGTTTCACGAGCGTCGATAGCTCATGTCAATAGTACAAGGATGGATGTCCAATGCAGCCCACCGCAAGACATTCTTATGGAGGTATTACTGCTCCTTACTGCTCTCTCAAAGAAGTATCAATGAAACCTCTGTCGCATTCCACTCCAATGACAGCAAAGCAATTAGCAACACAACTAATACCGACTATGACGATCAAGTGTAACTGAACATGTCAATCTTCATGCCTATTAGGACAGCAGTATGCCAGCACTCTTCTCAAGCCTGTGGTCCTATCGTCGCATTCCTTTGAGACCGAATATGGAGTTACCGAGTGAGTTTTTCTCAAACTTGACGAAGCTGAGATCTAAACTTAGTATGCCTTTGCAACTGAAATCATCCTTCAAGATTGAGCTTTTTCCACATCCCACCATCGGCATATTGACTAAACTACACTTATTCTAGTAATTTCTATTGAATCAATTTCTTACTCAGCATGCCGGAATGCCGGAATGCTCGAATTCTCTCGCAGATTCCAACACGACTATTCTAGTCCAGCATTCTTACCTGGCTGCTTCAGAATTGCGAATTGGGATTCCATGATTCAGGGCTTTGAACTCGTTTGTATAATGGTTGCCGACAAGAATGTGGGGTACATCTCAACATCCTGACTTATCACCGCCATCTCTACTGGGGTCCTTTTTCAGAGGGGCTGTACTGGCGTTAGTGGAAGAAGTGCGTCGAGGTATTAGTAGCTTCCGAAGCCGATGGTTAGGTTTCTGATTCCACTGGTATTTGTAAATTGGCGCCAATAAGTAGTACATTTATCTTCAAGGGTGTAACACCTTCTCAAGAAATATCTGAAAGGCAAACATACGGAGCGAAGTGGAACATCCCATGCCTTCCATTTAGGGCAGGCTGTTCTCGTTGGTGATGACACGACCCGTGCGACCCCCCAACAACTCCCCAGCTTCGAATTTCATCCATGCACTGGAACTGGGCGCTTAAAAAGTACCTAGACCCCAGTTCTCAATGGACAGACGCGACTTGGGACACCGTCAGGTGCTTCGTGCTGTTTTCTGCCGTAACGCGTTAGCTGCAAGGAGTTGAAGGCACCTATTTACCATCAAGGGTGTGTAAGCACCTAGGGAATGAGGCCCTGCTATCTTGGTGATGACAGTGCTAATGTGGGATGGAGTGATGTCGCGAATTTAAAAGGTAGGTCCTGGAGGCATCCTGAGCCTGTTTAACCTTTAATCTTTGTTACAGCTTATTAGTCGTATTCGACATAAAGGTACCGTTTCTTTGGAATCTTAATTAACGTTAGTGATTCGATGAGCGTCAATCAGATTCACCTGAGAATTTTAATTCGGACGGGGCGACCAAGCGCGTCTAACCACAGATTTGAATCCTATATAAACCCTATGGACCTTCGCTAGCCATTCCTTCACTTTCCACCATGTCCTTCTCAGGTAGCTCAGATCCTCCGATGCTCCCATACCCTGATTCCTCTTATCATCACTGTTTCTGCCTGTGCCCCTTGGGTCCCCTATGACCCAGTTTTCACGGTTTGCTGCAGTGCAACAAGCGCAACTGAAGACCTCGAAGGCAATGATGAATGGAATCCCTACCATGCGGAAGGGGAGCGATAAATCTACCAAAGAGAAGAAACCAATGCCCGACAAGAGCAAGACTGAGATCCCTTGCGATCATTATCTGAAGCGCTTCCAGATTTGGGACCTTGAGGAGTTCCGTTACGTCCCATATGACCCGAGCGCTAACGCATCTCCTCCTGCCCCCAAGGAAGAAGATAAAAACAAGTACTTCTACATCGATACACGGTATGAACATGAACGAGGTATGTCGAATGTCTTTCTGTGAACAGTGTGTTAATAATTTCTGTCTAGCTGAACCAAAGGTCTGGGTGACAAATTTCGGCAAACCATCGCTTGCTTTCTTGCGGTACGTCTCCCTCTTTCGATTATCTGTCAGTCTGGATAACCTATCACAATGCTTGTACGTGTACAGAGTCACTGTTGGAGATACCTTCTTCTACCAGGAACCCGAGTACCTTGTCACGTCCTTTTTCCCGAAGCTGTCTTTGATGAGAAAGACTCTGGCGACCGCGCAGTCCTTTGCTTTGTCAGACAAGACGTATACGCAGGAGGAATGTCTTCAAGTCGTAAAGGCCGTAGGACTGAATGACGTAGGAGAGGAAAACTGCATGCCAAGCATCACTTCGTCCATTCCGACGCTTATCATGCAGCATAGCAACCCCCGACGTCAGATATGATCCAACAAGTGAAGGAATTGGTAGAGCATGTCCAGGTTCTCATGGCACATCTCGAGGAACAGTTCAAGTCAAGGTATGTATGACACTGACTTCATTCTATTGGCTGACAATATGATCTAGCGCCGATCGAGTGGCTCTGGCCAGTAGCTATGGTCACGCTGAGTTTGATCTGTAGGCGGTTGGTCCTCGAGGTGGGGAGAACGGACTGATGATATATATGTTCAGACTTCAATACTTCTTTGAGCCTGGTCAGGAGATGGTTACTACTGACAGGTTTCGTAAACCGGTGAGTTCATTCGGACGTCGCTACTGTCTGTAATACTGACCGAGTCGTTCCAAGATCGCTGTGATAATTGAGAACGCTTACTATGACAATGAGCAATAGTACGTCGACGCTCTCGATTGTTTTTGCGCTATTTCCAACTTTATCCAGTCCTGATCCTGGTCGATTCTTCTACGTTGTGTGCCAGGGATTGTTCTGGAATGGCACCTCAATACCACATACAACGTAAAGTGAAAGAGTATAAGGTTTGTAGACGTCGGGTGATTGTCGATTGCTGGAATTGATTTTCGATGTAGGGTACCAGGGAAATGTCGTGTCTCCCTTGGACCAAATTGGAGCCCGATGTTCAGGTAAAACTCAAAGGTTGGCAGATCTCGCTCTTGCTTACCAGGCTAACTGTATACAACTCCAGCTCGCGGAAAGCTATACACAGCGCATTCTGGTGTGCACTACAGAGTTTGTAAGTGATACATTGAGGGTACATATTCCTCTCATTGACATGACACCCAGATGGGACTGTAAATATGACCATCTGTCTCAATCTTCTTTCCCGATACCTTGTCCTTAGAAACGTGTTATGACCGATCGGATGGCGTACGATGATTGGCCGGGCTACACCCGCAACCCGTTAAGTGAACAACTTATGCTGTGTATGCATACTTATACCATTGCTCTAGTGATCAACTTATACCTGAACTTGAAGAGGAGCGTCTTCATCTCCTTCCTTCAGAAGTGTGAGAAACTGTGCTATTGTGAAGCTTCTTGAATGACTTTCTCTACCAGTTACGGACTCAATCTGATGACCAAAGAGTGGTCCAGTTTCCTCATCGAGGTATTAGAAGAAGTGGTATTTGACGAGCATGCATGGGATCATCTGGTCCTGGATGAGGATGTTAAGGTTCGCATATGTCACGTTAAACTGGGAAGCCTAGGCTGATCAATAATCCTTCAGACATTAATTAAAGGCCTTGTCGAGGTGACCAAGAACAAGAACTCCTCCAGAAAAATGATCAGCGACGTCATCTCCGGGAAGGGTGATGGCCTGGTGGGTTACGAAGAAAATGGTTGACCTACGATATTGAAAATGTACCTAGATTTCTGTCCTCCATGGTCCCCTGGGAACCGGTGGGGTCAAAAGCGCTGGTGATGCTTCTAGATGTACTAACAACAGCTATCAGGGAAGACCCTCACCACCGAGTCAGTGGCAGAGCTACTCCGTCGTCCACTTTATATGGTTGGTTCATCGAAGCTCTCTGCTCGTCCCTCCCAGTTAGAGGTAAACCTTCAATCTACTCTCAGTGTAAGTATCAGCTTTCTCAAATTATTCGAGCACTCATTCCCGGATCATTTTAGTTAGCAACAACATGAGACGCGGTGTTGTTGATCGACGAAGCGGATGTGAGCGACTGTCATCAAAGTTTGACGCTAGAGTTTTCTAATTATTGGGTTATAATAGGTTTTCCTGGAGCAACGCAGTCTGCACGAGGCGAGTCGACTTGTTACTCGACATTCCTCAGCTTGTCTTACTTTATTTTTAGCTTGAGAGAAACGCTCTGGTTTCAGTAGCGTTAAGAGTCCTAGAGTATCACCGTGATGTCACTACAAACCGGATCAAAACATTTGATAAAACCTTTCTGTCTCGTTTCTCGATCGGTCGGCCTTCTTTCTTTGGAACATGTTGCAATTACGCTGATCGTTCTTGACACAGCTATCAAGTATCCCGAACTTGACATTGCTGATAGACGCGCCATCTGGAAGAAGTTCTTTAGCCTCACTGATTGTACCGTATCTGCGGAAGATCTGGAGGAGCTGGCAGTGAAATCGTTCAGTGGTGAGTAACGATATGTTCCCCTTATAGTGGAATGCTCAGCCCGATCACAAGGGCGCACTATCAAGAACATTGTAAGTGTCTGTCCGGTCCCCTTGGCCTGTGTGAAACTCATAATTCTCTGAATCAAGGTCCGAATGGCGCAGGCATTAGCTCTTTCAACGTGGGTTCCTCGATGTATCAGACGGTTTTCAAATAATCAGCTTCTTTACAGAGACAAGCCATTTGGCATCGAGCATATTCAGGTGGTTTCGAGAGTTCAGGAAAAGTTCCTGGACGAGTTTTCACGTTTAGAGTGGTGACCGTTGCTAGATCCTATACCTTTTGTTTTCGATCGATCTGATACTGAATACCCCCCTTTGTTCTTCGTTGGCTAGCGAATATCGATGCACGTGGAAATTCCCCGAATCCGGAAACAATGGGAGAAAAATACTTGGCTGGCAACAAAAGGATGCTTTACATAAATAGCAGCCTAGTTCAACTTCTCAGGATCACTCGCATCCGGCTTTTACTCTCACTCTCACCTATAGCCGTAATATGGTTTCTGTCGACCCTGCGCTCGAAGTTATATCTCAGGACAAACCCAACACCTCAGATGAAGCATCCGCTGAAATGTCCGCCGAAGAACTCGAGAGCAAGACTGAGGTACAATGCGAACACTACCTTCAACGCCACCTGCTCCTCAAGGGCTATGAATGGGTTCCTTACGATCCAAGCACCTACGTAAGGCCCAAGACGGAACGAGAGGACCTGGACAATTACTTCTATGTGAACTTCAGATATGATAGGAAAGGAGGTGCATTACATCGGTTCACCAAACATTCAAATCCAACTTACCTTGCTATAGCTGATCCTTCCCTCATCTTGTCACATTGGAGCAAAACACTTCTCTCGGTTCTAAGGTAAATAATCATGTATTACCACGACGTTCCCCAAGGTTGACTTTATCTACAGAAAGCTTTGTGGAAGCGAATTTTTCAGTAAAGATCCCAAGTACAAAGTCGTAGCGTTCTTCCCGAACCTGAAGATGCTCAGAGAGAAATTGGATCATGCAAAGTCCGTCTTGTCCTCGGAAGTAAATTATACAAAAGAAGACGTTCTGGAACTTTTGAAGAGCCTGGGTACCAGCGATTTGGACGAGAGTGTGTATGCTAGCAATTTTCCATCGCAGATGTACTGAAATTCCGCGCAGAAGTTCTCCAATCCGATGCTCTACTGCGAGTGGCTGATATCACTGAACATCTTGGCGTGTTGGTGGGGTATCTCGAGGAACAATTCCGGCCAACGTACGTATCTGATGGCTGAATCTTACTCTCTTTTTCCCTGATTCGTTTGTCAGGGCTCTCCGGTTAGAGTTAGTCACGAGCTACGGACACATCGAATACAACCTGTCAGTTTCTATTGTAATCTGAGAACACTAAGAAACTTATGTGCTGATAGGCTCCAATATTTCTTTGAACCCGGACAGCATGTCTCCGCAGTGGACTCTGATGGTCTACCGGTTAGTGACACAAATAATTCCATGTCCTCAAGAATCCTAACTTGCAGAACTCTAGGTTTCTTTTGTGATCAAAAAGAGACGTTACGAGAGGTAAGTGCTATGCTCCTTAAGTTCCAAACAAATTAAATGTCCGTCCCAAGTGTAAATAACCAGCGTTACCTCTGCGTTTCGGGATATGGATTGTATTGGGACGGATATGGCTATGAGCATAGAAAATTAGAGGGTAAGATCCCCGAGTTTGAGGTGGGTTTGATAGCTATGTAAAGCGCTATTCATCGTTAACATGGGTCTTAGGGAACGGAAGAAGCTTCCTCTCTTCCAATTGTCCATCTCACTCCGTTGCTGAAGGAGAAGCTGATTAGTATGTCACACTATGATTTTCTGTTTGAGGGCTAACATTCTGTTGCAGAGAGAGGTCGCCTTTACGCCAGTTATTCAGGGCTGCACTATAAATTATGTGAGACTTTCAGTGACGTTTTTACCTCATGTTGACTGGTTACTCTTAGATAAGGGGGTGAGCAAGCACTTGCATTTGTTTTTGCTGCTATTTCAACGGTCACTTAGAAAAGAGTCATCGTCGATGTAGTTGCCTTCAACCATAAGTCAGGCTACATACGCGATCCGTGAGTGGCGTTATCGTCATTCTTCATTAAGATGAGGTTCTCAGCCGTAGGACCTTTCCAGTAATCAAAAAATTCCTGAGATTGATGAAGAGGAGCTGCACCTCCTTCCTACCAAAGTATACGGATTTAATTTGGCAACAAAAGTTTGGACTAGCTTTTTCGTCGAGCACCTAGAACCAGTCACGTTCGATGAGAATGCCTGGGATCATCTGGTCCTTGACGAAGATGTTAAAGTGCGTACCTTGCAATCGTTTTCGTTTGCCAGGCATGTTAATATCTTGCCAAAGACTCTCATCAAAGGACTTGTCGACGTGACAAAGAATTCCAACTCTTCCTCCAAAATTATCAGCGATGTTATATCCGGTAAAGGAGGTGGATTAGTAAGTGATCCCCGTAATCCGTTTCCGCTTCACTGACGAGTCTATTTAGATTTCCGTCCTCCATGGTCCGCCCGGAACGGGTATGTAAATTTCTCAATGTCATCTCCATTATTGATGAATGATGCAGGAAAGACACTAACGGCGGAGGCCGTTGCTGAGCTTCTCCGTCGTCCATTATACATGGTAGGATCTTCTGAGCTTCCATCATCACCATCTGGTCTGGAACGTAGCCTTGAGAGTATTCTGAGCGTTAGTGTTCATCGTCGCATTTTGTCCACAAAAGGCTCACCTTCTCCTTAGTTGGCTACAGCCTGGGATGCTGTCCTTTTGATTGATGAAGCTGATGTACAGTGGCTCAGATTTTTCTGCCTAGTCACCAAGTATCTAATATCTCTTTGCGACAGGTTTATCTGGAACAGCGGAGCCTTCATGAAGTGAGTCTCGAATTTCTAGAGAATGACACCTAGGCTAAAAGCGAAACACCATCAGCTGGAACGGAATGCTCTCGTCTCTGTTGCACTTCGTGTTCTCGAGTATCATCGCGGCGTACTTTTCTTGACAACAAATCGTATCAGCTCATTTGATGAAGCGTTTCTTTCCCGGTTCTCGATCGGTATCTTCACTAACTTTCATTTATTTGATGACACTAATCGGGACCTTACGTGCAGCTATAAAGTACCGTGAATTAGACTGCGCAGGAAGATATGTTGTCTGGCGCAAATTCTTTGAAATGGCTGGATCAACCATCATTGAAGATGAGGTAGTTTCTGTAGCGGAGGGTTCCAGCAACGTCTCTCGAGTTGACCTCGAAACATTGGCCCAGAAGAACTTCAATGGTGTGTCCGTCTTACATTTATACCTATTCGCCTCATTTACGAGCACCCATTAAGGTCGAACCATTAAAAATATTGTGAGCTCCGGTGATCGCCTTTGTTTGCTTGCTCTAACATCTCAAAGATCCGAACAGCTCAAGCTTTGGCACTCTCATAGTCAGTTCACCTTAATAATTCTTTATAGTCGTGATCTGAATGCTTTCATAGCAAACAGCCGCTTGGTATCACTCATGTTCAAGTCGTACTGCGAGCCCAAGAAAAATTCCTGGACGAATTTTCGACTATGGACAGGCCAATTAAGCTGTAGTCTGAATCTGGCAAACAGATTTTGCTCGTATCACTGGATATATTTCTCTTTCCGATATTTCCCTCACATTGGACGATAGAGGGTGTACAGAGACCTGTTTCGACTAACTTACCTTACACGGATATTGATATACCAATACGTAGCTCATGATTAGAATTCAAACCCGGCTCTTCTCATCACCATACGCTTCTCCACTGACAGCTGCTTGAATTTTGTGTCTGGAACGCGCTTCGATAGTGGTCAGAGAAGCGGTGAGCATGTGAGAGTCCCAAGCACGTCGCATCGCAACACGGTGCACAATAAGCATAGACGATAAAACCTTCATAGCGGTGTAAGTAGTGGACTAGTAAGGAGTTCTGGAAAAATATGGCATACCGGCGCCAGAGCCTGCAGGGGTAGGAAAATATTCGCTACATGGCTGCCCAACCCATAAGGTACAACAAATACGATGGAGTTGATCGCATAGATTAATGAGCTCTCCACTAGCAATGGGCCTGCAGCGACGTAAGGAGAGAACACAGTATAGTCATGTCCCAGCACGCGTTTGATCTCGCGACGAAATATCAACCATTGGACAGCGATAAGCGACGAGATCAAGACATTGAGACCGGCGGTGAGAGAAAAGTAGGGAACACCAAAGTCAACACTCAGATGATTGAAGAGACTCGCTCCAGGTCGCAATGCTTGATAGAGGAAGAGGGATCCCATTGCTGCAGATGATGCTTTAAGTAAAGAAAAGATGGACAACAAGTGAAACATATAGTACCAATGGACCCAAGATAGACCAGAAACGGAACTAACATTATACCGGCATGCATTCGGAAGCTTGATAAACAACGGTACAACTAAAAATTCTCAGTACCAATCCATAATTTGGAAGCCAATGATAATGCACTTACCAGATAACCGTCTGCCATCCATCCGCACATCACGCCAACTACATTGGCAGTTGCTACTGCAGGTTGAGAGTACTGTGTCATCGAAAACCCGAGTGGACCACCCTCATGCTCGCGGTGGTCAATGAACATAAGCTGGAGCCATCTCATGTTGACCGAAATAAAGGTTATTGCAAACGTGAACAAGACGAATGTGTAGGCAATGAGGAACCAATTTCTCTTTACCCTCCATCGTTTGGGATAGTTGAAAAGAGTATACATAGTTTGGAGGAAAATGACTACTATCGCTCCTATGACGATTTATCGTAGATTAGTACGCTGTGAGCGCTCATCGATAGTAACCGACCAAAGACTATTTGAGAGATGCAATCGCCGATCAGATTGGCTCGTTCCGCAAAGAGTGTATTCGCAGAAAGGTTGGGTCTGTCTGATTCTGCCGACATATCTTGAAGACACTCGTGCGGGAGTAAGGAAGAGACCGCAGAAAGGTATCGCTATTCCGGTAGTATCACAATATAATATATCACAACCAAAGATAGCTTACCGGACCTAAGACTGAGAAATCGGACAAGGCACGATTGATCCACGCGTAGATTGTTTCTACGATGCGCGCATGCACCATCAAAGCGTGGTGTGGATCACATAAACCCGATGCTGATGGTCATTATAACATTTAATTGGATCTGGAAAGAGTGTGAAAACGAGGTGACAAACTGTAGACTGTAGGAGATGTCGGAAAGAAAATGGCCCGGGTTAAAGTATACGTATTTCTTCCGCTACGATTGGGACACCCTCAACGGATTTGAGGGAGATGAGCCGGGAGACATCACATCAGCATCTCATGGAATTGCCTGGTCCATGAGACCCAAATAAATCTCGGGGTGTGTACGTATATCCAAGTCGAGATCAGATGGGCTCGAACATCTACTCTGGAGGTGAAACAATCAAGGAGAAAACACATAAGGAGAAGAACGAGTCGGAATGTATAGGCTTTGAGTGTTCTGATTAATGTCGATTGACTCTAGAACAGAATAAAGGTTCCCGCGTCATTCCCAGCCCTGCATGAGAAGGCAGACCATCGAGACCCTAGTAAAACGGCAGCCGTTGCCGTACATTGCATGTCAGCATAGATAGGCCGACCCATAAAAAGCATGAAAAACTATTGGTTGACTTCGTTCATTTCAAGGACACGAGCTGTCTAGGGTACATGAAAGTCGAAGGGTCCTGACCCTACTTTGTTGCATGCTGAATCATGTACACAGCTGAGAAACGATTAACAAACGCTGCAGTGATATTTACAAAGACAGGACCCTTACCTGGAGTAATGTCGGATCTTTTCTCTTGCCACCAGTCGAATCTGCAAAGTTCCGGCGGGCTCAGACCTGAACAAGCAAATTCAAAGGTCAATATTTCCTCGGTAGCGCAAGTGAAATTGCGTTGCCAATTGGAAGGTTCCGCCGAAAGTTCAATGTCTGCAATCTGTGATACGCGCTCAGGACGAGTGCGATACGAAAGAAACAGAGCATCCAGAGCATGTGGCGCATTCAAACGGTATACAGTCAGAGGAGACTGCGCCGTCGTTGAATTGTTAATAACGCCTGGAAGAGATAGGCCGAGTTGGCACGTCCCCATGCCCCAATCAAACGCTCTGAACTGTATGATCGTGGAAATCTATAGGAAGCGGATGTTGGCTAAGTCCATGAGATAAAATGGGCGCGCGCTTACCGTTTGATTGATGATAACATGCCCTTCATCGAATGAGATAGCACCCGCGGGTGACATGAATCGTTTCAGATCATACCCAAAAGCATTGTCCGCAGCCTTGCTATCAATGGTGGCCACTAGGATAGGATAGTTGTGGAACTGGCGAGGCTTTGGAGGTGAGGGTCGTTCGATCTTATCGAAACCTATGAACTGGGATGGTCGCCGCAATAGAGCTATATCCTTCCTTGAAAAAGCACGGGGGGAATGCTGTGAGGCTACCATGGGGGAAGAGGCGGTAAGGACGACGTTGACGATAGTGCACAATACGGCAATAGCCACACAAACTCGAACTGAAAAGTAGTTGACGGTTGGCAGAGATATGCGACCAGTATCTGAATCAACTGGTTGACACTCCATGGTGGAGATGTGAGATGGATATGAGCTATGCAAAAATGACGGAAGTGGATGGAATCAAAAAGCGAGTGGGAGATGCTGGAGATGAGTTAGGGAACCCTTCTGATGACATGATGTTATCAGAAAAAAGGGATAAAGCGGTGCATAGGAATGAAGATGGTCGACCTTAGGGTAGCATGCGTGATCATATTTCAAGCCATGGAAAGGTAGAGCTCGTATAAATACGGAGGACAACCAAGGAATTCATTCCCTTCCAACCTCCAATGAATCATAAAAGCTTAAAAGTCGTCACATTTTTGACCGTCCTGTTCGGAGGGGCTCTGCTTGCTCGCCGCCTCGGGATTCCAAGAAGTGAAGCCTGTGTTGCAGATACAGGTTTTTAACACGGTGATCCTCGTTGTTCACGTCGAACTCGATAGACGTTTTTCCGAGACGGTATTGATGGGTGTTACCGACAGCGGAGACCCCCCTAAAATGATGTTCCAGTCTCTAAATATTCAGTCATGATCAATGCCTCCTGCATGTCTGCTATGGCCGATTCAATGTTGGAGCAGCCCATTGGATGTATATTCATGACAGAATTCCAACAATATTCCTTGCAGAATGAGCTATGGATTGATATATGATTGTAGAGACGGTTTCGCAACAGTAATTGATGCCTGGTCGATGAGATTCAATATCAATTGTAAAGTTCAAGGTTGAGTAAGGCGTCGATCTGTCAAATGGATACAATGTACATTATGGTTGCTAGGAAATTCACCCTCGCCCTCGGAAGGGTGCTCTTCCTTTCACAATGCCGCTCAGAGAGTCCGAAGAGTGCCAGAGGAATCTGTGAATTTCCCGTAAACTCCGACAGTTGTTGTGCAGTGGCGACAGTGTGGCTAAATTTCATCTTCAATGTAGCATTTGCTCGACAATTAAAAAGAAAACAAAGAAGTGACGGGAAAGTGATAAACAATCCAGAGGGGTAGGAGGAGCAGGCAAAGGCATTGTCACACATTACATAAGGTTACGTTCGCGATCACGTGTTATTCAAATTCCCTGAAGTTTTCTAAGTTAAACAACATTGCCGCCACCATCAAGGTCATGTATCCACCAATTGGTACCGTCACATTGCTTGTACATGTGGACCTATACTACATAGAGCCTCGTGTGCAAGGTCAAGACATCCGATCCAGGTACTTACGTTCTATGTTCTTCTGGTAGCATTCTCTTAATATTCTGATTCAGAATCACATATTCAACTTTCACCAAGCTATACTTATTGCGACACACCTTAGAAGCTCCAATATCGCCTCTACTCTAAGTCTTGAAAAGATGGATCCAGACGGCGGTGTCTCCTGTCATGCAGCCCGTCTGGCCGAAGCTACGGGCATTCATCTAAATTTTCGTATCTTGGGCCTCTAACAAATCGCTTGCATGAAGACACAAAACCTTAACATGCTTCCTCACAAAGGATCCCTCGGGCCCGCGGACACCAAAATGATAGACAGTGAACACCCGCAGGATAACCACACACAAAGAGTGCGAGCTTAGTACACCCAATCTTATGGATAACTTTCATCTCAACCTCCTAAGCTGGCCGTATCAAAATGGCACCGTCGCTATTGCTCTTGACAGACCGGTATCCTCGCTGCCATCTCCAAGGTCAATGAAGAAATGCACCCCACGATTGTGGAGACGTCGAGCTTTACGACGCAGAGATGAGCCACAAATGAGTGCTCATCAAGGTCAATTGTCTCATCCCGAGGCCCACTTGTCATCAGTTCGGGCTGCAAGGATGGAAGTATTTGTGACCACGATGTACAAGTTCCTCAGCACAAGGAAATGGAGCCCCTAGGGCACGTAGGCGAGGTCTTGGACTTGAAGTGGAGAGGATATGGAAAAGGTTCGCCAGTAGAGGCAAAGACAATGTGGTCAATATATGGGACGGGCGTATCGGGGAGCGCACTCGAGACACTAAATGGGCCAAGCAAAACCACAAGGCTGCTGTTAAGGCACGTCTTATTTCTGCGCCAACCCTAGATCTCACTTGTGGGTATTGGCATGGTGCCACTGCCAGGCTGCTCTAGTACGAGCTCCAGAAGGCGCTTGGAAGGATGTGTTGATCAACGTTCGGAACGTCGACACCTATGCTGGTGTACACATTGCGAAAACATCAGCACGGATCCGCGGTACTCATTCATCCCCTAGTTCTCACCGGAAGGAGATTCTCGCTACGCATGGATGTCCAACAAACTCAATTATGATCCATGCGTATCCTAACCTCATGGACAGAATTGCAGAAATCAGGAATGCCGGTGTGCCAATTAGGAGAAAAGAGCGCATTATAATGACTGGCGGCTTAGTTCGACAAGTGTTTATTCGTTAGGGGAGACGTTGATACCCAGATGGACGTTAATACCATGCATGCACCTATGCCATCACATCTATTCAGGAACATCGCATTTTCTAGTTCTATGGTCAATACACCTCTGCAGAATCATGAACTGCGCACTATTACGCCTTGTTAAAATATGTCGTGGAAGTTCGTATATAAGTTTATAGGTCCATGTATTAGATCCTCTACGTCTTATCCAGTTCACCGCTGTACAATTCTAATGCCGCTCCAACAGGGGCATATAACATCATTCCGCTGTCGATGTACACCGACATAGACGGCGGTAAGCTCTGAAGAGTTGATCAACATCAAAATGCATAAGGTGATAGTTCAGGCGCGTACAGCGACGGGGTTCTGTAGCCAAGCTACCATTTGAAGGCAGTCGCCCATTACTGACGACCAGACGGACAGAAAGAGTGAAAGACCATACTCGACATTGACCATGAGATCAAACACGAAGGAAGAAACTGCCGAACGTGCTGTATTGAGCGCGTCCGTCTGCCGGTGAGAGACTTGCACAGCGTACTGTGCGTGTGTCACCTCGCTCTTGCATTGTTCGAGCTCGTCATATGCCCGTGTCATATTTTCATCCGCAAGTGCCTGGTATCCAGGTGAAATTTGAGTTTGTGTTTCGCAACCGGTAAAATAGGGACCTACAACCCCGTGTGTGGACAATTTCGACTTATGCGGTCGGCGTCCAGAGAATGAGATTAAACGTGTGGACGTTTTTGCGACAATTGTGGTGTCGAATTGAGTACTACTGAACTGGACCGACATGAGAATTGGTGGCTGTTCAAATGATCTCAGTAATAGGCATACCGAGTGATACAATCTACTAAAACGTGTCAGAATTTCACGGAACGGGAAAGACGGTGGAGGCGTACTGTTTTAGATGGTTCTCGAGTTGAAGAAATTTTTTGGCTAGGTCACGTAGATCGTTGCGGCCCGACGCCAACGACGAGTGTTGGCAGGCTAACTGAGCCAGGTCTTTATGGAATACGGTCAAATTTGATATTATAGTCAAGATCGCGCCCACATAGCTCTGGGTGAGCGCGACATGGTCTGAAGTTATCTGAAATTCGCGCATGAGTATATGCCGATAATAACGGGATATAAGAGGAAGGTAACGCGCGTGGTATCTGATCGCGAGCATGGGCGTCAACAACATGGTCAAACGCACCTTGATATAAGATTGAAGAATTTGGATCTTTTCCTGGCGTGAACGCGGTGTCATATTGTTTAGGTTCCTCGCTAGTATGGGAAGCACGACTGTGCAGAGCACTAGAAGGAAACTCATCAGCGCTGGTGCACGCAGTTGACGTCAATGTACCAACTCTTCGCGCGCCCGGTGAGATCGACGGTGTTCGTCCGTATATGCTTCATAACGGTGACAAACTCCTGAGGTCTAGGTTAGTCTCATCATTGTCGCACACAACTGATCACGTACAGCATGGATCGCGTTCCATCGTGGTCTTAACGGCAGTGCCACGCGCTGCAAGTCCAAGCTATGCAGCTGCGCAGAGATGGTAGCGAACGCAGTAAAGAGCGCCTTTTGCATTTGGGCATACCGTTGGGTGGCGTCGTTCAGGTCGAGAATAAAGTTGGCGTCGTTGAAAGCTCTAGCGGCTTCAGGATAGCTGAGGGTAGTAGAACGGGAAGACTTGTAAGACATTGGTCAATGAACTTTTGATGAAGGAGATATACCTTGACAGGCTTATATATGTGCTCATGGGATGTGAAGCACGATATATGTAGCTGTAAGGGGCAAACACAAGTTCCGCTAATGAACTGTGAGACCGAGCTGTGTGGGAGGCAGATGTACCATAATACTGCGTGTGACTGCACGTCGTTCTTTGAGCGGTCCGATAGCAACAAACTGGATGATCGCCGAAAAATATCGGGAATCGTTGATGGCTTTGCGCCAGGAAGAGTCAACATCGAGTCAACTGTTGAATCCACATCCAGGAGTCAAACATATGTCCCCGGAACCTGAACACCACATACACGTGGTAGGCGTAGCGCTAAGTACTAGCCGCCGCCCCCATCGTCCCCGATTGTCCGTTTCCGAGTGCGAATAACAGACTTGCTGTTAATTGCGACAGCTTCTTCCCAGCAGAATCAGATCACCCTAGCGGTCTCAAGCAGCCTACGAACAGCATTCTCCAAACTACGTGCCAGTGAAAGTCGAAGGGGCGAGATATCTCTGTCACCACGTTTCTCCTTCGCTTAATATGTCTCTTCCCTGAGCTGGTGGACACCTAGGCACCCATCACTGGTCGCCACCATACGTTGGGGTATACCAGGCCTGTTTCATTGGCGGGTAGTGTCTGGAGCTCGAGAATTGCACGATCTGCCTTGTGAGACGATATGATGTCTACGTCATGAAACCTTAACATCCTTACCCTCCGTCCAATCAAATGGAGGTGTCGGATCAATGTCTGCGGAAAGAGACTTGACATCCTATCCTCCTGTACTTCCGGGCTTGCTAACGCCAAAAGCATTCGCCCGACTGAAAAAATCATTCAGTAAATCACTACAACTCACCTTTGTTGTATCATTTTATTATGATGTTCGTCATTTGACTCACTACGACTCTGCTAGCATCCATCGACAGAATGAAACAACGGGATGTTCTCTCGAAAGGCGGGCTGCAGCTGCGGAGGCTTCGAATGTCCGGTCAAGCAATTTCACAGATACTCAATGACAATTGGGCGTCTGCGTCAACGTCGGAATTGTTCCCACCGAGCAATCAAGAAGGCTTCGCCATTGAGATTAAACACAACACAAGTATAACACCGGTCCGACATGCCGCCACGGAAGCAAACCGTGACGAACACAATTGAATTGCACTCATCCTTGCCGTCATCTCTGCGTTTTTTTCTTATTGTTGGAGAATGGCCGTATCCAACTAGAGGTCTTCATTATTCTCTTCCTCATAAAGTCCTTTACCCGAGCCGATGGGTCCGCCTTTCTGGCTCTTCGTGGTCTGCGGGTTGTTCGCCTGGGCCAGTTCCGTATCAGGCGGTGCTCCCCACCATCAACACCAGGAGAACGTCCAAACACCGCTGGGCATCGCAGAGGGCATTGTGAATGGTAGTGCGGTCAGATTCTCAGTCAAGTACGCGTCGGCGGAAAGATGGAAGGAATCCCAAGTCGTATCAACATGGTCGTTGCCGTAAGCGATGTTTTCCCAACATTGGGCAGTGTTGATTTCAGGCGTTTGCTGCAGCAACGGATTCAGTGATGCTAACAAGATGCCTCTTGCCTGTCCGCAAGGCACCTTGGACGCGTCGGCGTACTCCGAGGACTGCCTGTCCATGGTCCTGTACGTTCCCAGGGATTTCCTTGCATCAGGGTGCAGTGATGCTCCTACGTTTATGTGGTGTGTACAGATTCTCGGTATCACCAAAGTTTGAGTCTCATCATGGAACAGGATTCATGGAGGCTCGTTTACCGAGGGATTCGCTAGTGACTACGGTTTGGATGGATCCATATTTGCTGTCGCCACCAACTCCATCGTCGCGGTCGTACAGTACCGCCTAGGAGCTGTGAGTTTCGCTGCTATTGAATTCGTGTCCTCTGAAACTCACTATCATAGCTTGGATTTATGGTCCCGGATGGCAACGCGAATCTGGCTGTAAAGGACATGATCAATGCCATGAAATTTCTCCAAACCGTAGTCCGATCTTTTGGAGGAAATTCTTCTAAAATTACGCTAGCAGGTCAGAGTGCGGGTGCCATGATGATTCGCTCTCTGCTTGCTGCTCCATCGGCGTCGTCACTGTTCCAGTCTGCAATCATACAGTCTGATCCTATGGTATGCGTTTCGCCACATGTTTCCCCTGTTAGTTTTGCTAATGGTACCCACAGAACTACGGCTTTCTCAACATTTCCACCCAGCAGACCCTTCAAAGTTACTACAACGAGCTCATTGTCTGTGACTCAACAAATTCCACCTGTTGGGAGTCTGTATCCGTCGACGAGATTCTGGAAGCCCAGACGACTCTCTACAACAACGCTTCCGCCATAGACGCGTCGGCAAGCTTCGTGATACCCCTACGACCCGTGCGGGACGACGTCCTTATCACCACTCCGCTCGACTCGACTGCAAAATTTCCCGCAGTCACCAAACCGATCCTCATCACCTCCGTCCTTGATGAGGCAGCGGCCACCATCTACGACCTGTTTCCCGATATCGTGCCTCAGACATCATTTGATGCCATCCTATCCGAGTTGCTGGGGGCCGACAGAGCTGCCACAGTTGTGTCGTCGAGTTACTACCAGTCTAATGAATCTGATGCGCGCGATCTATTAGTGAAACTCGGGACAGATTACGTGTGGAGATGTCCAGATTGGACCATGGCGCGAAATTGGGTCAATAATGGTGGCTCCGCGTTTGTGGGCCTCTTCACAGTCGGCGCCCACTATTATAGCAATGCAAATATCCCATTCTGTCAGGAGGAGGGGGCAGTATGTCACTCAGACGACATTGAGATTGTGGTAGGTTTCATCTTGGCTCGTGTTTCAGCGCACTGATTTTACGTGTCTACAGTTTGGCACCGTATCAAATCCCGACATTGCGCAAGCCAAACTGATTTCTCAAATCCAGCAACGGTATAAATCGTTTCTCAACGCAGGGCATCCCAACCCACTGGGTCTTCCAGAGTGGCCTGCAGCGGGGAAGACCAAAGTTCACACATATAAACTCGGCGAATGTGGCAAAGTTAAAATTGGAGCTTGTACGCCTGCCTTTTGGGGTTCCGCCGTAGAGTATGATTACCAGGTATACGATATCTGATTAACGTGGACTACGAAAATGATTACCGCACATTCGCGTCTAGTCTAGGGCAGTTTCTGTATTACCACTTGCATACCCTTCGCTTTCTTGTCTTCAAAAATGCTCATCAGTAATTCATCTGCAGGGAAGAACCACATAATTATCATATCTGGTGAGTCTTTTTACAGAACAGGCTTCGCATCCCTTGACAAACAAGAACGGCGGAGTCCACAGAGTCTACGTGTGTAAGCATGAAAGAAGTAGGCTTCTAGTCTTGCATCGGAGGTGTACAAATATTTCATCGAAGCTAAGGCAGCACAGAATGAATAAAGGGCTGCTCTATTTAGAACGTATAAGCCTGCATCAGTCTTCGGTGATTTAAAGGAAAGCCAGAGTCAAGTAGACAGCGTGTCACAAAGTGATGGACGGTGAGCTATAGTAGCTACTAAACAGTGCTCTGCCAGTCAGGTAATCAGCATAGAAATATCAATGACAAACTCACCGTGGCATTCGATGTCCCCCGTCACTTCTGAACAACCCAATGCGACGTAAAGTTGGCCATCCATCTGAAGGTGCCACTGAAAATGTTCTATATTTCACCTGAGATGATAACCTGTACAGCTAATACGACGTAGGTGTGCTATTGCGCATCCAACGTTGACAAGAAAGCCATCCGAAAACTGGCGAGTGCCCAGGCCTTTGAATTTTTGCAACGAGCCTGGACTCGGCGGTATCAACATTATCGTTCACGACGTCCACCAGCGACGTTTCTGTGTACAAAGAATAAAATAGAAAGCAGACCAAAGGTCATGGCCGGTTACTGTGCATGTGCATGGTACGGGAAGACCCGGTCCGCCCAACTCCTTTCTAAGCAACTACTATGCTCATCTATTTCTTTCTCGTTTGAGTGCAAAACGCTTACGTCTGCTATAGCTTGGAAATTTTTCTGTTGAAGAAAGACCTTGGATCGCACGGCTAGAAACTTCAATCCCACGTCCCTGTTGAACTCTTCCGACACCTTTGCAAGATGGCTCAGCCACCTCCGCCAAGGCTTCAGGGCCTCTCGTCACTAGCCAGACGCTGGGTATCTGTCTAACGTATCATCTGGCAGATACCACGCTCCACAGCCGTCAAACAGAAATGGCAAAAGTATCTAATCCTTATTGTCTTTCATCGATCGCAAAATTAATTCTTCGGACCCGACATTCTGTATTCGGCTTTGTGGAGATATATTCAGGTCTGTTTCAGCAGAAGTAGTAATTCGTCCGGCGGCAGCAATTGACGGTTCACGGTTGCTTTGATATGGACGGAAACCGTGACACGGAATTTCGAACCAAAAATACGTTAAGAATGTCATATCTACTCCTGATCTATCTTGTATCCTTACAAGTTGTACGGGCAGCGTGCATGATGGTGCCACCGTGGTGGCCTGTCAATATTTTTCCGTACGTTCGAAGCTCAGCGCTCAGCAAGGAGTCATCCCTGATTTCACATTTGCGACAACCGCCAGTCGCAAGTCGTCTTATGGTTGAACCAGGTATTTTCAAGTATCTCCTTTTCCAGATGCTAATAAATTTGATCATGCCCCGTTGTGTGAAGCCTCGCAGATATTCTTGCTATCGTATTCCGATATCTTCCATGTCTTGTGTTTAGGCGGGAGTGTTGAGAAGTGTCATGTGGAATGCTGTGGCGCTGGCTGACTATGCGAGACGTCAACTATTGTAGACTATTGCTGAGAGCCGTTCAGTCAGACTCGGATGTGCCCAAGGTCAACGCGGATGTAACTCGAGACTAACCTGAGCAAACCACAACAGCCAGCGAAATGGAAATTGATGTACCACCATATCTTTCTGGAATGTGGTAAGCCGCTTTAAAATAATATGGTAGTAAGAATCCCCGCAACGCGATAGATCTGCGAAGGTCCACAGATATACGTCAAGTATACGGATATAAACATCCTTCTATCGTTCAGCGCATTCCAGGGCAGCTTTAGTTCCTGACTCATTATCATCATGATTTTTCTAAGCTGAGCAAGTACTCACAGGATGGTCGGAATACGTCTCATGCCAGGTACTATCCGCTGCCAAGAAAAAGGATGCTGCTACGTTGACGTCATCTTTGCCCCCAAAACTAAGGCACTGGACCATCATCGTTCAACGATTGGGTCGTTCCGAGTTATGTCCAATCACTAATAATATGTCTTCGGCGAAAGCGGAGGTTGTCAGTACTTCAGCTTCTCTTAGACTTGCTGTTATTCTCAAATTCACAATAGGAACGACGGATTCAATACATATCGCCAATAAGTGAGGATTTTTCGAGGACTATGGCACCCGGCCAGTCTCGATTAGAAGGATCTAGTTTCGAAGGACTTCGTGCAAGCGCCACCTACCTAATGTGAAGTCATAGAGCACTTCCTCACCACGCTCCGAGCCTGTACCTGGAGTTTAGTAGGGGGACTCTTTCAGGAACCTGGCTTTGAATTGACCTTCCTCCGCTTGTTCATCTTGGTCTGTCCTGAATGACTCGTGCCATGATATTAACCGGTCAACAACGCAGCTGTGCCTCGCTCAAGCTTCGTTGACATACCCTGGAATGTTTTCTGTTTCCTCTCATGTCTTCGGTGCCTTCAGGTCTACGTCTCTCCATTTCCCCTTGCTCTGATAAGAAGACTTCGGTCCATTACTTAAGGTTGACGTGCCGGGAGATCAGCTCCGTTCTGGAGGTTCGAGGCACATACGTGCTTTTACGAGCCTCGGAATCAGATTCAAGATGCGCCACTCGCCTCCGGAACTAATGCCCCAGGACTAAGCCCAAACAAGCCTTTTAAGGTAGTCTTCCTCGTTTGTCATCTATGGGTGACTCCGCAGGAATATCGTAAACTTCAAGTCTGAACGGAGAACTGAATACGTCGCGGATGTGATCATGTATCGTGGACTCATTCCTGGCTGCCGCCTGAGCCACATTGACACAAACTATAGTATATATTTATAGATGGCTAACGGTTCGGAGGTGTATCGAAGACCCATCTCTTCTTCGAAAGAGGGCAGCTGGGTGTAGATAGGGAAGCTCTGTGCTGATAATCTTTGGGTGGCGTCATTGCTGTGTCAGGGTCAACAGCCGTTTCAGCGGATCGGTCTTAGAAGTTAGCCAATAGTGTCTCCTGCAATTTCGTGTCGGCCTTACGCAGAGAAACGATTCCGATACTCTAAACGTACGACTTAGCGCTGCGGCATTCTCCAAGACGGGTAGCCGGAGCACGAGACGAACTTCCACGGACTTTCTTCGGAAATTGAGCGTGTGGAAGATCTGGTCATCTGCAGGTTATTATGCTGCTGCTCTCTCATGCTGCTCTCTCATGCACCGCTGTGCATCCTGGAAGGCAATACATTTGACTGACTAGGGCCGAGAAATTTCAGCTCCGTTGGTGTCTTCGCGGCGTTGTATCTCATCCGACCGGAGTCCAGAGGTTGAGTCTTCTGGAATCTCTTGGCTATGCGGTTCTTAAGGTTTTTCGCACTCTCAGACTTCTTCACACTCGTCATAGGATACCGCTTCACGATGTGTTGCATCCCGGATATGGATATCAGGTTCTGTGGATGCCAATGAGAGGCCAGCAATCGCTGCTCCACTCAAGTCTATTGGAATTTCCTCATTCGCCGCATTCTTGTAGACTCGTTGAATAGCAGAGCTCTTCCTCGTGAGGTTTGCGACTTTCGGTTTTACCTTGGGATACGTACAAGTAAATGTACTCACAGACCTCTTAATCGGGCTGCGCCCATGTCTTTGTGTTCTCAGAGTCTGCCCACCTTTGAAAATGTCTTACATGAAGATTGTTTTCCATCTTGCTGCCACTTACGCTGTCCATGTCGGTATGAGATCGCCTACCGAGTCTCCCCCACGATCCACACATTTCGTACCGAAGAAGGGTTTTTGTTCTATTGTAGAGACAATAGCAAACTGTTTGCTTCGTCAGAATGCTTTTGGTATCAGGCCAACATTCTTTTTTCTCGTGCGTAGCTTTTTAGTATAAATTTTTCTTGAAAATAACGATAGATTGTTTGGGTAGGCCTTGTACTGGATTGCGTGTCTGGCGGAAATTTCGCTCGTTCTTTCATCATCTTATCCTCATTTGGGCGCCAGTCAATTCATATCTTGTTTCGTTTTTTCAAGTCGTCAGGCCGTCCAAGTCGTCTCCCCTTCACCATTATTTATTTTCGCCGCCATCCTAACAGTCGGAGGCGGATGGATACGCTATCATTGTTATCGCAAGCTGGGAAAGGCATTCACTTTCGAAATCACTCGTACATCGGACCACCAGCTTGTCACATCGGGTGCCTACTCTATAGTGCGCCATCCAGCCTATGGCGGAATGATGATGTCCTTCATAGGCATTACGACAATTCATTTAGGCCACGGCTCGTGGGTAAGGGAAAGTGGGGTGTTGAAATCGGTGCTAGGGATGTCCGTGGTTACAGGATGGAAAGTCGGTATGTTGGTTACTGTTCTCTCCGTGCTGATGAGAGTGAAAACCGAAGACGAGTTTCTGAGAAGGGAGTTTGGGGAAAAGTGGGAGAAATGGGCGGATGCTGTTCCATATCGCCTAGTACCCGGACTTTACTGACTGAAATAAGACTGTATTTAAATAATCCACTTCGGTATACGACTCAAAGAGCATGTGCATCACATCAACAATGAAACGATTTGTGTGAATACCTTGCTGCCCACGCACGAACATCTGACGTCATGACAGTGACCGCCACTCTTGCAGCCCCCCAGTACGCATGGTGCATGTCCTTCCACCAGTATCGGTCAAAGTAATCGCATGATGGAAAGTATTCGAGAATAGAGTCATTGCTGGCGTTGGAATTCTCAGCGGACCGTATCCTTAAACGAGGTCCAAGGACGGAGCTAACATTCCAGCGCCTCAGCATGTTAGAAGCATGCAACGGATATAATAAATTCTGCTCTACATGAGTCGTTCGTTACCAGAAATTGTCCCATCGTAATTATAAAGAACGAAACATTACGACTTCCCTGACTGCTGATCGTATGATGCGCATCCCATTCATTAATTAACACTATAGTCTCTCAGACGCGAGAGATGAGCAGATGAGCAGTAGCAAAAGTTAACTTGACGTCAAAATTGATTCACCAATGCCTAAGTACCATTAAAAGATGAATTCGGTGCGAGTTTGGTCCAAACATGAAGGTAAAACCTATCTTTATCGGGCCACATAGCCTAGTCCAATGTTGTCCAATGGAGTAAAGGAAGTAGGGGAATAGATATAGAGGGGTGAGATGTGTCCGGAAACAATCCTAACACAATATGAAATAAAAAAATGGCCGTACAGCGCCATAGTAATGAAGGGGAAATACGAACTACCGAGAAGCTTATATACAGTACAACTTTGGTGGAAGGCTTAAACGATATCTAAGTTCCAGTCGAGAGAGCTTGGGGGCGCATGGGACGGTAAAGAATCCCATAGACTCGGGAGTTGATTAATAAAATGCTGACGCGTCGCGTCACGGTGTCACCTGATCTGTGACGTGCTCGCAGTCGATTTACGACTAGATGATCAGGAAATCGCATCGTTGGACCAGAGGCCCCTTTTTGCATGTCAAACAAGGCCGAAAGGAAGGTTGTAAGAGAATGCACACTTCATCCCAGGCCTTACAATATGGTAGCGTGGGCGGTGATTGCGGGCGGGTGTCAATCAAGGAGATCCGTATGTCGGCACCAAGTGCAGGCTTGTTCTCGATCCTCTATGCAGAGCAGGATGAAATAGGAAGCCCGGTCACATCCTCAGGAATTGGGGTTCAAGCCTAGACATACTCTAGAACAAAGAACGAAAAGGAAAGTAGAGAGCTTGAAGTGAAAGTTCAGAGTTCAACCATTAACCGTACAAAATGACGCGAGCGCATTAAACCGGCCACGGTACCCGGCGGGCTCCCAGGCGATGGTATAGTAATCAATGAAGCTAGGTTTTTTCACAAAGAAGACGACCATCAGTTTCTTTTCGTGTAGCACATAATGGAGTTATCCTTCTGTGCATCGGAATGAGCGTGGTTCCATTGAAAGAATACAATGTCGCGGGTAAACTATTCCCCTGCCGGAAAGCAACGTTGGAACAGTCAGGCGCCGATCATCAAGGGTCAACGACAAACCTTTACGGTTCCGCACCCCCTCCTCCAGAGTTAGCACTGGTCTCGATAGCAATACAGCGTTCCCATTCTCATCCATTGTCAGCAGTCTCAAACAAGGAACGAACAGAGTAGATTGTGACCGTCAAAAAGCGCTGTTCCGAATACGTTTTCGCCTCAAATGATTTCCAGGTAAATTTTCTTTCTGCTACCAACAGGGGCTGGCTTGCCTCCTACACAAATGGGTCTACTAACAGAACAAAAAACCTTGCCTGTATCTTCAGTCGGTAATTTGGTGAACATCGGAATGGACAAAGAACGATATCGATTATTTGGATATGTTGCGCATTGTCGGGCTTTCAAATCTCCTTCCCTCTTCTCCTCCATCAGGCCCACCAATGATCTTCTTGTTTCAGGAAGGCTCAGAATAACTTGTGAAGATCTGCCATATGGTACTCAAGGATATCCCGGATCACGGACCAGAACGGGCAAGGCCTTGTGTCACCACATGGAAAACTTGCACCCTGCCCCATCTCTTCTCCAAGTGTTTTTTTGCGACTCGGTGCATACGATGCACTAACGGCTGGAATGCTTCCTACCAAGAATCTTATTCTATTTAACGGAAAGGACTTCCTAGTGGCGCTGCATTGTCTCTCGTCTCTGTCATATGAGGCTTCTCCGTACCTTCCGATTGGCGCGTAAACGTTGATATACCGACGAGAGCAACGAAAAACCTGACGTACCCCGTAGTTCGGTGTGCGACTGCCCGCTTTCTAACAATAGATTGATTGTACGTTACGCACGAACCTCATCTCCTGTGCAAGAATTCCAGGCTGAACACTGCTTATCTTTTAACGACTAAATCGAACCAGTTTTTTTTTGACTCTTCGAGATGGAACCATTCATTAACCTTTTCTTCTGGACCGACCGTAAGTAGTGCAAAAATGGAAAGTCTTAATGAATGCTCCTGCGGGTGATCCAATCATTACATATCCCGTTATTATTTCAGCCGAGATCGATATTGACAGCCCTGGGAAGACCCTGAGTGGGTCGGAGGCGAGGTGGAACGACTGCACAGAACGACTGACTCAGAGTGGCGGCGGATGGGTGGGGATATATGACGAATTAACTCTATAGTGACTCCTTCCGCGGTCACACAAAACGTTCTCGATAATGAAGGTAACTGTAGGAATCAGAACGCATCAGCGTCGATAACTTATTATTCGCCTCGTTCGCTACTCTTACGGCACATCAAGAAAGCATCAGTTCTTTGTCAGGCCTCAACCCCGGTTTAACCAGACGTTTACCATGCGTCCCATTGGGTGCGTGATTTATGGAGTGACAATTCAGATAACGCCTCTTGGAAATACGGCAATGCTGTACAGTCTGCCAAGGACGGAGAACTACTGCCAAAAGAGCCGATGATGGCAAGCATCAAACAGGGCAAGATCGAGGATAGCGCCGATTTTAACTTCCTTCTCTTGTTACGGTAAGTGATGACAACTTTTCGCTGTGCCGAATATAAAAAGGCTTTAAAGAATATCCTGCAGACTTGACGTTCGTTCTTCCCGTCATCTTTCCTTAGATCTTTTGAAGCGTTCTCTCCAAAGTTTTCCCCATCCCCTCTTATCGTCATGAAGTTTGCCAGCATCTTTTTCTCTATTGTTGTCTTCCTTGTGTCCTTCGCCGCTGCCCTTCCTAGTAGGGAGACCAATGCTGACCGGCTTGCTCGTGGTCTTCCGCCTTTGCCCCCTACCGTGAGGTCACCGACCAGAGGTATATCACTTTATTGTACAGCTTTTTTATACTGGTCTGATTCTCTATTTTAAGTCGTGCGCAAGTCCAGTCCTTCCGGTGCACCCAGCCAATGCTCCACGGGCTCTCTCCAATGCTGTGACTCTGTTGAATCTTCAACAAGCTCAGTAGTCGCAGCGCTCTTGGGCTTGCTTGGAATCCATCTTGGTAGTACCGCTGTTAACGTTGGCATGACTTGCTCGCCTCTCTCCGTTATTGGCATTGGAGGAAACTCCTGGTAGGTTTTTGTTTTCTTTCATCTCTGAAATTTTTTTGATCCGACTTGCAGCTCACAACAAACCGTCTGCTGTGAAAACAATAGCTTTAATGGTCTTATTGCCGTTGGTTGCACTCCCAGTACGTGACTTTCACTGAATTGCCGCCTTCAATGCCCTGATTTGATTTCTCTTCATAGTTAACATCGGCCTGTAAAGTGTATCGATGGCCCTTCTGCTTCAGACGTTGCTCTTCTTAATGAACGTTTCGGACATTTTCTTTGGCTCTTCAGTCATTCATTTAAATCTCGTTCCTTATATATGTCTCTTACAGTACATACCCGCTCAGTATGTCACCATGTTATCCCTCCACCTTTTTTCTGGGCCATGCGGATTTGAATCTTCATGTGGACATGATGATGTATTATGGAAAAGAAGAACAGTTTGTTCTGAATTATACCATTGGGCATATTTTACCTTCATTTCTATTATTTTGTGCGAGGGCAACCATTATTTCATGGCAGCATGGTATTCAGAAATGGCGTTGTGATTGATAGGAATGTGCGGTCTTCCAAGACCGTGGTGCTGTATGGAAGAGTCGTTTCGTCTCCATGCGGATGTGTCATACTTCACCTTACGACGGTGCTGCTGGAGGACACGAGAAGCTACATAAATATATCAGTAAGGTAGCGGATGTTCCAAAAGTCTAATTTATTAGCGGCATTTTTTGTTCGACTCCTCTCAAGTTCACAACTTGAATGAACATGACAAAAAGTTATTGATCAGTGTTCGCTGATATTGTGAGCAGTCGCATGAACTCCTGGAGTTTATACATGTGTATAAAAATATTGAATACCATTCCAAAGCTTTTTACGTAGCGAGAAAGTACCCCAGGTTGAATACTGGACCTTCATTAGTGTGATAGACATAAGAGTGCTGACCTCCTTCGAGCATGCCTCGAGAGACTCCCCTCCGACACTCGGAAGTGTGGGGAGGCGGCTTGCATATTTATCTATGAGTGAATCATGACAACTACTAAGAAAAGACAATGATGGAAAATATAACGTGCTCTCTGTCTTTATCAAATGTGCACGGAAGAAAATATCTTAGAATCGTAGACTCTGTCGCTATGTGGCGCTATCTTAATCGGGTAATGGCGCGATTAATGTGGGAGGGCGGCCCGACGATCACTGTTCAATTCCCACGGCGCGCCAAACATTGGATTAGTGACATGGATAAATAAGCACCTTCCCAGACAACTGAAGCCTTTTTGGACACGAATGCAAGAGCTAGTAAGGACTTAGCATCCTCGAGGCACAGGAATGTTATGTAGCACACATATCTAAATAGAGTAAGCGAACCTTATTTTGCTATCTAGTACCCGGCAATAACCGGACTGTCCCCTCTTCCAAACAACCACAAAGTCTCGAAAAGTCTCGTCGTCGTCAATAACCCTCAAGAAAAATGGTGAAAGGTGAGTCAACTCCCTACTGGGAAACACCGTTTGCTGATTATCCTCTTAGTATACAAACCTGGCAAGGTAAAGAAGGCTTCGCCGCGCGTCAAAAGGTCTATTGACTGACGATGAAACCAGGTTGCCATCGTACTCCACGGAAGGCAGGCGGGAAAGAAGGTTGTGGTCATCAAGCAGAATGATGAGGGATCAAAAGAGCGTCCCTACCCTCACGCAGTTGTCGCCGGCATTGAACGTTACCCCAGGAAGGTGACGAGGCGAATGGGCCAGAAAAAGTTGGCTTTGCGGAGTAAAGTCAAGCCATTCATCAAGGTGCGTCGTAGCTCTGGACTAATCTGAACTGGGTTTCTGACAGGACATAGGTTGTCAACTACTCCCACTTATTCCCCACACGGTACGCACTCGAGCTAGAAGGCTTGAAGGGCGTTGTCTCTTCCGACACTTTCAAGGAGCCGTCGCAACGGGAAAATTCGAAGAAGACGATCAAGAAGTTGTTCGAGGACCGGTATGTATCGGGAAAGAACAAGTGGTTCTTTACGCCTCTCCGTGTGGGTACTCTGGTTTGGTCGCGTGAACGGTACTCTTACCATTCCATGACAGTTCTGATCTGCAACCTGCCGTACTACCAGAGTTTGGGTGTGGTGGGGGACGTAGGCGACGCTGGCTACCTATGCAATCCGTATGTTTATGTCTGTATGTTTTTATCTGTGGAGTTGCGTCAATCTGCCATACAGCGTAACTTTGGAGTTGCAACAAAATTCATTGAAAGCCTTTTTTCACATCTGTAGCACGAAGTACCGTCCGATTGATTGAGAGGATGTACCTATCAATGGGTAGAATCTGTACTGGCGTATCTTCAAGCCAGAGGAATGAGACCTCGTGCTAGCCGTCCGCAGTCTTGATTCTCCGCAGAGGCCTTTCACTGACTATTCCAGTTTCCTCCCCTATTTGATGTCTTGATTGTCGGGAACGTAAGCTTCTCTTATATTGAATTCGGTTTCAGATTGATATCCATGTACACACTATCCATCTGTGGTCTCAGCGTTGATATGAAGGTGGTGATATATGGCTTCCGGCCTTGGAATTTCTTGCGTTCGAACTAATGTATGACAACAGTAAACAGATCTGTTTAGAATGATTTGCTGAGTAGACGTGCTTGGCCTGAAATAGCCCTGAGCCTTAGGCCGTGTATATCTGAAGCTAGTATGTTCTCTCATAAAAGCCCTTCCAGCCTTGATCGCAAGCTTCTCTTTATGATGCACACTAGTAGAAGGGACTTCTAGATCATTCATAATGACTTATGTCTTTGGATCAATATTCATGTTTTATGTGAGTTGATGCAGTTTCTTCCTCGAGTCTTTCGATCCACGTCAGCTAATTATCAGAAGGTAGCACGTACGTGAAATGTATCAAACACCTTCGACCCAAACCCTCAGCTCGATCAACTCAAATGGAGAGGGGCGGAGAATCCTATGGTGCATCAAATTCCCAGCCGCTTAGTTTACGACCTTCCCAGACATCTGCCGTGTTCTTGGAAAGAGAGGATCCGCTCTCACAATTCTATTGCAAGTGAATTCATTGACCACATTGCCCGAGGTAGCTCTCAGGGGAAGTACGTGAAAGGGAAAATGATAATAGAAACAGTGGATCTTCCGCCTCAAAACTGCGAGTACTATGTCTCAGTGATATAAGCTCTGAGGAGTTGTCATTAACCTTTACTTGATTGTATCACTGTTGGAATGATTCCCCTTTTATAACAGCGAAGCAGTCTTGCGAGCGTAAGACTGGAATGAGGTTCAAATAAGCGAGGTAGCAGTAGTATGGTACTGTCGGAAGGTCTATTTTGGGACTTGGAATTCTTACGAAAAGTCTCATGAGGAACAGGACCAAAAAGTAGATTATGTAACTCAATTTCCCAAATCTGGGCTGACCTATCGGACCTTTTGCCTGCTCTTACATGCCAAAGCCCTCCTTTCTTCTACCATCATCGTAACCCTCCTCTTCTTTATTTACGCGTTTATCACCTGGTCGCGTATTGTGCTGCTCTGCCGAGTCTGAGGGTGTGGGAAAATGCGTTTTCGTACGCTCGAAATTCGTTGGCACGACTCTAAGCCTATCTCAACGTGCGACTTTCAACCTGTTCCATCGTTCAAAAAGGCTCGGCCGACAGGAAATGCCTCTGGAGAGCCTAATCTCGAGTGGGCGGAGAGGTGGGCTGAGCAGAAGTATCGTTTAGCGACAGGCGGCGAGGATAACCACGTTAGGGTGCGCATCTCCTGTTACCAATATATCTGCTCATTGGTTATTATACGCGAAGGTATGGATGGTTTATCCTAGTATACGACCGACAGACTCTTCCTTCTCCCTGCCGTCGCAACCAGCCGTGCCAAGACATCCACGCGTCGAATATCTCGCCACTCTCAGCCGACATTCTGCAGCTGTGAACGTCGTCAGATGGAGTCCCAATGGTGGGTGGACTAGTGATAGAGCATTTCGTTTAACTAAAGGTATCTACTGCAAAGGCGAACTCATTGCCTCTGCTGGCGACGGTACGTTGGTGTAATTATATGTGTTGCCTGTGGCTGAAGTAATGCTTAGATGGCATGATCATCATCTGGTCTCCTTCCACAACGCCACAAGCATCCACATACGGCAGTGATCTGAGCCCCGAAGAGCTTCAAAATGAGAAGGAATACTGGAGAGTGCGGTGTATGTTTAGGTACGTGTTATGACCCAACAGCTTCCCTGAGCTCAGACCTCATAGATGTACTGCCATGCAAGTTTATGATTTGGCCTGGAGCCCGACGGGTGAATACATAATAGCTGGAAGTACAGACAATGCTGCCAGGGTCTTCCAATCCAGTGATGGTAAGTTCTAATGTTCTGTCTATGTCTTCGCGACATACTTGTCCACTGGCTTCCCACGTCTTTCTATACGCTACATTTCGTGCTTTTCATAACTTCTTTCAAAGATGTTACTGAAAGATTTACGTCTCAAAAACCTAAATATTTCTGATACTGATCCACAAACTTTCTCCAGGAAAATGTGTGCACGAAATAGCAGAACATAACCACTATGTGCAAGGGGTTTCTTGGGACCCTCTCAATGAATACATAGCCACGCAATCCTCTGATCATTCCATGCACGTGTATCGTATCAACACGAACAGAAGTCATTTCGAAGTACACGCCGTCGGCCGCAACAGAGAGATGAGCCTGGCCGGAGCTCGTAGACATGGTCGTACTTCCAGCATTGTCAGCGAAGATGGAAGAGGAAGGCAGGCCACTCGGCCGCACATAGCACGGCGCGAAAGCACCACAAGTGATGTCGAGTCCGCTCTTGATGATAAAGACGGTCCCGCGCTCTGGTCGACGTCAGCCCCTACACCTGCTGTACCACCAGCTGCGGCTCCAGCCATAGCTAACAAAGAACCGACACCTCTTACGCCCGCCACGTCAGTTGCGTCGACACCTCTATTTCCTACAATGTTTCCTCCACCAGGCCCAGCTTCTGAGAAGGGAGTGCCTCAACCCTCCTCTCGCCGGTCTTCGTTTAGCGGCTCCAACGCACCTTCCTCCCCAGCCTTTAGTATGAGCAGCCGATTTGGTGGTCGGTCTCCCAGCCCCATGCCACCTCTTCCGGCTATCAGGACAGCCACGCCTGTACCTTGGCTTCATGCCGTTGGCGAAGGGACCGTTAGTTTATATGGTGACGAAAGCTATACCAACTTCTTCCGCCGGTTAACGTTCAGCCCCGATGGTGGTTTACTTTTGACCCCTGCTGGACAGTTTGAGGACCCAGAAGTTGTGGTGAAGGATGACGAAACCACGAAACGCGGCCGAAAAGCGAAGGCATTGGACAGTTCAGAAGACAGCAGTTCTGAAGCGGACAAGAATTCTTGCGTGTATATCTACACACGTGCGAATTTTGCGCGACCTCCTGTTGCGCAATTACCAGGGCATAAGAAGGCGAGCGTGGGTGTCCGGTTTAGTCCAGTGCTGTTTGAATTGAGGAGCGGTGTGAGTGGCGCTGGTGGGGAGACAGGTCCGAAGACCGCAGTTTTGGAGAAAGGAAAGAATGTGGAAGATTCAATGGAAGTAAACATTGTCGGCGAACTTGCGACATCTGCATCAGAAAACCAGCCTGTGTGGTCTCAACAGAAAATTGCTGCACCTGCACCCATGCTTCCCAGCAGCTCGGACGCCTCGATGTTTAACCTTGTGGCTTCTCCTGCGATATCACCGCAGGACGCGACCGCTCTGCGGCCTCCTACACCCGCGGCCTCCAAACCTGGTACGCCGATACACGTCGGGGTTGTAGGATCAGGAAATAGTGTGGTGTCAACTTCTGGCTCTGTCTTCGCCCTTCCTTATCGCATGTTGTTCGCTGTGGTCACGATGGATACTGTGGCGATCTATGATACGCAGCAGGCTGGACCCATCTGTCTGTTAACAAAACTTCACTACGACGAGTTTACAGATGCCAGTTGGTGAGCTTCTACATGATTATCAAGTTATAATTGTGAGCTAACAGCTCTTTCTACTAGGTCTCCAGATGGTCAAAGCCTTATCCTTTCATCAAGGGACGGATATTGCACTTTGATTGTTTTCGATGAAATCCTTCCAGCATATCCTACCCAACAACAAGCGCTCCAGCTTCAGTCGATTGCACACCAACATTCAGTACCATTGGATATAACGCCGTCACCCTCCCACCGTCGAAGCGCATCGACGAGCTCTCGAGCTGGAACGCCCATCGCTACGCCTGTCTTTGGGAATGTGCCGTTGCCTTTCGCTTCTAGTACTACTACGCCTATGACGAAAGGTGAACCACTTACACCAGCGGCGAGTGTCGACGGAGGAGATGCATCTATCCTTCCCGCAGGCGATTTCGTGTTCCCTGCGAAACGAGAGAGAGAAACGACAACAGGGCCAGAGAGTGCGACGGAAGACCAAACTCCTGAGCCTCCGAAAAAGAAACGCCGCGTTGCGTTGACAAGAGTGGGAGACGTAGGTTCATGAACGCGATTATACCCACCGGGAGGGAGAGGGGGGGGGTCTGAAGGTTCTTGTTTTGTATCATGTATAAAATATGGCTGTTTCTGATAATGTTGTTTCCTCTTTGCTATTTTCTCGTGTAAATGTAACCTTAGGTAGCTTCTGAGCGAAGAGATTTTGCTGAGCTTTGATAAGGACTTGAAGTGGAGTGACTCACCTAAATTGGGCAATCACCTCCAGATACACTATCAGCCTGTCTTACACAGCAACCACTACCTTTGATAATGGCACCCGCAGAATATTCGCTGAGGCTTCAAAGAGGTGCTTTCCATCATCTGTACTCAATCATTTCTTATACGACACACAGGAATCACCGGCGGATTTGCACCACCCACTCCAAGCGCAATATTCACCCTTACCCGTCCTTTGAATCATGACCAGCTCAATATTACCTCTGCGATCCGCGAGATCGGCACTCCGAGTCTAGCTGATGCTGCACCCAAGTCGATTCAGCACGATGATGAAACCGATGCCCTCGTCGACGAGTTGCATGGCATCCTCAAGGAGATCCCCAGAGAGTCACCTCCTGGAAGTGAAGACATCTACGGGATGGATCTCAGCATCGCATGGGGCAGTCAGGATCTGATGTGGCAGAATGGAGGTCCCTCGGGATGTAGTGGTGGTAAGAGCTCAGTGCAGGCGACCGATGAAGATAAGGCCAAGTTCAAGAGAGCGGTGGAGATTGTGGAGAAATTAGTCGGCGAGGCGGCTTGACAAATTTAGAGCACGAGTGATCTTCCGACGAGGACAAAGCTCTAGGGGCTGTATATAGTTTCTACATAGATGGGCATGTATTCCTTCCTTTATGACTTTACAAGAAAACCACAAGAATAAATTAAAAGCAGCAAGAATAATTAGCGCAGTGCGCTTGCTCTCAGGGTACTAGTTGACGTCCATAAACTCTCGCCTTCCATCGAGACATCTCCTGCAGTAGTAGTCAGTCCCGTTCCCATGATGATGCCAAGGTCTTTCAGATCCTTCTGCAAGATCTTCGTGAGATATGCTAGACCAGTCTGTTGCTCCGACAGAATCTGCAATGGATACATGGTAATCAGCGCCGAACAAGACACGGAGAAGGTGAACTCAACCTGAGCAATCCTTGCCAGCCCTTCCTCATCAACGACCTTCCAGTCACCAGAAGTCCTTCGCTCCCGAATTCCCTCTTCTCTTGCTTTCAGAGCACTGAATACCGCCCATAGCTCGTCAAGCTTGGCTTTCATCTTTCCTTTCCCTCCCCTTACTTCCTCCTCCATTGATTCTATCTTGGCGAACAGCTCTTCTTCCTCCGGCCGTATCGCGGATGACCGTACAGTCGGAATGAGGAGGTGTAGATGCTGTGCCAGTGCCATTATCCGCTGCGCAAGCTGAATTTGGGTTTGTGAGAATCGTGCAAGACGGGAGACGGTGTTAGTGACATGCTGAGTCGAGAGATCGGCGAGGCGCTTTTGTAGGTCCTGAGGGGGATCTCATGAGGACATGTGGGAGTAAACATAATACGAATACTGACCTTGACGTTGGCCTTCTGTGCTGTAGCTTGATCTGTTTGGCCATCGACGCGCTGGCGTAGATCGTCAAATCCGTTAGCAATGACTGGCACCAGACTGCGAATAGAATAAGTTGCATTCAATTGGATCAATAGAAGACCTACCAAGATGGATCAGGGTTTTCTTGGATAGCTCTTTGCCACAACACCTCATTGGTGGCGTTCGATGGACGTCCATACATGCTGACTTGATTGGGCTCGACGAGGTTGTAGAAATAATGCTAGCGAAACAATCAGATCATACCCATAGGACAACTGCAGATAACTTGCCTGGAAGCGACACTGAGGCGAGCTCGGGTTCCACGCATTGGCTATCAACTCGATCTTTTGTGATAGTTTGGCGAATTGCGCTTGTGCGTCGACTTGTTGTTGTTGGGAAGCAGGGGCTGTGCTTTTAAGGAGACTGTTGGCACCTAGGGTTGACTGCTGCTGAGGTTGTGCACCAAATGCGCTGGTTCCGAGGGTGCTCCCACCAAGAGCGCTTGTGCCAAAGGCGCTATTGCCCAATGTCGTGTTTGTAGATGAGCCAAACATGGGGTTAGCAGACGTCGACGTAGTACCGAAGATATTGGTGTTAGTTGTAGGCGCTGGGTTGGTATTCGATGGGCCAAACGTGGGATTTGCGGTGTTGGTGTTCGCCGTGGAACCAAAAAGAGGATTTTGAGTAGTTGTGTTGGTTGATGTTGAGCCAAAGAGAGGGTTTGTGTTGGATGTTGTAGGATTGGTATTGGCAGTCGTAGTGGACGATCCAAACAGTGGATTTGTGGTTCCCGTTGACGTGCTGGTGCCACCGAAAAGAGGGTTTGTTGAGTTGAATAAATTTGGCTTGGCTTGCTGATTTTGTTGGTTCTGCTGCCCGGCCGGTGGTGTCGAGAAGAAACTGCTCGTTGACTGGGCAGGTTGCGATGCGGTTGTCCCAGTCCCCGTCTGACCAAACACGCTGGGTTTCAAAGAGAAGGCACTATTTTGGTTGGTTTGCGGCTGCGCGGCAGTATTTCCAAACGTCGAGGAGCCAGTGTTCGTGTTGGAGGCGGTACTTTGGCCAAAGGCGCCGCTACCAGTACCGAACAGTGAGGGAGTGGCAGTCTGTGTCTGGGTAGAATTGCTTCCAAAAAGTCCACCACCTGTTGCTGCTGGTTGCTGCTGATTATTCGACCCGAAAAGATTCCCTCCGGCCGGCGTGGTTGTGTTGGTAGTAGCGCCGAATAATGATGACATGGTGGAAAGGGAATTAGGACCACTGGAACAGACAAATCTATTGGGCAGCCACACAAAATTTGGGTAAAATACTCACCTTTATGGTATCCTCCAGAAAGCACAGAATTTGTCGACCAGGAGATGATAATCTACGACAAGAGCAAAGCGCGTTACAGTCTCGTGATGTGTGATTGTTCATGCGTGACGCCGTGACATTCAATCGCCATGCCCTCGTGTGGGACCATCTAATACCCGACAAATGACACTGATATCATACTTTTGTTCAAGTTTGCTTTCCGCGGCCGTTGTACGGTCAGCATCCATTTCAGCTACACTGCAAGCTTATAAGTTCATAGAAATGTTCTCGCGGACTTGGTGACTCATGCGTCGGTATCTGAGGGGCGTTCTGCATTGTTTCTATCCGAACACACCTTGTCCTCTCAAACTGGGTTGCTTCCAGTAAAGAGTGATTATAATTCTGCGGCCGTACTTATTTTGAGGAAGGCATTAGTTCCAGAAGGTGTCAATATCAAGTCCTGCCGCAGAGCTTGGTGGAATTTTGCATGATTCGTGCTTGTCTCATTCCTCATTCCCCGTAGGGGGGAGTTTTGGTCTACACTAGCCTAAGGCTATTATCCGTATGAGGACGGCCTTGATGCATCCAGATCTTCTTAGCAGTCACAACGCATCAGTGGCCCCCTGACTTTACATGATCGTACTAAAGTACGTCTATTGCTTGAATTGTTTGTATCGTAGTGTAGATTAAGGTATCTAATACAAAGAGTTAGCAGTTGAATTCGCTCCAGTAAAGCAATAACAGCACCATGGTGCAAACAAGGCGTCCACCAGAAGGATTTTTTTTCCCTTCGACTTCTCGACCTCGACGGAAGTACGAAAGAGCCGTTACCTATAGGTAGCTGAAGCGGTGCAAGGATCCAAACGTAGCAAGCAGATACCCTATTTAGAGTCGCACAACCTCCTCAGCGTTCTCGTCCGGATGAGGCGGACGAGGCGTGCCAGCTCTACATCCATTGAACGACTTATCTTCATACGGATCGTTGAGTCTGGTTTACGAAACTACCCGCCAACGCGATCGGCAGATGGACGGTTGTAGATGAAAAATTGCCTCGGAGATGGCGCACGCGATTTGGCTTTTGAGCCTGCACCTTCTCATCCATACACGATATCCTCAAGCCATTGTAGTCGCGTTACCACAAAAATACTGATCCAGCGGGAATTCTGCGGGTGTGAATACTTGGGCACACCCAAGCGTTGTAAAAAAGGGCTTGGGAATTTCTCGCTGACGCGCCCGATTGAAAGAAGAAAGGTGAGAACGTGTCGGCGATAACATTTGCAGAGTAAAACGCGTCAAGACGGTTCAGGGAAGAGTAGGCAACACATAGGTGAAGAGCAAGGAATTGCCCTTGGAAATTTTCATTTTTTGCCCATGTAAACGGGATTCGCTCCAGGTTTCACTACGGCGTACGTGTATGTACTAGGCAGTCCTTGGTCCACAAGCTTGTATGGTAAAATTGGCTCTATTTTCTGGTGAGCATTGCTAGAAAGTGTGATTTGACCGATTTCATACATGAATTCCACAGCCACACAGGGAACAAAAGTGACGTACTCTTTCGATCACGCTGTGCCTGTGGATTTTCATTATTTCTTACCATTGGAAAACTATAGGCGATACTGCGTTTCTCTGTAAGGCTGTATAGGCTAATTGCTCCCTCGCACTCTCAGATTGAAAAACGTCGAATTAAACCAAAAGTGGCTTCGAGCAAACAACTATAGAATGATGTTAGTTTCATCAGCGTTACAAGAAGAGTTTTCTAACCCTGCCGCCGTTTGTCCACTCTGGCCACTTAATTTGCCATGGGACAAGATGTCTAACAAACTCACTGTATCATAACAATAAGTCTTGTCAGCTGCCAAGCAGAGTATTTTTGTCATGCGACCGACGGTTCATGCAAAGGTTTGTGGAACAAACTATCAAGTTATCTTGGCCCTTAACTTGGACTAATTTAAGTACTTTAGCGCTCAAAACTTTTCACAAGTTTCGGCGTAAGAAAAGTGTCAACAACGGGTTTCAGGCCTGCAACACCGGGACAGGTCTATTGCGTTTCTCGGTCCCGGTATGATGGAGCACAAGTGATAATCTCATGTGTTTCCGACTGGCAGCCCTATTTTTGACCATGTTTGGTTGGTATGAGAAGGCTGGCGGAGATGCGATTTCAATTGACCTGAAATTAGAGGGACCCTTATTCCAATCTGTGAGCCCCACTTGTTTTGAGTACGATGCTGTCTTCTGACTTCTTTCTGGTTGTGTGGATGTTCAACTTTGCTGTCGTACTGGTGATCTTCATTACGGCAAGTCGGACCCTTCCGCCGCCGCAGGCACCATTGGATATCGATCGTATTTTTTCACTCCACATATGTAATAGAAGTCCTTCTCAGATGAATCAATGATCACAAGGGCTTCCCAACTTGTCCCTTAGCGCGAGATGTATAATCTCGAGTCAACATATAATACGACATGCTCTATTTGCTGTTCTTTCATATCCAGTCCTCATCGACTATGATTACTGTCTTCGCTATCATCGATGTCTGCGCTGTGATCATTGCGTTGATCTTGATACAACGACTTTTAAACGCGACTCAAACTCGGAGAACACTCTTCCCTCCGGGTCCTAAAGAATTGCCGCTCATTGGGAACCTTCTTGACATGCCGACTGAGAAAGAATGGCTTACTTTTTCCAAGTGGGGCGAGATTTACGGTAAACATACTGACTTTACTCCCCATGTCGCAGACTGACGTGGCTTTTGCAGGTGACTTGGTGTCTGTGGCATTCTTTGGACAACGTCTAATCATACTGAACTCTGCAAAAACCGCTGTGGACCTCCTTGACAAGAAGAGTTCCATCCATTCCGACCGCCCATCGATCCCGATGGGTGGCGAATTAGTCGGATGGAAGAACACCCTTGTCCTCATTCCCTACGGTAAACGCTTTCGCAGCTATCGACGACTCGCGCATCAGCTTTTCGGTAATAAAGCAACCATGGAACAATTCCTACCGGTCGAGGAGAGGGAGACTCATCGGTTCTTAAAGCGAGTATTGGCACAACCTGAGAACCTCTCGCAACACATTCGGAAGTACGCCGCTCTGCCGTGATACCTCGAATACTATACTTACCACTCTCTTCTGTGTTATTTAGAACTGCCGGTGCTATTATATTGCACATCTCTCACGGGTACGACATCGAGGAAGAAAACGACCCTTTCGTCACTTTGGCTGATCGAGCTACCGACCAATTTTCTATCTCCACGGCTCCTGGCGGCTTCCTAGTCAACCATATTCCGGCCTGTAAGCCTCCACACCATCAGTTAAATCGCCTTGGTAACATGTCCTGTAGTACGTCACGTACCGTCATGGTTTCCCGGTGCCGGATTCCAGCGCAAGGCGAAGGAATGGGCGGAAGCCCTCGAAAATATGGTCGATCGTCCTTATAACTTTGTGAAATCTCAAATGGTGATAATTCTTTTACAAACTTGAATTCAATGGTCCATTCTTACACATGCATATAGGCGGCCGGAAAGGCTCCTTTATCTCTTACTTCTAGCCTACTTGAAGGTCGACAAGTAGGTGCTGAGGAAGAATTTGATATTAAGTGGCTCGCTGCATCTTTGTATTCCGGTATGTGCAATGCCACCCACCGGTATAGAATTAACCCACTAGGCTCTTCATAGGCGGCGCCGATACTGTAAGTCTTCCTAAATGAAGTCTAAACTCGTTCTTTTCTGACAGATCCAGACTGTATCGTCGATTCACGCTTTTTTCAAAGCAATGGCTTTGTTCCCTGATGTACAAGCAATAGCTCAAGCTGAGGTTGACGCTATCATTGGTAGCGATAGGTTACCTGGGTTCAGTGACCGAGAACAATTGCCCTACATCAACGCCCTTGCCCTGGAGGTCATACGATGGCATACAGTTACACCCACCGGTTTGTTCTGGCCATCCTGTGCGATTATTTCTTGCTGACTACGAGCAGGGGTACCTCATAGAGCCATTGAAAATGATATACAAGATGGCTACTTTATTCCGAAAGGGTCTTTGATCGTTGCTAACATATGGTACGTAGATCATAACATGCTAATTTTTGATTACCACCTCATCAGGATATAGGAAGATGCTTCATGATCCTGCAATATATAACAGTCCGTCTGAGTTTAAGCCGGAAAGGTTTCTTGGATCAACACCTGAACCCGATCCGCGCACTGTGGCGTTTGGCTTCGGTCGCCGGTAAGTCTTCAATACCATTATTCTAACTCCCAGGCTAATATTTTCTCAGTATATGTCCTGGTAATGTTAATATCCTACGTTAACTTTGCTGATCTGGCTCACGATCCCACAGGACGAGTACTTGCTGACGCTTCGATATTTATTTCGTGTGCCATGTCCTTAGCGGTCTACGACATCTCTAAGTATTCTTCTCCCGAAGGCTTCGTTTCTGAACCTGACGTGGAGCAAACTACTGGTACTATAAGGTGAGTGCAGAAATCGAAGCCCGCGTTAGTTTCTGACATTCTTATAGCCATCCCACACCGTTCCAGTGTACCATAAAACCGAGAGCAGAGAAGGCTGTCGCCCTTATCAGTGCGGATGAGCATCTGTGATAGACTTTTATAACATTGTGTCCACACCATGAATTCTTCGTATATATTTGTACTTGAAGTACCTCCTGCATTTTACTGTCCAGATCAACTCTATGGGCCCAAATCATTGCCAAACACCTCTTTTACGACACGAATCACCAGTCTGTCACTATACAGTGTAGGTGTGAGGGGAGGTGGCCAATTGACTGATGGAGAGGGTTCTGGAGTTGATGCGCGGCTGCTGTAACGAGAACGGGGAGGATTCCGCATTCCGTCATTATCTCTGACTGCTTCTCTAGCTCTGCAATCAATAACGCCTTCTCCATACCAATTTTGATCCCCTCCGAGAATCGAGAGGTTCAACTCTCTGGCATAACGCCATATACGCGGGAAGAAGCCATCTCCTCATGTCGATTTGTTCAGCGAGAGCGATTGTCTCAATAGGATTGAAGTAGGGATACATCTTAAGATGCGACATCGCTGCACCTCGAATATCGTCCAGATCGAATCGATTGCAGAATGTTAAGATGTACGATCTGTTTGATGGGGAGCTACTCATATCCACTGTACATAAGTGCGTTATTGTGCCGTTACCAAAGAAAGAGTCGGCTACACTACCGTCGATGAAAAATATAGTCAAGCACGCATTCAAACTCTTCGCGGGTCGCCCCAGCACCAATTGGGATTGGTTTATCATCACTAATGCCTTCAGGACCTTCGGTGCCTGGAGGGCAGCTAAACATTGTGCGGAAAAACTCTGATTCTCGTGCGAGGAAGTAGCGATGGATACGGAAGAGTTCCCTCCCGACCTGGAAGTTTGAGAGATTGGCAGGTCAATACTACGCTGGACTGGAAATCTGGATATACTGACAATGAAGATCATCATATCGTCATCAAAATAGAATTTCTGGTTCCTAGTTACTGGCGGGGGCGACGTCGAAGGCGCGCTATTCGCCCCATGAGGCGGAGCTTCCAGATTTTCATCCGAGTCTACTGATCCAAACGCCTCTATCCAAAGATTTTCGACTTGATCATCGTCAGTCATCTTATCGAGATCCTTCTCGTTCATGGCAGGCGATAGATGGAGACAGAAAGCAGCTTATACATGCGTATGTCGCATGTATACAACGTGGTTACGTTAAGCGCCCATATAGCATACAACCTACAGTTATTCCCACGAAGCTATGAGTACAGATCGAAGCTGCTTTGAAGGCTTTCGTTAGAAAGTCACCACCTGGTGCTCCATCACTGCTATAGGCATCTACTTGTTCTTAACGGCATAAATCTGGTAAGAGGCCGCGTAAACATTCAAGTCGAGGTCTCGGATTAAAGGTGCTAACGGTGAGGTGTTAATCAAAGGATGATTGAAGAAAAATGGATAATTACTAGGTTCAGCATCTGAAAATTTCAGACTGCATCTTTTGGATTCATCGCCTGAACAGCACGTAACTAGATTATTGCATAGATTGAGATGCCCATTGACACAAAATGAAGACACTCACTTGGTTTCTCCTGCTCGCTCCTGTTAAACTTGTACATATTCAAGTCTTTCTTTGTGTCTACGATTGTCACATCCGGAAAAGACACATTTTAAGTTATACAACAAGGAGATCGGTACATGCCATACCACTAAATCCAGCTGATGCCATCCATTCCAGATATTGTCCCGGAGTACTTGCTCCACTGACACATCCAACAAACAAAGATACATCCGAGAGCAGGTCTTCGGGTAACGGCGTCTTTAAGAGGATATTGGAGATGGCCAACCGTCGGCCTGGCCTCAGAACACGGGTGATTTCCAAAAACACGGTGGGTTTGTCCGCTTCAGGAACCAAATTCAACAGTTAGACTACGTCTACGGATTGAGAAGCAAGTGGAAGATCGTGAATAAACCCCTTGACCTACACGTACTTCATAGGCATGCACGTCAGTATTTTAGCTGGAAATACCGGCGAATTCGACGTTAGTATGGCCGCTAAGACAAAACCTTTTAAAGTTTCCTTTTTTACCAGCTAAAATGAACTGGCCTCTGCTGTGAACCTCAGTCCACTGTAGAAACGATATCCGTTGTGGATCTCCACTTGTTGCTAGAAGACGCCAAGTCGGATCAGATTCTGGTCGCTGATGTTCGCCAGACTGATTTTGAGGTACGTGCTTTCTAGGTACGCACTTCGTACCTCGAACTGAAATGCCGAACAGGGTTCATTCATAGAGGGCGCATTCAATCTTCCTGCGCATTCTTTCAATCCAACCCTTCAACCATTGATACCGATTCTCAGCCGATATTTCCTGGTTATTTTTCATTGCAACAATTGCAAGCCGAATGGACATGGACCTCGTACAGCGGCTTGGTACCAAGATGAACTGGATAGGCAGGGGCTAATTGAGAGCCGAGCTGCTGTTTTGGAAGGAGGCATCAAAGGCTGGATCAACAAGTACAGCGAAGACGAACTCACGTCGAAGCTTTGATGGATTATGACTTTGAGGAACAACTGTTAACTTGGGCCCTTGGCCATAAAACTATTTGGTAAATCAAGCGAAAATACTGATGTATAAAGTGGAACATTTATTTCAACAATATACAGTCTAATTTCTAAACCCTGGGCTAGTGAGTATCGAGTATCGTCAGGCTAGCTTGAACATGATTCGTGATAGGGTTACCCACCTTTTGAGCATACACCACTGTCCAATCTTCATATATGTCGGGTCCATCATCCCACTCTTTCGTCAAGCCATCAAGAAGGTTATCATATTCGTATTCTGACGATACCAGCCCAAATCCATCGGCTTCGAAGATAGGGCCCCGCATAGCAGAACATACTGTAGTCAGGTTAACCCTTAGTTCTGCCCCATCCGCACCAGCCCATGCCCCCACAGGTAAGGCCCGTGTTTCACTGTGAATGTTAATGAAACCTCCTTGGGCCAACATGCCAGGGAGACGTTTTGCGACGTCTATGAGCAGGCCTTTACGTGCGTATAATTTGGTCAAGATGCTCCCTATCGTTGCAGTGTAAGGTCCTGTATCGGGTGAGATTTCGGAACCTTCAATGAACTGCACCCATCCGCCAGGAGCGAGAACACGATGGATTTCTACCAAAGCCGACCTCCACTGTGATTCCGTCAGGGCCGCATAGAGAACACGTTGGTTGACCAGCGAGTACGAATCGGTCCATTCGCCCGGTAAATCTGTGACTGAGTGGTGGTGAAAAAATACGTTTGTTGGACAGATTTTGGGAAAGATTTTGGATTGTATGTCAATGGCCGTAAGAGAAACCGACGAAGGAACTTCCTTCGCAAGCGAGATGACCCATATCCCTGAAAAAAGATGTAAGACGATAGCAAAAACGGTTACGACTTGCTTAAAGCGTAGACACGTAAACTCTCACCGGATCCTGTACCCGAATCTAATACCTTGTCGCCAGGCCCCAGGGTTATAGGCGGTAATATGGATTTTCCATCACATAACGTCCGCCTGAGCAAGGAATGTTGCAACTCAAGTCTTCAATACATCAGTACGGCAAAGGGCTCGGAGACGATAACTGAATGGCTTACCTCTGCTTCTCCTGAGCATCAGAGGGCAACAAGTAATGTACATTCAGTGAAGACGGCCAAACCCTCTGCAGCTGCTGTGCTCTTCGCGCAAGTCGCATCAGCGAAGGGGGAGAAGAGGTCATTTCAGGACAAGGAACGCAAACGACCTCATCATCTCAACACCCTAGCGTATTTCTATGATTAAATCGACGGACTTAATATCAATATCTGTAGCTTCTGTGACCCTATCAAGTCCAAGTTCGATACATGCGGCTGGAACCTGGAGCAGGGTATATAACCTTGAGGAGGTCGAAACAAATATACACTTGCACTAACCAGCTGTGTGCTCGCTGGCCTCGCTGCCCACAAGCTGAAGTGTTTGTTTTCAGTCCAAGCACAACGTAGAAAGTGACGACATACGATAGATCTGGTGCCTGGTCCGTAGTCCTCATTAGAATGGGGGAGCGACTTGATACATAAAGCAGGGACGAGAAGTAGAAACGGAAACTGTTGGAGACCAGACCAAGACCAGACACCCCAAGATTAATTTTCAATTAACTCCATCGACCGAGACTGCTAGCCCTCCCGATGCGGATCTACATTCATTTCTGAACTTGAAGCTGGGATCCTCGTCGTAGATATAGGCCGGGCACTCTAAGTACGCACTTCACATTGTCTTATTCGCTGATGCCGATTCTCGCTGATTGCGTTTCATTGCAATAGTTGCAGGCCCAATGGATGTGGAACTCGTACAGTGACTTGGTACCAAGATGAACTGAATGGTAAGGGTTAACTGAGAGTTGAGCAAAAGGCTGGATTAGCAAGTACCGCGAAGATGAACTCACGTTCAAACTTTGATGGGTTGCGACTCTGGCGGCGGAACCAGTAACATGGGGTGCCATCTACGACACTGTTTAAGCAGAGATATTGGTGTATAAAAGTGAATTCCTTGTTTCAACGATATAGTCAGAGGTCTAAATAGCAGGCTTTGGCCATATCGTCAGCCTAGCTTGACCATGACTTGCAATATGACTGCACACCTTCTGAGCATACATCGCTGTCCAGTCCTTTGAAGCAGGTATATCTCCCCCGTTATCCCACTCTTTCGCCAGGCCATCGAGAAGGTCGTCATACTCCCGTTCTGATGATACCAGTCCGAATCCACCTGTTTCGAAGATAGGTCCGCGCATAGCGGAATATACTGAAACTAGGTTGTCTCTGAGCTCGAGCCCGTCCGTATCAGCCCATGCCCCAAGAGGCAAAGCTCGTGTATCGCTGTGTACATTGATGAATCCCTCTCGTTTCAGCATGTCAGGGAGGCGTTTCGCAACATCTATGACCAGGCCTTTATGTGCATACAATTTACCCAAAATATTCCCTATCTTCTCAGAGTAAGGCCCCATATGGGTCGAGATTGTTGAGCCTTCGATGATTTGCACCCATCCGCCAGGGGCGAGAACGCGGTAAATCTCTGACAAGGCCGCGCTCCACTGTGGTTCTGTCAGGGCCGCATAGAGAACACGTTGGTTGGCCAGCGAGTATGAGTTGGTCCACACTCCAGGTAATTCTGTAACGGAATGGATAGAGAAAACGACATTCTTTGGAAATGATCTAGGAAAGATGTTGGATTGTATATCGATGGCCGTGAGAGAAATTGACGGTGGAACTTCCTCAGCGAGCGACAAAATCCAGGCTCCTGAGAGAAAGTGTAAGACAACGGAAACAACATACAGGCGTAAACTCTCACCAGATCCTGTACCCGAGTCTAATACCTTATCTCCAGGTTTCAGGATTATAGGCGCCAACACGGACTTGCCGTCACATAGTGCGCGCCTGAGAAGGGAATGTTGCAACTCAAGTCTTCGATACGTCAGTGCAGCAAACGGCACATATTATTAATTGGCTTACCGCTGCTTCTCCTTAGCGTCAGAGGGCAATATGTAGTGCACATCTGGTGAAGATGGCCAAACCCTCTGCGGCTGCTGTGCTCTTCGCACAAGACGTGTGAGAGAAAAGAGAGACGAGAACGAGAACATTTCGTGCATACGGAACTCATCATCGTGTATTTCTAGGATGGCAAGGCAGACGGATTGACAGACTCAATGTTGGATGGCTTTTGTGGCGCATGATGACACGCGCAGCAGGAACGCAAGAAACGGGACTCGGGAGCTATACTTATTCTCACCTTCCTTGGTTAGTCCGGGGGATGAGAAATCGTTGTGCCTTCGACAAGCTGTACCCATCCTCAAGGAGCTAGAACACGGTATAGCTCTTCCAGAGCAATTTTCCACTGCGGTTCAGTCAGAGTGCCGTAGAGAAAGCATTGGTTGACCAGTGAGTACTTATCAGTTCATTTGCCTGGTAGATCCGTAACCGAATAGAGGAGGAATATGTTGGGAAACAAGCCGGTGACTCGGTCACGAATATGATCCGGACCCTTTAGTCATCGCCACATCGACGCGTACTTACGCGTCTGTTCTCGTAGTTTCTCTTTCCTCTTCTTATGGACTATTTTAGTTTACTCTTAGAATATACTAGAACACTTGGTCGCATTTGTACCATAGTTTATACAGTTTTACTTCTACTCTTCCAACTACCAGCTGCTAACAGAATATGGTGTTTGTTGGAAACGATTCAGGAGAGATTTTGGTGAGAGAAACCGACCGTGGAACTTCCTTCGCAAGCGAAAGGACCCAGGTTCCTGAAGGGAAGAGTAAACCAGCGGAAAACAGTGTCTCAGTCAATCTTCACCAGTTCCCAACACCGTATCCCCTGGTCCCAGAGCTATCGGACCCAGTACATATTCGCCATCGCACAATGCGCAACTGATAAGAGAATGCTGCAAACCCAGCCTTAGAGACTTGAGCATAGCAAACGACAAATGGCTTACCGTTGTTTTTCCATGGCATCGAAGGCAATATGTAGTGTATGTCTGGTGACAATGGATAATCACATCCTTCCATATTGCTTCTGAAGCTCAAAGATCAAGATGGAACACATAAACCCCATTGAGCGTCACGATGATGAACGGCTTGCCAATGAAATCATGGCATTGGATAGGCGTCAGAAGAATGGCGCTTTGAATACGAATATATAGCTGCGTTCTTCCAAGGCCACAACCGATCCAGGGTATGCTCACAGTGAAAGCAGACTACTTCTTCCCAGCGAAAGGGATGTTCCAATCTGTATAGTAATCCATAGTCCACGATAGCTTAGTTGCAACTTGTTCTTCGAATTATCTTCTCATTTTGATATTCAATACTCTTGCGGTTCGACAATTGAAAATAATCAATGTATCTATGCAGTTCTGTTGACATAACACAGCAAAACCACCCGCTCGCTCACAGAGCACTTGCACCTAAAGTATCTTTAATAAACGAGAAGATGAAATGATGTTTGCGACCATACCAGTAATGATATCGACCAATTCGTTGGTAATGGCGGCTTGGCGACCACGGTTGAACTGCATTTGGAGACGGTCAATCATGTCTCCTGCATTCTTCGAAGCATTGTCCATAGCGTTTCGCCTGCGTGTAAGAATAAGGACGAGAATGAAAATAAATGTTAATCGATAGGCCCTACCGAGCACTGATTTCGCAAGCATGACCTTCGACGAGAAGAGCATAGATGGCATTAGCAAGGGAGAATTGAGCCAGGTCTTTGGTGAAATCATCCTCCATCTCATAAGCCTTGAATTTGCCTTGCGCCAGCCATCAGTGACCTTGATAATCCTTTAGATTGACATTACTCACTGCTCTCAGCTAAAGACTTTCCGCCCTTGATTTCTAAAGCGGCAGGTTCATAAGAGATGGCAGAGACGAATTTGTTGTAGACGAGAACAACGGAATCATATTCAACACCACTTTTGGCGATCAAGTCGGCGACGGCAGAGGCGTCGGCAAAGGTAGGGACATCCCTTCCGATTTGGTTGAAGGTAAGACGAATATTCTTGGGTAGAGCACGAGATAGCTGAGCCTTGGACTTGTCACCGATGATCATGATGGAAGAGTCGGGCTCGACCGTTGTGGCGCCGAGGGGAGAATCAGGAAGATTGTCTATGGCTCTACGTGTCGCTTTGGTAACTGAAGAGTGAATACCACCGCAAAGACCCTTATCAGAAGATATGACGACGAAAAGCTTCTTGGGAGTGGGAGCTTCATCCTTGGACTGCTCGAACACCTCTGCAAAGAAAACCCATCATTGCACGAACTCAGCTACGAAATTCAGCTGTCCGCACCAGCATTGGCTACACCGTAGTCCTTGGCTGCCACCATAGCACGCTGGGCCTTGGCAAGACGCGCAGAAGCAATCATTTTCATCGACTGTGACTCCAGTGAATGTCCTCAAAAAATGAGAATAGTCGCTGTGACACACCTTGGTGATTTTCTCAATGTTGCGGACGGACTTGAGTCGGAGCTCAAGTTCACGAAGGGTGGCCATGTTCCTAGCATTTGGCCTCGTCGTAGCCAGCGACGACTGGGTCGCCATGCGGGCAAGAGACTGACGAGCAAACATGGAGGGGAATGGGAGCAGGAAGGGACCGTCGGACGTTCTCGGCTTAGAATGGGAAAGTTCCCACGATCACATAGTCATCTTTGGGCAGGACGAAACAATTTCTTCATTACAGTCATGGCCTCCGAGGAACCGTTGTTCGATCCGTCGCTCAAAAAGCGAAAGAAAAAGGCCGTCGCTTTCACTGAAGATCCTCTGGGCGCTGATGCAGATCCAACGACGCCGGCACCAGAGACTATCGACAACACCACCACCAATGGCGAGGCAGTTGATCTCGGCCCAACGACAGCACATGAGCAGATGAAGCTGAACGGGGACGACAAGAAGGAGGATGATGAATTCAAGACCATGTTTGGTGACCTCAAGAAGAAGAAGAAAAAGAAGGAGATCCCTCTAGATTTGGTATGACATCCATTGTCTGTGACATTGATCTTGTTCATGAAATGCTTAGGGTGACGATTCTGGCACATCGACACCGACAGCAACCCCAGCTGCTGTCGCAGATGACCTTGACTTCTCTGACATAAAAAAGAAGAAGAAATCGTCGAAGAAAAAGGCGGCGTTTGACTTGGAGGCGTTCGAGAAGGAACTCAATGTATCCAAGACTAAATCGACGAATGCTGATGAAGATGAAGAGGAAGGCGAGGTTGACCCTGCTCAGCTCGATGACTTAGAAGACGGTGATCTTGGTGATGATCCATTTGCTCAACACGAGACGTCGGCCGGCGGAGAAACTGGCGAGGCAGCTTGGCTAGGCAGTGACCGAGACTACACATATCCAGAGGTACGCTCTATTGCAAACGTCTTACACATCGACTCATGTATGATTACAGCTCCTTACACGCTTTTATTCCCTCCTGCACGCCGCCAACCCTTCTCTCCTCTCCACGTCATCCACAAAACGTTACACCATTGCGCCACCTTCCATTCATCGTGAAGGTAACAAGAAATCCATCTTTGCCAACGTCACAGATATTTGCAAAAAGATGCATCGTCAGGTATGCCAAACACCTTCCGCGGAATTTTTTTTGCTGAATCATACTCATTAGCCTGAACACGTAATTCAATTCCTCTTTTCTGAAATGGGTACAACTGGTAGTGTTGATGGCGCGGGCCGGCTTGTTATAAAAGGTCGTTTCCAACAGAAACAAGTCGAGAACGTCTTGAGGCGATACATTGGTCAGTTGTTCCTTTCCCGTACGATGCAGTGGCGCTAATGTTGATGTAGTCGAGTACGTCACCTGCAAAACCTGCAAATCACCAGACACACTTCTGACAAAGGAAAACCGTATTTTCTTCATGTCTTGCGAGTCATGCGGAAGTAGGCGTAGTGTCAATGCTATCAAGAGTGGATTCCAGGCGCAAGTTGGGAAGCGGAGTAAGAACAAGACAGGTTAGTGTACAGCACTGCGGAGAACATGTCGTTATCTGTATGACACTTGTTATGCACATTTATGAGTTTCGCAAAGCGGAGGACTGAACTTTTGAGACGTCGTTCACCTTTATTTAGCTTCTACAAGGGCTCTATACAGCATGATACCAGAACCAGCGGCAAAAGCAACCTCTGTTGCTGCACCGATAAAAACGACGTCTCCAGTACCGATGTTTAATGATGTGTCTTCCCATGAAACAACCCCTTTACCCTCTGACACCACCACGAGACTGGGTCCCTCCACAGCACGGTGCGACTCGGTAGCACCAGTACCTAATTTAACCTGCACAACTGAAAACTCTGGGATAGGCGGATCATACAATGTACTGAGACTTGATGAGAATGGCGTGGGCTGCACCCGATGTCTTGAAGCGTCCGCGGAAACATATGTTAGGCCCGCCACGAGATTGGGGATATCTCGAAGCTTAGGCGTCAAACCGGCTCGGATCACATTATCAGAATTGGCCATGCACTCGATAATATCTGTCCATTACGGTTAGAATGTGCAGAGACAAGGAATACGGGCAACCTTACCTCCATCCACATATGCATGCGGCTCACCGGCACCCAAGAAGATAGCCTCCCCTGGTTGCAAATTGACATAATTCAACAAGAACGCGCAGAAGATACCAATGTCCCCGGGAAATTGTGAATTTAGTCGCAAAACCAGCGCCTCGACACCCTCCTGATCAACATCAGACTTGGAGGAATAACGATCTACAAGAGCTGATAGCTGAGCTTTGAACGCAGTTTCTTGCGCGGTCATCAACGCTGCAAAGAGGTCTTTTAACGCTGCCTTTTCCGTCGGGCCGGTAGGCGTGTCTGACCCGGAGATTGCAAGAAAAGCATCGACGATAAAGGGCGGAATAACCGCGGAGAGTTCGGGGGTATTTCGGAGATGGTTGGCGATGGCGGTAAGGGGTAGGAATCCGCAGAGAGCTCGAAATGGAGTCAGAGCAAGGGCTAGCTCGGGTTTGTGGTTGGGGTCTGTAAGGTGCGACTATCAGTTCATTGCAACAATCATCTTGAGAGGTTTACCTTTATAAATGTTAGGCAGTTGTGCATGAAGCTGCTCTGCAGTCTCCTTGTCAGGATGGGTCTGTATGCTCAGTGCTTTCTCAATAGAAAGCACTTTGAATAAGAAAGGGAGGTTTCCATCAATCGCATCGGGGAATCTGGACAGTACACTTGCGCCAATTAATGAAGGATTTTCTTTCAGAAGAGAAGAAAGCGTCGCGCCCGATGAAAGCTTCGATGGCGATGTAGGATGCGTACCCATCCACAGCTAGGGATGGTTTTCTATATGCAATTGCATTGTATGAGACTGAATACACTTACTTCTGCGTAAGGCTTCTTTTCATCCAGTTGGAATCCTGCGACTGCAGATGCCTCCGCGAGCTGCGCAACCTTGGAGTTGGATCCAAGCTTGCCCCAGTCATACTGTTGTGTTGTAGGAATTATTTTAAATACAGGAGCAGCCATTCTTGCGAAGGTATCTTTCCGAACTACGTCAAGGGATGCTGCCTGCAGGAGCAATACTGGGTATCGTCGTCAGTGGAGGGTCCAGAGCGGTGGTGGCAGGAAAGGGGCGTAGTCTTGTTTTGGAAGGTATACATCACAACATACGATTTCGGAACACTTTGAAGGCAGGATATGCTTTCTGGACCCATGAGAGAGCGATTCCTGGGTCAGTCAGGAATAAATAAGAAGTGGGAAAAAGAAAACGGAAAGGTACTAAATTCCGAGGTTCTAGAATTACAAGTGCTGCTAAAATTTAAAAGGTCGCTGCCAAGTCGCTGCTGTCAGTGAAAATGAGGTTCATCCATCTATCTACAAAATCCACTGTTGACCAATTCATTTTCCAGCTTCATTATCCGAGACATCGTATCCCTCTTCCTCTCTGCTTTTGACTCCGGTCTTCATCGCCTACGTTGGAGAGGGTGCTTGAATCGCAACGGAAGAAATTCATCCAAAAATTCCAGCACGTAGTCTCGTGCTTCTGGCTCGAACACCGTCAAGATCTCCATCAGCACGTTCTGTGCCGCCTCGTACCGCCCTCCAGGAACGGGAATATCGTGCTCCTGTGGTAGATTGGCGCATAGATGCGCCAGCAATGAGCCAAACAATTTGCTCCTTCGCCGTTTCTGATCCTTATCCATTACATCCCATTTTGGATCAAGAAAGACGGCGGCACCAAACCAGCATCGAAGAGTCAGTTCATCCTTCCAGCGTAAAAGTCCTTACATAGTCATAGAGGATTGCAAGTGGGCGACGGATCTCCATCCTGTGTTGATGTTTCTTCTTATGGGCATCCAATATCGCCTTGTACGCCGATTCCGCCTCAGCGAATCTGTATTCGTCGTCTTCGTTCAGTGAATCTGCGAGATTATGTACCACCCCAGAATTTTTAGTCTGGAAAAATTTCTGGAGATAGTCGATCTTCTACTTTCGTTGTCCTGGACCATTGTTGTCTTTTTCAGCATCCCAAATCTTGACATAGCGAATGGTTTCAACGCAGCGGATAACTGAGTCGACGAACGTTTCACTGCAACCAATACTAAAACTGGGCATCTAGGAACTGACAGAATGTTGGTGCTCAGCCTGTGATGAAGCAAAGGGCAGATACCTCGCCTATTTCCATCATACACTTGGCCTCGTTGCCGAGGTCACACATCTTTTGGATCTTGTTATGAAGGAGATCCCAGGAAAAGTTCCGTTCTTTTTACCATGGACGAAAGAGCCTTGTGCTAATGAAGAGTTAGCGCGTGCAAGGCTGTCTGTACCAATGGATTGATGTCCCCACTGGCGAGTACTGTCTCGGTAACCTTGGAAAAGCGACTCGAACGCGTCATTCCTTGCTGTGGTGGAGCTCTCGCTGTCTGGTACCATGAGTCTGCGCTTAAAACCTTGCGCTGTGAAAAGCGGGAATCTGACGGCATTGAATTTCGGGACTAAAGACCAAAATCGGTGGACAACGACGGATCAGCAGCAACTGGAGGCTGGGAAGTCCTGAGAGCAGGTCGGTGGTCACGAACGTGAAGGATATCCAAGTGCACAGTGTCGAGTATCGCAACCATGAATTCCTATTACTAGGAGGGAGAATTCATGGGACGAGCATCATCATTTCATGGAGAACCGCTCAAATTTGAAACTTAAAAAGAATTTATATTATTTATATTGTGTGGTAATAACGGAACGTTTCTAGAAAGATAGCTATTTCAATGTAAGAAGCAGTCCATTCTCAGACTCTTTCCATGGCATGAAGAATCCGGTAGTAACTACATCATTCGGCTGTACTGCCGCATCAATCCAGCATTAAACTAGGACAACACCAACAACAGCGCTGAGCACAAGGGTAAGCCACAACTTTACGTTGCCTACAGCCTGAGAAAGGGCGCCGCTGCTGTCAGTTGTTGACACAGCGTTCTTAGCGGATACAGAGCCCGATGCGCTCGTAGAAGATGCCTTGGATGCAGTGGTCGACGACGCATGTGCTGATGTGGAAGTAGCGGCAGCGGTCGTACCTCCGATAGGCGCGGTAGATTGGCCATCAATTTCTGCTTGGACGGATGCATTGAATGAACCGGTCATGCCTTGAATCCTGGTTAGCACATATTTCTTGTTATTCGAAGCTCAAATTATGTATGGCAAATTGAAACGGACGTGAATTTGGCTGAGAATCCAAGAGCAGGATATCTTGTGTCGTTTGCATCCTTGAGACTGTTGGATTCAACACGGATGAAACTGGAATCGCGCAAAGGTCGTTGAAAATCGAAACGGAAGTTGTCTAATGGGATGAAGACATACTATTGGTTGCTGTCACCACCAATACTTGCATCTGGAGTGAATTCGATTGTCGATGTCGTCGAAACATCCACATTCTCAGCAATGACTTGGAGAATAGTCTGCAAGAATGAGGTTAGCCATGCGGAAGTAATTTAGAGTGCTGCGCAACGTCGATCATCTACAAATATGGTGAAGATAGTACGAGGCGCAAATCCTTACCTGAGATATTGCATTTCCTACGGCTACGGAGAATTTCGACACGCCAAACTCGCTGAGAGAAGGCGAATCGGTAGTGTCCTGCCATGCAATACTGGTGGATTGACCAGCAGTCATTACAGTAGACGCCACAGGATCTGTAATCTATGACAGACACCGGCTCATTATTAGCTGGTAAACTCAGAAACAGCGAGAAACATACATAGATATTAGCCAAGGCCGACGAGGTGAGACCGAGGAGGATGAAAGACGAGAATAACATCTTTGAGAACATTTTCTGACGACAAAGTTGAAAAATCGGGCGCTGGTTAGTAGAAAAGAGTGGGAGATTCAAGAGAATGTGAGGGTTGTATCTAAGGATGAAATCCAGGCTAAGTGAGGATACAGAAGCGGGGATATGGAAAAAAAGATGGAGAAAACGAGCGTTGTCTTCGTGATGGTGTTTTGGTTCCAAGCTCCGCTCAAAATGTGCAGTGTGTTTGGTGCCTTTCCATATGATTGCGCTGCCTGACCCTGCCACTGCCGTACATATCATCGCCCGTTCATTTTGCAAGCCAAAACCCGTTGATCCTCCTGCTTGCAATTGTGGTTTTTGTGGGGACCTCAGGCGGAACAGATGTTGGCGTCTGAGATGCTTTTATGAAAACTGCTCTAATTCATGGTAAAGAATAACGTGGACTTTGATATTGCAAACAAGACGTTATAATACCTCTTGCGTATCGTGCCGTCCAAGTATCAAGCTAGAGTTTCCTAAATCCTAATTGTTAGTTTTTCTATTCAGTTGGACTGCAGTACTAATTTTTGGACAAAATATCCGGATTGGGCCCCACAAATCGCAAGCTTGAGTGCACCATTCATTGTCGCGGTCTGCAGGCGCTTATCTGCTCACTATCGGCCTCCGTCTTATCGGTGGCATTTGACATCGGAGCACAGCCGGAAAATCCCTACCCATGTATCTTCATTTGTATCTGTTGAGCCCTTTTCATTTCCATACTGCACGAAAAAAGTTGTATTACTTGATGACAAGGGCGTCGTCGTCGTCGAAAAGATCGTCTGGTACAGGGACATCACGTGGTCGGGGAACATATGCTTCCCATGCATGCAATGTATGCAGAGCCAAGTGGGTGACATTACCTTCCTGGCATTTAGTTATCTAACGTCATGTTAGGAGAGTCAAGTGCGACGAGGTAAAGCCTGTTTGCGGCTTTTGTCAGACCTCCGGACGCAATGATGAGGTCCGTTACTCTCCGTTAGGAATCACCGTAGCCTCCGTTAACCGATTGCACAGTGCTCATGGACAGGCGAAAGTGCAAGAAGGCCAAGGACGGAGGCCCACTACGAAGCACTGAGAAAGCGCGCAGATGCACTCAAAGCCTATGCAGATCTACTCGAGTCGTTGTTGGAGAAGTGCCGCAGAGAGCATGGAGGGGTGTCGGAGGAGAGCATGTCCTATCTCCAATTCCGACCGCCGGATGCTGGAAATGCAATTTTGGAGAATGAAATACCACCGCTGCATGACGATGGCTCTGACGCTAATCAGGTCGAGGGAGAGGATATTACACTGGAGATATGCGTGCCCACCCGGAATCTGAAGGTACGTCGCCGACCGTCGTTTTCCCAAGGTATCTGCTGATGGCACATACAGTTGGAGGACAGCCAGCTTGTTTTCTATGGTATTGCAGCACCGTTCCGCCTTGACCAAACTCCTGCGAAATCTAGGGCAACCTCCAGACTTCCCGACATTGACGATCTCAAAAAGAGCCATGTTCTTCAAATAACGGATGGCGATGGAAGTCATTATGACCCAGATTTCGACTGGTCTCGTTATCTCCCTTCCGCCGTGCCTCTGGACAGGAAGGAACATGACAGGTGAGCTGCCCATGCATCACACTCTTAGGGTATTAATATCCTCTCAAAGAGTTCTCGATCTTCTCTTCAAATTTTTTACACCGTGGTGTTTTCGCATTGTTCCAGCTCTGTTTCTTCGAGATATGCATAGAGCTCTGAGCGTACCCCGACACCAGACGCCTCCGAGGACCGTCCATTATTCTCCCATGCTTCATAACGCCCTTGTGGCCCTAGCGACGGCCTTTTCGGATGATCCTCGGATACGTGACTTCAAATCACGTAAGTACTTTGCCGACGAGGCCAAGCGCCGGTGGGAAGATGAATGCCAAAAACCGAACATTAGTGTGGTACAAGCCCTTTCTATATTATCGAGCTTTCATTCGACCAACGGCGACCAAACTATCGGCTACATGTACTTTGGTAAGCATGCCGATTTCTACTTGCACCTTTCTCATCAGGGTTACCAGGTCTCAGTGCGCGTATCGGTCAAGCATGTACTTACGAGATTATCTCTTACGGCCGAAACTTTACTCATCATGAAAATTGCAGTGGGCCTCAGCTTTGATAGTTCGCAATGGGTAGAGGCCGGGCTTATATCCAACGATGATATGATGGACCGAAACTGGGCGTATTGGACTACATTCACCGAAGTCAGCTAATTCATCAAGTACTAATTTCTATTTTACAATCTTTCGCATAGGACGTCTGTTGGTCGGTTTACGTCGGGCGGGACTTTTGCGTTCCTCTACCTGCGGAACGGCATGTCCCGGTTCCCTTCGTCGACAGCGAATTCGATGAGACTCCATGGCATTACCCCCCTGCCAATATCCCCCCTCAGCCAAACTTCCTATCGAGAACCCTTGCTGCGACTTGTGAGCTGATGATGATAGCGAGACAAGTTATGGACGTCATGTACGTGTCTTATATTCCCGTCTTGAAAGAGTACAACTAATAGTGCTTCAGAAGCGGTTTGAATATTGCTGTGACTCGGCAGGAGATAAGTGACGAGATTATTAGCAAAATTGAGTGGGTTTTTACTACTGATCCTCCTTTTCCGACTTACCTGTGCTACTAGTCTGCAACTTCACGAATGGAAGAGTCGACTCTCGCCAGAAGTGGATATAACTATCAGCAACAAGTCATCTGCTACTCCGCATCGTCTAATGCTTCACCTAGCCTTTTGGTGGATATTCATCCTATTACACCGCCCATTTTTTCATCGTCGAAAACGTGGCTCGGATGGAGACATCGATCATGTCAAGGTCTATCACTTTGACGCTTCAATGATCCCCTCCCTGATATAGATCTATCGTAGATGTGCAAACGGGCGTCGGAAAACGTCATGGAGCTTCTTCTTGTCTGGCGATCCCTATATACCCTACGATACGTTCCAATGACGCTTGTACAAGTGCTCTTTTCTGCTGGAACCGTCTATTTGCTACTCGCTGGGAAGGCCGCCTCCGGTCTTCGCGTCGCCAAGAAGGACCTTGAACGATTTAGCTCCCAAGCCGATCTGTGCGTAGATTATCTAAACGAGATCGGAAAGTCATGGAGCTCCGCCACAAAAATAGGAGGCATCTTGTCGAATCTTTCGCATAGACAACTAGACCCCTTGTTGGAGAAGAGGTCCGCGAAACGTGCCTCAAAGCAAGCAAAGCAGGAGACCAAGATTGAAATGGAAGCGGACATCGAGACACCTCCCGCAACTCAGTCTGAGGAGGGCTCATCTGAATCTGGGTCTTATCAAAATAGCGCGTCGCCGATTTTAGCCGAGGTATCTCATCCTCAGTCCCAGTGGTTCCCCGTTCAGAATTACCACATGTCGAGCGCCCATAGCCACAACAGCAACAACTTGGGATCTCTTGCTGTTTCGGGGATGTTGGGTGGCGAGCCCTTTGGGATCGAACCCTTCGTCCCAGATTATAATATGGGCTCATACAATGGATACAGCAGTATGCCCAACAGCAATAGCAGCGTTGATAATGCTTTTGGACCGCAGGATTATATGGTTACTCCTTCGGAGTTTTATGGGACGTATGATGCTGGTACACAGCGTCTATGGGATATTCTGCAGCGGCATCATTCTACGATGTGATTCCGGGTGGTACGGTTTGTCAGTTATTGTCTGCTAGTGGGCTTAATTTTCTACACATATGTTACACCAGGACATTCACTTATAATTCTCTTTCGTCTGTCAGCCTACGAAGCTTGTATTAAATACGTTATGTTGTGCACTAGTAATGTAAATACGGAAGGAAGCCTAGCGATATTATCGATTGAGTGTCGTATGCGCCCATCTGTTCGAATCGTGAAATGCCATGAGTTTGCTGCAGCGGAAAGTGGAAAGTGCTGCGATTGGCTAACTACGTTACATAAGTAACTCAGCTAGGTAAGTATACACTAACTTGTCAACTCAAAGTAGAGTAAGAGAAAAGGAAGAAGTATGAGAAGAAGGTGGTAAGTGTAGACAAGGATGGGAAAGCATAGATGTAGGCATGGGAGTAAGCATCAGGTATATAAGATATTACATAGGGAATAGAATTTAAACAGGCATTTGGGATTGAAGATACTGTAAATGGAGCAGAAGAGGAAGGGAGGGAGTATGATGAGAGACACTAGAGCCGTCATTAGAAGCAGCGAGTCATTGCACATAACCCCAAATGCGTCCTGTGAGTTGAATCGCAAAGGTATGTCAGGACTGAGCCAGTTTACACAGGAACAGTTCTCGCAGTGCCGGAGACCAAGAAGCGTGAGCGGGAACAAATGCGTATAGTTGGGGGACCAGGCCGACGTAGTAATGAGACTGACCCAGAGGCCATACGACGGCATTGTCTGAGAATAAATTATCGGCGAGGTAGTGGAGACGATACAAGGAGATGGAGCAGAGTTCATCAGTATTAGACATTTTGTTCAGGCAGTCATGCACATGGGCAGAGTAGCATTCACGAAGGGCTGCAAACTTCGGGCAAGACACGAAGAGATGATGTGCAGTCTTGGCCGTGCCACATCCGAAACGGCACCAGGGGGAAACATTCCCCAAGATTCTCCAATAATTGTAGCAGAGTACACATGAAATGCCCTCGAGTAGGGGAAAGTCGGGGGAAAAGGGAAGTCATAGAGGGAAAGAGCAATGAATCCAGACGGTAAAGATTGAGGCTCGCGACAACTTTCTGATGTAAAGAGGAACGAATGAAGGCTCCGATATTTGACTCCACATAGCTGATATCTTCACAGAAAAAGACATATTTATCCATGGTAAAAGTGGGGATAGGTGCAATGGGAGGAGGAGGATAGACTGCCAGCGGCCCTGAGAGTGGAGCAAGTCACGCATCACGTCACGCGACAGGGGACTATCAGACTCACTTTCACTCCGCTTCATACTACCACCATCTTCTCTTGATATCTTCCACCATGGTCCTATCTCGCCGCGGGAGTGGTAGCATTACGCTGCCGTCGGGTCAGACGATGACGATCCATACTCGAACGCACGAGGAGGAGGATCTGCCTCATGCTACCAAAAAGTGCGTATTCTTCTGTCTCGTTGCCTCAAATCTATGCCAATTATTAGCGGTCCAATATCTTAGGACTATGGCAGACCATTTACGGAAGTATGATAGTCTGTAAGTAACATTCTCCTGTGCTGTCGTGGTCATTGACAGATGAACGATAATAGGTTTACACTAACGCCACAACGCATGCGCATGGTCGTAGAGGCATTTAAGGATACGCTCGAACTGGGTCTACAAAAGCCACAACAGGTCGTTGTGAGTGCTTCTGCTTCATATTAATGGATTTGCCTTGACAGATACAGCCTATGATTCCGACCTATGTCTTTGGATGGCCAACTGGCACAGAAATCGGCGATTTCCTCGCTGTCGACCTCGGTGAACATCCACATAATAACACTTTTCCTCTCCGTCCTCACACGCTTTATTTACCAGGCGGTACTAATCTTCGTGTTTGTCTCGTGAATCTCCAGGGTGAAGGGAAATTCGAAATTACCCAAGCCAAGTATCGTCTTACCGAGGAGCAGAAGCAAGATGACGGCCAGAAACTTTTCGATTTCTGTGCGGAATGTTTGAAGACGTTCGTGGACACAAATCTTGCCGATGACAATGGGGAATTGTCGCTCAGACCAGGCGAGACATTGCCTCTGGGCTTCACAGTGAGTACGCTATTTATTGTTATACCCCTTTCAATAACACCTGTTCGCAGTTCTCGTATCCCTGCAGGTGAGATTTATGCTACGAAACGGGAGCAATATCTAAGGAGCGCCTAGTCAAGAGAGGATTGATCATGGTGTTCTCATTCGCTGGACCAAAGGCTTCGGCGCTCCCAATACTGAGGGTCGTGATGTGGCCGAGATGTTCCGCCAATCCCTTGCTAAATATGCACGTCCTCCTCAGTTACGTATTGTTCACTATGCTGACATTCGATCTGTCGAAAGAAATTGCCCATTGCCTTGACCGCTCTCATCAATGATACGACCGGAACCCTCATCGCCTCACACTATGTCAACCCAAGGACGAAGATTGCTGTCATCTTTGGAACGGGATGTAATGCGGCTTACATGGAGAAGGTTGGTGACATCGAGAAGATAAAGTCTTTGGGAATCGATGAGGATGCCGAAATGGCAATCAATTGTGAATGGGTAAGTGCGTCTGCTCTTTGTCTTAAGCTAGTCCACTTACCTTGCTACAGGGTGCGTTTGACTCATTTGAGCACGAGCATTTACCTCGTACAAAATATGACATCATTGTCGACGAGACATCCAACAAGCCGGGCGAACAGGCTTTTGAGGTAGGCCACATTTACCATTATAAGCAAACGATGTTACTAAGCTGCGCCTGAACAGAAACTGATTTCTGGACGGTATCTTGGAGAAATCCTACGATTGGTTATTTGTGAGCTGATTGACGAGGGTGTCCTTTTCCTTGGCCAAGAGACATACAAGCTCGAAATACCTTATGTGTTTGAGACCGCGTTCTTGTCACTGATGGAAAGGTGAGGGCTATCAGTTGTGTGAACCTGTTTAATTGTTTTGGAAATTTCAGCGACCCAACTGATGAGCTGTTGATGATCATTGGGATCTTTACACACTTTTTTGCCGTCGAGACGACTCTTGCAGAACGCCAGTTCTTCCGGGCCCTTGCGAAGCTCATTGGGCGACGGGCAGCTCGTTTGAGTGCCTGCGGTATCGCTGCCATTGTAAGCAAGATGGGATACCTAGATGAGGGCTGTTCAGTTGGTGCTGACGGTTCCTTATACAATGTTAGTGCTCTAGCATTTCTTGTCTTACCAGTTCTGACTACTACATAGAAATATCCTGGGTTTGCCGACCGAGTCCACGAAGGCTTACAAGACATCTTCGGTGATAAGGGAAAGTGCGTATAAAGAGATTGCGTTCCATGATGATCTACTAATTCCATGCAGGAACATTGTCACATACCATGCTGAAGATGGAAGTGGTGTAGGAAGTGCCATCATTGCCGGTGAGCTGCGGTTGTAGCTGTTCATATGACTATTTCACCAATTTTTCTCCCTTGTAGCCATGACGAAGCTCAGAAAGGATGTTGGTCTGTACAATCACGTGTAGGCGCAAGGCATTGAGACACTTGGACTTTGACAGAAAATCAAGTAGAAGAAGCCATGTATGTCTTTTCTATGTACTTTACTCTGTTCTTGTTTCTTCCTATTTGAAGGAGCATAGATTGCATTTGCATATCACAAACTTTTTCGCCCGACAGCCAACTTCGGTCATAAATATTTGTGCTCAAAATGTGGACGGCCTTTTATTCTCCGGACCGGGCCGGTCTTAGAAGTTCTAGAAAAACTTCGGCGTTACGAACAACAGCGATGCTTCTCTTGCCGCTGCTCGTGCTACTGGTTACTCACACTATTCTCGGACAGGACACCTGTACTCTGGTTGTTTCCGGCGATAATGATGCGTCTCAATTACTCTGCGGTTAAAAGCTGTGATACCGTGGTGATTCCACGTTGAATATTGCAACGCGCCTGAACATGCATGGATTCTTTATACCGCTATCGTACTTTGGTTTTATGACACAAACTTTAACGGCACTGATGCCGCGGTTTAGAATCTAAAAGGAACCATCCGCTTCCAGCCTGATATTCCGTATTGGACTGGGGTTAGTAGAGTCGCTTGATTGACCTTGTGATGCATTTATTCGTATTGTGTAGAATTCATTCTACTTGGCTTCCAAGGTTCAGTCACCTTTGGGCTGCTTGAAGAGAAAATCCTATTCTGAATGGTAGAGGGACTTGAGATGGCGCAGGTCAGGTATGATCGAGGTATGATCGTTTCATTGTGCTTTTGTGACTGACTCTATGTTTTCTAGGATTGGTATGATAAATTGAGAGTATGACGTATCAGCTGTTGACTTGTCGAAGTGTCATGATATCGTAGTGCCTCAAATGACACCCTTCTCCGCCCTACCACGGTGGCGGTTTACCAGAAAAACAACATTGTCGTAGAGGACATCCAGATGCTCAATGGTCCAATCTGGTTTAATCTGGAAAGAGCCTCTTGTAATAATTTTTGACTCGCATATGAATGTCTTTTGCAGATATATGAGAGCAGTGATGTTACTTATAGCAACATCAGCATTACAGCAGAGTCTAGACCGGACAATCTTGCTAAAAATACCGATGGTTGGGATGTCTACTGCAGCGATACAGATTGTCATCAAGGACTCTGTCACCGTCAACGGGGACGACTGTTCCTCAAGCCGAGTATAGACCTACATTATTTCATTGTGACGCTGACGCTGATGGAGTCCGTAGATTCCATGAATATCTTGGTGTCCAATTTAGACTGCAACGGACCACAGTACGATCTCTAGTCATATAAAAATGACCAATGCCTCTGATGGAGTCCGAACAAAAGCCTGGGCAGGACCCGACGTCGGCACTGGGATGGTCAAGAACAACACTTTCTTTGATTTTAAAGTGTTCGATGTAGATGATCTAATTGTGATTAGCCAGGTAAGCTGTTTTAACGGACAAAGGTAGCGAGAGTTGATTGTTCTTTCCTATCATGAGTTGGACCAATTACTTCGCGACAATGATCATTCGACTTTGCGAAATTCCTCCGTTGTTCTTAACTCTTGTTCTTCCCGGGTCACTCCAAATTACTTATTCAACCCCCATCTAGAAGTCAGCCCTGGAAACGACCGCAAGGCTGCTTCTCGTCGTTCTTCTATGCCCGCAGATATAACGAGCACGACGCGTGCTACATAGAATTGTGACCTTCAGTCCACCCCCGGACCGTTCATCGCGGACCGGTACACTGTGGATCATATAAATCAGAATGATTGGAGGTGGGGACGCCAGCAATGTTTCGACTGTTGTATGTCCTTCTTTTGACCCTTTTGGTTGCCTTCGGGCAGCGATGTACTCTGACACCCTCGGGTGGCGACGATGGCCCCCAGTTCCTGGCCGCCGCAGCTTCATGTGATACCGTTGTCATCCCGGTTGGTGAAGAGTTCAACATTGCCACGCGGATGAACATGACGGGTTTGACCAATACACATATTGTGAGCGTCAATGAAATTTGAGCAGCCACTGCGAGGAATCTGAGCACTTTCGATCGCAGAACTTGGAGGGCACCATTCGATTCCAACCTGATATTTCGTACTGGACTGGAGTAAGTTACAGTAATGTCACTCCTCGAATACTTAATGATGCCTCAAAGAATGCTTTTTTTTTCGACTTTCAGGATTCCATAACATTTTGGTTACTTGGTGGGGAGAATATCGTTTTGAGTGGAAGTGGCACCCTCGATGGGGCTGGTCAGGTACGTGTAACGATATCTCAAAAGGTTTCCCTATGATGACATTCGTGTAATAGGCATGGTACGACGCCTTGTAAGTGACCATTAAGTAGATAGAATTGCAATCAATGTTTAGGGTCGACTTTAGCGCGTCGAACTCGAGTCTCCTCCGTCCTATTATCTTGACTGTTTATCAAGCGAAGAACGCTTTAGTCGAAGATATACATATGGTCAACAGTCCAATGTGGTTCAATCTTGTGAGTATCCTTCCAATTCGATTGCTTCGATTTGGATGACATCATGTCAGGTCTATGAAAGCAATAATGTCACATACAGCAATATCAATATCACTGCTGTATCGACTTCGAAAAATACGATCGCGAACACAGATGGATGGGATATCTACCGCAGTGATACCGTTGTTATTCGAGATTCTACTATCCTTAACGGTGACGACTGTGTCTCTTTCAAGCCCAGTGAGTTGGTGCATGGCATTCACTGGGCGATTAATACAGCTCTTGCTCAGATACTACCAACGTCTTGGTGTCTAATTTGAGTTGCAATGGATCTCAGTAGGTCACCCTTATTTGGATAGGTCTCGAGGCTGACGTAAAATTCTACGCAGTGGAGTATCTGTAGGGTAATAGATTGATCGACTCTATGATCCCTATTATCGCAGAACTCATACGCCGCAATAGTTCCCTTGGGCAATACGCTGGTATCTTTGATATCGTAGAGAACATAACGGCGACGTCCGTTTTCCTCTCCTTTTATTCTTGACGTTGTCTAAGTTACTGTTCTAGGGACATATCTATGTCTAACGCAGAAAACGGGGCTCGTATAAAAGCATGGGCTGGGTCTGATGTTGGGAGTGGGATTGTCAAGAACATCACCTTTGCAAACTTTGAAGTGTCCAACGTAGATAACCCGATCGTAATCGACCAGGTAAATGGAATCTTTGTGATTGACTATTAGGCTCACAACGATGACAGTGTTATGAGACCAGCTCAAGTCAATGCTCTGAATTTCCGTCCAATACCTTCATCGAGGATGTTTGGTTCAATGAGTAGGCTTTAACATGAGATACTCATGCTCGGACTAACTGTTTCATAGTGTCTTTGGGACATCATCTGGGGCCACTGTGGCATCTCTGGAATGCTCTCCTGATGATCGGTGCTCCAATATCAACGTGAATGACTTGAATTTGAAGTAGGCTACTTGTTTACTTTTTTGATTCCCTTTATGTTTAACCTTGTACCGCAGAGCCGGCAAAGGAACTGCAAAGTACGAGTGTCAGAATATCGTTTTGAGCGGGAATTCTGTAGACCTCTTTCCTGATTGCACAGAAACGTAGGATAGGCGATACCAATGAGCGTCAGTACTTGATGAAACTCAAGCTGTGTTATCCGGCAACCATGGTCCATAAAACAAAATTTGTCCCCAAAGACCGCATGACATCGGAATGGCGAAAACTCCTCAAACACAGAGTGGTCCGGCTCAGCGTTCATGTTTACGACCGCGTCTACTCTTTGTCTTGTGATAGAAGGTAAAGCGCTGTGTTATCAATCTATCACTTGATACTTTGAATGTCGAATGATGCTTGTTACGTCCTGCCTTGACGATATCCGAATCTTTGGTTCTCAGTTACTGACTTCAAGTTCTAGGCTCCTGGCGGAGGAAACTGAATTGATCACCTTCTGTGAAAATCTGTCAAGCGCGCGCTGTGCGATGGGACACATCATTCTGAGTTCTGGATTCGCACATTACCTGTGTATCTATATGTTCCCTCTGTGTATGTCTATGTTTGCGACTAAAGTAAGCGCCCTCTGAATGTGGTTATATAATTGCCAAGACTAACATGCCTTGTCGAATACAATCGGCAGGGTGGCAAGCGGCTTGTTCAAGTTCTGCCGTCGTTGTATGTTAATCGAACTTCCGAGTAGAAGAGTCGTTGATGCCTGAACAGGCGAGTTTGCTCGCTGCTGTGGCTACTGGCCGTTTATCAGTCATCAACGACGTTGTGAATAATGGGGATTTCAGGCAGAATGCAAATCCACATGTCCTTAACTTTCTCTATATCGCTTCGTTTGGAGCCATCATTTTGAACGCCAGCACCACCGTCACATCTCTATTTCTTATCGACGAACTGGGAGACCTCCCCACCGTTGCCTCTGATCTTGACAAACCACAACGTGGCGGTGCGCTAAATGCTACGGATATTTTCGTCTATTATGGACTGAAAAATACCTGGACTTGGCATTGTAAGCGCGTTTAACAAAATTAAAAAGTACATATTACGGTGATTCCTCCTTCATTAGGGACCATATCGCTAGTTCTAGGGGTTTGGTGCCTGTTTCTGCAAATCACCGTATTCGCAAACAGCGCCTGTAAAAGTGCTGGAGGATATCCGTACGTTATACCCTTATCTTACCTTTCGATCGTCTCCTTTTTACTTATCATATATACATTACTCCTGTCCTTACCCGATCACCTATATAGACTGGCCATAGATATCCGGATACCTCAGTCGTTTCACCTATGCTGTGCCCGACTGAGGTATGTGTACCATTACTGCGCTCACTACTATATTCTCACATTCGTTCGTAGATCCTAACTCATATTCTTCTGTTAATTGGTATAGTATCTTTACAATACAGTCGTTTCACCTACGCTGTGCCCGACTGAGATCCTAACTCGTATTCTTCTGTTAATAGGTTATGTGGCCTTATTGCCTATAACTCAGTCAAGAAGAATACGCAGCGCATTTTCGACTCAACTTACCACTTCACTCATAATACCCACTACCACGCTACAATCCTCACTACCACTACCACACCCCTATGATGTCGTCGATGTCAGGAGTTACAATCCTCCCTGACATGAGTAGCCACTTTAATGAGAAGAATTATGCATCCTAGAAGCTTCAACTTACTGAACTGCTGAAGGGTAAAAGACTTTGGGGATACATTGAGGGCACCACTACTCACTTTACTGCCTCTGGTACTACCACAACCACACCTACAACTACACTATTACCACCAGATCCTACCTCCATCTACTCTTCCTCCCCTTCCTATGATGAATAGATTTTCCATGATCAGCTAACCCATTCTCACATTATCCTCAATGTCCTTGACTCTATTGGACTAGGGGTTAAGACTGATGGAACAGCAAAAGAATGCTGGGATTCTATCATTGCTGAGCATGCAAAAAAGACTGATATGACTCTCTCAGAGGCTGAAGCATTGCTGAATGCAGCAAAGTTTGATGAGAACAGTGATATCAACACTCACATTACTGACCTATGCACAAAGCAATGGGCAGTAAATGATCTTCATACAATGGCTCTAAGTGATCAGGAATTCAAAGGAATCATCATTTGTTCCATAATTTCTACAGACAACTGGATGCCTATTCTTCTAAGCCTGTATCAGATGCTCACTTCCAGCAACATTATCTCCCACCTTCAGACTCATGCAGTGACTCTCCATGCCACAGGAAAAGGACCATCCCAATCTCTGTTATGATTTTCCATTCTTTTTCAACTTGTTTCCTTTATTTAACCTCTATTTCGACTTAGTCAGGGTGTCTAGTCTAGTGCTTAGCACCATGGGGAATAAAACTTAGTCATCACAAATGGCTAGACCACTATTCTCCAAGAAACCCATAGTGACGCATGATGAACACAATCACCCTTTTATATATGGTAATGATGCCTAAGGGCCAACAACATAAAACAACAAAGACTCTACAATAGTACCAAGTATTATTAGACCCCATGTACAGTATTTAAAGGAGCTCACTCTTGCTGGTATACCCCAGCTTCGAGCTAAAGTTTATACACATATCATTCTACTCTTGAGCCACTACTATGGCCTTGTGACACATTGACCCAAAGACACAATCAGTGGACTCAGGTGATCCCTCAAAGTGCAAAGAGACATCTGTTTATCACATGTTTAGGTTCATGTGATGCTTGGGTCTAACAATTAGCTTGAAGCTTTCACCTTCCCTTTCTCAAGCTTAATTGTGCTAAGAAACCAAATGCCCTCAGCAACAACCACCAACTTGAATCATGACTTCTTTGAGCTTATCGCTTCTATCATTGGAATGCTGCTCGGTCTCCTCGCCATCATTACTCTCTGCCGCAGATGACAATCAGTAACAGCTTGGATAGTCAGGCACTATCAGGTGTTTCAGCAGATTCAACATATACTATAAAATGTAATCTCAGACCTCCCTTTCCATGACATTTCTGCCTCTATCAGAATGTCTTTCCAGCTGCAAGAGCAACCCCTATCAGAAACCAAGAATAACGACTCACATCCAGGGAGCCTTCATGAGGAAGAAGGACCCTAGTACCCCCCTCAATGAGATAGCAGAAATTGCCATCCTGCTCTCACAGGGTTCTGGAACCCATGGATGACGAATGTCACTCAGGAGTCTGAGGAGATCTCCAGCAACATCACTCCAACAGTCTCAGCCTCTGAGCATTCCCCCTCTCTGATCCCCTTAGGGATTGGAAACCATGCTAGAGACTCTCTTGATACTGCTTGGATGACTCTGAGACCCTGTGAAGGCCTCAACTCCTCTCACAACTCTCTTTATATCCCCACTGAGCCAAACTCTGGCTCCAGCCAGTCTGTCAGCAGGCTGGAGATCAATGACCCATATAGAAGAACAATACACCCCGACTATGCCAATGTCAAAATTGCCATCTCTGCAGTCAGAGATCCTCATCGACATCTCCATGTTAGAAGTGAGCCAGAAGTTGGGACTGCTAGTGCAAGGGGAAGAATTGCCTGAGACAGGATCATATGGCGAGTATTCCCAGATTGGGACCTCATGGTCTCTTTTAACTATAATGACGTAGTACAGCAGCAGCAGTAGAACCAGGCCAGACAGGCTGAGAACAGGTGAGCTCAAAAAGAGCTCGCCAAATATGTATAAAATGAAGTCCAGGAGCGGTATGAAGCTGCAGAATATGACCAACAGGGGAAAGAGCAGAGGAGGAGGGAGGAAGGCGAAAGAATGAGATCAGCCTCTCTAGGCTGATACGGACTTTGCACCGACTCAGGATCCCCATTTAGAGAGCCCGATTCAGACACCGACCCATAGACAGGACCTGCCAGCATCATTATCTGGAACAAGGTCATCAGATGAGGCCAGACTGGTGATGGCTGACTCTCTACCCCCTAGTATTCTGCTCAGACTGACATTATTTCCTTAGATGCCAACTCCGTTCTCGGAGCCTATGGGCTCTGAGTACCAGACAATATCCACATCTCCGACTGGGCTCTCCAGCGATTCCTGAGAAGCAGGATCACCCACCAGTTTTTCAATCCCGAGTTTCAGCATTACTTCAGCCTCTATAGCTGAGAACTGAAGGAGACAAGAGCACATAGAGGAACATAATACAGCTGGCTTGATAATCCTCCTATCCATCAGACAAGTACAAGGGCCAGTCCTAGTAACACTGGACTCAGCACCCAAGTTAGTGCAGGGGTCTTCAATGACTCTACAACCAGTGGTGCCATCCATCTATGATCCACCCATCAGTTCCCTCCTCAAGGAAGGGGACAGCAGAGACGAGAGCAATGAGGAGGACAATGAGGACAGTGAAGAGCCATACACATATGAATAATATTTCAAGGAGAAAGGTGAAGACACAGACAAAGAAGCCCTGAAGGAAGAGATAGAGTGAGCAAGGAACAAGGAGTACCAGGAGCTGTATGATCAGAGAAGGAATTTTCTATGGCAAGATGCATGCTGGCAAGTGATGTCTTTAGGGCTTGAATATCGGTATACAGAAAATACTAAAAAAAAAAAGATTTTATAGTATGCCGCAATGGAATACACATAGAAAGAATATGGCCAGTGGCACCCAGAAGATCCACTTGTGCCAATACCCCTATACCAACCCAGCAACAAGCTGAAAATGCTGAAATCAATGCTACAAACCCCACCCATCTCACCGAAACAGGCAGTATATATAGCACTATCAATCCAAAGCCGGGCTGAGACTAACTCTTTGATCCGAAGTACAGCTTTTCAGCTTAACTGCACCCAAAATCGATCAAACTAACTGGTGCAATGGCTAGAAGGATTCCAGAACCCCTGGACCGGCAAGAGAAGCCGACTCCTAGGAGCACAGCTGCCACCAGATCAAGCAGAAGGAAGCAGAATGGGCAAAGAACTAATATGGGACGATTCTGAAGCAGTATGACTTGGATTCACAATACGGGATGGAGTCATTGTACAAAAAGACACACTTTCTTAGGAAAGCCCTGTGGCTGATGACAATTCTCTACATTCCTTCCCTATGGCTCCACAGGAGTGGCACTGACCCCCTTTTGAAGAGTAGCCCAATCTGATAGAGGTGCTGCCCCACAATAGCGCTGTCTTTTAATGTCACTCTGACTTCTTATGAAAACCAAGATCTTTTAAAAGGGTGTCCAATGACATTGACCGATTCTTTGTCGACTGCGAACAATACTTCGAGGTGTATATCGGATACCTAGGAACCGACATGAACAGAGTAGCATTCACTGCCTCTTATCTCGAAGAGAAGGTAAAAACATAGTGGATTTTGATTTTCTCAAACTTTTGATCCACCACACAAAATCACTACCGGTATCTCTCGTGGCCAGTGTTCAAATAAATGCTAAACAACAAGTTCATTGATCTGGTGGTACAAGAAGTACACAAGCAAAAGATCAAAGAGTACAGAATGGGGGACAAGCCTACAACAGACTACTTTGATGAGTTAGAAAAGCTTGCCAAGCTGGCAGGAATATGAGAAGACATGGACAACAATGGCCATATGGTCGAAGCCCTCAAATGAGGGGTTCCCTCTTTATACCTCATGATGATCTCCACTATTAGAGTCAGAGAATTCATACTCATTGGGTATGATGTATAGAAGGAACGAATCATCAAGATGTATAAGGAGTGGCAAAGGCAGAAAGCAGAATCATCGACCCTACAAGACTACAACAAGAAATTGACCCTGCCAACCCCAAACAAATCATTGGAGACAACTGCCAGGAAACCAACAGGGACTTCCTTGGCTTCTACCATATACAGCATGCAGAAAACCAGAACTGGGACCACATACACTGGAACTAGCAAACCAATGGACATTGACTGGATGAAGAAAGAAGAGAAGTGCTTCAATTGCGAACAGAAGGGCTATATGGCCAAAGACTGCCTAAAAAGGAAGTGAACCCAGAAGAAAATCAGAGCACAGATCACTGATCTGCAGAAGGAAGATAAG